ACCGTGTCCAAAGTCCTTCGTGCTCATTACTTGTGTTTATTTATGTAAATATTTTACTGTGTGCAGTTGTATTTACACATTTTTTCGGAAATGTAAAGGGATGTGGTGGTTGTAGTGGAGAAGCTTTTAGATCAGTGACTTGTCACGTCTCGGTTTCGTGTTTCCGCACGTCTTTTAGTCTGTTTTTTTTTTCTTGTTGGTGGTGGGATGTTGTGTGGATGGACCACTACAGGCTTACATAGTGTCTATAGTGTCACTTGGTAGTCCATTCGCCAAATTAAATTGGACAAAGTAAAAAAGAAACGCGCGTGACATTGACACGAACTCAGCACCCTCAGCACTAAAGCCAAAAAGAGGCAATTCGCGTAAAGTGGAGCTAAAAACCACTAAAACTGCCACGGGGGCTTTATTCTTTTATCCCAACAAACACCGATCGGAGAGTTAAGTGTCTACACTTTTATCCAACAATAGAAAACATAACCAAACATTTGAAACCAAAATTACAAATATTTTGATTCTAATCACGTGATACACGATTTAATCTGATATTTTCTTTGAGAGGAGTTGGTCTTTGGGTGAGAGTGTTCCGTAAACTTCTGTCACAGATTTCTAATTACTACTATTAGGGGGTTGGCGTGAGGCAACATGTGCGCGTTATGACACTTTCGAACTCGTGCTCGTAGATTACGTATCACACGTATAGGTATTCATATTCATGGGGTGGAATATTATCATAATTACTATCATCTGCAACGCGATACAACACAGCAATTTTATTTTGACGATTTTATGGAAAAAAAACTTTTTTGATCATTGAACAACGAAAAAAAGTGAATTTAAGTTTAATATCGGTATTTTTTTACGAAAAACTGGAATACCGGTAATACCGGTATTTATTAAATCAATGAAATACAAAATTTGGTTTTATTTCGTCGGTTTTTTGATATTTGAAAAATTATTTTCAGGAAAAATATAAATTTTACTTTAATACCGGTACTTTTTATAAGAAAAACTCAAATACCGGTATACCGGTATTGATTCTCCTATTTCGCAATAAATATTTTCTGATAACATCAAATTCTCTGCCATCAAGGTCAATGATTCGAAAATAACAAATGGCTTTATTCTTTTTTCCCACTTTTCACCACTCTTCGCCCACGCGCGCTCGTAATTTTCCAATTTTGCAACACCCGAATTCCGCAAGTTAATCCATATCGAGAGCATTCGTTTAAAATATAATCAAATAATTGAAATGCGAAATCGGCTCGCGCGCGCTGTTATCATCGTCTATTTATGTTGGCCGGCCCGGCGGTGAGCTTTTCGGTCACGACACAAAGCGTGCTGTGGACTGAAAAGCTCGCCGGCCACTCATACAAAACATCCCCATTGAAAGCGCGCACGCATTCGGACACATTCCGTACACACTCGCCACCCACGAATGATACAATATTTATGCAAAATCAAAAGCCGAGCACTTTTTGTTTTGCGCCGAAACTCGAATGAAAAGCGTGTGGTCAACTTTGATTGGACGTTGAATCCGGACTCGTGAATAGACACATACGCGTGTTGTGGTTGATTTTTCGACAGTGCACGAGTAGGTATTTTGCTTTTAATTGAAAACCACGCGTTGGTATTTTTTGTTTTTAAACATTTATTGACGTGAAACAGCTGCGGTAATAAATTAGACGGTGCCAATTTGGCGTGTGGCCAATTAGCGAAATGATGGATGGTTCAATTGAAAACAGGAAGCATTGTTTACATTTTTGACGTTTCCAATGACGTTGCTTGTAGTTTTTGTTTGAGATTTGCGATTTTCGATTAATTCCGTCGTGGCCCAGCAAATCTATTTAAACGCATTTGTCGCATTCGTTAATTTCGTCATGGCAGGCGTGCTGGTGCACTCCACCGCGTGAATGGGATGCTTGTAACCGCCGCCGCCGCCGCCGCCACGCGAATTGTAATAGATCTTGATGTAACACAATGTAATGTAATTTAATGTAACGTATTATCCGCGCATCCATGGTAATAGACAGGATACAGAAGGATGGATATAAAAGGGGAGAGGTACTGCCGCTGCCGCCACTGCCACCGCCGGCGAAACTCACTCATCCACTCGTGCACACACTCGGGCGGCACTCGTGTGTATCTTTGTGTGCCCGCGCATTTCCACACTTTCGTCATACTTTGCCGCCTCCATTCTTCGGCTTCCACTTCACGCGTTTCTACTTACGATTCGCTGATAATGGATCTACAGGGTCATACAGAAATTATTTCTGTATTTTTATATTTTGAGTGAGAAATACCGGTATACCGGTATTTTTTGTTTCAAATACCGTAAGAGATAGAATGGAACGAATTGCAGAGTCTTAATCAACGGACAATTTTTAATCGAATAAATTAGTTAAACTTGAAATCTAAGAGCTAGCATTTTAATTTATGCTTGATAATTTTTATCGACGATTTTCAATAATTAATATCTCTTAAACTAAAAGAGATAGCAACCAACGAATTGCTGATTATGATAGATTAGAAAATTCTCTATTAGATAAAAATATAAAATAAGTATATTCCCAATAGTAAAAGGTCAAAAACGCAACTAAAAGTGCTAAAAGTGACATTTTGCAATTTTTGCCCATTTTATTCAATCGCGAATATCTCTTAAACTAAAAGAGATATTTAAGATCTGGTTGCAGCGTCTTAATCTACGGACTATTCTCTACAAGATAGCATAGTTAAAACCGAAATCTAAGAGATGAAATTTTTATTCTTAAGAAAAAATTGCCAAGGGGGGGTGCTTGATTCTTTTTTTCGACGATTTTTGATAATTAATATCTCTTAAACTAAAAGCGAGAGCAACCAACAAAACGCAGATTATGAAAGACTTGAAAATTCTCTATCAGATAAAAAAATAAAATAATGATATTTCCAACAGTAAAAGGTCAAAAAATGCAACTAAAAGTGCTCAAAAGTGACATTTTTCTATTTTTGCTCATTTTATTCAATCGCGAATATCTCGTAAACTAAAACAGATATTTAGGATCTGATTGCAGCGTCTTAATCTACGGACTATTCTCTACAAGATAGCATAGTTAAAACCGAAATCTAAGATATGAAATTTTTATTCTTAAGAAAAAATTTCCAAGGGGGGGGTGCTTGATTCTTTTTTTCGACGATTTTTGATAATTAATATCTCTTAAACTAAAAGAGATAGCAACCAACGAATTGCTGGTTATGATAGTTTAGAAAATTCTGTATCAGATAAAAAAATAAAATAATGATATTTCCAACAGTAAAAGGTCAAAAAATGCAACTAAAAGTGCTCAAAAGTGACATTTTTCAATTTTTGCCCATTTTCTTCAATCGCGAATATCTCGTAAACTAAAAGAGATATTTAAGATCTGATCGCAGCGTCTTAATCTACGGACTATTCTCTACAAGATAGCATAGTTAAAACCGAAATCTAAGATATGAAATTTTTATTCTTAAGAAAAAATTTCCAAGGGGGGGGTGCTTGATTCTTTTTTTCGACGATTTTTGATAATTAATATCTCTTAAACTAAAAGAGATAGCAACCAACGAATTGCTGGTTATGATAGTTTAGAAAATTCTGTATCAGATAAAAATATAAAATAATTATATTTCCTAGAGTAAAAGGTAAAAAAACTTGACTAAAAGTGCTAAAAAGTGACATTTTTCAATTTTTGCCCATTTTATTCAATCGCGAATATCTCGTAAACTAAAAGAGCTAAATAGGATTTTATACTAGTATACCAAAATACCGGTATTTTATTAAAAAATTTACAATTCCGCTAAAATCGTGGGAAATTTTGTGACCAACGGTCATTTTTATGTTTTTTTCATTCTTCATTGAGTTCTTCTATTGTTTCATGAACACGCAATCCGCAAGCTGCAATGTTTTTGTTTTGTTTCGTTCACCATCTTGACACATTGTTCCCAAATCACGGTGTTTTTTTGTATTTTTATGGGGTGGTATCCGCGTTACGCTCATTTCCTTCGGTTAGTTTTAATAATGTTTTAAGCACCGTCTAAACGGAAGTGACACAAAGTGGCGCACTCTGCCGTGACGGCATTCGGTCAATCAGTGCATACGAAACGCGAAAGATAAAAAAATACAAAGCAAGGGTGATTTGTGGTGGCCGATGTGTGTGTTCAAGTGTGTACAAAAGAATCAATTATAAAGTTTTGCATGAATTACTCAATATGCACATGTCTAAAACAGAAAAAAGTAGAAATAACACCTGGAAATTGAACGCTTTTCTACATTTCCAACATTTCGACAGCTTAACGCGTTATCTAAAGCCCTAAACCGCTGACAATTGATGTGATTTTTCCTCTACGTGTGTGTTTTTTGAAGATTTGCATAAGATCAGTTATCGCGGTGCGAAAATCCCGTAACTCCTTTAAACCCCGAGATTGTGCAGCCGAAGAACGCAGATTGCAGCCGCGCTGCAGTCTTTGGTTGCTTGCTTCTTCGAAAGCCATTTGTTCTCAGTTCTCGGCTGATAACGCGCAAGAAATCTGCATATCAGATTCAACCCCACAGACCCAAGCGCGGGGGTTGTGAGCCGGCCAGCGTTTTGCTGCTATTAGACCAAGGTATTAGTTTAAGTGCATTGGGAAGCGAACCGGGACACCGGGGCGGACACCCTCATTACATAAATGGCTTTGTTCTTCCCTTGCGCATCCGAAAACGTTCATTAATGCGGTCATACATCGTGCACGTGCATTTAGCATGTTTAATTATTCTTTTTGGTGTAGATTACACTTTCAATCACTTCATAAACATCAAAATTTATTAATAATTTATATTTTATTCGTTTATTATCACTTTAAACATTTAAGTGCACTTAAAATATAATTAAGTGAAGTTTTAAGCCATGTAGAGTTACCTAGTGTGCGGAAAGTTAACTAGAATAACTTTTGGTTAGTAAAACATAGATGGCGCTAGCAGTACCAAAATATCCTTGCAGTTGGCTGTCGAGTTGTCAATGAAAAACCGGCAAATAAAATAAATAAACAGCAGTTTCATGCTGTGTAAACATTCAAGATGAACGAAAAAGTATCTCTTCTTGCCCTGATTATCTGTTACTACCTCCCAGCAAGATTAATCTTTGATTATGTGCATAAATCTGCACCAATTGTCATTGATGAACTGTTTCATCTTCCAATCGGTCTGAAATACTGCGCCACAGAGTTTTCAGAGGTAAATATCAACATATTTACATCATAAAACAACAATATTTATTTATACAAGTAATATCTTTTAGTGGGATAACAAAATAACGACTTTACCAGGACTATATTTGTTCTCCAGTCTTCTTATAGCACCATTTGGTTATTGTTCGGTGTATTCTTTGCGATACACAGTGTTTTTTACATCTTTAATCAACTTGGTAATAGTTTACTACTTGAGGAAGCAATGGGTGCCTGGAGAAAACAAATTCAATCTATTGTTGAATACTTTTAACATTGTGACAATTCCACCAGTTTTGTTCTTTTCAATGGTTTACTACACTGATATCTTGAGTATGATGTTGGTGAATGCTATGATCTTGTTTGGATTGAAAGGCAGATCGTTTCTGGCATCAATATTTGGTAATTTTCAGAAGGAAAATAAAACTTTTTGGTTTTTAAGTAAAAAAATGTTTTTATAGGCTTTCTGGCAATGGTTACAAGGCAAAACAATGCCGTTTATATTTTATTCATTGCTGGATATCGTGTTTTTGGCCATTTGTATAATATTATCACAGATGCACATAATACAGATGGAAATATTAAACGTTGGGTAAGAAATTCACGTGTTTTGCTTTAAATTTCTTTTAAAAAACGAAAATTTTTGTAGGATTTGCGTTATTTGCAAATAAAACTCCGATCTTTTCTGAAAAGTAATCCTCTACAACGTCACTACTCTGGTTTACTGATAGAGGGATTGTGTTACTTTGTAGCACTATTATCAATGGCATTATTTGTCTATTTGAATGGTGGTATTGTCGTTGGAGACAAAACTGCACACACCGCGACGATTCACCTTCCACAACTATTTTATTTCTCGTTATTTGCGATGTTTTTCGGTTTTCCACACGCCTGTTGCTTTGTTCTTCCATTTTTCAAGTTCGTCTACAATCGTTTCTTACTCACAATGACTCTACTAACTATTATCGCCCTAATTGTGGTTTTTAACACAATAATTCATCCGTATTTACTTGCAGACAACAGACATTACATGTTTTATTTCTGGAAATATTTCCTGGGTAATGAAACACAACGTTTTGTTATGTGTCCCATGTATCTCTGTGCAATGTATTGTATTATACGTGTGTGTTGTCCTTATCGACATTCAGACCCTCGATTATTAGTTGTTTATTGCTTAATGCTCGCAGGTATTTTGTGTACGCAATCATTAATTGATGTGCGGTATTTTCTCACACCATATGTGATTTGGCGTAGTTCTGTTAGTGTAACAGCTAGGACTGATTTAGTTATTGAATTATTGTTTCAAAGTGCTGTTTCAGCGTTCACGTTATACACTTTTGGGCATAAGGAGATTTATTGGAGAGATTTTGATGAAGTACAAAGATTAATCTGGTGAAAATGTTGCTATTGTTTATATTTTTGTATATTTGTTATTGCGAAATAAACTGTTTGAAAATGGCGCGCTTGTAGAGTAAACAACTGGTTGTCATGGTGATTGAACATATGATTCACCACGCCTTCACGATATTACACGAAGATAGCCGAAGTGTGTTGGATAATATTTCCTGGAAGTTTATTTAAATGGTGATAAAGTAAATATTTATATAAGAAATTAATAATATTGCGTTTTAAAATGTTTTTTGGTTTTTAAATTATAAGTTTTGTGTGATTATAGTGCGGAATTTACTAAAATGCTGATTTGGGAGTTTATTGCGCATGCGTTGACCAGCAACATCGCATAATCCTTTTTGTTACTTTTAACTTTTTTGAAACTTAAAACATGTAGAAAACAAATAGATATAGGTATAATATAAATTATTTTTATTTTATTGTGTAAAAACATTGATTATAAGCTGTTTTCACGATAAAATTAGCAAAATATGAGCAGAGTTTTGACACTTTGTGATCGTGCAAGTCCGCCGCGTTCGTTTTCGGGTTCGCGAATCAGTGCAGTGCAGTTCGACACTTGGACGTCTGAGCCGGATTGTGAGCCGATCGAGCCCGCTTCAGCGTCGGGTGTTGGTGTTTTTCAGTGTTTTAACTTTGTTTTAACACGATTCGCGCAAGTTGGTGGTGTTTGCGGACAAGTCACAGCCAGTTCCGGCGTTTTGGGGCGGCGGTGGACGCGAAGTAGCGCGAGCGAGCGCGACTCGACGCGACGCAATGTGCGAGAATGACGTTGACCCGGCTGTCCGTAATGGCGTTCGATTCTCATCCGCAAGCGAGCGATGGCTGGCCGAAGAATAGCGCTCGCTGAACCCGCTGATCTCTCGGCCTCTCGCTGGCTATGACGAGTGTCGGTGGTGCGCGAATGTGCCAAGCCGTGCTGACCGCGTGATCAACCCCCGCGACGTGTGTGTGTGCGTTTTCGTGGCGTTCGTGGTGCGATTTGCGAACGCCAGCACCCTCAGGACCCCCAGGAGCGGTATGCGGATGCTACCTGTGTGTGACCGTCGTCGTTTCTGCACGTAATTAAAATTAATATAACCAGTGTGTTGGTTGCGTGTGCAGACTTCTTCCAAGTTTACACTTTAATACAATTACGATAAGTAACAGCAGCCAGAGGAGATCGAGATCCACTGCTGCACATTTGTACATACAAATTACATACTGTTACTGTGATAATACTAAAACGATGTGATATTTAAGCATAAATTGCTTCTCTTTCGTTCAGTGTATGAGACATTGAGAGACGTGAACAATAATCACTGGCATCTACACCATCACCATTCACTTAAGGTAATTATTCCCCAAAACCCTCTATATGGGCCAAACGGGAACTACTGCTTCCTTAATATTTGATTCTCTTGTTTTTGTTGATGAATGACCGCGCGTTTTGTGAGTTTAAATTTAAACAGACGCAGAAATAAAATGCGCCTGTGGTTGGGTTGTTTTCGTGGATCGTCTTGGGATGGAATCGGTTATGTTTTATATCTTTTGTTTGCCGCATGAGTTCAAGACTTTAGTTCTAGTTCTGGTTGCATCTATTGTATCGATTGTTGTTGGTTAGTTAGTGTCGTTGCACATTGTGCTCAATAATTTAATGTGGGGCGATGGACGAGACGGTAAGTTGCATGCTGCTGGAATTATTGTCGATTATTTATCCATCGGGGGATGTGGACGCCCATCGCTGCGACGATTACAGAGCGCGGAGGAAAATGTGAAATTGCACTTGGGAATTTACATATCAATCAGAAGCATAATTATGTAGATATGCAAAATAAGCTGCTCATGACTTGAAGAGTTGTAATTTACAGGTGGGGGGTAATATGGTTAAATTTATATTCAACTTCAATAATTTCGGTTAATTTTCATAAAATTTTCTTATATTTTGTTGGTTTTTATCGATTTTAAGTACGGTTTCCTCTAGAATTTATTGATAATAATTGTTGTGACTTAATTGCCTATAAAATTAACATTTATTAGTCTTTTCTACGCTAAACGATAACTATTTACATTATCAATACTGGTGCAAAGTGTACGTAATATTCCCCAAGTAGATTCGTAGTAATCGTGAATTCAAGTTGCATTTATCGCATTTTATCTCGATCTTATCTTCAGTGTAAGTGATTTTCTATTATACCATAACGATAACGATCAAGGGTAAGTTTTGCATGCGTCTATCAAAACAAAATCGTCGAATCCGTCTGCAAATAGTCGAGACGCGTCTACCAAATGTCCATAAATAGTGAGACAATTAGCATAACTAATGTCGGATGCCCACAATGTTCACAAATTGAGTTTCCACAACTCTATACACACACACACACACAAATACAATCGGCTGATAATTTGTTTGTTCGCTGGCGTTCGTTGGTGGTGAGCGGGCGCACTGTAGGATTTAATGAGTAATGACACAACAAAGATGAACGAAATTAATGTGCATTCGAACGTCGACGGCGGCGGATCTCCGCTGGGCAAACGTTTCGATTCGATATGCCCAGCAATATATATATATAGCATAAATATAATCAGAATTGATTCATTGGATTATTATGTAAGCGTTAAACGAACGTGTGTGCGCTGTGTACACGAGCGTTGATTCTTTTTAAATGTCGATGTCGACAGGTAAATTAAACGTTCTCGTATCGAAGGCGAATCTGATGTTGACACACATGAAATTCGATTGTTTGCGATACCATGATACAATGGCAAACGGTGATAACGCGAGTGACAACGATAAGCGTGTTGGAAGCGCGTTTATAGATGGAATAATTGAAATGTCAATAACGGTTTAGTTTCGGATTTTTTGCGCCCCTTAGATAACAGAGCATTAACATGACTAAAATATTTAATAGTAATAACTTTTTGTTCCTTTTTGTTAAAGATTCGCGTTAATTTTGAGTGATATTCAATGACTCATTGCATAAATTATAAAACGTTACCGAAATATTGCCGTCATGAATTAATTATTGCGGTTTTCTTGCTGTGAAATAATAAGAATATAAAATAAATTCGTGCTTAAGACATGTGCGAACTTTGAGCGACATTGAATAAATCATAAATGACAAAAATGATTAGAAAATGTTGAGCAGCCAGACGTGTAATAGCTAGTAAATTGAAGACACGCGATACGGCTTCGTTTCGGTTATTATTATTATTAAATTATAAGGGATTTGTCTAGTTTGATTCGACACTTGTGAAGAGTCGTGCGAGTTGCGTAAATTAAGCTAAGCTTATTATTTGAATGCTCTTCCCTCACAATCGCAACCGGAATGCTATCACTATTTAAAAACTAAGTTTTTACACTTGCTGATTTGATTATTCCTTGTTTATTTGCGATATTTGTTTGTTTAGTATACGTTTTGTGTATTTTTTGGTTTGTGGTGACGTTTTTTCTGTGGTTTGGTTTCTTGTCTCATCATTCACTATCGTTGCGTTATACAGTATGGTTTATTTTTATTGTTTTAGGATTAATAGACAAACTTAAATCGAGTAGGACATACAGTCACTTTACTCAATTACACAATGGATCCAAAGAAGAATTCAAAGCGGCACGGTGAGTCACTTCCCCTCCTGCCTTCCACAATTACAGTTTACCCTGTAGAATTTAAACAAAAAAATGCATTTCAAGGCAATGCGCAACTTGCGCGTACGTGAGTCATACACATTCATGCATCGGGTCACACACCCGACGATCATTTAATTCGATTAACTTATTATTTGATTACGATTTTATTGACTTTCACTTTTTTTCTCTCGTTTTTTTTTTCTTGTTTCTGTGTTGACACTTGATGGCTGAAGGTGAAAATTTCGCAGGGCAAACAATAAATTATCGCTTAATGGTTATTAATATTAACCAGAGATGTTTTGAGATTAGCGCCACCCTTGGTTGTTTAAAGCGATTGCAATCCTTGCTCCACTTTCATGTGGAACCGCGTGAGTGCCGGCATTTTTCATTTAGCTTTTCGCGGTGCTCGGTGCTCTTATCGATCTCTGAATTAGCTTTGACTTAACTATGCAAGGTTCAAGGCATCGGAAAAAGAAAGCGTGTGCACGCGCTGCCGCGTGTTGTGCTGTATTATTATAATTTGTGACCTGAAACGGGTCGAAATTGGAAGGTATTCAGGTGTTGCTAAAACATGCGGCACGCGGGGGTTGGAATCGAATATGGCGAAATGTCTTCTTGTGCACGCTCTCTCTTGTATTACGCTGTCTGGTTGTTTGTTTTCTATCGACACTGGCTAGCGTAACGTATTTAGACTCACTCGTGGACGCACTAAATATAAGCGACTTTAAAAATAGCGCCAATGGAGTTTAGAAAAGACGACGTCCGACAGAATAGGAATATAATTAGAAACTGTTGGTATTTGTGCCATCCCGAAACAACCTGATTCGATGTGAATCGATTCCCTGATTGCGTTCGTTTGTGGATATGAGATATGATGACGCTCTCATGGTGATGATTAGTAATTGATGTTTGTGTTTGCGCACAGGACAGGGCACCGGTAGCGAGACGCAGTCGTCCCGACACTCGATGAATTCCGGATCGGGTGTGCTGATGGTTGGCCCGAATTTTCGGGTCGGCAAGAAGATAGGATGTGGCAACTTTGGCGAGCTGCGGCTCGGCAAAAACCTCTACAACAACGAGCATGTTGCCATCAAGATGGAGCCGATGAAGTCGAAAGCGCCCCAGCTGCACTTGGAGTACCGTTTCTACAAGCTGCTGGGATGCCACGGTAAAACAACTACCACCACATCCACACCACACGAACTTAGTATGTCTGCCCGTTGTGGCGAACGTTTTAACATGATGCGCTTTGCGATTTTCAGAGGGCATCCCCGACGTGTACTACTTTGGGCCATGCGGCAAGAACAATGCGCTGGTGATGGAGCTGCTCGGGCCCAGCTTGGAGGACCTGTTCGACTTGTGCGATCGTCGCTTTACGCTGAAAACGGTGCTCATGATCGCCATGCAGCTGCTGCATCGCATCGAGTACGTGCATGGCAGGCATCTCATCTATCGCGACGTTAAGCCGGAGAATTTCCTCATTGGGCGCAGTAACACGAAACGGGAGAAAGTCATTCACATTATAGGTAAACAATTTTTTACCATTTTATAGTACAAATGTTGATTGTGTATGTTTTTATAGATTTTGGGCTGGCGAAAGAATATATCGAACTAGAAACCAACAAACACATTCCGTACAGAGAACACAAATCGCTGACCGGTACTGCGCGCTATATGTCCATCAACACTCATCTCGGCAAGGAACAGTCGCGACGAGACGATCTCGAGGCTTTGGGGCACATGTTCATGTACTTCCTAAGGGGTTCGCTACCTTGGCAGGGTTTAAAGGTAAGCTACAAATAATATTGCCCTGCTGCATATTTAATTTTAATATTTTGGGGTCAATATAGGCGGACACCCTAAAAGAACGTTACCAAAAAATCGGAGACACCAAACGAGCGACGCCCATTGATGTCTTGTGCGAGGGCCACCCGGAAGAAATGGCCACGTACCTACGGTACGTGCGTCGTCTCGATTTTTTCGAAACGCCCGACTACGAGTATCTGCGCAAACTCTTTATGGATCTATTTCAAAAACGAGGCTACGACGATGGCGAGTTTGACTGGACAGGCAAAACGATGGTACGCTGTTTATTTATTTCTTTTGGTGCAAATAAAATTGTTTATTTTGATTTCAATTGAAATAGCCACCGAATATTTACATGTTGCAACAAGTTCGTCATTTGCCACCATCTAACGTGGTAAAAACCAAATCGGCAAAGGTAGATTCATACTAAATATGGCAAATTGTAGTTGGGGCTTGTTTCTGCAATATTTTTCCGGTTTTTAAGGTTTTTCTTGTTTTCTAAAATGTTTATGTGCTATTTTCAGAGTTCGCCAGTTGTATCCATTCAGACACACAATGAGGTGTTAGTATCCCCGAATCGTGACAGACTTGCGGGCAATAAGGTAAAAGTATGAGGTTTTTATTTTATATGAATTTAAGTTAATTTCTTGGTTTGTTTTGATTGTAGGCGAACGCCGGTAAAGCGAACGCATGGCCTGAAACTTCTAAGCAGAGCACGCTGGGTAATCTTACGCCCGCCGACCGCCACGGCTCGGTGCAAGTGGTGAGCTCGACCAACGGCGAATTGAACGCGGACGACCCTACCGCCGGCCATAGCAATACCCCCATCACCACGCGTCTGGATAGCGATCCACCCGATGAAACTAAGTAAGTTGCACGATCTGCAGTTGCTGTTGCGCGATACTTTATTGACCCGCAGCTCCTTTTACAGATGCTGCTGCTTCTTCAAACGAAAGAAGAAGAAGAAAGGCGTGCGCACCAAATGACTACAGTATAACGAGACGGACCAGCACCTGACGTTGTTACCGTGCGGTCACAGTAGCGCCGCTACTCTCAACTGACTCTAGTTTTAAATCAAGACCAACGTACAGTTGTTATTATGTTATGTACTATTTAACTAGGTAAAACAAATATGTAGGTTAGCCTTAATTTAATACCTTTAAGAATGCGTAATTTTAAGTCGTTATCATATCTATGAATGTCGGATGGTTGCGGCGAAGACTCGCAGTAGTTGTGAATCGAAACTTGGATATCGTTGTCATTCGTATATCTGCATGAACATATAATAACAAGCCTTACTCGCAATTCCAAGTAATTAGGATATAAAAGTATATGATATATCAACTAATGTGCAAGCAGAACAAACAGATGCCTCCGCTCATGGTCCGTCGTTGCGCGGCGCGACCAAACACGATTTTAAGCTATGAGTCGTTACCTAATGCAGTAAGTAAATGGAAGGCAATATTTATGATAAACAAACCAAAAAGATACTGCAATTAGAAGTTGATAGAAATTTTAATCACATTGTAAACAAACTATTTGTCTTATTTTAATATTTATATAACATTCGTCATTTAATCACTTTTATTTATATATCCTTTTTCTTTGTAAACGAAATGCAAACAGAAAAGGCAAATTTGATTTGTACATTTAGAGAGTAAGGTCCATTAATTAATGATTGAACGCAACTATTTCCACCTGAAAAGATCCCAGTCAGATTCGGTAGATTTGCAGTAAGAAACACTGTTGTAAATAATTAAACAATAACAGCCTCTGTCACCTTTAACTTACTCTAATTATCATAGGGCACTGCATTATTTTAAATGCCAAATTTTATTACCATTTTTTTATAGGAGTTATACAAACTGAAAGTTTTGTGCTGCTTAGAATAATCGAAAATACAAAAAAAATTAATACTAAAGCTAACTATAATTAATTGCAAAATCGTGGAGAAATACAATGTTAATCGATTAACAAAAAAAACAAAGACGTGTGTAATATGAATATTGGGTAATTTTGTTCGTCAGATTGAAACAGAAAGGTTCGTTCACTCATTGCGAGCCAAGAAAAAATGTAATTAAATTTATGAACTATTTGATAAACAAGTCAAAAATAAACCTCAACGCTATAGATAATCAATACGTATGTAGTGCGCTTGTTACCAATTTGGAGTTAGAAGCGATTGGCTAAATAGGAAAACCTACTGTCCTTTTTTAAGAATAGTGTAATTAGGAGTTTTCTCATTGGTATATGGTTGCTCTAGAGACCTTTTGTAGCTTGCGCACTTTATAATTACGTGCAAAACACCCTGTATGTCCTGAATCGATGAAGCTATTTGGGCTATCCTATTGTCATATAATAGATAAAGAATTCCTCTAGTTCTTGTGTACCTTCCCGACCCTTTAAATACTCTGAAACTGCCCTAACATGCCCTCCGAAAATTTTCTAAATTCTTTAAAATTTACTTGTAAAACACCCTGTAATTCCTGAACCAATGAAGTAATTTGTGATATCTCTTCGTCAAGTGATAATTCAAGAGACCCGTTACAAGGTAAGCACCTTTTCCACCCTTTAAATTCATTGGAGGTGCCCGAAACAGCGTCCAAAAATATGTTAATTTTTTTCACTATTTTTCGTTTTTGAGTCGAAAAACAGGAACAAACTTTTTTTGTAAAATTATTTTTGCCCGAAGAACGGCCGAACTTTTTTTGTTAAGTTATTTTTGCTCGAAGAACAGGGTCGAACTTTTTTTGTTGAATTATTTTTGCTCGAAGAACAGGGTCGAACTTTATCTTAAAATATTTTCGTTCAAAATTAAAACTTTAAACCCTAATATCTCCTGAACTAATAGGGCTAGGAGAAAAACGACTTCATATTTTTATCTTTGAAGAATTCTCTACAAAATGGGATCTTTATTGAAAAACGACTAAAATTGCACAAAAAATTTTTAAAGAAAAGATTTTGTTATAAAAAATGCAAAAGATTTCTCTTTTTTATGCCGAATGTAGTTTGCATTAAAATTGTAAATAAGGCTTAAACGGTTAATGTTAGCTAAAGAAGTTACTAAAATAATCGTTCTAGAATTAAATTATTTATCAGGTTTCCTATTTAAAATTTAATCGAAATTAATAGTTCCATGCATAGTACAAGTACAATTCTATTCATGTTCTGCACTTCCACACTGAAAGTGTCAGTGTTTACACACAAACATGTTTTCTTATCTCGTGCAATTTTTGTGCGATCGGCACGCGTTTGGCTTATGAACCACGTCAGTCTCATTTTTGTCGTCAGGTGATCTGCACGCACAGTTTCTTCATTATTCTTGAGTAACTAAATTGGAAACGTGGTTCGTACCACGCGGATTGTACAATCTGCATAGTTATTAATCGCGTTTCTAGAGATGTTAATATGATAGTGACATGGACGACAATGAATTTCAGCCAGTGGGGCTTACCGTTATTGAATTGTCGCTCATGGAATCGGATATTAAGTGACTTTGCTAGCATTCGTAGCTGCCGTCGGATAATTTATTAAAATAAGTATTAATTCTTACTAATGTGAAATGTCTGTTGTTAACCGAAGAACAATTAAGTAAGTGACGTCAATGCAAATTAAAACTATGGTACTCGTATTCATTAATTTTAATATGTATTTGTTTTTACTTGCAAATGGATTTTTAAGTGGGATAGTTTTAGTCTATTTGCACTGTCCTCCTGACGATGCCCTTACCGGCGAAACAATTGTCAATTCATCAAAAAACTCGTGCAAATAGACTAAAACTCCTTAAGTTAAAAATCCATTTATAAGTTAAAAATGTTGCACAATATTATCACCACAACTCAAGTATTCTTCTTTGTTTTTATTTATTGTGCAATGAAAGCATTTGCTGTGAATTAAACTGGCTAAGCCTTTAAGCCATTTTTCGTAACTGGCTAATGGTACCGAAGTTACCCTTCTACGGTGCCCTGAATGGGAGTCACTTCTACCGCTACCCTTGTACGGTGCCCTGAATACGAGTCACTTCTACCGCTACCCTCGAACGGTGCCCTGAATGCGAGTCACTTTTACCGCTACATTCGTACGGTGCTCTACCTTTTGTGATTATCGCACAAATTACTCCCAAATTGACTCCCAATATTGCATTTTAATGTTCAAAGGACTAATTTTTGATGGTTTTAGAGATTTTGCACCTGAGTCTGACATCGTAGAAGGACCATTCTTGCAACTGATTGTAAGTAATTAATTCCTTTTATCATTTTCCAAAATAACTCTAATAATTATCTTAAAAATTGACCCTCAAAATTGTATTTTTATGTTCAAATGACTAATTTTTGATGGTTTTAGGGATTTTGCACTTGAGTCTGACATCGTAGAAGGACCATTCTTGCATCAAAAATTGTATTATGTTCGAAGGTCTAATTTTTGCTTGTTTTAGGAATTTTGCACCTGAGTCTGACGTCGTAGAAGAACCATTCTTGCATAAGATTGTAAGTAATTAATTCCTTTATAATATTCCTAAATAACTTTAGTAATTATCTTAAAAATTGACCTCCAAGATTGTATTTTTATGTTCAAATGACTAATTTTTGATGGTTTCAGGGATTTTGCACTTGAGTCTGACATCGTAGAAGGACCATCCTTGCAACAGATTGTAAGTAATTAATTCCTTTATCAGTTTCCAAAAAACGCTTTAGTGATTATCTTAAAAATTGACCCTCAAAATTGCATTTTTATGTTCAAAGGACTAATTTTTGATGGTTTTAGGGATTTTGCACTTGAGTCTGACATCGTAGAAGGACCATTCTTGCAACTGATTGTAAGTAATTAATTCCTTTTATCATTTTCCAAAATAACTTTAGTGATTATCTTAAAAATTGAACCTCAAAATTGTATTTTTATGTTCAAATGACTAATTTTTGATGGTTTCAGGGATGTTGCACTTGAGTCTGACATCGTAGAAGGACCATCCTTGCAACATATTGTAAGTAATTAATTCCTTTATCAGTTTCCAAAAAACGCTTTAGTGATTATCTTAAAAATTGACCCTCAAAATTGCATTTTTATGTTCAAAGGTCTAATTTTTGATGGTTTCGGGGATGTTGCACTTGAGTCTGACATCGTAGAAGGACCATCCTTGCAACAGATTGTAAGTAATTAATTCCTTTATCAGTTTCCAAAAAACGCTTCAGTGATTATCTTAAAAATTGAACCTCAAAATTGCATTTTTATGTTCAAAGGTCTAATTTTTGATGGTTTCGGGGATGTTGCACTTGAGTCTGACATCGTAGAAGGACCATTCTTGCAACAGATTGTAAGTAATTAATTCCTTTATCATTTTCCAAAATAACTTTAGTGATTATCTTAAAAATTGACCCTCAAAATTGCATTTTTATGTTCAAAGGTCTAATTTTTGATGGTTTCGGGGATGTTGCACTTGAGTCTGACATCGTAGAAGGACCATCCTTGCAACAGATTGTAAGTAATTAATTCCTTTATCAGTTTCCAAAAAACGCTTCAGTGATTATCTTAAAAATTGAACCTCAAAATTGCATTTTTATGTTCAAAGGTCTAATTTTTGATGGTTTCGGGGATGTTGCACTTGAGTCTGACGTCGTAGAAGAACCATTCTTGCATAAGATTGTAAGTAATTAATTCCTTTATCATTTTCCAAAATAACTTTAGTGATTATCTTAAAAATTGACCCTCAAAATTGTATTTTTATGTTCAAATGACTAATTTTTTATGGTTTTAGGGATTTTGCACCTGAGTCTGACATCGTAGAAGGACCATTCTTGCAACAGATTGTAAGTAATTAATTCCTTTATCAGTTTCCAAAAAACGCTTCAGTGATTATCTTAAAAATTGAACCTCAAAATTGCATTTTTATGTTCAAAGGTCTAATTTTTGATGGTTTCGGGGATGTTGCACTTGAGTCTGACATCGTAGAAGGACCATTCTTGCATCAGATTGTAAGTAATTAATTCCTTTATCATTTTCCAAAATAACTTTTGTGATTATCTTAAAAATTGACCCTCAAAATTGCATTTTTATGTTCAAAGGTCTAATTTTTGATGGTTTCGGGGATGTTGCACTTGAGTCTGACATCGTAGAAGGACCATCCTTGCAACAGATTGTAAGTAATTAATTCCTTTATCAGTTTCCAAAAAACGCTTCAGTGATTATCTTAAAAATTGAACCTCAAAATTGCATTTTTATGTTCAAAGGTCTAATTTTTGATGGTTTCGGGGATGTTGCACTTGAGTCTGACATCGTAGAAGGACCATTCTTGCAACAGATTGTAAGTAATTAATTCCTTTATCATGTTCCAAAATAACTTTAGTGATTATCTTAAAAATTGGACCCCAAAATTGCATTTTTATGTTCAAATGACTAATTTTTGATGGTTTTAGGGATTTTGCACCTGAGTCTGACATCGTAGAAGGACCATTCTTGCATCAGATTGTAAGTAATTAATTTCTTTTTCATTTTCCTAAATAACTTTAGTGATTATCTCACAAATTGACCCCCAAAATTGCATTTTTATGTTTAAAGGACTAATTTTTGATGGTTTTAGGGATTTTGCACCTGAGTCTGACATCGTAGAAGGACCATTCTTGCAACAGATTGTAAGTATTTAATTCCTTTATCATCTTCCAAAATAACTTTAGTGATTATCTTAAAAATTGACCCTCAAAATTGCATTTTTATGTTCAAATAACTAATTTTTGAGGGTTTTAGGGATTTTGCACCTGAGTCTGACATCGTAGAAGGACCATTCTTGCATCAGATTGTAAGTATTTAATTTCTTTATCATTTTCCTAATTAACTCTAGTAATTATCTCACAAATTAACCCTTAAAATTGCATTTTTATGTTCGAAAGACTAATTTTTGATGGTTTTAGGGATTTTGCACCTGAGTCTGACATCGTAGAAGGACCATTCTTGCATAAGATTGTAAGTAATTAATTTCTCTATCATATTCCTAAATAACTTTTGTGATTATGTCCCAATTTGACTCCCAAAATTGCATTTTTATGTTCAAATGAATAATTTTTGATGGTTTTATGGATTTTGCACCTGAGTCTGACATCGTAGAAGGACCATTCTTGCATCAGATTGTCAGTATTTAATTCTTTTAAATAAATTTTGTGATTATTACACGATTTGATTCACAAAATGTTTGCTTGTGTGTTTTCTTTAATAAAGAATATTTTTAAGTTTTTCTAATTAAAATTATTTCTGTTATTTCTACCCGACCACATATTTAACGATCCCTTAAAACATTTATTTTGAAAAGTGTATGCTAGTGCCATCTATCAATTAGAAAGTACAACAACCGAAAATTACTAGTTACCGCGAAAACTTTATCAGCCTCCTCAACTTTCTGCGATCCTAATATTCAATCTTTATTTTGTCGACTCTGAGAGGCAAAATGACACAACATTTGGACTCGAAACAGTCGAAACTCAGGTTTTGGTATTCGGATCGCAGAAAGCGAGAGGAGGTAAATGAAGGAGGCGGTAACTAGTAATGGCGGGTAAAATGAATGTTTAAAAATCTTTATTCAGCAAATTCGGTTTTCGAATTCTGAAGGATCTCGACAACTAAGAGGGCTAGAAAACTAAGAACTACATAATCTTGATCCTTGAAAAATTCTCTACAAGGTGGCATCATTATTGAAAAATCATCAAAATGGCACAAAAAATTTTTAAAGAAAAGATTTTATTAAAAAAATGGCAAAAGATTTCTGTTTTTTATGTTGAAAATTAAAAGTTGGAATTTTGAAACAAATTGAAATGTAATATATATAATAATTTGGCGGGAAGTATCTATGTCCACTTTCTGCGTTCCTAATACTACAGACTGATGAGCAGCAACATTTCAGCAATTTTCTCGACAAATTTTGTCGAGAAATCCATTGAAAATGGTAACAAAATTCTTTTGAATATTAGGATCGCAGAAAGTGCAGTAGGCTAAATCTCTTGAATAGCGGCGTAGTTTTGTTACTCGTGGATAGATGACACTAGTGATGCCGTTTTTAAATTAATATTGATTCAATATAAAATTGATTTTGAACTATTTCTCATATCTAGCAGTGGCATTTCGATTAAAGTTTAAGGGATTTATGGATTAATTAAAGGAGTAACGATGTTGTGAGCTATGTTCTCCGTTTAGAACAAGTAAAACAATAAAAAATTTATAAAACTACATTTTTATTCAAACATGTAGAATCAGAAACGAAATTTCTTATTATATACAACACTTTTAACAATACAAGCAAAAAAAGAGGATAATAATAAGCAATTATAATACTCTGTTTATAACTTTTAACAAAATAAACAAAAATGATATCAATAGCAGCTTCAAAATGTTGTAAATTCTTTCAATCGTATTTGGAATCATCATCATCACCGGCAATCCAATCTTCAATTTCTTAGACACTATAAACCAGAATGAATAACAGAATAGTAAAATATAAAATATTATAAATTGCCAAAATATAACATACGTTCTTCGTATTTAGTCCAGTTGACACATTCATCTTCGTGAATACGCACTCTACCAGTACGACGGAACCTCTCCACTTGGTCCTTATTGATAAAGTTGGCCATCTCAGATTAGCCAATTCTTCATCCAACAACTGGAAAATATTTATGTAAATGAAATATACACATACATAAATTAAATTAATATTTCTTACAGGATCCATAAAGAGATTTAGGGCACTGTACGAAAGTAGCGGTAGAAGTGACTCCCATTCAAGGCACCGTACAATTTAGCGCAAGAACGGTTGCCCCACGACATTGCGTTCGCCGGCTATAACAAACAAAAACACAAAATTAGCCAACCAAAAAACACAAAAAGGGCATTTTTGTAGGTTTCCCGGGGGTCAAACCCACAAGTTATATATAAAAATTATAAAGAATTTTAATACTTACAATTTGGTGAAAGAACAGTTGCCCCACGACAATGCGATCGCCCGCTAAACAGTAAAAACCACAAAATTAGCCGACTGAAAAATACAAAATGGGCATTTTTGTAGGTTTCCCGGGGGTCAAACACACAAGTTATATATGAAAATTATAAAGAATTTTAATACCTACAATTTGGTGAAAAAACTGTTGTCTTACGACATTGGGTTCGCTTGCTTAATGCAAAAAATCACAAAATTAGCCGACCGAAAAAACACAAAAAGAGCATTTTTTGTAGGTTTTCCGAGGGTCAAACCCACAAGTTATACATGAAAATTATAAAGAATTTTAATATTTACAATTTGGTGAAAGAACAGTTGCCCCACGACAATGCGATCGCCCGCTAAACAGTAAAAACCACAAAATTAGCCGACTGAAAAACACAAAAAGAGCATTTTTGTTGGTTTCCCCAGGGTCAAACCCAGAAGTTATATATAAAAAATATTAGGAATTTTAATACCTACAACTTGGTGAAAAAACTGTTGTGTTACGACATTGCGTTCGCCCGCTAAACAGTAAAAACCACAAAATTAGCCAATCAACAAATTGCTGATTATGAAAGAATGAAAAATTCTCTATCAGATAAAAATAAAAAATAATTATATTTCCAGTAGTAAAAGGTCAAAAAACGCGACTAACTGTACTAAAAAGTGACATTTATCAATTTTTGCCCATTTTATTCAATCGCGAATATCTCGTAAACTAAAAGAGATAAATAGGATCTGATCGCAGCGTCTTAATCTACGGATCAATCTCTATCAGATAGGATGGTTAAAAGGGAAATCTGAGAGAGGAAATTTTCATTCTTAAGAAAAAATTGCCAAGGGGGGGTGCTTGATACTTTTTTTCGACCATTTTCAAAAATTAATATCTCTTAAACTAAAACCGATAGCTACCAACGAATTGTTGATTATGAAAGATTGGAAAATTCTCTATCAGATAAAAATATAAAATAATTATATTTCCTACAGTAAAAGGTCGAAAAACGCGACTAAAAGTGCTAAAAAGTGACATTTATCAATTTTTGCCCATTTTATTCAATCGCGAATATCTCGTAAACTAAAAGAGATAAATAAGATCTGATCGCAGCGTCTTAATCTACGGACTATTTTCTATCAGATAGGATAGTTAAAAGGGAAATATGAGAGATGAAATTTTCAGTCTTAAGAAAAAATTGCCAAGGGGTGCTTGATACTTTTTTTCGACGATTTTCAATAATTAATATCTCTTAAACTAAAACCGATAGCTACCAACGAATTGTTGATTATGAAAGATTGGAAAATTCTCTATCAGATAAAAATATACAATAATTATATTTCCTACAGTAAAGGTCGAAAAACGCGACTAAAAGTGCTAAAAAGTGACATTTATCAATTTTTGCCCATTTTATTCAATCGCGAATATCTCGTAAACTAAAAGAGATAAATAAGATCTGATCGCAGCGTCTTAATCTACGGACTATTTTCTATCAGATAGGATAGTTAAAAGGGAAATATGAGAGACAAAATTTTTAGTCTTAAGAAAAAAATTGCCAAGGGGGGGTGCTTGATACTTTTTTTCGACCATTTTCAAAAATTAATATCTCTTAAACTAAAACCGATAGCTACCAACGAATTGTTGATTATGAAAGATTGGAAAATTCTCTATCAGATAAAAATATAAAATAATTATATTTCCTACAGTAAAAGGTCGAAAAACGCGACTAAAAGTGCTAAAAAGTGACATTTATCAATTTTTGCCCATTTTATTCAATCGCGAATATCTCGTAAACTAAAAGAGATAAATAAGATCTGATCGCAGCGTCTTAATCTACGGACTATTTTCTATCAGATAGGATAGTTAAAAGGGAAATATGAGAGACAAAATTTTTAGTCTTAAGAAAAAAATTGCCAAGGGGGGGTGCTTGATACTTTTTTTCGACGATTTTCAAAAATTCATATCTCTTAAACTAAAACCGATAGCTACCAACGAATTGTTGATTATGAAAGATTGGAAAATTCTCTATCAGATAAAAATATAAAATAATTATATTTCCTACAGTAAAAGGTCGAAAAACGCGACTAAAAGTGCTAAAAAGTGACATTTATCAATTTTTGCCCATTTTATTCAATCGCGAATATCTCGTAAACTAAAAGAGATAAATAAGATCTGATCGCAGCGTCTTAATCTACGGACTATTTTCTATCAGATAGGATAGTTAAAAGGGAAATATGAGAGATGAAATTTTCATTCTTAAGAAAAAATTGCCAAGGGGGGGTGCTTGATACTTTTTTTCGACGATTTTCAATAATTAATATCTCTTAAACTAAAACCGATAGCTACCAACGAATTGTTGATTATGAAAGATTGGAAAATTCTCTATCAGATAAAAATATAAAATAATTATATTTCCTACAGTAAAAGGTCGAAAAACGCGACTAAAAGTGCTAAAAAGTGACATTTATCAATTTTTGCCCATTTTATTCAATCGCGAATATCTCGTAAACTAAAAGAGATAAATAAGATCTGATCGCAGCGTCTTAATCTACGGACTATTTTCTATCAGATAGGATAGTTAAAAGGGAAATATGAGAGACAAAATTTTTAGTCTTAAGAAAAAAATTGCCAAGGGGGGGTGCTTGATACTTTTTTTCGACGATTTTTGATAATTAATATCTCTTAAACTAAAAGAGATAGCAACCCACGAATTGTTGATTATGAAAGATTGGAAAATTCTCTATCAGATGAAAATATAAAATAATTATATTTCCTACAGTAAAAGGTCGAAGAACGCGACTAAAAGTGCTAAAAAGTGACATTTATCAATTTTTGCCCATTTTATTCAATCGCGAATATCTCGGAAACTAAAAGAGATAAATAGGATCTGATCGCAGCGTCTTAATCTACGGACCAATCTCTATCAGATAGGATGGTTAAAAGGGAAATCTGAGAGATGAAATTTTAAGTCTTAAGAAAAAATTGCCAAGGGGGGGTGCTTGATACTTTTTTTCGACGATTTTCAAAAATGCATATCTCTTAAACTAAAAGAGATAGCTACCAACGAAATGTTGATTATGAAAAATTGGAAAATTCTCTATCAGATAAAAATATAAAATAATTATATTTCCTACAGTAAAAGGTCAAAAAACGCGGCTAAAAGTGCTAAAAAGTGCAATTTTGCAATTTTTGAATCCCAAAGAGTGGAAAAATCTCTATGAGAAAAGCTAGTTAAAGTGGCAATATAAAAGATGGAAAAATAAGTCGTAAGAAAAAGTGAGCAAATGGGGGTGCAGCATAGTGTTTCAGCCCCGTAAAATTTAAATAAACATTACAGTTTAATATATGAGGCGTTATGTTCAAATTTAAAGCTGCGTTTAACAAATTTGTTTGCAATATTAAATCAAAAAGCGTATTGTTTAAGCGCTTGTCTTGTAACAATTAAATACATTCCGGGAGAGAATTTGATTCTGTATCTATAAACCCCCGGCCTAGTTTGTATTGCGCTTCGTTTACTCCCAATAACAAAAAATTAAATTATTTAATGTTAACGCTTTAGTAGAATGCTTTGCACCACGTGGTGAACCGCGATAAAAAAAACACGTAAATACAAACTAGTGATTGACGCGAAAATTAAAAACAAAAATTATAATTGTATTATAAACTTACCAAAACAGAACTAACTCATCAGACTCCAAGGCACACGGAATACTATAAATTAAAAAAAAAAACATGTTAAAACAAAAATATTTCATACGATTTAGTAATATTATATTCCCACAGCGAAGAAAAACAAACAATCTGTGCTGTTTAGTAAGTTACTTACACCAGCACTATGGGTCATCTCAATGGTAAATAAATCAAGATGGGGGCGACATGTATCCTATTCATTTAACAACCAACACCGAACCTTGTAACTTGCATAAGTGTGCACACGAAACACGATCAAATATCATAGTGGACTGCGGATCGAATATAATGCAAATTTAGGAAGCAGATGTCCGAACCCACGATACTAGTCGCGAGAAATACGTCTGGATCAACCAGAAAGAGGCACGAAACTGACGGCAATCCGCTAAGAGTGCACGCCGAAGCCGAGCAAGCAACGACGCGACAGTTTATGATAAGAAAGCAAGAGATGCGCAAAGACGGCGCGTCGCTTGCACGAGATCTTGTGCGCGAATTGCAATAGGTATGAAACTCGCAATCTAAACTAAACTAGAATATGCTGCACGCGGTGTGAGGTGATTTCAAAAACACTCGGGAATCTCATGCGAGGCATTTCACGCGGCGGAAGCGATAAGAAAGTAAATTGTGTTCAAAACAAACACAATTCTCGTGCCAAATGCCGAAAGAAATATAAGAAAGAAATATCGAAATAAACAATACAATTCTATTTTATGACTTTTAGTTCATGCTAATGCCATTTATGAATGATGCAGATGGAAGTCCCGAAATTTAGATTATATAAATAAATAATGCCAAATTAATGCTACGTTTTGTTTCGTGGTTTTTCGATAGAGAATATCTTTTAAACTACACGTTAAATGTCAGTAAAGCTATATTTATTTCCATTTCAGTGTTACAGTGTTATAATTGTAGCACTACACCATGTAAAATAGAAATATAATAATTATTTCCACATCATGTTTTCAGAAATTATAAAAATTACTAGGGGGGCGGTTTGCAGACAGTTCGCGTGTGATTTTCAGGGCCCGAATGGGCCCAACCCTTAAAAGAACTTTGGCCCTATCGAAGTACAGTAACAACATTGGAGTGGCACTAATATCAATCTTTCTCTAATGTGGCAAAGAAAAAAACTAAAAATTTCTTACTTAGGGGATTGGAAAAAACATAATTTTAAATAACAACTCTTTCTCTATAACGTGGCGAAGGCAAAACTAACAATTTCCGAGATATGCGACAATTTCATTTCATGCGACAATAACAGTAACAACACCCTAGATTTGTTTCTGTTTCTTTCTGAATTTAATTATTTACTTACCAGTCCTCTTCAATACATCTACGGCAGGTTCTGCAACAAAATTATACTATGTAAAACACTTTGCACGACACAACGGGTGCATTCGCGTTGGACGCTTACGCGCTGTGAGCGCTCACGCTTATAAGCACAAATTTTTAGTGTTCGAGATGGCCTATAGGCGCTTAGAATCAATAAATAAATTTCGTTCGTTTTGGATATTGTGAGCGTCAATAATCATCAACATGGCAACTGTTTATCAAATAATTTAAATTTTTATTTTTTAAATTTTAATTTAATTGTAAATTTTATTACTTTCTGGATCAGTTAGCTCAACAGAAATTAATTTTGGTTGACTGCTTGCCATTTTTGCGGGATTGTAAAGAATTTAACAATTTAGAAATAAATGAAATTTTTTGGTTAGCTTATGCTCAAGTTGCATTCGTTTTGACAGATAATAAAAATTGGCGCTCACGCTTTCGCTGCCCTACCTCTGTGGCGTGAGCATAAATGAGCGCGAAGTCTGTGCTACGAACTCAGCCATGAGCGTACTTATGTGACACTCACAGCGCCAAGTCGAACGATGAAAATGACATGTAAGCACGCTCACAGCGCGTAAGCGTCCAACGCGAATGCACCCAACGACACTACATATCAAGGTCCGTTAGATAAAAATTTGTAATACTTACAAGGTTACATGTTCGCAAGTAATCTTTGCAATCTATGACATTCAACAGCCGAGAGAGAATAATTTCACGTTTTCTCATATTTCACAAACACTATAAGTCTTCAGTAACACTACACCTTTGTTGTTAATACGCGGCGTTGATTCGTGATCGAATTTAACTCGATTTACCGAACTAATCGATATACGCGAAAGAAATACACCGAGTTTCAGTGTCGACGATAACTCATTTGCAACTGCGCGAATGTAAGACATTTAAGTTTCATGCAGCGTGTGAGTTCCGACGGCATACAACAGATAAGAACAAAACCTGTTGCACTAATTCGCGCGCAATCTCACACGGACACCCATTACCATCACCAACAACTGGCAGCGATAAGTGCGCTTAGAATTTAATGCAACTATGTGCATGCTAGTGACATCTTTGCGTGATTTTGAGAATTAAATTATAATATAAGCGCATTTTGGGAGAATGCAGTCATTTCTGTCTTTGCTTGTTGCTTGACTTCGAAAGTTACGGCCATGATGTTACCCAATGCAAAAATATATATAACTTTCAACATAAAAAAGAGAAATGTTTTGCCTTTTTTATGACGAAATCTTTTATTTCAGCAAATGCAGGTTTGGAAATAATTAGAATTTTGAAATTCTGATTTCGGATTCTGAAAGTAAATTTAATTCTGAATCGTAATCCGTTAAAATAATTTTATATTAAGGCCCTATTGGCCTGTAAAACCAATTATTTTATTAAAACTGCAAATAGGGCCTAAACGGTCATTAATAGAAGAAAATTTTACTTAAATATTTTACGTAGAATTAAAGAATCAATTAGAATTCTAAATCAGAATTTAAAAATTCCCATTTTGAGCACTTTAGGAGGGCTTAAAGGGTGGAAACCAACGGAGTTTTACTGGAGATACGAGGTGTGTAATGAAATTACAAACATTTTAGATTCAAATATGAAATCTCAAAATGCTTTATTTGTACAGGTTGCCATACAAAATTTGGAAAATTTGAGAAACCTAATGCGTGGGCGTTTAGAAAACAAGACATATCATTTGCTTGCTCTTTAATGCAAGCAACCAACAACATATATAGATGATAAGACACTGTAGACACATGAGTTAAATATGCGTTTATCACATTTTCAACATAAATATAAAGCTAAACAGTTTAGAAACGTTAAATAGTGTAATAAATTAATAGATGAACAATTATTACGATTAGTACGAGATCTCATTATTCAGTTAGAGCTAAATGTGAAAATGTCCCAAAAAATAATCATCAGTCATTTGTTAACAATTATCTGGATGGACGTCAATTGGTTATAAACTATCTTCGTCTTGATTATATATCCCAGCTGAACAAGTGATGTTTCACTAGCATGTCACGAACGCCGTCTTTGAGTGGCTGGTTGTTGGGCTCTTTCTTAACGGGTAGCTCCCAATCGGGGTTAAGATTGAATGAGAGTTGTGATAGAATGCGTAAATCGCATTTAATTTGCACCCAGCCAGGGCTGTAGATGAATGACCATGGTTGATACCTTCAGAAACAATTTGAATTAGTTTCATTGCCATTCTATTCACTTTACTTACCATTTTTGTACAATGTCAATGGATAAACACAAAACCTCCAACCAAAGGTGCAAAACTTGCTCGTTCAGACCGAGACAAATCAAGCTTCGAAGTTTTACATCCATCTGTGCGTGTGCATTGTCATGAGAGAGATTTATCGCTTGTACAGAACGATAAAGTAACTAAAACATAGATTTTATTAATATGTTCAACTGGATATGTAAAAATTACTTCTTCTGGAGTTAAAACTTTGCCATCTTCATCCAGTCTGTAAGTCTTACACAGTACCAATCGACTGTAGACAGAGTTGAAATCTTTTTCAACTTCTTTCGTCGCCGCTTCTTCGATAAACAACCATGGATGACAAGGTCCCCCAAGGAAATTCGGACGTTTCATGCCGTGTTCCAGCACGTGCTTCAAAACAGGACAAAGTGTTCCTCTTACTAAGTCCGTCACTGTCTCGGATATGCTATCATCACCCGCACAACTGTATTGTTTGCTTCTTTCGTCCAATAATTCAACGAATTTAGCAGGAAACCAGCCTAAATGCAACAAAAATTAGATAAAACGTTGTTGAAGACTGAAAATAAAGTAAATATACCCCTAAGTCCGTTTAATTCACCGATCCAGCAGTGTTCGTCCTTCTGGCTGATAATTGTGATGATGTCGTTCTTGCGAAAACCCAATTCGTCGTCATCATGACGCTCAAAATCTAAAAATGTATATATTAATAAGTAAGAATATATTATTATATTAAAACCTACCTAGTAAAGCCTTAGCACGCCTTTTTCTATTCTTGGAAACATTAATATAATTGGAATGATCAGCAGCATGACTTTCCATCGAATAATCAGCTACTAAAGATATTTCCGTACTCAATTTGGGATCGACTTGTAGAAAATGTCGTACAATCTACGTAAACAAACGTAATTAAATTTATAGGAAACTATATAATGCAAAACAAACAAAAATATCACCTGTAATATTCCTTCCCTCAAATCAACCAATATTTCAGTCTGTTTGATATTCTTGCATTTCAAATCACTTGAACCATTCTCATTGAAAAGCAACAATTGTATAACAGACTTAGTTTTCTTCACTTGTCGACGTGCAAGGTGTTGTTTGGGTAGATTCGGAGCAGCTTCCGGATTGCCAACCAATGCGCCCTGATCCGCCATTAAATACGCCAAATGTCTTCTACGATATGCCTCGATCATCACATCATTCAGAGATGATGCCACTTGCATTGAAACTTCTAATAACTTCTCCACATCGTCGATATCTCCCGGAATATCCGACAGGGCGTTAAAAATCGCTGCCGAATTCTCCAATCTTTTCAATTCCGGTTCGCGCATCTTCAACATCCCGAGCGCAATTTGAAACAAAACTAACGAACCATTAAAAAACAAAAGGTCCCAGATCCTTAAAAGGATTTTCATGTGAACCACGCTCGCATATAAAGTGAGAAACCAATTCATTGTGATGAGCGACAACTCAATGTCGTGATTTTTAATGTTTCATCGACATCCGGCAGGAAGTTCGTAATTAAAGTCCTCAGGACTTTCTGATCAGCCTGGATACCGATCAGAGTCGAACTGTAATAGGAAGCTGGTAGGAGATCTTCTACAATGGTGACCATAATCCAGAAAGCGTCTTCTTCTTCGAGTAAAAGCAGTAGTGATGCGGCAATCATACCAGTTCCTTGACAGTATCCTATATCCGGATACAACCAAGCAATTCCACGCAGTATTCTTCTTAATCTGGGAATGCCAGTGCTGTTAATGTTACTAAAACAAGCATTTGTGGGCATTGTGTGCAGCAAATCTTTTTCAATCTGTTTCGAAGTCATCAACGAATCATTACTGGACATTTTCACAATGTCTTTGTAAGTTAACTCGGATTGTTGCTTCTTGACAAGTGCGCCAGACATTCGCAGCCAGAGTTGTGGGCGCATTGAATGCGGCACACCCTCAAGTACCATTGTGCGTAGTTTGTCGGTTTGTGGTAGACGAACCTCGACTTTTTCCCAGCTGAGAGACGAGACTTCTTTGTTGTGGGAGAATTCCAAGTGCGCGACCCAGTTTAAACGATGCTGGGGATCTTCGACGAAGGGTATACCAAGCAATTTGTTGGAACTTTGTTCAGGGCCGTCTTCTTCATCCACACGGAAGCCAAATTCATCATATCTAAGGTTTAAAATGATTTTTATTCATTTTTTAAATAAATTAGACAAAAATAAAAGCAAAATTTTTAAATTTAAACCGAAAAAACAGGCAAATTTTGTACGATTTGATTAAAATTTATGTCATACCTATATTCAGGTTGTGAATTAGGATCTTCTGGAACAACTGACAACTTGGCCATTATATCCTGCGGCCACATTGAAGGTGTGAGAGCAGAAAAAGGCCCACCTGGATTAGGTGTCAGCAATTCACTCATTGACACCCCCTCATGAAAAGACTCCGCCAGACTCTCCTCATCCTCAATTTCGGAAATAGCCAACTCCAATTCACGTTTCTAAAATATACAAATAAATTAAAATAATTATGCATTTAATGGTGACAATTTAACATACATTGTTGTCTTCTTTGCCAACATATCCCTCATGATCACGGTGATCCCTAAATAGAGATTTAGCTATTTCCATGATTAAATTCTCCTGGTAATCACCTCGATAACAGATATCGTTTGTTTGTTAGAATACAAGTGAACAGATGTTTGGTGGTTGGTTCTGTCTGTCCACCTTTGCACGCTTACTACCAGTACATATTCACTTCAATCGTTAACTACAATAAACCCTTGCGACATACGCATATTAACGACTTCAGGTGTATACTACCAGTTCATTAACACATGATATATTGTTCACAATTGTAACTTTGTGTTGTTTTCAGCACTAAATGCATAGATTAAGAATTATACGACTAAATGTCAACACGTTCACATGAACAAGAAGTCATGCGCAATCATCCAACGCGCATTGTATTGCTGTATATACACGAATATGATTGGTCAAATATTTATGGTGGGGGAGGTAAATAATCTATGGTTGGGATGTCGGTGCGTACCATGGCTGCCTTGATGTTTGTTTATCATCATAATCACAGAGATCAAACGCAGTCTTAAATGTTTACACGAATCTATTTTTGAGCCGATGTGATTAGCGATAAATTGCGGGAGTTTGTAATGTATCGCAAAGCAGTGCGCCAAGCCTTGCGACCGCCGTGCGCCGCGCGAAAATGAAGCCTTTTAGAATAAGATTTTACGCTTTTACTATCGCGCTGATATTTAGTGTGATATCACTGCGTACAACATGTAACGCCAAAAATACGTCTAATTTTACAACCCGCGGGAACTCCACGCCAACACCCGAGAGTATACAAGGTTTGTGGCTGAGGGATATTGCCAGGGAGTTCGCCGGTGATTTCAACAACACCAGCAATGAAGAACTTGGCATTTCATTCAATCAGGTAGAAAATCTATGTTTTATTGCTTGATTACATAATAATCATTATATTTTTATGTAGCAATTGTTTGGGAAGTTTAAATACACCAATGTGTTCCAAGATGCAGACAAGAAGGTTGCAAAAATAGCCAGTCAGCTTGAATCGAAGCTCAATGAAACATTTTCGATACTAAATCAAACAAGAAACATCATTGAGACTTACTATGGTATAAATAAAGTACCAGTTCTTCCATCAGCAATATCTCCATGCAATCAATATGAGTCTGATTTTGCAGAGTATGAAGTTACAAATATGTTAGTCAATCCTAGTAATAGTTATGCTGAACAATCAATTAATTTAAATCAAGGTAACTTACAAAATTACAACTTTATTCACTCAAATTTATTACAATTTTGTTTAATTTGGTTTTAGTGCTTCAGAAACAAGTAGCAGCTAGTAAAATACTGAAAGGAATAATAAAACAACACTACTTCCTCTCACATCAAGACATTTTCTTGGATAGTAACATAGATTTGGGTAATGACGCTATGCTGTGGTCTGCATACATGTCCCGAATAAGTTACAAACCAAGAAATGTTATGTTACTGCTAGATCATGGTGGATCTCTGAGTAGACAGCAGTTTTTACTTGTGAAATCCCTCGCCAAGCAGGTGATTTCCGTGCTGGACGAACACGACAAGATCGGTATTCTAGGCATTTCACATGACATCTCCAAACCGTTCATGACACAGCAATGTGTGGCTCCTAATTTATCACGCATGCAATTGTCAGAAGATCAAAACACGCTCACATCACCGACCAAACACAATAAGAAACAATTATTGAAGTTTGTTGATGGTTTGGTGAAGGGTAATGGATCAACAAATCATTCTGTGGGCTTCCAGCAGGCATTCGAAGCGATACACGCCAGTAATGTTGCTAAAAATGAAACAGTTATGCTTTTATACATTAGTAGAGGGTTGTTATCTTCATTGACTGAGGCAAAACTTGTTTTGGAGACGATTTTGAACCAAATGGACGAAGCTGAGCACAATATTATCATTAATACTTGTGCTGTTATAGATGGTAAGATTATTTTTAATTTTTTTTTATCAGAAACAACTGAATTATTGTTTATTTTCAGCTGCTAAACAAGTAATGTACGAAACCCATTTTCTGCGTGATATTGCCGAACAAAACTATTCTAAATACAACATAGACTTTGATGACATTGTGCATAAAGGAATTATGCTTCCTGTAAACTCCACAGACAGTGCAGGATTAGCAATCGCGCGTTTTTTCAACACTTTGCTTGTTACACCCGTTTACAGCATGAATTACGATTTATCTCTACCTAAATGGGACGCAGAAACAAACAGTTTAATTGTAACAGCTACAATTCCGTGCGGAACACGCGGAGAAATCGGTGTTCTTGGCGTGGATTTATATTTTGGCAACTTAATCGAGGACGTAACTTACTACAGCAACTACGTACAATTCAGCTATGCGTTTCTTACTGATCTCGATGGGACGGTCATCATGCATCCGACGTATCCACGACCGATGGTTGTTCGGGAACAGCCTAATTTCACTAAAATTGAACGATTGGAATATGGTTTATGGCAATTTATGCGTGATAAGTCTTCCGGTAGAGCTGATATGGAATGGATGCATATCCGGGTATGATTTGAGCTTTTTTCTTTTGGATCTTGTTGATTTTTATTGATTTTCTTCGTATTTTCACAGACAAAGTACTTTTACAAGTCAGTACTGGATCATTACAAGGTCGTGATTGTTGTAAAAGAGTATAAAAACGCTCCACCACCAAAGAGACCCTTTAAAGTCTCGTGGTTTGAATCGGCGACTGCTAATCAATTAGTTCATCATCGCCTGGATGTTATTCCGGCTTCACGCATGTGTAAACACTTTAATCAACTTGCAACTTTAGGTAATTTTATTATAAGCCACTCAAATGTGTTATTAATTTATTTATTCTACAGATGCTGGTTCGTTATACCTGAGTGCTTCCTGTTTTCAATCGCCTACGACTTTCCTCCACTCGACGTCTTCCAGTTCGTTTTCTCCGCTGTCTGTACAAAAGTGTATGGCTTTCCTGAAAGACAACACTCGTTTTCTTTCCAATCCAGGTCTTCGAGATGAGATCCGCGATGATGTCGCAACACTCGCACATGTTCTGGAATATCTCCGCACACAACACTTACAAGGAGCTAAAGGTAGATACATTGTCCGCAGGTACGTCACATCACCAACCGGTGTAATGCAGACATTTCCGGGTGGAGTTCTCGCGCCAGGTTTTGAACCCACGAAGAGATCGTGGTATTTACGTGCGGTTGAACATAGATTCAAAACAATCTTAACGCCGCCATACTTGGACGCAGGTGGCGCTGGTTACATTGTAACGGTTGCCTATGCTACTGATCATGTAGTTGTGGCGATGGATGTTACATTTGGTTATGTTTTCAAGTTGATTCTGGAACACATGCCATTTTGTTCGGAGAAGAAAATCAAGTGTTTTATGATGGACGACAGTGGATACTTGATTTACCACCCGAATCTGATTGATCCGAATGGACACGGCCCAATTGAACAACAACACATTATTCATAAAGAGCCACAGGTGGCAAATGATATTTTATATCATGGTCATTTCATTAAAAAGAATCTGTGTAATAATTTCGCGGATGCCACGATTCAGAGATATTACAAACTGAATACCAGCATAGATGAAGTTGTAATCAACGCAGTTCATGGTGAACATAACGCTAAGTATCAGGTAAGCCCTGTTGAAGGTACCAATATATTCATTGGGTTTGTAAATCTTTCGGAAGAGAGCGTGACAACATTTTGCCCCTGCAGTATGATAAATCGTTTGTGTTTGAATTGCAATCGCATGGAGCAGAAAGAATGCGAATGTCCGTGTGAGTGTCCAATGACATCAGAAACATGCCAACAGGGCTACAAGAGTAATAATATGTTATGCCCAGCCATGCCAGAGCAAACCTTCTCTATGCCAACTGATCTCGTTATAAATTTCAACCACGACGATGAAATAAAAGCGTGTTTGCCTATTTTATGCGAGAAATTGACAAGTTACGAAGGGTGTTTGGGTGTTTTGGGTTGTGAATGGTGTCAGGTTGATGTAGATGCTGAAACTTTACTCACGACGCCATTTTGTACATCGATACAGACATGTTTCAATGGTATTCTGGGATCTCCTACGCCGTACGGTGATACCTCTGATAGATCCTTGAATAATGACGATCTTCTGGGTAATGGATATTCCCCAATAGGGCCGGTTATAGGTTCGGTGCTCGCTGTGTGCCTGATTCTTATATTTTCCTTCATATGTTATCGTTCGTATACATCACCGACTGTAGATCGGTTTTATTTAACGTCTGCGCAAGAGAATCAGGTACGCATGAGCGACTTAAACATCAGCGATGATTACCACGAGCTGGATAATCACCAGAATAAGTTACTGCAGGACAGTAAGAAACCCGAACCGATTTCTCCGTATTGTGTCTCGACTGGATATAGAAGACCTCCGACGGCTGCGGATTCTGATCATGGGTATTCCACCATGATACCGCATGATGAATCCGAGCATTTGTCGTTTGCGCCGCATGAGATTGACTCCCTGGAGGATGAAACATCCGATGGTGCTTCTATTAACACTTCCGTGTCGACCAAACGACATCATCGCTTGATCGATCGCAGTAAAAGTAAAAAGTTGTCCGACATCACAGCCTTGCCACAACACAAAAATCGCATCATGGCGCCCGTCACCGTCCATAGGAATATGGAGTACGCGCAGTAATTTGATTTAGTATCATATTAATCGTTGTTTATTCTTAATATTCATTCACACATCTTGCATTATTTATTTCCGTGCCATAAACTACACACAATGACTGAAGAAACAAATTCGCACGTACTTATTGTACATCACAGAAACTTTTGATACAATTTTAACGAATTGTACGTACTTACAGCAGTGTTCCACTAAGGCCCATCAAGTTGTGCTTGTGATACCTCTTAACCTTTTGTGTGACTTAATGTATTTTTTATATTCTTGTACATTGACAATATTTTATTAAAGACAACGTTGTAATTATAAACCTCTCGCATTGCTTATACTCATATAAGAGTATAAAATAAACACTACGATGACGTAGATGTTTATTTATTTGCGTTCAAGACAGGACAACACGAATCATGCGATAACAATATCACGAATTCTCGAAATGAACATGTCTCACAACTTCCACATTGTTGGGGACGCGTGCACAACATTTTTCTATCTCCCCACGTGACGTTACCGTTCATAAATCTTTTTCATAGTTTTGTTTATGATTAGGATTTATAATCGCTGCGATACAAAATGGCGGTGCATCAATGTTGTGTCGTGAAAAGTAAAAAAAAAGGTGTGATAAGCGCGTGTAATGAGAGGATAAACTGTTGAGACACTGCACACGCACTACACCAGCACTTTTTAATCTATTTTACCGATGATCAAGTAATCGAGAACACTTGGCACTTGCGGCACTCGATCCACACCGACCTGAGCATCTTTGGAGTGTGTTTTCGTTACAATTAGCAATTCATTCAAATCAACATGGACGAGAAGCATGGGAATAGTATAAAAGCACCGCTCTTGTAAGTAAAATCTTTACTTGTAGTATTTTGACTGAAAAGGTCTTCGGCACATGTTGAAATTCATTGTTTACGTAGAATTTTTATATTTTTGATAAGAAAATTGCAACAAGTGTTGTGAAAAAGCTACGTGGGTGTTGTTTTCGTCTGTAATTGCAAGTTCAACGTGCCACATGGTGAATAATTTAGTTTCCAGCCAAGATTTTTGCGAGTTCATCAATAATCGATTCGTAACGAGGTAAAAAACACTGTCGTAAATCGCTTTCGCACTTGTCGTGGCGTGCGCACATTATATCGTCGCTTATCAGGCAAGATATAACATGCCAAAGCCCAATGTAAACAAACAATTGAAAAGTCACGACAAGAGAGTCGATATCTAAGCGTGTACTCATTCATTACTCAAAGAAACATATAAATCTCATACACAAACGTATTATAATCAAGTTTACGCTATCGCGCATGCGCAGATGTAGCGATACTACTTACAACACTTAAGTAAATTGTGGAAATTTCAATATTGCCGGTGTGGTGTCGTGTGCGAAACTTTTGCACATGGTGTGTGGAAATGTGGAAATGTGGAAAGTTAGATCTTAACTGTCTGTATTTATAGCGTTCCGGGCAGTAATTATGGAGCAATGACGAAAACACCGCCGAATAGTCCACGACTGTTGATTTACTGCGTGCATGGAAAACCACGCGAGGGTTGCTGTAAAGTAAGCGAAGGTGAAATTGTCGACATGGAACCCAGGAGGAGTTTCGAAGAGCTGAGCTCCCACACCAAGGAGAGTATTATCACAACGGATTTGGTTAATCGGCACTGTCACAAGGATAATACTGCTTCGGTTGATAAACGTGCAAGACGAAAGTTGATCATTGCGAGTATACTCTGTGTTATCTTCATGATAGGTGAAGTTATTGGTGAGTAGATTTACTTTTACCTTCAAACCGGAAGTTGAGATGAAATTTTTGGTCCCCAGGTGGTTATATGTCCAGCAGTTTGGCGATTGCCACTGATGCAGCACATCTCCTGACAGATTTCGCTAGTTTTATGATCTCGCTGTTCTCGTTGTGGGTGGGTTCAAGACCCGCCACGAAAAAGATGTCTTTCGGATGGTACCGTGCCGAAGTGATAGGGGCACTTACTTCTGTGTTGATGATCTGGGTGGTTACCGGTATTCTTGTCTACATGGCTGTGCAACGTGTGATTGAGAAGGAGTTTGAGATTGATGCGTTTGTTATGTTAATTACTTCCGCCATTGGTGTCCTAGTCAACTTAATGTGAGTAATGATAAAGTAGATATCTGTAATGTTCTTGAATTGATAACTGTGCATATCTGCAAGGTTTCGTGTTAATATTATGAATAATAACGATATTTTTTTGTAGAATGGGTTGTACACTGCATCAACATGGCCACGGTCATGGCGGCGGCCATGGCCACTCACACGGAGGCAGTATTGAACATGGACATAGTCACAGTGAAGCCGAAAATATAAATGTCCGTGCTGCTTATATTCACGTCATCGGTGACTTTATTCAAAGTTTCGGAGTCTTTGTCGCTGCGATTTTGATCTATTACAAACCGGAATGGAGCATTGCAGATCCGATTTGCACGTTCCTCTTTTCCATTCTCGTTCTGTTTACTACTTTTAATATTATTAAAGATACCCTGCAAGTTTTAATGGAGGGAATTCCCAAAGGTATTGATTTCAACGAGGTGCGTGCCATTTTCTTGAGCATACCAGGCGTGAAACGTGTGCATAATCTACGAATCTGGGCACTCAGTTTGGATAAAACTGCATTATCAGCTCATTTAGCTATAGGTAATATTATTATTTATATTTTAAAGATGAGGTATTAATTGTTTATGTCTAGAACCGGGGACCAATCCGCAGGCTGTTCTCATGCAGGCAACGAAACAGATTCACGACAAGCACAACTTCTTTGAGATGACTCTACAGATCGAGGAGTTTCAGGACGTCATGAAAAACTGTCGTCAGTGTAATTTCCCCGAATGAGTGAATATTAAAGTGTTGCCACTTCCGGTGACATTTTGTGATTGTTTTTGTTTTTATTAGAGTTACGTAATTAGCTTTATCAATAACGTATTGTTAAACTAACACATTCAAACATAAATAAACTACGTATTTTTATTATTATCTAGTGATACAAGAAAAATTCATAATATAGATAGCAAGCAGAAAACATAGTATACAATACAGCAAGGCTGGCCAATGGATTTTCCTGGAGGGCCAAATCTTTTAGATTGCGGCGGCACCGGGCCACAGACTATGGCCATTCATACATAAAATATTATACACATACAAAAGTTACAACTTTGGTTTTTGCGGCGGGCAAATTCAAATATCCTGGCGGGCCACTTTGTGGCCCGCGGGCCTGGGATTGGCCAGCCCTGCAATACAGTAATTCATAAACTTTTAACTCAATATATTTCCACAAGATGGCGCTAGGATGCAGTTATTTGCAATAAATGCGGAGAGTTCATGTACTGAAAACTAGTTTGTTAGTGGTAGTAAGTTGTGCGTTTGGTTCAGTGAATGCAGATAGATTTACAGAAAGTTAGAAAAGTGGTTTCCTATATTCTTAAAATTAACTGAGTAATACTTTTAATATAATATTTATTTAAATTTAATTCTTTTTTAATTTTACGTGATAGACATTTTAGATATTCCTCTGTTACATGTATTATAAACAAGCAAATAAGTCAAAGTAATTATTTATTATATTTTGACCTAAAATACAATTTAATTTTCAGTAAATATCTTAAATTACTTCCAAATTAAAATATAATTCTTGCATTGTAGCGCAACCTATGTGTGATCCAGTAAAACCACCAACTTGCGCCTGAACATCACTCTAACCTGCAACATTTCTCTGTTGTAGATAGAGTGTATGGTAAACAAAAGTGAACAATCATGGAACCAATGTCCGAATGTGATTCCATGGAAAAGAACGATGGCGACAACTCAAAGAACGAGAAGATGTTCACGCTGAAGAAGTGGAACGCAGTGGCGATGTGGAGTTGGGATGTCGAATGCGATACTTGTGCGATTTGTCGAGTTCAAGTTATGGGTAAGTCAAATTTTTATCCAATTCGGAAGTTTACTAACATAAAAAGCAATAATACTCAATCACCAGGATATAACACTTTGAATATGCACTGTATATCAATATATAATATTGCTATGGTGTCATAAACATATTCGGTGATAAATTTGGTAATGACTGTAATGAGAAATGTGTTGATGTAATCTTAATCACTGTTTCTGACTGGAACTCCTCTCGTAAACATTAAATTATTGCATATCAATGGAGTTTTTTCATTGACGTAATCGGCCATTTTGATTTGCGGTCAAATGAACTCCAAACAAAACGAATTTTGGTTTTTAGATGAAATACGTTAATAAAACACAAATATAATAGTTATATATACTTTAATTTATACTTATATATTATACTCGTAATTAAAAATTTTATTATACATTAAAAATATATACATATACAATACTACGCTATCAGATTCAATATCAGATCTTGCAATAATTTACAATAGTCATATATATAAAAGGCATTTAGACTAAACTCATCAGTTTAGCCTATTACTCTAAAAATAATTCAAACAAATCACAATGGGAGTATTCTGGAATGTTCCTGCCCTATGATATCCCTGTACGTTTCTTGTTTCGTTCTATACTTTGGCATATTGGTGCAAATGACTGTCGTTGGTATCAGCACGCCGACGATGGCAGCGGTTTCAGATTCGCCACCGAACTCATCCTTCTCGCAAACTTCCTTTCAATATCCTCCAGACTCTTGCCTCTAGTTTCCGGCACCCATAGATAAATAAACACCAGTGATCCAAGTACGAATAAACTGAACAACCAGAAGGTACCATGCGTACCAACCAATTCAATGATGTTCAAGAAGATTTTCGTCACGATAAACGTGCAGGACCAGTTGAAAGCTGTTGCTATTGAAGCAGCAGATCCACGAATTTTCGCTGGGAGGATTTCTCCTAACATTAACCATGGAATAGGTCCGAAACCCAATGAAAATCCAAGTACGTAGATGACGAAACTTAATAATGGTAACCATCCGTAGTCGGATACGTCGACATTCACATTGCGCAGGTAAAAGTAAGATCCAAGGACACTCAAGGTCATGATCATGGAAACACTCGAGATGTACAAGAGTACTTTGCGTCCCAGTCTGTCGATTAGAATGGTAGCGAGGAATGTAGACACGAAGTTTACCAGACCCACAATGATGGTGCAGACGTTTTCATCGATGGATGATCCAGCCATTTTGAAAATAGTTGTGGTGTAGAAGATGACAGCGTTGATACCACTCATTTGTTGGAAGAACATCAAACCCAGGGAGATAGCCAATGGTCGCATGTTAGATTTCGTAAACAGGTCGGTAAGTGATGAAGACGAGGATAACTTCTCGGATTCCTTGTGGCTCCTGACCAGGTCGTCGAATTCATTGCTGATATCACAATCTTTACCACGGAGGTATTGCAAGGCTTGTCTGGCTTCCTCGTTGCGTTCCTTGAGGATGTACCATCTTGGCGACTCGGGGATTTGGAAGTAGATCAACAGGAAGGGTAGGGGAAGTGCGAAACCCACCCAGGCGAGGTGGTCCCACTTTAGGTAACTGCCCGCAGCGAAACAGACCAGGATACCAGTGTTACCAAAAGCAGATGGGAGTAGACCCAGGGTACCACGTACTTCCGGTTGGATGGTTTCACCCAGATATACTGGTAAGACCAGGGAGGCGATACCCACGCTGAAACCCACGACGGTTCGCGCTGCGTAGACATACCAGACATTCGTGGCATTGGCGCATAGCAACCAGGAAGCTATGTACATGCAGTTGGTGAAGGCGATGATACGTTTACGGCCGAAGTAGTCTATCAGTTGTCCGCCGACCAGTCCACCGACAAGCGCCGACAAGGGCATCAAACTGCATACCCATGACCACTGCAGACGAAAAATTACATTAGTCGAGTTAATTATAGATTATTATCATCAAAAAACCAGCTGATGATAAAAATTTAAAACAAAAAATAAAAAATAAACTAACCTCGTTTTTGGTCAATTCCAACTCCGCTTGAAGGGATTCAGCGGCTGGGGCGGTGTACGCAGAGACATAACCAATGACCAAAGAAACCAGAGACACAGAAATGGCAGTTAACACCTGAAATAACAACGATAATAGACATTAGTGGTTGTTAACAACACCAAAAACATTTTTTAAATTTAATTTTTTTAAATCACTTAAGGTTGGTAAATATTTAACCTGGGATAGTGTGCATGTTGGCCGCGGTGAATCCGGAGAGATTTCAAACGTCACGTGCGTATCCGCGCGCATAAGCGTCATTTTTGTTTCTCGGTGTTTGATTAAACTTTTAATTCATCACACAACACTCAACACGTTAACAACTGAATCGATCGTCGCAATGGATGCGAATGCGTCGATTTGTTTATATATATTTGATGTTGTTTATCTCTCCCACTCTTTTCGCCACTGTCCGCCTCTGAACTCTAACGAAATTATAATAATTAGGCACAGGCACCGAGAGATTATTTCACTAGACATTCCGTGAATCTTTAAAATTAATAAGTAAGTATTCCGAAATGAATTTTCGAGTCCTTGATCTCGCGATTTTGACAACGCTGCAGTTCAATGACGCGTTAATTATTTATTCGTTTATTAATTTATTAATTTGCTGATTTCGGACAGATATTGGTCAATGTTTTTATGAAATCAATATCGTGCGTTATCAATGCGTTCTGACTGATCTATGGATGCCATGCACGCATCACATGCCGTTTTGTTGACGGACTGCGAATGCGAGATCAAGAAAAATTCGAGATAATCTAGGACATTAAATCATCGTCAGCTGATTCAAACCGGTGCAGACAGTGATTAAGAGAACAACAACATCGGAAAAAACTCGCTTTTTTGCATTTAATTAGAAAAAAAACATTAAAAATATTTAAATTTTTTTTATCGCAAATTTTCGTGTTTTTGTTTTATTTTACGTGTGTGAAATTTATGGGTTTATGCGGATCGTCGAAAATTTATTAAAACTTCCTTGAAAAATTTTTATGCGGCGATAACCTTTCGCTTCAATAACTTTTAAAACGCACGCCGGAAATTCTTGTAATATTGCAGCGGAATACGACGGGGGCATCGAACACACAAGGTGTAATAGAACAGGTAGCTCTGCGAAGTGGACTTTCACGTTTTTTTGGTGCTGCTTTGCCCGTAAAAACTAATCGCAATCTGCGCCGAAACAAACAAACGGGTCCCCGGTAATTATTATTAAACGAGCGCCAGTCTAAAACGTGTTTCGAGTTGAAGTCTAATTTTAAGTCAAGCTTTAAGTCGATTAGATATATCTATCGATTTTTTTTTAATTATAATTTTTTGCAAGGAGTTTTATGCGTTTTGTAAACAACTACAAGGTTTCTACAACTTTTTTCGCGATTTAGAGAAGGTAGAGCAAAATTTTTGCAAGATTTGGGTCATTGGACACTCACCTGAATACGCAAGTAATATTTCTTCCGGATATCTTCACATCCCATAGGTGGATCCTCAATATCCTGCTTGTTGCTGTCCGGGTTCAAATGTTGGAACTCCTTCTTGCAGTTCTCGTCCAGCCGGGTGCCCGGTTTGCGCATTGGTTGTATCGGATGGTCCATCTCGGATAGATTGGTGGCGGTCGTCGAGGCCGATACGGACGCGCTGGCGGTGGCTTCCAGGCGGCTGTGCGGGTTCTGAACGAAACGAGAAAAAGAAACGGAGTGGTGAGATCCCGACACTTTTATATATAGTCACTATATTGATGATAGTGCAGTCGGTGTAGGAGTGTATGTGTTATACGCTTCAAATTTCCCAATCGGACTAATAATGATAATGGTCATCGTCGTGCGCACGCCGGACTTTTGCCCCAAAACGAAAGAAATTCATAGAAATTCGCCGACGATCACGCGGTGGGGCCACACTTTGAACTTGATTTCATTCATTTGTAGTTTTCGACTGATAACGACCCACTAATTATACAACTTTTTCCCTAATTATATGTACATTATGCGTATCTACTCGGAATTGACACAAGATGTGTTTTTAAGCGTTTGCTGGTTTAATTAAAAACATGCTAATCTACAAAAGGTGCGAAAATTGTTCGGTGGCCCATGACGTCCTTTGGTTAATTGTTAGGTAATCTTGCATCACACGCAGGAAATTTGCTCGGTTTCATCATCGGCGTCGTACGCAATTCATTAATTAACTATATTTAGCTCGAGTATAATTAATTCCTCACGATATATGTATCGATAAAGTCCAGTTAAAAATAATTTTTTGTTTTTGGGTAATTTTTGTAAAAATGGTACCTTTTGGAAGAAATTCCGCCATGATCTCAAGTGGTGCAGAGCGCCCCCTGCGCGTAGATGATACGAACCGCTCTCCTTATCGGTGGGCACATACCACGTGGTTTCCTTATACGGAGAATCTTCGATGTCATGATAGCTGCTCATAATCGCGAGCGCGGGTGTTATTATGATGTCACGTAAGGTAAAGAGTTGATTAAAAGTCGGGTCGTGTGGATGTAAACGCGCGCGAACAAACTTTACAACTGCTTTATCTTTGCATGCGATTTTTACCAACTGGTATTGGTGTTCACAATCAGTTAGATATATGAGTATACCTGAGCGCCCCCACCATTCTGACTTTGTGCGGTTTACAGTAGCCGCGCTGGTTGCTTTTTTGTTTTAATTGCTTTCGTAGCTGACAGAAATGAAACAACACGAAATGCATTTCTTCCGAAAAAGAAAATCACGTTTAACGGTTGTAATACAACGTGTAATATCAATATTTGACAAGATAAGACGTTAAAGGTGTATTTGGATAGAGAATGATTCTAGAAAGAGAAACCAATCGAATGGAAATTTCCATCGGAGTGAGCGACGCGTTTTAATCGATGTTAAATGCGCATTCAATTAACGGAGACGGCCGTAAAGAAGCATGGCAAAAATTCGCTCTTCGCCGGCGCTGTCTGTATCTATTTTAATCTTGTGTGTGTGTGCAAATTGCAAATAGAAAACCGGTACTCTTATTCGTCCACTTACACAACATTAGCGCAAGAAGCCGATAGAAAAAACAATCTAGGCAAGAACAAGTTCACAATCGACAATCCATGCCGCGGACAATAATAGCCCAGACTTGGCTCATTTAAATATTAATCGATTTTGATTGATATGTACATAATTTCCGTTTTATTCACTTTGTGTGTGCAAAAATAGTTTTGTAAAGCGTTTTAACTCCAGCAGAAAAAAATATGCAAATGTGTACAATTCTGATACACTCTGTATTTTTTTGAAATAATTTTTTATGCGTTTGCATAATTAATTTGTCGTCGCTAGGGGAAGGCGCCCGGCGAACAGCCTTGGCCGAACTAAATCACATTTTAAATCGCTGCGACTAATTACACAGCTAAATGTCAGTCGAGCGATTGGAAAACAAACCGCAAATAGTTTTGGTAAATATTTTATAAAATTGCAAGTTCATGCACTTTTTCTAGGCTGTTGGTTGGCTAGATATACCTACGTGCGTTGCGTCACACGAGTTATGAAACAACACACCAGCCGTAACGCAATATTAAGCTGTATAATAATAATAATATGCATATCGGCGTGTTTTAAGTTGTTTGCGCGTGAGCAGTATGCGCGCGGAGGTAAGTAGAAGGTGTGTGTGCGCGCCGGCCAATCGGCGGCGCGTACCTCGGCGAGCCTACCGCGTCATGCGAAACCTTGGCTTTCTCGCCTTCGACGAAGTCCAAGCGACTACACTAATAATACCGACGGCGCAATTAAGATAAAAGGATATTCGAGTACCGCGCGATGTTGATTGCTTCTTTTTTATTTGGTTTCGGTGTGTGCGGTTGTTGCTAGAGTCGGATTGCACGGACGTGAATGTTCGTATGGTTAACATGGACATACACTACTACTGGTTTTTATGATGCGTTAAACTTTTTTAATAGACTTTAATTTATCGTCTATTCAATCGTCTATGCATTGAGTTTTAGGTTCGTGACGTCGTATCGCGCAAACAATACAATCAAGATTTGATTAATCATTATCGAGATAAATTTCGGACGTTGAAGTTTGCAATGAACTCAAAACATTGGATTTTGGAGGTGTGTACTCGTGTACCCTTAGGATAAGAAAGATTAAAATACGCTGCACGTTTTACTATACGTTTTACGTTTTTGTTTTGTTGAAATTTTAATAACCGTTAAATTTGAATTTTTTGAAGCATGAAGGTCTTATTTACTCGTAGGAAGTATTTGATATTTGATTTGATAGTTTTTGCTTACCTTTTCGCTATGAAGAAGGCTTCTCAATTCGTTGATTGAGAAATAATTGGGTAGTTTCTGATATTGCTTCATTTTGCACTGATTTACTGCACAAGTTGCACTCAAATTTTCAAGTTCACGATAATACGGATATTATACGAATGTGTGCCGATTACAGTTTGAGTAAATATATATAGGTAATGATATACCTCAGAGAGATTAGATAGAGGTTCCATTCATTGATCTTTGCACATTACTCGTAATTGTTGATTAGTGTAACGTAAGATCAGACTTTGCGTATTTACTAGAAAAAAAAATGACTGATTGGTGCATTATTGCATCTATTTTTTCTACCACGTGGTGGAAATGTTGCTTAATAATTGTTTTTTTCGACTTCTATCTTTAAATCGACTGTTTTTCTATGGTTTTAAGACATAAAAAGTGATATTTTAAACACAGATGGCCAAGATCGTGGGTAAAGTACTTTAGTCACGGGTTTTAGTCACGGGGTGGGACTTGCGCCTGCCCAAGCTGCCTACGATGCAGCAAAAATGATTTTAGAACCTTTAAAATACAAAAATTCAACTTTTGTGACAAAAATTTCCGTTTAACCAATTGATACTTAATATTCTTTTTAAAATTAATTATTAAACTGCTCGGAAATCATTTTTTTGTTAGGTTAGGACAATTTCCAGGAACATTTAATAAATTTTTAAAAAAGACGCGAAATTTCTGCATGTTTTTAAAAGTGTGTAAATATTTTCCAAATATTAACACTCTGCCTAATCTGAACTTGAATTTGCACTTTGTTTTATCATTAATTTATCTCTAGAATATTTGGAGGTATGTTGACACACTCGACACACCCACCTTGATAGCTTCATATCATTGCGTCATGATGATCTGTGCAAAATTCTCGAATCACTTTACTCACGAAAATATTTTTATTTTATTGTCTGTGTCTTCCCATCAATTTATCGATGATTAGCCGCGTTATGATAATAATTGAGAGTCATGCAGTTAGCGTTTAATTTTCTTCCGTAAATACGTGCTTAAAAATCGCATGTCCAACTTAAAACAGTAATTACCGCTCAGATTAACGAACGTATTATTCAACCGAATCGCTTTTTGCGCATCAGCAAATGTGTAGAGTTTGTGACCAATCAATCCAAACATGTTTTTTTCTCTTCCTTCGCATATTTTTGGCATTGATTGATGTGTAGATTTCTTTTTCAATGGACTGAAAATTATTCTATTCAGGATGTAATAAAGTGTTGGTAATTGTAATGCAAATTTTTTTCGCGAATGACGTATAATTGTATTCAGAGAAATTGTTTAAACTTTTTTATTGCATGCAATGAAATTACATTGACACCGATCTCTATGGGTGTATGGTTATGAATAAATTGGCGAATTTTTGGCCGGGACGTGTTTGCTAATAATTCCGATGTAGCTTTCTAAACAAAAATCTCGCACTCGTGTCTCTTGCGCAATTTCAAAACGAAACAAATGACGCAGTTTAATGCAAATAATTAATTTATTGCTATCGCGATTTTTCTTTCGTGGCGCATGAATTTATTTCCCAGTCGCTTGCGGTCGGACACGTGGACGTCGTTAGAGATTAACTATAATCATTTATTTCTTACCTGTTTTGCGAAAAACTTGAATTTTTTTAAAAATTTTTAAATTTTTACTTACATCTATGAAATCCTCCGGATATGCGGTGTATGTTGGATTGATCGACATTGTGCCTCGTCCTTTTTGGTGATCCTTCGTGAGTTGTTGTTGTTTGTTTGGTTTTGAGGGCTTCCTTGAACTTTTCAGTGGATTTCCCCGAAATATTTCGATATTGAAACCAGGACGTAACCTTACACACGCACACGCACACAGGTGGGTCTGGCGAAACGATTTTTTTTGCACACATTCACCAGAGCTCTAAACTAATAACGGTCGGCCTGTTGCTATGCCGTGCATATGGCTAGCTCTCTCAGAATTCTCTCTGAGAACAACGCGGCTAAAAATCCAATATGCAATAATATACAACCTGTTGGTTACCTTACTCAAGAGCTGCTAGTTTAAAACTATGTCCAGATCTCGATAAATCCGTAGTTTATTTATTCGCCACTGTGTTCCACTACACACGCTCAATTTTTTTAGTGCGCGAATTTTTGCCATTTTTCTACGCTTAGCGCATAATCTCCGCACATTGTATTGTTAATTTTATTAATTGTATTTGGAAAATTCATACGGTTGAAAATTCAAACGCGTCGTAGGAAATTAATGTGTTTTTTTTTGTGTTTTGCGCCGCCGTCTTGGTGAATAAAAAACGCATTTAGTCGTGCCAATAACACAATGCAAATAAATTATTAATTGGCCATTAAGACAGCCTGTGTAATGGGCTGACGTAATTATTTTATTTTTTTCGCGATTTGCACCTGAAACCAGTATGCAGATTAGTTTGCTTTACTGCCTAGGCATTGAATTACTTATTGAATTAAATTGGTTGACCTTTAAACGATGCGCAAACAAGCGATGCATGTTTTTAATTATTCCCAGAAGTCGAGCCTCCCAAGACAAATCGACTCGTGTTACTGCCATTGCACGTGACTTATGAATAAAGTGCAGACGGTTGGATTTCAGGTGTAATCATTATAGTGATGACGAGGCGTAAATTTAATTTCTTGGTAAATTTGATGTTGTGGTTTTTTTTTCTGTTTTAATTTGAGTAATTTAGTATTGTTAAATAATTGGGTGCTGTGCTGGTTTATTGGTTTTGTGGAATATACGGTGTTGAATGGAGCGTATCAAGGAAAATTCTAGTAAATTGAAGTTTTTTTTATTTGTGTTTATGTTGTTTTAACTTGCGTTAAGTTGAATTAATGCGTCGCTTCTGGCGATATTTTTGCGCTTACTTTTGATGGACAAGGTCGTATGGAGTTATTTTTTAATTAATTTGAGCCAGTTAAAGAGTGGTACAAGTTTTGAGCGCAGATTTATTATTTATGAACTTTGTGGTTGCAAGTTTTGTCATTTTTCGCGATATTTCGATTGCGGATATCTCGGAAACTAAAAGTGATAGAGATGAATGGATTGAATATTCTTAATGCACGGAAAATTCTCTATACATTTGCGGTAAATGTGACTTTTATTCAGGACACCGTACGAGGGTAACGGTAGAAGTGACTCGTATTCAGGGTACCGTACGAGGGTAGTGGTAGAAGTGACTTCCATTCGGGGTATCGTACGAGGGTAGCGGTAGAAGTAACTCGTGTTCAGGGCACCGTAAGGGGTAGCGGTAGAAGTGACTCGTGTTCAGGGCACCGTATGAGGCTAGCGGTAGAAGTGACTCTCATTCGATGCACCGTAGAAGGGTGACTGATCATATTTTTCGAGTATTTTCGGTAACGAATATCTTTTAAACTAAAAGCGATAGCGACCAACGAATCGAAGATCCTTAATCTACGTGAAATTCTCTATAAAATATGCTACATAAATACAAGTTAAATTGGAAATCTAAGAGATTAAACACAGGATAACGGAGAATGGGAACATAATTACACTCTTTTAATCATTCTGTGGCGTCACTTTGTTCCAATTTTCAAACAAATGATCATCCATGATCAAAAAATAAAAAATATGCACACTGCATCAGGCCCCGGGGAGATTCGAACTCCCGATCTCCTGTTTACTAGACAGGCGCTTTAACCAACTAAGCCACGGCGCCGATGAATACCTCCGCTTTGACCAAAAACTTCCAAACACTTATACAACTAAACATTAATCAATTAAATCATTGTACATACTTACCATTAACTCAAAAACAAGTCAACTAGTAATCATAAATAACTATTATGAAATATTCAATGTCAGAATTAGATAACTTCAACATTTCGTACAAAAGAATCTCTTGTTTGTCGTCATCGCCGCCTGCATTCCGGTTTGAAGTGAATTTTTCAATCCGAACCGGACTCGGCTGCTGCATACGAATAAATGAATATGATAAGTGTTAACTGATAAGAAATCGATCCGGTCCAGGCCAGTAAAATGGATCGAAAACAAAATTATTTCGAATTAGATAGATACATATTTAGAACAAGGATTAATAATCATAATAATCATAAAATAAAATAAAATAAATTAATCATCATTGTATTTATTGATAATACACTTCGGAATCTGTATTAATACACTTTGGACAGAGGACAGGTATCGACTTTATTTTATTTTAAGTAGTAAAACATTATCTATACGACATAATGACTTGCAATGGTTTTTTGGACTTATTTATAGCGCAATTATCAACAATCGTATAAAACGTGGAGGTAGATATAAATTACACGTATATAATTGGTCTGTGTGTATTTGGGGGTCAATACAATACGAAAAATTGGAAATGGCCACACATTTCGTTTGCGCTGACGTCGGTGACACTCTGTGATTAGTTTGGCGCACGCTTATCGGCGCACATTGTGAACTAGAATACGTTTGCATACGCAAACATGTAAATCATAATAAATGTTCGCGTGTTGCGTGTGTACATTACTATATAATGGCGGCGATTGTTGATTGGGCAAGCGCCTATTGTATTACGACAGTGCTTTAAATTGTTTACACGGATATACAGCGTGTTGGCATGGACGCTTTGTCGAGTCACGTCCATGCACCGGTTTGCTGTTTGATTTTCAACTTCCTATATTAATAACAATGAATTATTCGCTAGTTTTATTGACACTGAACTCTATCTATTTCGGTTGAGATGATTTTTAACTTGATACACGCAATTTTTGGTTGTATTGCGTCGTGTAAAACAAAAAGAAAACAAAAATACATGGTTTAGCAATTTGCTGGTTTTATTTACATTGTTTTACGCGCGCACGTAAAAATAGGTAATTTTCCGCGTTCATCCGCTGAATTATCACTTTGTTTTCATTTTTATTCACGCTGTGCGTCAATGAATGCCATGAATGAGTTTCTTTGTGATTGTATGCAAATTGATAGCAGCGGGTGTCTATTTTTGGTTGCAGATGCGTGTTTGCGGTGCCAATCGGAGAGCAAGAAAGATGTCGGTAAACAGGACTGTGTCGTCGTGTGGGGTGAATGCAACCATTCGTTTCATTACTGTTGCATGTCGCTTTGGGTGAAGCAGAATAATCGATGTCCTCTGTGTCAACAGGAGTGGAGTATTCAACGGATGGGGAAGTGAATCTGTGTGTTTTAATAAATGTTTCTTTAAATATAGAATGCAGAGCTCTGTTTATTTTGTATTCTACCAAGGACGCGTTGGTTTTGTTGTTGGTATTGCTATAAATCCACAGAGGTCGCTTTTACATACAACTGCAATATTCAAGCGCTCTACAATATCTGTAGTCGTTTTCTAAAGCGTTTAACAGATAACTGCACACGTTTTGTGTAATATTTGACAGAAAAACATTGAAAACAACAAAAATCTATGAATTTTTTTATAAAATCTTGAATGGATTTAACGCAGAATGAATTTTTAAACTTCTTTTCCGTTGATAACCTCCTAATATCAGTGTATATCCATAGAGGTCGCGTTATGTACAACATCCTGCTATAGTAGTACTCTACAATTCGTATTATCACTTCCTTAGGTGTACAACAGATAATGCTACGTGCTGTTGCACGTAGTCATCTGGTTGGTCATGGCGTAACAACCCTGTACCAAAGATGGGCCGTGCATTGCTGTGATTTTTGTACAAATAATCTTTTTTAAACATATAATGCTAAGTTTAAATGTATTCCACGACGCGGCCAGCTAATCGACTCAAGCGTTATCTTATCCAAAGACACACGGGTACCAAGTTTAAGCATAAGCCACTTAGTTACGATTACAACCAACCTCAAACAACACGCAACTACCTAACTATCTAACGAATTATATAAATTTAATTACTATTGCTAATCTGTGATTATAAAACAAGAAGTGGGAGTTTCCCCACGGAGAATGCAAGCCGAGAATAAAGTGTAACAAGAAAAAAAAGTAAGTTGCATGAATATATGGATATAACCTTAAAATCAATATGTGCATGATTATGCTTTAGTCAATTTTATTCTTTTGATATTATATTTGTGTGTATTTTAATTATTGTTATCTAGAAAAATGAATCATTACAATGTGATTGTTAACCTCCAATGGTAAAATGTGTGAAATTTTTAATACGCGTTATGATTTTTTGTAATTTACAAGTTTTGAACCTTCGAATCTTGGCTTAAAGTGTGACTTAAGTATGACCTCTATCGTTAAGCATGTAAAATTCATCCAGAATGATGATATAACAAGTTGGCAATTGCAATATATTGTAATATTGTAATTTTTTTTGAAATCTGATGCAATGCGCTTATTATTTTAGGCAATAGAAGATTTTATTAATATTAAATAACATCTAATGGCATTAACTAACTTAAAATTTTTAAAATTCACCACGAAACGCGCATGTGATACAATCGAAATTACGAAAATGTTCAAATGTTAATCGAGCGCGTAGATTTTCTCATATAATCAAAATGCTCGCGCTTGGCTTGTGCATTTCGTGGCGTAAAAAATCTCGTTTTCATTCATGTGTTACGTAAACACACTTCACCGCTGTGGTTTGCGACGCACGAGGAAGTCTACATCGTCATGTCGGTCACTGGGTCTGCTCAGAATGTGCGCCAAAAGTGTGACAATTTCAAATGTTCGAATGTGCGCTGCCTATGCTTTCGTAATACCAATGGTATTTTGCTTTACTTCGGTTCGGTAGTGGACGAAAGAATACTGGAAATTAGGTTTTACATTCCAAGAGTGGAAAACAATACATTACATATATTGGAGCACGCGAGGTAATACATGGTTTTCTACTCTAGGTATGTAAAGTAGGGATGAGTTCAATACCGGTATTTTTTTTTAAATAAATAATATAATTATTTGATTAGGAATGTTTTTAATTTTCTAAGTTTTCTCATCTGTTTTTTGATATTGCAATGGAAATACCGGTATACCGGTATATTTCGATTTAAAAAAATTAATTGATGAAGAATATTTTTCATTTTGGAAGTTTTCTCATTTGTTTTTCGATATTTCAATGAAAATACCGGTATACCGGTATATTTGAATATTGAAAAATACCGGTATTTTTTATGTTTGCTCATTTGTTTTTCGATATTGCAATGGAAATACCGGTATACCGGTATATTTGGATTACAAGAAAACCGGTATATGATCAGAAAAAGGCGAAAAATAATATTTTACATACCAAGAGTAGAAAACAATACATTACAGCAGTGTTTTCCACTCTTGGTGTGTAAAGCAATATTTCAGGTTAAGTTTTTGTTCAAAAACAAAAAATGATGTGTGATATAAATTGCAATCATCCCATGCTGAGTATCTCGATACAAATCAAACGATTATAAATGTACCTAGGTATAATACCAGCAATTATTCGAATTAATTGCGATAGAAGTAGGCCTAGGTCGGCGGGATTGTTGGATCTGTAATAAAATATGATTAGTTTTTGCGTTTTGCTGCTGCGGTGTGTTTGCGTGTGCATTCTCTCATTATATTCGTTCATGAAAATAACCAACCACGTCTGCAGCGGCGTTTAATCGCCACGAGAGAAGAAAAACTAGTAAAAGCCGCGCGCATTTATTAACAAACAAAAATAATGTGTATATAAATATATATGATCTGTCGTTAAATCATTACTGGCAATTTACGGACGTATTAATCTTTCGCAACTTTTTTAGTCTTGAAATGTGATGATGAGTGCGTTGAAAACACATGCAGAATAATTACTTTTACTTTCTTTTAATGTAGTTATTAGTTGATTGAGAAGATGAATTTATTATATTTTGTGTAGGTATTTATCCGTACCAGCGCACTGTATCTATATACACCTGATTTCTGATTTCACTTTTAATTTCGTTTTCATTTTCACTCGCCGCACGAAAGTTTAAAACGTCGAAGCCAACACGCGTTGCGATTGCGAATTCGATTTTAATTACATCAAGAATTCGTCTATTGTTTGCGACATTTGGATTCGAAACAATTTTTGCAATTTGTGGGCCGTGACATAATGTTTTTAGAATTTTTTTTATTTTTTCTATTTTATGTCCTCTAATGGTCATTAGCACGGTGTTAATTTTCAAATGTCTTTCGAGGTTAGAATCCGATGAAATATTTGTTTTTGTGTGACGAAAAAAGCCGAATCGCAATTACTTTTTCGATTTCACAATCAGCTGCCACTCGGAATGCATGTGGCGAACACAATCAAATTCGAAATCTGATTTTCCATTAGCCTATAGCTAAGCCAACTTAACTTAAGAGTTGTTCTTTGTTTTAAGTGTCGCGCAATTGCAGTACCAACCTCATTACGCCACTAAAACAAAGAATGTGTCAACATTTGTACAAATCCGAATCCAATTTTGCTCATTTTTTGAAATAAATGACTTAACTTAAGTCAAGTATTATTTGCTGATGCTTCTGTTGACACTCCTACACTGGTAGTTTATGGATATTGAATTACCATGAGCTGGGGACCATCGGGGACCACCCTGGTCAATGTGTGGAGGTAGTAGGCATTCACCTGCCGCACCATGCCTCCACTCTCACAACACTCTGGTGTTGTAGTGTCATCGCGAGCACCAGAGTAGGCGAACGTCGCGTTCAGTCTTCGTCGAGCGTCGCGGTCTCGGTCACGTTCGCGTTGTGCGCCCCGAAGAACTCGAAATAACTCAAAACCACGACATTTGGATTTCAGTGAATCGATCTACTAAATCTACGTGGTGTATCTGCTTCTGGTGTCACATTGGTAAGTGACTTAAGTTAAGTCAATAACGAAAGTATGCAACTTATTTTTTTTTTTGTTTCGCGAATGTTGATACTTTTTTTACGCAATCGTTGCGGTTATTTTTGTAAAATAACTTTCACGCTCTCAGCACAATAAAATGCGGCGTGTCATGCGATGATCGATTTTCGAAATCGTCGCTACGAAATTCTACTGAACTGCGCATGTGCAATAGCATTAAATTGTTTTATTTCGACGTCTGCGGTGTTATTTTCGGATCGCCGACTGCGTTTAGCCTGTAAACGTATAAATTTCATTCATTACTGTACTTAAGTCAAGTTAGTTAAGTCAAGTATGCGCAAGCAGATTTAAGCAACGCGAATTTAACGAAAATTTCTTAAATTTTAGTTCAGAGGTTAGAATTTTAAATCTGCGCCATAAATTAGACGACTTTTACTAATATGCATAATACGCTTGGGTTACTTAACCTCCATATGAGATTACCATATTACCATAACGTAAATAAATATTATAAAAGAGAGAAATCGAACGAAGGCGCAGCGCGCGAGCCGTGGAGATGTGACTCGGATCGGTTTTTCGCTCGTTTCATTCTCTTCTTCGCTTCACCCAGCGCAGAATGTGGTGGTGTCGCATGTGTGCGTATTTAATTAATACCTGCGCACCGTGCGATACGCCAAGCGCAAAAATTCGTGCGTTTCTAGGTCAAATTGTATAACGCCTTAAAGAATTGTGTCGCTGGACAGCAAGTAAAGAGTTAATTAATCGCTTTGGATTTTTACTTTTCATTGTGTGTGATTGTTAATTGATATGTACTTAAGTTATTTTAAAATGCGCACATATGTTTTCACTCAATTCAATTCAAGCACATTTCAAGTGATTTTAAAAATAGTTGAGGGGTGATATAAAATCGCTTGAAACTAGGTTATAAACTAAACTGAAAATTTAGCGTATAAATCAGAAAGTAGCGTGAATAAATAAACATTTCGTTTAATTTTTAATTGCTTATGTTATACTAGAGTAATTTTAACGAAATAAATCAAGTTCAAGGCTTAAGTTAAGCTGTGTGACTTAAATATTAAAAATTATTGGCGAAGGTAGCGTTTATTGGTGTATTTATTTAATTAAATAATAATTCTAATGCATTACGTCGAAAATACACTCTAATGACGCTCATTAGTTGCTAGTCGAAGTTATAGTGATTAATATCTATGGCTGCAATTTAAAATTCAGATGCAAGGTGAATATTCGCTTCGCTGCTCACGATAGACACTTATTTATTACACGCGGAGAATATAATTGATTTACACAATAAGATAATTTATTAAAACAGAAAGTTGCTGTAGAAATTCATTAAGAAACTGGCTTGTTTTGAGCGTTTAGTGATGAGTATTTTACGTGTCGAAATATAATTTGCATACGAAGACAGAAAATAACAGTAATAATGTCTTGCGTAAAACTTTAATTCACAAAAAATTACTCTGAAGGTCACCGCGGGCATTAATTGCCTACTTAACGTATAAATTTTTTTCTTCGTGCGCTGAAGTGACTTAAGTCATTTTTTATAGAATTTTTGATGCAAGTGCATTGGATTAATGGATTTTTCGTTGTTTTTTAAATTTGAAAGCACTTATAGTATTAGTATTTTAATGGTAAACAGAGATTACACACATCTCGATATCCTCGATGCCCCGAGGCTCTCAAGGTTGGCTGCTTTCTCTTGTCCGGACACTGCCCTTATTCATTCATCATTCAGTTTGTGGTCCACATATTTCCAACGTCTCTTAAATAACACTTACATCAGATATTTACAAATATTCAAAAGAGAATGTCGAGATGTGTAGCCATAGCTATATATTACTTAAAGTTAAAGTCAAGTGCGCACTGCGCACACGCATCATCCTTACCGGATGGTTATTGGAATTGAACTTCTTGGTGTCCACATGTGTGTGTGAAATGTGTTCTTGCATTCATGGCGTGCTGTGTTCGATGCCTCGCAACGATAAAACGAAATTCATGGCGAACGGTAAAAACTTTCTACTTCGTGCTAAGCGCACACCACCTTGGTCGTCGTCGTGTAGAAGCTAGAGTGGATTTCGGGTTGATTAGAATGATTAATTTTCGTGGCGACGTGCGCGGCGGAAATGAGTGAAAACTGAACACAGACGATATTTTAAATTGTGTGACGTGTGTAACAGAATAAATATTTGAGATTTTAATATTTATATTGCCTCATTACCTAAATAGAAAAATTTTTCTGCGTTTTAGCGAATTTTTGCGTTGTAATTGGAGAATTCTCAGTGTTGATAGTCGCAACATTGACCGAAGAAGTTCTACGCGAGTATACAGTGACTAGTGAAAGCTCTTAATGTAATAATTTCGCTCTTTGTGCAATTTCACTTTCAATTCAGTTGCGCTTGTTGCGTTTCCAGCGTCTCGCACGTGCCGCACCGCACATGGCGTGCGGTTTTGCAAACTACTTGCGTTTATGAAACGAATTACATCTAATTGCTCATTGTTATCAAACTAGATACTAAAATGTAATTATTTTTAATTTTTGAGGATTATAGCAATAATTTTCGCGTGGCATTTCACGATTTCTGACTTTTATTTGTCATAAAATCTAAACTCGCAACATTTTCGCTAACCTTAACATTGCATCGCAATGAAAATGCTAAATTGCTCGTAAATCACCTGTAATTATATACTCTTGCAAATATTCACATGCACATTCACTTCCGGTTTGTTTCACAGAGATGTTCTTTGTTGCAGCATTGTAAGGTCGCTGATTATAATGTCGGCGCGCGTCTTCTGGGCACACGGCGAGTTCTGCGCGACGCATCCATGGGAGGTGATCGTCGCGACGCTGACGCTCACCGCCTGCATGCTCACCATGGACCAGCAGCATCATGCGCCGCCTCCGAAACCACCGATTATTCACTGTATCGGTTGTCTCAACGAGGTATGACTAATCATATCCGCACAGAAGATAAATATTTATTCAAATTGTTGTTCTTTGGTTTTTCCAGGCGGAGAATAATGCCGCTGACGTAATTCTTATGACGATCATCCGCTGTCTGGCTGTGCTGTACAGTTACTACCAGTTTTGTAATCTGCAGAAACTCGGGTGCAAATATATTTTAGGTAAGACCACGCAGCGAAAGTGTAGTGAAAATGAATCAAGGTTGGAATCTGTCATACGCGCACCAAACTTGATACAGAGAAAGTGCGTTTTTTATTGTTTACTCACTACAGGTTTGCCTGCGCTCACTTTAAACATTCATTGCTATCAGATAAACAATTTAGTGTTATGTCATAACACCACTGGTTGCGTTATGACCTCTGTACCGCCGCCATCTTGCGTTTTATGCGTTATAAATAAATTCGGATTTTCCTGCATAGTATCCGCAGGCTTTCAAACGATAATAAATATTTAATTTCAGGAATCGCCGGTTTATTCACGGTGTGTTCCAGCTTCGTGTTTACATCGACGGTGCTAAATTTTCTGCGTATAGACGTATCGGATCTAAAGTGAGTCTCTGTTTGTGTTTATTCGATTTTTCTCGAAAGTTTACCATTTTGTGTGGTTATGTGTTTCAGGGACGCTTTGTTTTTCTTTTTGCTGGTCGTAGATTTATCCAAAGCGGCGATTCTGGCTGAATTAGCTCTGAGTGCGTCTAATCAGGACGAAGTTAAGATGAATATCGCGCGGGGAATGTCCCTCTTGGGACCAACCATCACCCTGGATACAATTGTGGAAACTCTAGTCATAGGAGTAGGCACTCTCTCAGGTATAGAAATTTATTATTAAATTAAAGAAAAATATGTTAATGTTAATAATATTTTGTGTTTTGAAGGTGTTCATAGATTAGAAATGCTTTCCTGCTTCGCCTGCCTCTCGGTGATAGTCAACTACTTGGTCTTTATGACCTTCTACCCCGCGTGCCTCTCGCTCATCCTGGAAGTACGTCATCAATGGCCGCATGCGCGTCCCAAAATAACTTCGGCGCGATTCCACCTAATTTGCTCGTGATTTTCTTTTCCAGTTATCGCGCATCGCGAACATCTACGGCAATCGGGACATTCCCAGTTCGCTCATCTCGCGCGCCTTGAAGGAAGACATCCAGAAGTCGAATCCGGTCGTGCAGCGCGTCAAGCTGATCATGTCCGTTGGGCTTATGCTGGTGCATGCACACAGGTAACACATTATCTTGCGTTTGCATCATGTCAAGACCTCAATGGTCTCCGCACATCCGCTTTATTGTTGTGCGCGCGCGTATTGTGTCGAAAATAATACAATTGTTGTGCTCGTAAAAATATTATTATAAGTTACGAGGTTTGAGAATTTCTGGTGGTACTTTGTAGTTACTGGCCGCTGCGTGAAGGTGAAGATAATATTGCGCCACTTACGGAACAACGCATGCCGCTTAACCGAACCGACGATACTGCTCTCCATGGATCCATTATGAGGTAAAAAATTGTTTTATTAAACAAATCATGCATGATTTATATATTTTGTGTTTAGATGGATCACCGTACGACTTGATCACGTCGGAATTCTAATCCTGCTGGCGGCCCTAGCCGTAAAGTTCATCTTCTTTGAGAACAAAGAAAACTTAGAGCAACGAGCCCGCATGGCGGGCCGACCTTTCGTCACCCAGCAACTGCCGGGTGTGCCTGCTTTCCTAAAGACACACGATGTCGATGAAGGTTTTGTAGACAAAGAAGTACAAACCGATGATTTAGTTGTAGCTAAACCAGACAACGATGACCCATCTTCCTCTACTGAGGAAAATGCCTGCAGTATTGACGAAGTTCCAGCGAAACCTATGAGGTCCCTAGCTGAATGTAAAGAGATTTATCACAGGCAATGCAGCGCGCGTGATCTCACCGACGATGAGATTATTCTGCTCGTGAAAAACAACGTTATTCAAGCTTATCTTCTCGAACGGGCCATTCTGGACCCCGTGAGAGGTGTGGGCATTCGACGTAAAATCATTGGTGCCAAAGGCGACATTACGCAAGCCATCGCCGACCTGCCGTACAAAAACTACGATTACCAGAAGGTGGGCCGAAAGTTTCACTTTACATTTTACATAGCAATGGTTTCGAAACATCATGGTAACCGAATCGAACGTGGCCTGCATTTACATTTTAATTTATGTCTGTAGGTTATGGGCGCTTGTTGTGAGAATGTGATTGGTTACATGCCGGTCCCCGTGGGCGTGGCAGGTCCTTTACTTTTGGATGAGAAAGAATTCTATGTTCCCATGGCGACCACGGAAGGATGTTTAGTGGCCAGTACCAATCGAGGATGCCGGGCGTTATCCGGATGTGGGATTACAAGCAGGATTATTGCTGATGGCATGACGAGAGCGCCAGTTGTTAGATTTTCAAATGTGGCACGTGCTAGGTAATATTTTATTGATTTTTTTAGTAATTGTTGGTTGTATTTAATCTTTTGTTGTTTTAATAGTGATGCTGTAAAATGGTTGCAATCTCCACAGAACTATGAGAGTTTAAAGAAGCGTTTCGACTCAAGCAGTCGTTTTGCACGTTTAAACAGTATCCATTCACGTATTTTTGGACGATTAGTGTACATCCGGTTTGCGGCGACCACTGGAGACGCCATGGGAATGAACATGATTTCAAAGGGTACTGAGGAGACTCTGCAAATGATGAAAAAACACTTTCCTGATATGGAGATAATCAGTCTCAGTGGAAATTTCTGCACGGATAAAAAACCATCAGCAGTCAATTGGTAATTTTTACATTTGTGAATTTTAATTTAATAATTCTAACATATTTTCTGGTTTATAGGATTGAGGGGCGTGGCAAATACGCAATTAGTGAAGCAATCGTCCCCAAAGACGTCGTGGAAAAAGTCCTCAAAACAACAGTGGATAAAATGATCGAAGCGAATATAGCTAAAAATCTGGTAGGCTCGGCTGCCGCCGGAAGTATTGGTGGGTTCAACGCGCATGCAGCTAATATCATCACCGCTATCTACATCGCTACCGGACAGGATCCGGCGCAGAACGTAGGAAGTAGTAATTGTATGACACTAATGGAAAAGGGCGGACCAACACTTGAGGATTTGTACATCTCCTGCACAATGCCCTCGATAGAAGTGGGCACATTAGGTGGCGGCACGGTGCTGTCCCCACAGGCGGCATGTTTAGACATGTTGCACGTAAAAGGTTGTAATGTAGACGTGCCAGGTGCACATGCGAATCAATTAGCGCGGATTGTTTGTGGCACTGTACTCGCTGGCGAATTGTCATTAATGGCGGCGTTGACCGCTGGGCATCTGGTAAAGAGCCATCTCAGACACAATCGATCGTCGACGTCAGTTAGTCAGGAGAGCGTCGAAAAGACGGAATGCGTACCGGAGCGGACGTAGACTGTGGCATAAATCTTAACTACGATAGATATTTATTTAAAGTGCGATGGTGTATATATTACTAATCTGTTACCAGTGGTCTTTGTTTTCTAATTCTAGGTATTTTACTATCTTTCTATACAAAAACATAATGTGAAATTGATTATGCGCGGTAGATGTATTTCCATGATGGCGGACTTTGTACGCATGCAGATTATGTGCTGAAATGGCGACGATACAAACGATTCACACTAAGAAATGATTTATTATATGAAAAAAATTATGAATATAAACGAAGTGGATTAAAGCAGTTTATTTCATGACAAGACGCAAGTTATCGATAAACATTGTTAAAAATTCACGACAAAAATATGGTAAGCTCTTTGGTAAAACACTTACTTATACAAACCTGTGCGTTCAGTTTTCGATTGTAGAGACTTTGTATAGATTTATTCCCCGCCTGAATTTTCAAAGAACATATAATCCTAAAAATCATCAATTTTTCGTTATAAAAAGTACGAAAAGTTTAAAGTGCTGGCAAGCGGGAAGCATATAATAAACTGAGATTTATTTAAAATAGATACCAAATCGTGCGCAAACGACTTGGAGCGTAAGCAAGCCCACATGTTTAAAATAGCTGCGTACAACTCGATAAAAAAAAAACGATCATATACATAAATATAAATAGGGATAACAATTGTAACAGATTCAAGGCCATTGTTCGCACACTCGTGCTACACACACACTTAGCAGAAGAAGAGGAAGGCACTTAATGTTGTTCCCTGACTTTCTCAAAGAACATAGCGTCCTGAAAAAAGCAATAACGTGTAACAACATCGTGACATTGTCTAAATCACAACACAACAGTGACGAGGGTGTTATACATGCGTTGGGTTTACTTACAATCAGGAAGCATGCGCCTAGCATGACAGCCTTCATGCGCACGTCAAGGTCCATCGGGAAGTTGATACCGAAGTAGTCGGTGTCAGTGAACATCTCGCGTACCAACCCAGACCACTGCTTGGAGATCTTGCCCACCTGCGTCTGGCCATCGCCTGTCATGATTTTGAACTCCACATCACCGCAGATACTCATCGTGCAGAGTGGACCTTCGATACGTAGAACAGTATCACCGCTAGCGTTTTTAATCGCGAATGTGGGGCAGAATATACTCCACTCCTGCTCGACCGTGCCGAGGATTGTCCCAGGCGGTGAGGATACCTCCATACTCTGGTAGGTAAAGTAGGGTTAGGTTATATTTAGGCTTAAGTAAGGTTAGTTTACCTGTAGACAGCATGGGAAGCAGCATGAATCGCACGCTAGAGGGCGATGCAAGTGCAGAACCTGGTTGCGATAGTTGTCCATGATGACCATCTCGAATGGTCTTAGTGGGCCGCAGCAGTTTCGCGTGAGGCAGTCGTTATCCTCAGCTGCATAGTATACTTTTTGGCCTAGGCTATTCTTAATCGTATATTTATTGTTCGTTTCGAATCCGGTCAATGCTATATTAGAAAATTTTCAGATAAAAATAATTTGCGCAATATTACGTTGTCTTACCTTCAAGTAGTTCTACTTTTTGATGGACCAACAACTGGTCAATCATAGTAAGGTATTCCAATCCTGGTGGGCAATTGGCTGCTGGTCCTTGCGGCATATGCATCCAACCACCTTTGAAGAAAACAAAAAAAGTTATTTTCCCGTTTTCCTTGGAAACATTTCCACTGTTTGCTACAACCTTTGCTCCTCCTCGGATAAGAACTTTTTATAGCCGCGTTTTTTCGCGGATTTCCTGCACTTGAAGACGCGTCTCAGTTTACAACACACATTGCGCTTGATAACCCTCCAATCAATATCCATATTATTAGAACGAAATGAATCGACTGACCGCTGCACGGATGCACGAACGTCGTTAACAATATTCATTGTTAACGCAATCGTTGTCAACAACCGAATATCTCAAGCTTATGAACCGTTCTCTTGTTGACACAAGTTAGGCGACGCGCAAACAATTCCCATTATCACGATTATTATCAAATTATGTCCGTGGATCAGTCTCCAGCGAGCGCGTACTTTAACCCCTCCACGGAGGCAAACAACATTAACAACCGTTTAAGACTGGTTAAAGTAGAGTGAAAAGTTCCAGTGTGCTATCAGTGCAACAACAACATGCATACAGTGTAATGTAATGTTATCTAGTGTTGACTTACTATTAGGTGGTGCTCCTTGGCCCACAGGTTGATTGACAACAGGTGGGTAACCTGGTGGAGGATAACCCATATCCCCACCGGGTGGCCCTGGCGGAGGATAGCCCATATCTCCACCGGGAGGCCCTGGTGGAGGATATCCGTACCCTGGTCCCTGAGGTGGTGGATAACCACCTCCGGGCGGGTATGGTCCCTGGGGAGGGCCATAACCACCTTGCCCAGGTGACGGGTAGTTACCAGGTGGGGCAGGTGGATACCCAGGTCCTACGCCTTGTGGGGGCGCTGGCGGGAAGTCTACAATAACATAATTACCAATAGTTTTTGATTTATTTCTTTATACATACTGCCACTATTATACTGGTTAGGATATTGGTTACCTTGTGGAGGTGGATACGACATATCTGCGCTCGATACTAAAAATATATGCCGATATTTCGACTATTGCACAACTTTTTAACTAGTTTATTTCACGATTTGGGTTTTACCTGTTAGATTCAATTGATAGCCACGTGAGTTATTCCATCGCTACTCAGTGATGATTAGATCGAATTATAGCGTCACAGCGTGCAAACACGATAATCTACGTAGATAAAGTGAATTATTAACAGGGTGTTGAAGTACCTCAAGTACCGTAGATCATAAAGGGACTGACAGTGGAGTTGTTATTGACTCATTCACAAGATTAAACTGTATACTGAATAAATATGACTCGATCGAACAATCGGTTTGCGGGCTGATGTCATTATAGCTTTTACATACAGCAAATTGAAGTGGAAACGTTCGTGTAATCAAGGCACGCCTAGTTTCGCTGGTTGTGTTTATAAATATACACGCTTTGAACATAAATATCATCACGTTCCCAGCACTCACACAAAGAAGCAGTTCTAAGTATCAGACAGCCGCCATTTTATTTGAATGGGTCCTACATGAGTTGCCAGAATGAAATGTAAGATGGCGACCGTAGTCCGTTGACGAGGGAGTGACTTGAATGCACTACCTGCTCGTAGATGACTTTGTTTCGCGCCGATGTTGAACGAAGCGATGACGGAGGGGACCGATGCGGGTCCCCTCCATGAATATCGAGTGAATTCCAGCAGGCCCCTCGTGGCAATAGCACCTCCACACGCAAAACACTCCGAGATCGCCTACGGACTAAGATGGCGACGTGATTGTGACTTGTGACTGGGTTGGAAATGGCTTTCGCGCATCGCCTTTTAACGAACGCTTTACCGCTCCGGTTTCCGAATGCCTCGATAGTGCCCCGCAGTGTCCAAGAGGATTAAAACCCGTCGGGGGCCGTATCGAAACTCGTGTGCTCGGAGTGCTCGCGCAAACGCAGGCAGCGCCATCGGGAAGCAGCAGCAAAGATGCGTGAGTTCAAAGTAGTGGTGCTCGGCTCGGGTGGGGTTGGGAAGAGTGCGTTGACGGTGCAATTTGTGTCGGGTTGCTTCATGGAGAAGTACGACCCGACGATAGAGGACTTTTATCGCAAGGAGATCGAAGTGGATAACTCGCCGTGCGTGTTGGAGATCCTCGACACCGCCGGCACGGAGCAATTTGCCAGCATGCGCGACCTCTACATCAAGAACGGGCAGGGCTTCGTCGTCGTCTACAGCCTCACCAACCACCAGACCTTCCAGGATATCAAACAGATGAAGGACCTGATTACGCGCGTCAAGGGCAACGAACGCGTGCCCATTCTGCTCGTCGCCAACAAGGTCGACCTGGAGCACCAGCGCGAGGTGCCGCACCCGGAGGGCAACTCGCTGGCGACGCAGTGGAGTTGTCCGTTCATCGAGGCCAGCGCCAAGAACAAGACCAACGTCAACGAGGTGTTTGCCGAGATTGTACGCGAAATGAACTTTAGCCCCGAAAAGGAGAAGAAGAGCTATTGCTGCTGCACGCTGCTCTAATACTCGCCTCCTCTTTTTCTCTCTCACCACCACCACCAACCCACCCATCGCCAACAACAACAACAACAACAACCACTCTCTCGCTCTGCCGCGGCTAGACCTAGACTCTTCTTCTTGTAATTGGGAACAATGATGTGTGTGTGTGTTGTGGAACTATGGTCATGTATGTCGCGTGCCCACAAAACCGTGTCCGTGTGCATCCCTCGAATTCGGGCCTTTGGAGAAGACGTATATTTTTATATGGGATTCAAATTTGAAGAAAAACGCAAAAATTCGATGATATTGTAAACGTATTTTATTTACACGATTTTCTACGAGTCGACAACTCGCATTCATATCTACTACTACTACCAATAATGAGAACTTTTATGATGATAGTGCCTCAAGAGAAAACGATGATTGAATTGATTGTAACTGTAATATAATGTAAACACTTGCACACGCATACACACACTGAAAAAATGAAAAGAAAAAGGAGTCGCGTCGGCCTAAATTCCAACATCCAAGATGATTACATGGATTCCAGTTTTTTATTCAGTCAATTTTTTATACGCAACAGACGCGCAAAAAGAGTTTGCAGACCGGGGGAGAGTTGTACGCATTTACGCACGCGAGACGCCGTCGCCGCCGCCGCCCCTTCAATCTCTCCATCATCGACAGCATCGTCATCATCATCCCCCACCACCACCACCGACCATATTCGGCCTCTGCCATGTGGATATCACATTTATTGAATAGTGTAATATTATGATAAATCGCTCATGTATGTATATATTTTAATATAGGTCTTATAACTAATCATTTTACGAAGAGATCTGTGTTTTGTACGAAAACTTATTTGCTGGAGCGGACTGACAACACGGTATTCCACACTGAGACACACACACACACAGGTGTCGTGGAATGCAGGCAGAAATTAATAAGATTAATAATTAGTAGATAAATAATAAAAAAAAGTAAATAAATCTATGGGAGTCACACACACACACAGGTGTGACACGTGGACGTTTTAAGAATGAATGAATGTGTGTGCGTGCGTGCAGTTTTGTTTCTTATCAGCGTCGACAACTCACGTTTGAAGCGTTCGTTTCTCTAGTTTGTTTGTTTGTTCGCAAATGTATTTTGTATACCACACCAGACTTATATATTTCTGATTGTTAGCGTGCGTGTTCTGAGAGCCAAAAAGGATTTGTGATATATACGTATTGTAATAAAAACAAAAAACATTTTAAGTGGATTTGAGCAGTAGTCGGCGTGTCATTATTTTCGTCGTCCCGATTGCGTGGTGTGTGTGTATTTTGCTTGGGATAATTAGCGGCCGTAAGGTAAGTGCGCACGTGACGCCTAATATCGCCGCTCTTGATTGGGATTTAATTCGTCGGACACAAAAGAGTGCGTAGCGCAAAAAAACGAACGGGGTTTGCGGCTTGCTGCCCATCGTCTAACGGCGGTTTCGTTTCAATTCGCGCGATGCTCATGCACGCGCAGCAACGAGAACATTTCCATAAATTAGGTACGCGTAATCATTGTCATGTTGGGGTTTTCCCGGCGGCATTTTTCTTATCACAGGTGTAAATTAACATTTCCAGCGAATTACGTCAAGCAGTCGTGCTAAATTCGTGCAAAACAATGTCCTACATTGAATTTTACGCGAAATTTATGAAAATTTCATTGGTTTGTCGTGTCAATTAACATTATTAATTTACACGACTAAAATATTAAAAGTATAACGTTTGAAATTTGAGTCTAGTGTCCTCGGCGCGAATTGTTTGCGCGCTATACTAATAATAACTTTAAAAAATAGCGTATGATAACGAATGTTAATGTTTAATAATCGCCGAAACTGGGAAAGCATGTCGTGACATGTCGGTTATGTTTTTTTTATATTTTTGCATGCGGCGCGTACGTGCCCGCGTTAATTTTCATTTACGAGCGGCCATGAACACGAATTTAACATAGATTAAATAAAGATATATTACATTCACGCGGCGAAGATGCAACAAAACGCGCGATTTTGAAACGTTCCAGCACGGCACGTTTTCACCTTGATTTGTTATCATTATTTATCAGTATCAAAACTAGGGATCGGCTTAAATGATTCAATATGCGTTATTAACCAAACATTCGCCAGATATCAATGATTATAATTTATATTATAATAATTTTGTTTGATTTCTGGACGTGTTGGATGTATAATATTGCGTTCTCTGTGCTGTTGTTTGGTCTAAAATATTTCCCGGTTACGTGTCGGTTGCGGCGGCCGTAGTTGTGGCGCGATGTGTCATCACAGGAAAGTTTATAAATAATCCATCGTAGTTCGGCGTTGTCGCGCAGCTCTCGTTGCACGTCGTGCGCTTTAAATACGCACAACAATAAACACGCTCCGCGCCGGTTTTAATTCCGCGTTTATTCGCGAATTAAAACAACGATTGTCCAACTCCCAAGTGATCAAAATCGCTAGCGACAGAGAGGACAAGAGTCAATGGCCCAGCGTCACTAGTTTTAATTTAACGGAAACACTCTTTGAGGATTGTGTGGATGGCGTTGTAAATTTTTACCTGTAATAATCGTCATTGGATTTTCGTGAAACTGTAAACTCTGATTTTGTAATGCCGGAGGCAATATTGAGTCTGGCTACCTGCCGCATGACTCAGACAACTTTTTAGTTGTTTGCTCTCGGTAAATCGTTTTTTTTTTTCTGTGGTAGTAAGTTACTGCTATCGATTCGTAGAAAATATATTTCAAGCGTTTGCAGTGAATTTTACGCAGTAATTGATAACAAATTTCCTGATAAATTCAGCGGAAATCAACGAAAAAAAAAGAGTAGCATTACTCATAAAATAATCAAGATAATATTCTCTCCGAATGGAGTTTCTAATAATTCTTTTGTTTTATATTTGCTTCTGGCAAATTTATATTTTACCTACAAAGTAAAATAGGAAGTAAGGTGACTGTCACAGACGCACGGTGAAATAGCACCATTCCTATGCGAATTATACGCGTACTTTGTTCAGTCGAGACTATAGAATGCGATCTGCGATCTCAACTCGAGTGCAATTTGCAGCTGCATAACAATATGAAATGCCATGTGCCAATGTACCACACTGTACCACATGTAAGTACCATATTAGACGTTTGGAATTTTCGTTCGTTCATTGGAGCAATACCAGCTTGCGTAAAATGTAAAATCTTTTAAACTGTCCGTGGTGGTTTGCCAGAGAAGTCTGCGGTCGGCGTTGGCGTGTAAACTGGCAAATTAATTATGCATTGTTGTGCTGCCAGTGTGCGTACTTTTCTTCTTTTCCATGTCATAGTTTTTTTTCTGCTTGCGTTTGAGATTCCATCGCTCGTTTCTAACAAATGCCTGACTTCCTTACCTTGACTGAATGCGTCATTAGTGAAAGTTGCAGCGGGCAGCGAGAAATTACAAATTACGAATCACGAAATTGCCTCACAACACTTAGAAAAATATTCTTCTGAGATACGCTGATGGAGTGCTATTAAAACGAAGTGTTTTTATTTAAATGTTTTCGATTTTTAGGCATTCCACAGTCCGATTGTGCAACTTTGGTGACGTCGACATTGGAAGCCCTCAAAGTCGTCTAATAACGACTCTGTGATTGCCAACATGCCAACCGCGGAGCACTTTGCGCTTCCCCTTTGGCTCTCCCCGCGTGCCCTGCACTCGATTGCCTTTGGTCCTTTTCGAGGCTTTGTAGCATCGCGCGAGCAGGTCCGGGCCAGTCCCAACAATCGACATGCAAATTTTCGACGCACACAATAGGATACTGGTAATTAAAATTCTTTTGCTTGACGTCTGTCTGCGGGTCTGTGCATCACCGAAAGCAACCGTATTTTTGGGCCTTGTTTAGGTATTGTGTTAAGAGGGAAAATATTGGTGCTGCTCTGAACGGCAAGTGGGTACGGAGCGGTCGGCCTTTGGTGCCTTTCGGTCCACCGATTGGGATGTTAACCCAGGCATGTAAAGTTCTCTAGTGTGGGAATATTACATTTAGAAAACCAGTAGATGAGTAGATCAAAGCTAAATTATTGACCTTTAAAAACACATAACTGTCATTATGGTTTTTTTTTTCAATGCAAAATTCTCTATTTGGCGGATTTGCCGAGCGCTATTTCGAAATTTTCATTTACATTCGTGCTGGTTCATGAATTAACTGTTTTGATGAGAGATTAAATCAAGTCGAGAGCCCTTACAGCTGCACAATCCGTTGAATGAACGTTTTGAATAGCTGCGAAAATGTGTGCGGCTGACAAAGCCGCCATATTTCCTCCACAAACTACACAATGTACAATTTTGTGAGCAGAAGCAAATGACAGAATATTCCAAACATCAATATGTTTAAATAATCACCAGCCAACGCCCGTGGGAGATATACGATTTAATTTAGTATAAACAATACATAAACAATAGCAACAATACGCCGGCATCACGTGAAAGTGATATATTGATGTAAACGCTTGCTAATCATGTTTTAGGTTTCTCCACGTTGGTTTTGCGACGACGGATTCGAAAAGAAATTTCACATCTGGTGCCACAATTGGTGCCAATATAGATAAAGACCAAACTTGCGCAACGTATACGCTCGAGGGCCTCACAAAAATACACGCAGGTATTTATTTAAAATAAATTTCATATTACGGAGCGCGCATATTTGGCGTTAATAAAACGTGTGCCAGCTACCTACGCGAATTGCTCGCGCAAGCAGCATGTGTGCTCAAATTCTAATGAATTGCGTTATTGTCGGACGCACAGTGCAGAGAACAAAGGCAATTTGTGCCTGGCTATATCGATGAGCTACGTGCTGTATGTGTGCTACACTCAAGCTATTAGTAAATTGATCTTCAGGCGGGTTCGTAATTTCCTCGCGAAGCCATATGGCTGCTTTTGAATATTCTGACTTATTGAATCTTCCACGTTCGCACATCATGGATATCATGTTTTCTAATTGATTATAATTCATAATAGCGACTTGACCAATATTTTTCGACGTGAGTCAGCGAAATATTGTTTAATTTTAATGAGCTGGTAGTTTTTTAGTTCTAATTATCAGCGGTATTAATTATATTCGTCATGTTAATATGTTTACAAGAAAGTGAAAGATTCATTCATGCGCCGATTGCCGTAATCTGTAAAGTCGGTGCTGTCCTGAGACACATTATCTAAGACTTTCTTTTTTCTCTTCTCCACGAAACGGTTATGAATGGAATGGCTTGTTGTATGCCATCAAATTTTGGCCCACGCCATAAAGAAAGAGTAGAAAATCATTTTAGTCTTCGCCTGCTTGTAGGGGTGTATAAAAATCATAAACGGAAACATGCTGGATGCTAGGCAGGATGTTTATGCTCAAATTACACGTTAAAATATCTTCACAAACAGAGCCAACTACCAACATAGGGGCAGGTAGCAAGATGCATTTATTTGCGACAAACCTGTTTTTCGTTTTAAATGTTTAAAATCCAGGCTAGTTTGAGTTGCGTGCGCGCGCGCTCTGCGCGACTTCTGCGTGCACAGTAATCATACTTTACATAGTCTCAAACACATGCATCGCGATGTAAACTCTCTCCACACTCGCATATCAAACGTGTTCTAACCACGTTCTGTGTCGTGTTCGCGTGTGCATGCATGCTAAAGAATTGCGTTCGCGGTGCATTGAGGCGTGCAATACAAATCTGGGTCGCGCATATTGTTTAATAAATCGGGAGCGAAGAAAACACACAACACACGCCGTCGGACGACCTTGCTCAAGGCAATCATGGCCGACGCTATCCATCATTGCAGCGAGCAGAGAGAAGACCAAACTGTTTCGAGATCATGTAAGAGCTCAAAGAACCTAACAGTACTGCACAAGCATGCGATTATCTTCACCGTTTTGATCAAATTATTGTAGGCGTGATAATATTCCATGCAGAGATGGAAAAATTTCACGTGTTATTGCAAAAAACGGTCCCTGAAATTTTTTCTTGAAAATTTTACTTTGCTAAAAGCTTTCCGAGTGGAATTATTATTGAATAATGAAGTTGACCGTACTATAAATAAATTTGCTACCTTGTATGCAGCGTGCGCGCGTTTTGACCAAAGCAAGGCTTCGCGATGGCGGGTGCCAGACAGGAAGGACGCCTCCATTTATATGTGTGTATGTACAGTGCCCGTTCGTTGATACCCATGACTCATGACTCATTCCGAATGTCACAAACACAATGCGCTTCTTGCATTCTTAATAGATGCGTGTGGCAACGCGCACCCCGCACTTCATGACCCGCCATATTTGCATTTATTTTTCTGTCGGTCGTGTTTACCGATTAGAAAATAAACATGTTATCTCTTTATTTGCTTATGATGCGTATTGTGTTTGTTATAAAAGTCTAGCAATAAATAAATATTTTTGATTTGTATTGTTTCGTAAAGTGAATACGATACGGGTACATTTTGTGGTTTTCTGGCTTCCGACTCACGATGTTGATAATAATCTCTGGTCACAAACGCCGCTGTATCCGTGAATGCATTTCCGAACAATTAGTAACTGCACTTTGCCGTTCATAACAAGTTGCATGCATTTTAGTCATCCAATCAAGTGGAATTTATTTTCTAAGTAGAATGATTCAGATTGCTCGGTGCATTTTGAAGGAAACAGAATATTTGTAATTAACATGCCGCGCAATCAATACTAGTGCATTAGCGAGCATTTCTCGTGCATCTCGTGATGGGCATCTTTGCATTTGGAATTACTGGAGCAGTATAACTGGAGCTGCGGTGTGCGTGCATCAAATTGCATCGAATAGCATCAATTCCGCCATTATTAACTTCGATTTTAACACAACTTTAAACGCTTACAATATAAATAGCTCTAGTTGAGGCGATCGGTTTTATTCTATTTATATTGTTATTCTTATTCATGTTCGAGTTCATATCATGGCAGCAATTATCTCTGATGTTGATGCAGGCGCAGACGTTTCCAGTAACAACGCGAAATTATGTTAATTTGCTTGAGTTGAATTGACACGTTATTTTTTATCTTGTTGACTGGAATTACTTTTTACGAAGAAAATTGAATTTTTCTCATCTTAATTTAAATAATGACGTTGTCGTTGACTTGAAGTCAATAAAATATGAATTAAGGTACAATAAATAGCATGTGTTTAAATGAGCGCAATATGTAATATTCTTAAAAATTATTGTTACAGGGAACTTCGGATTATTCAACAGAAATCTTCGATTGGGGATATCTCTTAAACTAAAAACGATCAACGGATTGAAGATTATAAAACTTTGGAAAATTCAGAACATCGCATGAAAATGAATGCACAGGTGACTCGCATTCGGTGCACCGTAGAAAGATGAATGCACAGGTAAATCTTATGAAAAAATTTTGATTATAATTCTTAATCTTCAATTCTTGCTTTTCGTTTAGTTAACTTGCTTTCAATTTATTTGAACAATGTCTAATAATGTCTAATTTTATTTTAGGCTCCACCATGTTGGTTCTGTGGATTGATTGAAATGGAAACTTTAATTATTCACCGCGCATTCATCGTACAAGGTTGGCCTGTGTGTAACAACGGTCAATGACGCTTTTCGTAAGTACAGCAGATTTAGATAACCATGCGGCTAGGAACACATTCAAACCGATCCATCACATGCCAAGAGGAAAAAGCCGCGCGCGTCGCGCTGAAAAAAACCAAAAGCCGAGTGCATCGCTTTTATTGCGTTTGATTGAGTACAATCATAACACACAAATGCGCTGCGCACATCGACACATGAGCAGGACCAGGCGAACATGCACTGGAGGCTAAAAACAAATGGGAAGCGCGAACGAGAAGAGAATAAATAGCCTGCTTCTTCTTATGACGAGCACTCAGCGGTGGCAAATGCACATGCACATCATGCGCATATGTGCAGAAGGGTAATTATTTTTACAGAACGTGACTTATTCGTTCATAGATGCTTATAGAAATCATACTAATCACAATGAATTACAGATTACATCAGGCCATGTTTTAATTTGAAGGCAATTTATTAAGGATCGCAGAAATAAGAAAATTATGGAAATTTAATAGCGCAACACTTCATAATTGAGATTATTTTGGATTGTATGTATAGACATTCTTTATATTGTCTGTTTTAGGAATTGTAGGATTAATTTTGGTTTATTTTAGGGGCCGATCTGTTCAAGTCAATGTTCAATATAGTGGTACCTACCTCAGATGGTGTGTATTGAAATTCTTTAAAATGTGTCTTTTTGTTACTGATTCTAATATTTTTCTTTGTTATAGATATGATTAGGATTTCAATCAGTTAGCACACATTCATACTCACAACGTGTGTTGTCGCAGCCTCTTGTGTTCAGGAATGATGTGGAACTTCTACCGCTACCCTCCTACGGTGCCCTGAACACGAGTCACTTCTACCGCTACCCTTGTATGGTGCCTTAAATGGGAGTCACTTCTTACGCTACATTCGGACGGTGCTCTAACTTTTGTGATTATTTCACAAATTGACCCCCAAAATTGCATTTTTATGTTCAAATGACTAATTTTTGATGGTTTTAGGGATTTTGCACTTGAGTCCGACATCGTAGAAGGACCATTCTTGCATCAGATTGTAAGTAATTAATTTCTCTATCATATTCCTAAATAATTTTTGAGATTATCTTACAAATTGACCCCAAAATTGCATTTTTATGTTCAAATGACTAATTTTAGATGGTTTTAGGGATTTTGCACCTGAGTCTGACATCATAGAAGGACCATTCTTGCACCAGATTGTAAGTAATTAATTCCTTTATCTTATTCCTAAATAACTTTGTGATTATCTCACAAATTGACCCCAAAATTGCATTTTTATGTTCAAATTACTAATTTTTGATGGTTTTAGGGATTTTGCACTTGAGTCCGACATCGTAGAAGGACCATTCTGGCATCAGATTGTAAGTAATTACTTTCTCTATCATATTCCTAAATAACTTTTGTGATTATGTCACAAATTGATCTCCAAAATTGTCTTTTTATGTTCAAATGACTAATTTTTGATGGTTTTAGTGATTTTGCACCTGAGTCTGACATCGTAGAAGGACCATTCTTGCATCAGATTGTATGTAATTAATTTCTCTATCATATTCCTAAATAACTTTTGTGATTATGTCACAAATTGATCTCCAAAATTGTCTTTTTATGTTCAAATGACTAATTTTTGATGGTTTTAGTGATTTTGCACCTGAGTCTGACATCGTAGAAGGACCATTCTTGCATCAGATTGTAAGTAATTAATTTCTCTATCATATTCCTAAATAACTTTTGTGATTATGTCACAAATTGATCTCCAAAATTGTCTTTTTATGTTCAAATGACTAATTTTGATGGTTTTAGGATTTTGCACCTGAGTCCGACATCGTAGAAGGACCATTCTTGCATCAGATTGTAAGTAATTAATTTCTCTATCATATTCCTAAATAACTTTTGTGATTATGTCACAAATTGACCCCAAAATTGCATTTTTATGTTCAATTGACTAATTTTTGATGGTTTTAGGGATCTTGCACCTGAGTCCGACATCATAGAAGGACCATTCTTGCATCAGATTGTATGTAATTAATTTCTCTATCATATTCCTAAATAACTTTTGTGATTATGTCACAAATTGACCTCGAAAATTGCATTTTTATGTTCAAATGAATAATTTTTGATGGTTTTAGGGATTTTGCACCTGAGTCTGACATCGTAGAAGGACCATTCTTACATCAGATTGTAAGTAATTAATTTCTCTATCATATTCCTAAATAACTTTTGTGATTATGTCACAAATTGATCTCCAAAATTGTCTTTTATGTTCAAATGACTAATTTTTGATGGTTTTAGGGATTTTGCACCTGAGTCTGACATCGTAGAAGGACCATTCTTGCATCAGATTGTAAGTAATTAATTTCTCTATCATATTCCTAAATAACTTTTGTGATTATGTCACAAATTGACCCCAAAATTGCATTTTTATGTTCAATTGACTAATTTTTGATGGTTTTAGGGATCTTGCACCTGAGTCCGACATCATAGAAGGACCATTCTTGCATCAGATTGTAAGTAATTAATTTCTCTATCATATTCCTAAATAACTTTTGTGATTATGTCACAAATTGACCTCGAAAATTGCATTTTTATGTTCAAATGACTAATTTTTTATGCTTTTAGGGATTTTGCGCCTGAGTCCGACATCGTAGATGGACCATTCTTGCATCAGATTGTAAGTAATTAATTCCTTTATCATTTTCCAAAATAACTTTAGTGATTATCTTAAAATTGACCCTCAAAATTGTATTTTTATGTTCAAATGACTAATTTTTGCTGGTTTTAGGGATTTTGCACCTGAGTCTGACATCGTAGAAGGACCATTCTTGCATCAGATTGTTATTATTAAATTTCATTATCTTAAATAACTTTTTTGATTATTACACAAATTGACTCCCAAAATGTATGTTTGTGTGTTTTCTTTAATAAAGAATGTTTTTAAGTTTTTCTAATTAAAATTATTTCTGTTATTTCTACCCGACCACATATTTAACGATCCCTTAAAACATTTATTTTGAAAAGTGCATGCTAGTGCCATCTATCAATTAGAAACTACAACAACCGAAAATTTTGAGCTTCGGTCCGTCGCCACTAGAGGCAGCACATTACTAGTTACCGCGAAAACTTTCTCAGCCTCCTCAACTTTCTGCGATCCTAATATTCAATCTTTATTTTGTCGACTTTGGGAGGCAAAATGGCACAAAATTTGGACTCGAAACAGTCGAAACTCAGGTTTTGGTATTAGGATCGCAGAAAGTGTGAGGAGGCTGATACAGTTTTGGCGGTAACTAATGGCGGGTAAAATTAATGTTTAAAATTCATTTATCAGCAAGTGCAGCTTCTGTATAATTGGAATTTTTGAATTCTGTTTTCGAATTTTGAAAAACTTCTATATCGACTATATATGTAATTGTTTTCTTAACATTGACTGTTTAGGCATGCCAATAGGGCCTTAATCTATAAGTGTGTTACTAGTTTCCGATTCTGAATTTAATCTACTTTCAGAATCCGAAAGCAGAAGTTAAAAATTTCAATTATTAAAGAACCTGAATTTGCTGAAAAAAGATTTCGTCATAAAAAAGGCAAAACATTTTTCTTTTTTATGTCGAATGTTGTTTTCATTAAAATTGCAAATAGGGCTTAAACGGTTAGCATAAACCAAAAAAGTTACTAAAATAATCGATGTAGAATTAAATTATCAATCATAATCCGATAACAGAATTTAAAAATTCCAACTTTTAATTTTCAACATAAAAAAGAGAAATCTTTTGACTTTTTTATAACAAAATCTTTTCTTTAAAAATTTTTTGTGCCATTTTTGTGGTTTTTCAATAATGATGCCATCTTGTCCAGAATTCTTCAAGGATCAAGAATATGTAATTATTTTTATTCTAGCCCTTTTAGTTGCCGAGATAATTACCATTCAATCTTCATAAATTAGGCTATCTCGACAACTAAAAGGGTTAGAATAAAAATAACTACATATTCTTGATCCTTGAAGAATTCTAGACAAGATGGCATATTTTTCTCAAAATGAAGAAATGGGCACAAAAAATTTTTAAAGAAAAGTTTTTGTTATAAAAAAGGCAAAAGATTTCTCTTTTTTATGTTGAAAATTAAAAGTTGGAATTTTGAAATTCTGTTTGAGGCTGCTGATATATAATTTAATTCTACATCGATTATTTTAGTAAAGTTTTTTGCTAGCATTAACCGTTTAGGCCCTATTTGCAATTATAATAAAATACGTGTATCCCGTGGGAATAGTCTAATTTATGAAGATTAAATGGTAATTATCTCGACAACTAGAAGGGCTAGAAAAAAAAGAACTACACATTCTTGATCCTTGAAGAATTCTGGACAAGATGGCATCCTTATTGAAAAACAACAAAAAATGGCACAAAAAATTTTGTCGAGAAATTCCAGTGAAATTATACACAAAAATCTTTTGAATATTAGGATCGCAGAAAGTGCAGTAGGCTAAATCTCTTGAATAGCGGCGTAGTTTTGTTACTCGTGGATAGATGACACTAGTGATACCGTTTTTAAATTAATATTGATACATTACCATTTAAGTTTAAGGAATTTATGGATTAATTAAAGGAGTAACGATGTTGCGAGCTATGTTCTCGGTTTGGGAGAAATTAAATAATAAAAATTTATAGTTAAAAATATAAAACAACAATTTTATTCAAACATGTAGAATCACAAACTCAGTTTCTCAATATATACAGCATTTTTTAAAATACAAGCATAAAAACAGGATAATATTATACCATTATATAATGCTCTTTTTATAACTATTAACAAAATAAACAAAAATGAAATCAATAACAGCTTCGAATTGTTGTAAATTCATTCAATCGTATTTGGAATCATCAACACCGGCAATCGAATCTTCAATTTCTCGGACTCTATAAATCAGAATGAATAACAAAATAGTAACATATAAAATATTATAAATTGCCAAAATACATACGTTCTGGGTATTTTAGTCTAGTTGACACATCCATCTTCAGTAATCAAAACTTCATCCTCAATACGCACTCTACCCCATTGATAAACTAGGCCATCTCAGGATTGCCAATGCTTCATCCAACAACTGGAAAATATTTATGTAAATGAAATATACATATACATAAATTAAATTAATTATTCTTACAGGATCCATAAAGACTCCCATTTAGAGCAACGGACGAAGATAGCGGTAGAAGTGACTCCCATTCAAGGCACCGTAGAAGGGTACCGTTAACGTTTATGTAAATGTTAATGCAGAATTCATCGGACTCCATAGTACAGCGAATACTGTAAAAAAACATAAGTTTAAACAACTTGCATAAGTATGTACAACTATAAATATTAGTATATATAAATCTCGCAATAAGTTTCAATACAGAGAGAAACAGAATTAAATTCTCATCAGGGAAAATTATTCCAAACTTATTGTGACACTGCGATCGCGAGTTATATCAGTAAAACTACAATTCCAAGCGCAAAGAGTGCCAGTGCGTATACACACAACTTTCAATATAACTCGCATTACGGAATTTGCTTGCAATAAATTTCAATACACGGAGATACAAAATTAAATTCTGCATCTGGGAAAATTATTCCAAACTTACTGTGACACCACAATCGCGTGTTCTATCAATTAAACTACAATTCCAAGCGCATCGAGTACCACTGCCTATACACACAACTTTCATACAATTCCAAGCGCAACGAGTACCAGTGCGTATACACATAACTTTCATTATAACTCGCATTACGGAATGTTCATGCAATAAATTTCAATACAGGGAGATACAAAATTAAATTCTGAATCTGGGAAAATTATTTCAAACTTAGTGTGACACCGCGGTCGCGAGTTAGATCAGTAAAACTACAATTCCAAGCGCAACGAGTACCAGTGCCTATACACACAACTTTCATTATAACTCGCGTTACGGAATTTTCATGCAATAACTTTCAATACAGGGAGATACAAAATTAAATTCTGCATCTAGGAAAATTATTCCAAACTTAGTGTGACATTGCGATCGCGAGTTATATCAGTAAAACGACAATTCCAAGCGCAGCGAGTACCAGTGCGTATACACATAACTTTCATTATAACTCGCATTACGGAATGTTCTTGCAATAAATTTCAATACACGGAGATACAAAATTAAATTCTGCATCTGGAAAAATTATTCCAAACTTAGTGTGACACCGCGGTCGAGAGTTATATCAGTAAAACTACAATTCCAAGCGCAACGAGCACCAGTGAGTATACACACAAATTTCATTATAACTCGCGTTACGGAATTTTCTTGCAATAAATTTCAATACACGGAGATACAAAATTAAATTCTGCATCTGGGAAAATTATTCCAAATTTATTGTGACACCGCGATCGCGAGTTATATCAAAAAACCTACAATTCCAAGCGCAACGAGTACCAGTGCGTATATACACAACTTTCATTATAACTCGCGATACGGAATTTTCTTGCAATAAATTTCTATACAGAGAGATACAAAATTAAATTCTGCATCTGGGAAAATGATTGCAAACTTAGTGTGACACCGCGTTCGCGTGTTATATTAAAAAAACTACAATTTCAATACAGGGAGAAAAATATAATTGAAAAACATCAATTAAAACAGAGATGAAATTTTAATTCTTAAGAAAAAATTGCCAAGGGGGGGTGCTTGATACTTTTTTTCGACGATTTTTGATAATTAATATCTCTTAAACTAAACGAGATAGCAACCCACGAATTGTTGATTATGAAAGATTGGAAAATTGTCTATCAGATAAAAATATAAAATAATTATATTTTCTACAGTAAAAGGTCGAAAAACGCGACTAAAAGTGCTAAAAAGTGACATTTATCAATTTTTGCCCATTTTATTCAATCGCGAATATCTCGCAAACTAAAAGAGATAAATAAGATCTGATCGCAGCATCTTAATCTACGGACTATTTTCTATCAGATAGGATATTTAAAAGGGAAATATGAAAGACAAAATTTTAAGTCTTAAGAAAAAAATTGCCAAGGGGGGGTGCTTGATACTTTTTTTCGACGATTTTTGATAATTAATATCTCTTAAACTAAACGAGATAACAACCCACGAATTGTTGATTATGAAAGATTGGAAAATTGTCTATCAGATACAAATATAAAATAATTATATATCCAACAGTAAAAGGTCGAAAAACGCGACTAAAAGTGCTAAAAAGTGACATTTATCAATTTTTGCCATTTTATTCAATCGCGAATATCTCGCAAACTAAAAGAGATAAATAAGATCTGATCGCAGCATCTTAATCTACGGACTATTTTCTATCAGATAGGATCTTTAAAAGGGAAATATGAAACACAAAATTTTAAGTCTTAAGAAAAAAATTGCCAAGGGGGGGTGCTTGATACTTTTTTTCGACGATTTTTGATAATTAATATCTCTTAAACTAAACGAGATAACAACCCACGAATTGTTGATTATGAAGGATTGGAAAATTGTCTATCAGATACAAATATAAAATAATTATATTTCCAACAGTAAAAGGTCGAAAAACGCGACTAAAAGTGCTAAAAAGTGACATTTATCAATTTTTGCCCATTTTATTCAATCGCGAATATCTCGCAAACTAAAAGAGATAAATAAGATCTGATCGCAGCATCTTAATCTACGGACTATTCTCTATCAGATAGAATTGCGAATATCTCCTAATTATGTCCGACCGTTCCAGTCGTCTTATTTGAGTCACAGGTAGGTAGTACATGATAAATAGAAAACTTGTTATAAACAGCAAATGAAAATTTGACCGAAAAATATAATTGAATTATAAACTTACCAGTGTACAGCTTATCGGACTGCCAGGCACAACGAGTGCTGTAACTAAACGAAAACATAAATTAAAACATAAATATTTCATACAATTGAATTATGTTATAATTAACAATCAACACAAAATAAACCATATGTGCAAATAAACAATATACTTACACGAGCCGCATGGATCTTTCTTAATGATGAGAATCAACATGGGGGCGATACATAATTTAGTAACCGACATCAAACACAACGCCGAGTGAAGAATGTTATCAAATCCAGTATCACATGACTTGTAATATACATAACACACACGATCATAAACCGGCATTTCCTAACATTAAACAAATTACTATAGTCCCAAAGTACAAATAAATAGTCGATTGATCTTCGAGTATAACACGAATAAACGATACAAGTCTCTCAAAACACAGCTGGATTAACTAGCGACCGGCACGAAACTGCGTGCAATCCACTGATAGTGCATGCCGAAACTGCGTAAACAACGTCGGGATAGTATATGATAAGAAAGCAAGAGGTGCGCAAAGACGGCGCGTCGAAGGCACGCGACCTTGTACGCGAATTCGCAATAGGTACATTACCGGTGATCTAAACTAAACTAAGATGCAGCAACATGCGGCGTGAGGTGCTGGCAACGACGACACACGATAAGAAAGTGTATATTGTGTTCAAACAAACACAATTCTTGTGTCGAATGTTAACGCTTGCTGATAAATATAGAAATAAACAATACAAGTTTATTTTACAATTTTTAGTCTATGCTATTGCCATCTATAAATGCTGACAGATTGCCAGATTTTACATTAAATATTTAAGTGATATTTAATTTGAACATGCATCGTTTCTCGTTTACCAGGTAACACAATAGTCCGTAATCATCTGCTGATAATAAAAACGTATTAGAATTAATATAAAATTGTGAGTTATATTCATGAAAGAATTGATGAATATTTACTTAAATTTACGATACTAATATACTAAACAGCAACGGTGTGTTTTGATTCACCGAAATAAAGATTCGATACCTGCAGGTAAACAAACTTATCTCTTGCGCGAAATCGCGTGATCCACACGGACACGGTGTGCACTCACTACCACCAACAAGCAATATTTAATGCAAAACCGTACATCGTAGCGCCATCTAACCTTTGAAAATATTTATCAACTTCAAAACACATTTATCAAATATGCAACAAGGTTGATTAGTATTAGTTGATGAGTATTTAATAAATGATTCATTTAATTTTTTCGTACAATAATCAATAAACGTATCAGGTAATGCTACGAGTAAGTTGATTCGTTTACATACATACGCAATAACGGGCTGCTCTTCATTACGTGCATGCGTGTGTGTATGTGTGAGTGTGAAAAACAGTTAAAAGCAGGGAGATACAGAATTAAACTCTGCATCTGGGAAAATTATTTCAAACTTATTGTGACACCGCGATTGCGAGTTATATCAAAAAACCTACAATTCGAAGCGCAACGAGCACCAGTGCGTATATACACAACTTTCATTATAACTCGCGTTACGGAATTTTCTTGCAATAAATTTCTATACAGAGAGATACAAAATTAAATTCTGCATCTGGGAAAATTATTCCAAGTTTACTGTGAAGCCGTGATCGCGTGTTATATCTAAAAAACTACAATTCCAAGCGCAACGAGTACCAGTGCGAATACACACAACTTTCATTATAACTCGCATTACGGAATTTTCTTGCAATAAATTTCGATACAAGGAGATACAAAATTAAATTCTGCATCTAGGAAAATTATTCCAAACTTAGTGTGACACCGCGATCGCGTGTCATACCAAAAAAACTACAATTCCAAGCGCAACGAGTACCAGTGCGTATATACACAACTTTCATTATAACTCGCGTTACGGAATTTTCTTGCAATAAATTTCAATACAGGGAGATACAAAATTAAATTCTGCATCTGGGGAAATTATTCCGAACTAATTGTAGCATAATGTAGCATTTTTTCATAAGAAGAAATGGGCAAATTTTTAGAAATTTTTAATCCATATTATTAATAGAAACATTATATATAGCAGTATATAAACTAAAAATCCTCAGTGATGTAAGAAACAATTTTATTCTTAACGCATACTAACACGCGCTGTGAACTCAACAAATTCACGGGACAAGAGCGAGAGGACGCGATAAAAACAAGTTGTTTATCCACAACACTGATAACACGCCAAGAAGAAAACAAGACCAACCATGCTCTACACATATATTTTTATAACAAGAATAATTTAATTATAAACTTACCAGTCGATGGTGCATCACACAACTCGTTGCCTCACTCATGTCCAGTAACAAACTTAAGCAATTATTTTACAGCACTGCACGACTTAACGTATTACTTAGGTCGCGTGTAAAGCACATAATGCATGCGGCCCAATGCGTGTGCCGGGAGCGACTGCTCGCCTGCGTTACCTGCCTACTTATCTCAAGCGCAACGTGAGAAAACGGTGCAGGTCGCGCCACCTGGCGACAACATGTTTTGTTTAGCACATTCAAAGAATTTGAAACACACATTAAAAGTTTGGCGTTATACGTTACAGGAAGGGAATTTGCCAGATAGAAGGTATAACAAATGCTACAATTGATATATGAATATTTTAATATGTACACTTGTACATAGAGTTTGGAAATTATTTTACTGTACTTTATGTTGTGAACATTACATAACAAAAGTGACATAAAAATTATAAAAAAAGCTTTAAGAAGTCTCAACAGGTATGAACAACAACGGTTCGGTCGGTCAAACAAACGATGTTCGAAAAGTAGTCAATGTGCATTTCTTCGCCATCAACTGAATACTGAATATAAACATGACAAGACGCCCGCCCACACAAGAGAACGCAAATCGTATTCATATTCACATTTCCCTTTTTAATATCACATGTAGAGATTAGAAATACAGTTTAGCAGTAAGTGTACATGCACAACTCAAAATGAAATGCCCTGAAACCTGTTTGTTTGTAAACACACTTTCAATGTGGAAGTGCAGAACATGAATAGAATTGTACTTGTACTATGCATGGAACTATTAATTTCTATTAAATTTTAAATCGGAAACCTGATAGATAATTTAATTCTAGATCGATTATTTTAGTAACTTTTTTGCATATTATAGAGGGACTTCTTAGCTATCATCTGACTGTAAGATAAACTAAATTGCTTTATTGGTATAGAAGTTACAGGGTGTTTTCCACGCTCACTATTAAAAAGTTCAGAAAAACATCATTTTAAAGGTCCTTTTAAGGTAGTTCTAAAGGGTTAAAAGGGTTGGGAAGATAGTCATATTTTAGAGGGATTCATTAACTATCATATGGTAATAAGATAGCATCAATTTCTCCATTGGTACAGGAATTACAGGGTGTTCTCCATGTTCACTTTTAGAATTGCTGTTTTTAAAGTGTATTTTAGTGTATTTCCGATAAATTTAAGAGTTAGAAAGGGTGCATGTGTTGTATAAGGACTATTGATTGACAATATGACAATAATACTTAATCAAAGATCGATTATTTTAATTCAAGAATACAAATACACTGGAAAATTGCACAATCTCTTTAATGGCGCCTACTTGTAAGATAATTTGTGTAGTGAAACATACATAAAATATAGGCACCTTAACCCCTATCTCTCAAATAAACTATGCAATAACATTGTTGATAGTTGCAAATGTTGCTACACTACTAAAATAAACAAAAATAGCAATTGTTTTCATTCACGCTTGAATTTTGAATTGTTATGATTGCTGGTTATAGCCGTGGAACTATACAACTCGTCCACGTTTTCGTTAAGCTTCTTTGCAAGAAAATACAACTCAGCAAGCGCAACAATCAACCCGCCGATTATTCCTAGCAATAGTCGAAATCCAAAGTCCTGAGATCCGATCATGAGTTCGATCCCCAGGAAACCAAACAAGAAACCAGTCAGCACAGAAACCACAAACTGAAATACCGCTATCAGTTGAGCGTTGATTTCTTTCACTGCAAAGATATAAAACAAAGAAATAAATAAATATTTTATACATAATATGCTTAAAAATCTTACTTTGATATGAAATGGTATCTTCAGGTAAATGTTTCCGCGTGTTATCAACGTTTTTAGTCATCATTTTATACTCTCTGTTACTTTGTTGATTCCTTAATTTCACACATCGTGCCTCCAGTTCTTCGCTCCTCTCTATCTCTTCATTTTTTGGTAGAATTATCTCAGTACCTTGGAACAGCTTGTGAAAATACACGCGGTCCTTTTCGTCACGCTCTTTATTTTGTTCTTCTATATATTTATGTAACCAGGTAAGATCTTCAAAATTAAGTAACTTATCACCTGGTTTTCTCTCTGTACATTCAGCAGGCTCTTTTTCAAAGTCCACATCATCATCTAGATTTGCTTGTAAACTATTCAAGTAATCTAAGTCACTAGATGTAAGTACAGAAGGGTAATCTGAATACCCTTTTCTTACTTTAATATCTTCTACATCACTTTTCTTTTTACTTTTTGTTGTGACAATATTACTTACACCATTTGGGATACTATCATCATCAACTTTTAGTGTTCTTATAAATTTCAACAGGTCTTTTGATGGTTTATACAAAATCTGAGCATCAGTGATTGGTCCTGCAATCATCTTGGAGTTTTATTTATCCAGTTGTAACTTTTGTTGTAGATCTTTGTAGAAATCTTTCAGTTTCTCTTCCTCCAGCTCAAATTTCTTGTCAATTTGTAGGCAATTATCACTGATTCCTTCAATAAACTGCTCCCATTCCAATTGACGTTTTTGTCTGCTATCAACCAATGCAGTATTTTCTTTGTACTTAGCTTCAATATCCTCAATGGCTTTTGCAGTTTGCAGAGCTTGCCCCAAGTCAACTCGTGCTGGTGGATACAGTGAGTCAATCAGTTGTTTAGCATGATTAATTTGTGTATCTCTGATGTTTGTGATGTTTTCTAAGATTGTGAAGAGTTCCTGTACCTCTTTATCACTTCGTTTTTGCTAAAAAAAACAATTTATAATTAAATAAACTGAAGAAATACTTAAAAAGTGAGTGATATTAGTGAATATATAACCCTACTCACTTCTAACTCGCGGAGTAGATACTGTATTTCACCGTTGAGAAAGCCCCGATGGTCGAATAATCGAAACCAAATTGAATTAATACCTGTAATTAACAGAAATAGATCAATTTTTGCGACTACAAATTGTTTTCCACCCCACCTTTGAACAGTTCAGACATTTCTGTGTGTCATTGTTGATTTATCGCACTAAATCACGTGGGGCTAGCTGCGTATGTATTGCTAGCGCAGCATATGTATGACCACTATACATACACGCTAAACATACGCGCGCACACGTATGCAGGCATATTTTCTGACATGTACATAGAATTACTTATTTACAACTTTCCAATAGCCTTTAACAGTGTATTTTTTGTTTAATGCTAAAGTACAATTCGAGTAATACCCTTTCACTCCTTCTGTTTGTAAACAGCTGAAATTCAGCGTAGAGTAGTTAATCCACGCGATAAACTTATGCATATCCCACTTAGCTCGCCACCTGATTTTTGGTTGTGCAAAGTCCAAAGTGCAGTCTAGCCCGTTCTAGTCATTAAAAACATCGTTAGCAAACGGAATAGCCTGCTAAATTCAGTTTCATTCACGCAGCGACTATCATCAAACCCGCAACACGTGTAGGTTTCCTAAGTTTTAATTCTTGGCATTACCAAAACCATACAATCATGCTGCGAGGAAGTCTTCAATTGACCAATTTGGCCAAGAACAAATTGGTTGTGCCAAGGTAAACCATTAAACAATTAATTATATCTTAAATAACCGTTTTTCTTAATATATTTTTTTTAGATATTTGAGCACTACTGCAGTGAACCTTAAAACAGTTACCAACAATGAAAAGCCTGCAAAACCAGCCGGAGAAAACCTATCATTCACAATGAACATGTTCAGGGGCCAAGTACAAAGTAGCCAAGTCTTCCCTTATCCAAATGTATTAAATGAAGAAGCCAGGGAAACCATTCAGATGCTGGTTGACCCATTTCAAAAGTTTTTTGAGGTAAATTGTTTGCATACTATGACCAACAACATTTTATTTTTGGAATGCAAGCAAAAGCAAAAATTAATTGGACCAAAGGTCAAATGTGATTAGCCAAACTATAAACAAGTTATATAAATATAGCCTGCATCTATTTCTGTACTAATTTTGTGATAGTGCATTCTTTAAATGCAATTCACATAGATATGGATAATATTCATTTAATAATTAGTCTTACCTTTCAATTGTAGGAAGTAAATGACCCAGCAAAGAATGATGCACTTGAAAAAGTTGAAGATAAATGCCTGGAAGCGCTGTGGGATATGGGAGCGTTCGGTATTCAGGTCCCGCAAGAACTTGGCGGTCTTGGACTGATGAATACACAATATTCGCGCCTGGTGGAGATCGTCGGCATGCATGACATGGGCGTTGGTATTACCCTTGGTGCGCATCAATCTATCGGCTTCAAAGGAATCCTGCTCTACGGCACAGACGAACAAAAGAAGAAGTACCTCCCGATGGTGTCGACAGGCAAACACTACGCTGCTTTCTGCCTGACGGAACCCTCCTCCGGTTCGGATGCTGGTTCGATCAGATCCCGCGCTGTTTTGTCCGATGACGGCAAGCATTACATCCTGAACGGATCGAAAATCTGGATCAGTAACGGAGGACTTGCTGAAGTAATGACTGTTTTCGCCCAAACTCCGATCAAAGACCCTAAAACAGGCGAAACCAGAGATAAAGTCACCGCGTTTATTGTCCAGCGCAGTTTTGGTGGTGTGACCAACGGTGCCCCTGAGAAAAAGATGGGCATCAAAGCGTCCAACACAGCAGAAGTATACTATGACAATGTGAAAATCCCCATTGAAAATGTCCTCGGCGGCGTGGGTAACGGCTTCAAAGTAGCGATGAACATTTTAAACAACGGCCGATTTGGTATGTCTGCTGCGCTTTCCGGTACAATGCGCACATGTACAGCCAAAGCCGTGGAATTCGCCACAAACCGTCTTCAATTCGGTAAAAAAATTGATACTTTCGGCAGCATTCAGGAAAAGATCGCCACAATGTCCACGCTGCACTATGTTACCGAGTCTATGGCTTACATGATTTCTGGCAACATGGACAGTGGATCAGAACATTACCATCTTGAAGCCGCTGTATCAAAGATTTTCGCTTCGGAAGCCGCATGGTATGTGTGCGATGAAGCTATTCAAATCATGGGAGGCATGGGTTTCATGAAAGAAACTGGCCTGGAGCGCATTTTAAGAGATCTGCGTATTTTCCGCATCTTTGAAGGCACCAACGACATTTTACGATTGTTTGTTGCACTTACCGGTATTCAATACGCCGGCGCGCATTTGAAAGAACTGCAAAACGCCTTCAGGAATCCCACGGCGAATCTAGGACTCATTTTTGAAGAGGCATCCAAGAGAGTGGTCCGCTCGGTTGGTCTCGCCACACCGCCAGCGATGGATCATTTGGTGCACAAGGACCTTGCCCAGTCAGCCAATATGATTGCCAAGGGTGTGGATGCTTTTGGTCAATCAGTCGAGATGGTCCTGATTAAATACGGCAAGAACATCGTCGATGAACAATTCATTCTCAACCGACTCGCTGATGCCGCAATTGACCTCACCACAAGCGCTGCAGTCCTATCCAGATGCACAAAGTCCCTGAATGAGAAGATTCCCTCTGCCGAACATGAGAAACTGATGACGGAATCCTGGTGTCTGCAGGCATCTGAACGCGTCGCTCGGAACCTCAAAGCAGTATCCACTGGAAAGACGCTCGTCAACTACACCAAAATGTCCGCGATTTCGAAAAACGTCTGCAAGGAGCTCGGAATCGTCCAGAAAAACCCGCTGGGCTTTTAAATACCTAAATAATTTTATAAAACTTATAAGTTAATCCGCATGGGCATCGTGGCTCATTGGCTTTTCTATTTATGTCACTTTTTATATCTATTCTGTACATTTTAACGCTAAGGAATTGTATTGAAACGTTAACGGATTCATATAAAACGATTTTATTTCCGTACGTGTGTTCACTAAATTATTTCCACCTTGCATACACATGTTATATCACTAAAACCACATTTACATTCTACTACGCCATTCGTACAAAACACATCAATCAATCGAATCCCGAAGGATGTAATTTTACACAAATGCTTTGCTTGTTTAAATCTTAATTACATGCTAAATCAGGTCGATTGAACACGTTTGCTGTTTTACTATCCACGAACTTTTATAGTAATATTATCATCGCCGCCATGCGATTGTGCAAAGTGAAACAAAAGTCCATAGAAAAAACCGATTCGTAAAATATCACAATGAAAATATTCGTAAATTATTTGATTCGCCGGGTCAATAGATCAACTGGCTATGGATGATACCACGTGGAAGCATATTCATATTCATATACGTATAAATAATTATCACAAAACAGTTGAATGTCAAGTTGTCCGATAAAATACTCACTTGGCTCGCTCGGGCACGAAATCATAACATTTTTTTGTACTTTGTTTTGGTATATACGCGCGCGTGTGCTAATCCGACTCCTCGCTGCTTGTCTGCTGCATCGATGTGAACCATTTTTCTCTGGTATTCGACGCGCATGGATAAGTTCTACAAATATTATTCAATTACAAGTAGAAGATACAAATAGCAAATTAAATGGTACAAACCTTTGTTTTCTGGAATGTGTTGGTAACGTTAAAGACGTGCGATAAGACAATTCATAACCGGATTCGGAGAGTGGACGTCGCTGCAGCGACATTGTTTCATTCATCGCCTCGCCATCATCATCCGCGCCGGAAACATTCGCTGTTTTACAATTTTCACACTCACTCCTTAAACAATACAATAAATAATCATCATATTTATTATACACACTATTATGCTACCTGTAATCCTCTTCATCCTGTGATAAACTCTGGTAAGTAAGCAAACTCTTCACAGGAACATCTTTCGCTTTCTCAATTGATTTGGGCACCTCAATAACAGGCACCACAATGGGTTGTTGCTGTTGAGACAATGGCGGTGGCGGTTTTACTTTCTCTATTTTCGGAGTTGAGCTGAACGTGACTTTAGGCGCTTCAGTCATCAACACACGTTCAGCCTGATGCAACTGGTGACTGCTCAAGGTGGTGCCGATCTTAAACCCGTCCGGATTTGATAACAACTCGCGCAGGTTTTTTGGCAGCGTGCGATGCATGCTCTTCTTCGGGTCCGACCGAGAAGCGTATTGATCGTGTAGTTTGATTTTATTGTACGCGTCGTTCATGTAGCGACTGTACGGTGACGCAGCCTGCGAGCCGCCGAGCAGAGTTGGCACGTGCGGGACCAATTCGTAGGTGTCCGGCATGGTGGACGAACTCGCCGATGAGTTGCTATGAGCTACTTTCGCATTATCCGCAAGGATCACCTGGGACCGACTTCGGCTTTTATGATAAGCGGATTTCGTCAAACCTGAGCTTGTTGGGCGATCGTGCGCTACGCCTGATGTACTACCATTACCCTTAAGCGCTGTTACATTCTCATATGATGCTTCGGACTTATGTGGGTGTGGATGTGGCGGCGGATGATGTTGGTGTTGTTGGTTGTTAGCGCGTTCGTGTTTTTTATGATCATTATGTTGGACCTGCACACGTACATTCACGTACTGATGCGTGTTGCTGGAGATATTTGGGATTTCAGCCGTGCTGGTGTTTGCTACCGTTGGAATTTGCATGGGCATTGCAGTTGAGGTGCCCGTTGAGGAAGGAGTGTCTTCATGTCGGCATTGTATGTACGCAGGCGTGATTTCTTGCGGGTATGAGGAGGTAATGGAGTTGATTAGGTATTGTGCGTGGTTGCATTGTGGATATTGTGAGTAAGGTCATGCTGAACACCGCGCATCGCCTCCTCGTATGGTGGAGGCGCTTCACCAGGCGGGAAATAATTCCCTGGGGGTTTCCAGAGCGAAAAATTGGTACTGGTCTCTTCATATCGTATTTCTATTTCGTTATTACCCGAACCCAAATACCTAAAATGTTTTTTTTTATATTAATATTGAAAAATAAAAGTTTAAGGTACAAAATTTCTTACCCCATGTTATGTTGATTGTAGCCAAAGTTCCCAGCAATATACCCCACATTACTGAGATTTCTTTGCTCCTCATGCTGATGATTATGATGCTGGAGTGATTTGTTCCTCTTAAGGCGATTGTATAAAAAGAACAAGAGGGATATTGACAGAACAGCGGTGACGGTGGTGGCTATGAAACGCAGCGCAACATCATAAGTGTCTTTGTAATTGTCGTGCGACGAAAGGATATCGTCTAAACACTTGAATTCACAGCAAGAACTCCCAACTTGAAACGATTTGCAATTCTACACAAAAAAAACACAAATTAAATTACATAAAACAAATAAATGCGTTTGTCTTACTTGGGGTGGTGAGCACAACACAGACTTGCACCATTTTGGACCACCCTTATCACAAATGCAGAGCGTGCAAGGATTTGTCCCGCCAGGGACGTAATGCAGTCCTTGCGAGACAATTCGGGAATGTATATCGATGCAATGACTGTGGACACCTGCATAATAAAGAAATAAAACAAGTTTTAGTCGCGTGCGCTGACCGAGTTGACGTTTCGTCCGATTGGGACAATGAGAGCTGTTCCAGTTATTTTATTCAATGTACTCACGATAGATTTCGAGCAGCGTCGTTGTGCCCAAGAGCAGGTGCCTGATGCGCATCGTACGTGCGTATTTTTGGCGGCTGCTTGGCGCATTTGTTTCCGCCGAATGCGGAGCGCGCTATTTAATTAGAGCGACGGCGGTATTGATCATTTCTTAATTTCGGATCATAACAGCGGCTGGGCTCGCAATGCTACAGCGCTGCGCTCCCCCCGACAACTGCGAGCCGAGCGCGCGCGGCGCTTTGGCGCCTACTCCCACGACTTGATAAAACAGGTAGGTCAAGCTGCAATGGTGGGAGAAGTCGTGTACCAATCATTATTGAAGTTACTACTGAAAAAGAACCAAAAAACAAAGCAAATTTTGCGAAATTCATGAGTTTTAAGTACATTAGGTCCATAAATGCATGAAATAATGTAAATTTATAAGAAATTTTTGAGAAAAAGCACAAAAGAAAAACAAATAATCATATTATATAGCAAATCCACTGAAATTCTTGATATAAACCTGTAATTTGTATAGTTTTACCATTTTTTGATATAATTTTGATTTTTTCAAATATTTTACGCCTATTTTGTATAAAAATATGTTTATTTCCATATCTAATATTAAAATAAATCATCTTACACTAAATTCAAACTAAATCAAGTGTTTAAAATTAAATGAAAGTAGAGACGATAATCAGACAAATGTCTCCCAAATTATTAGTGTCAAGAGTGATGCACAGCAGATGCCAGTAACATGATATATACACGGCCAACAATCTCACACGAATCTTATTTAGAATATCGAAAGTAGGCCTTTTTGTTACACATCTTCACATGTGTTTCACATGTTTTACATAATTATTATTCTAGTCATAGGATGGAGTTGTGTGGCAGTAATGCCGATTTTCGTTTGGCACTATTTAAACTCTCTTAAATCTAGTTACAATAGTTTGACAACTTTTACATATATACACTTAAATGATGCACATTTATGCTAACACACATCCAGAGCACAAGCCTCCAAATATCCCTGCTTTGTTCGTTTGTTCAAATGAATACGTATTTGAATGTAAACAATCAACCGATATTGCTGTCATGTAATTAATCTCATAAAACCTACTGAATTATTACTAAAACTGGATCTGCATGATCATGATGTCAATTGAGTTATTACCTAGTTAATTATCATCTTTGCAGAATATTTCGTAGATCATCAGGCAGGGAACAGATAATATCTTGTAATTTCTGTTCCAATTGCCTGCGGACGGTGCCGTTCATACCTACAGCGTGCTGCTCACATTTAGTGATTTTATTCTTTATTTTGAGCACCATATCCACCACTTCCACTTCTGCTTTATCATGGACCCAACTTTTTAAATCCTAAACAATAAAAAACATGTAACAACAAAAAATAACCTAAAAATTACATTTTTTACTTACTGCCTCACATAAAGCTTCCAATTGCAACGCTTGCAACTTCATCGTCAGTTCAGTATACCGTATATTAAACCACGCGCTGAAATTCGGCGATTTGAAGAACCTCCGATACAAACCAATCCAATCACCTTTAATCCCCGAAGTGAGTTGAGGTCCTGCCGTTTCCAGCATCGCGAAAAACTGGTCAGGATTGAATGGCAACGGCATTGGTGCTGCCTGTAATTATTTCATCCCAGAAATTAATATTAAATCCTAATTACCCGGATTTTTAAATATAAATGCGCACAAACCTTGAAAGGAGAAATATTCTTCAAGAGTGGCATTAAACTAGCCATGTATCTCTCCAGTGGAATCATGAAACTATGCGTCAATTCCAACAAATGTTTGCGCAGCAAAGCCGTTTGTACTTCCGATGGACGTTTGAGGTTTATCCCAGCGACAAGATTCTTAATAATTGCCTTATCCTTTTGCAAAAAGGGCTTGTAACTGGTATAAACCCCAGGCGTAGGGTCAAATATCTTAGTATTACCGGACTTTTTCAACTTATACTTAGAATATTTTCCGTAATCATCACCAAGACGTATTGTATGCGGCCAATGATGAAGTGTTTTCGCAAAAAACGGATTTGTAACACCCAGTATCACCGGTGGTGGTCCTTGGAGTTTACTGGTGAATTGTTTGAATTCACTGTCGTGGATTGTAAAATACGGACGATGATCCGCGCAGAATTTCAATGGCGAAATCATTCTAAAATTTTAAAATGTAGATTTAAACGTTTAAAATCTTTTTTTTACCTTGTCAAAGCTAAAACCATTGCTGAACAATGAGTAGGTGAAGATGCCATCACAATCAAAGGTTCAGCTGTAATCACCAACTCCCAGAGCATGTCAATATGTGATACAATTGGTTGAAATATTTCAAAAAGATTTAAATCTTCCACTGATGTTTGTATGGAATTTTCAGGGCTTGTTGTGACTTCATTTACCCCAGCAAGTTGTAATAATAAAGAAGATGATGAACTTTGATGAGGAATATAAGTCTAAAGTAATAAATTATAAATTTATAGAAAACAAGTAAATTAATTGAATATTTACTTGAAAAACTGATCCAAGCAGTGGCAAATTAAGAGTCACACCAGGTGTTGGTACAGGCCACTGATCAATGTTTAAACAAGCAGCTTCCAGACTCAAATTCCCATTGTCAAAATACTCTGGAGCTATCAGGGATATTATTTTAGTGAATAAATTATTAAAGGGAAGTTTTGATAGTATCACAACACTCTGAAATTAAATATTATTTAATTTTTTTAAAAAGAATCAATTTAAGTGTAAAAATTACTTTTTGAAAATACCCCCTTGGTAAACTAATATCTTTAACTTGTCTGAAATAAACAAAACCCCAGTAGAAAGCTGAATTGACTTGTAGCATGCCAGGACACTTGGAATTATAATCACTGTGTTCATTACGAAGTGTTCTTTTACTTTGACAACACTGCAGCCTGATTGTAAACTCTGTATCACCCATACAGCCACTGTTAGAGTCTGGGAAGGCTAGATAACAAATATTGGATGTTTCCTGTTTGGTCAATGTCACTGTAGGTGGATATACACTCTAAAATTAATGATTAAAACATAAAACATGAAAGATTATAATATTATCCATGTTCTCTCACCTCGAGAGCTTGCCCAAGCTCCAAATCAAAAGTAACTACACAAATACAGTGAATCCAATTAGCAAACTGTTCCCATTGTTCACCATCAGTATCACTATCTTCATCATGTTTATCATTCGCATTTGCTAATGTTTCAGCATGCGTGTTGTTTATATTGTTCGACATTGTTGAAATTGGCGATTTCTAAACGCAGTGGATGGGTAATAACAAATATAAACAAATCTCTTTACCGTTTTGTTGATCAAAAAGCACTGCTAATCACTGACAAGATTATCATTGACACCTAGGCTGGTATTGCACGCACGTTTTCCACACACGTGCGTTTCTTTCGTTTACTAACAATAATATTAGTGGCCATCATGTATCAGCAAGCTGCTAATGCAAAACACAAGTGAATAGTGGACGACGTGCGCTGTGTGTCGTGCACGCCAAACAGATGATTGTATATTGCGCGGATGTAGAATGGAGGGCAGCACGAAACACGCAGAGAAAGTTTCTCGCAGTTTCTAGGCGATAGAGACATGAATCGCGAGTGGAATAAACAGAGATATGTTCCATATGTTTGTTGAGTTTATATAGATGGCAGTATATGGGCTGTTTAGTAGCAATCGCACAAAGTAAATAGATAATTATTTAAATTATGCCAGGTTGAAGTAAATCCAACTACAAACTTGATTAATAATAATTATTAACTCTAGCGGCTCAGAAATTGATATTTCATTATAAAAATGTAGAAATCGATGCATTTTAAGCATAAATTACGTTAAAATAATCAAAATTATCCATAAATGTCAAGATTAATAATAAAAATGATGATAAGTATATGTACTCATGATTTTGTTAATAAAACAAATAAAAGCTGTAATATCATCAGCCAGGATATTAAAATAAATATTTAATATGTTGTATTATGTTATTTTTAAGATAACATTTGCTTGTGAATAATACTAGTGAGGTCCATGAACGAAAACAAAAGAATCAATATACATGTGACATTTATCTGCATATTCTTATCAATATTTTTTACTACACAAACAAAACATTCTATTTTAGTTCTCTAAAAAGTCCCGAGAGGTCGCTAGCGGTACGATTTCTACAATAAAATAATTTATTTTTGCGCATAAACTGCGAAAAATGATTGCAAACCATAACAAATCGTCTAGTTGTGTAACAAATGCAACTTTTGCAAAACATGTTAGTTTTCTGCAGACTAACGCGCGTTTAATGAGTCATAATTTCCTCGCGCACAATTTTACGATTGTGCATCGCGCGCGTCGGATGAGATCACTCATTACAAAATACATGTATATAGCTACATATTGCTCGATTTGCGTTTTATTGTGATTATGCACGTAAACGAGTGTTGTGAGCGACCAATGGACGCCACTGTCTCATTCATTAGCCGTACATCCTCGATGCATGCGTGCATATTTCCATATTTGTAATTAACAGCGTTAAATACGCACTATTATCGAGGGGGAATGCATAATGAGTGTTTTCGTCTACAGAGTAATCAACAACTACATAAATTTATGTAATATTCAACCAAAAACGCTATTATTCAACTTGTAGCACTTTTATACTAAAATTTCAAAATGGCGGCGAGTAACACTTTGAAATACGAAAATAACATGAATATTTGTATTTTCAATATATTTTCCGCAACATTCTTGATTGTTTTTCACTTAGCATTAATTTAAAGCCAGTTTAAGCGTCCGCTCAATATTAATTCATATCAGTATAAACTAAACTATTATACAGGCAGTCAAGTAGTTTAGTTGGGAGCTTTAAAGAGCTTTACTCACAATATTAATGATTCTTGTACGCCGTATGAAATAGACATTGTATAACTGACTAATGCACTTGCGCATGCGCGTGAAAGTTGCCTACCTGTCGGTAGCAAGCTACTCAGGTACCTCAGATATCGCTGCCGTCGTCGACACCTGCGGAATCAACCGCGGAGTCACCACGAATTCGTCAGCATACGCGCAGTTGTAATCGTGATGGTGTTATCAGTGTGCCGCCAACGCGTGTGAAGTGACCTGTGTGCGATGACGGCAAATTTGGATACAATCTGATCGCAACACATCCAAAGGAAGAAAAAAAAAGCTTCGAAACTCCAGAAGGTGCGTGTGGCATGTCGTTTACTGCATCGCTTCATGCTCGATTTCTTTTTGCGTTTTTCCAACTCTCCCGCGGTGTATCAAGTATAATCACGTCGATTAGTTTCCCCAATTGGTATTTACTGCTTGCGAGCGTTTATTTGATAATTGTGGCAGCCACGGTGGCTTATCCATCTTACCGTTCCAACCAGGTCAGGCCCGTACTAGACTTAAGTCAATTAGTACTTAAGACAACCTTAGAAGCATGTAGGTGCAAAACATAAATTTATGAGTCATCAAGGCGATGAAATATTTAATCAATGCAAATTTATGCTCTTGAAGGTATTCCCGGTGAAAATCAAGCATCAATAGAATTTTTATTACCGATATTAATATTCAACGCGTTAGGCTAAGTGGGAAGTCGTCCGGGGACCGATAAGGCACGAAAAATGCAAGCGTTGGTCGCAGCCAATACGACTGCAAGTCGCATGCGCTCAATTTGGGCATACCACATGCGTTGAATTAAATTTCGCGCAAGTATCCCGCGCCGTGGTACGCACTTCAGGTGTACCTACGAAGAGAGAAAGAGAGAATCGAATTGTTGACATGCCGCACATACCACATTCCATCAGTGGGCAAGGTGTGGCTTGTGTGTGGACGGACTCTGGCCCGCGCCGATCGACGAGAAATGAAAATGACATGTTTCCATTCGCGTTCGATTTGCGTTCGCTTCTTGCATCCGCGGTTTCTAATCGACACGTAATTGTTGAGTTCAAATTTCATGGAAATCTGATATCAATTGTATTCACTTGAGATTAATGCGCTGAAGTATTTACCGATCGGTTTCTATTGATATTTAAATTTTGCGCATACTGGGACAATGTGGGTACCCATAGGAATTAATTTGCCGTGGTATGACCTCGAATGATACTGTACTGCAAATCTACTTCACATCTATTCTAGTTTAGTTTAGTTGTTTATTGAATTGTTATTTCTACGTATGATAATTCCAATAATGTAACGCTTATCTTTGATCAGATACTGTGAAAAAAACCTCCAAATAAGCTATTAAGTGATAAGATAATTGTGATAAAAACATGAATGTGATAATACTTGACATGATACTTTATCGATGTTCTAATTATTATTAGTGATGTTTTAGATTTCCAGGTATTCAGGTATTTAGTTACCTAATTACTTAATTGGGCCCCACTTAAAATGGCGTACCATTCGAATGGTTACTCGGGTGACGAGCGGGATATGGGCCGAGGAGACGATAGAAACAACGACGATATGGATAAGTCCACGTATTTGATGGAGCATTTGGCTACGTTTACCGTCAACAAGGAAACAGGCATCACCTACCCTGCAGATGGTATGCGTCGTCTTTTGCAACTCGAAAAAACCAACGGGATCTGGTCCCAAAAGATGCAGTTGTGTTTGGATCGTTCTTGGGTGTTGATCATGGATTATGAAACAGGCGTAAGTGTCGGTAATACAGAGCTCCCAAGAAAAAATGACACAATTTTGTTTTAGGGTATCATGGAGAGGTTTCCTGGTAAGTCCATAGTGGAACCCACTTCGTTCACTAGCCAGGACCCGATGGAGATGTACAATAACATATTGGTCTTTATCGTGACCAACTCCAACCCACAGCACCCACCAGAAATGCACATATTTCAGGTATGGCAGTACCAATTTTGAAGGAAATGATAAAATGTAATTTTGATTTGTTTTGGTGCAGTGCCAAAGCATATCCGCGCAAGATTTAGTAGAAGACCTCAAAGAGATGCAGAAAGGAAGGATCATCACACGAAACCGTAGAAGTAGCATGCCCCCACCTTCAATGAAACCCCATTGCAGCATGTAAATGCTTCACGTGACTACAGAGAATCCGACTCAGAGTTGACCACAAATAATGACGATAATAGTTCCACCACAAGTGAACAATACGAAAGAGACGTCACAGTGTTGAACCACTGCTTTGATGATATAGAAAAGTTCATCGCACGATTACAACACGCAGCTGCAGCTTCCAGGGAGTTGGAACGCCGCCGTCGTAATCGTAAGAGTAAGAAAAGTGACAATGGTGATGGTATGCTCACCATGCGAACAAAACCACCTTTAGAGAAGGAATTCGTTGATATCTTCCAAAAGTTTAAGTTGTCCTTTAATTTGTTAGCAAAATTAAAGGCCCATATCCACGACCCTAATGCTCCCGAATTGGTACACTTCCTATTCACACCTCTAGCTCTCATCGTGGAGGCTGCCCATGATACATACTTTGATTTACACATACCACACAATGTGGTGTCACCTCTGTTGACCCGCGAAGCCATCAATCTGCTGATCAACTGCGTGACCAGCAAAGAAACTGAACTCTGGCATTCCCTGGGTAACGCCTGGCTTATCCCCAGAAACGAATGGAAGGGACATGTGAGCACATACCATCCAGTATTCTTGGATAAATGGTCCCCGGATTATCCAGTCGTAGATGAATTGGAACCAAGCAAACACTACAGGGACCCACATAACGATGGCCATTTCAGCGATGATGAATACGACCCATCTGTACAGGACAACATGTTCATGATGGAGAACCAACGAGGTGAACCCCATCATGAACCAGATCCCAAGATAGACCATCATCCACACCCCAACCCACATCCTCACGCAGTAAGGGATCATGAACTCCCAAGCGGGGCACGTAGTGACATCTCCGCGGATTCCATCGAGCGTAATGGAGGAGGAGGTGTTCCTGGCCCAGCGAATGACGAACGCAACTTCAAACGCCTCCAGGAGAATTTTCTCGCTATGCTCCACAAGCAAAACGCCATGGTCGTGCAGGTAACCTACCCACGCACAGCAAACAACGATAAAGAACTCACCGTAGTCCGTGGGGAATACCTCGAGGTCCTGGATGATACCCGCAAGTGGTGGCGGGCGAGGAACCACAAAGGTGAGGTTGCCCATGTGCCTCATACAATCGTAAGCAGATTCAACTATCAATCGGATATCTACCCGAATCCGATTTATCAGCAATATCACATGAATCGTCCCGTGAGTAACACCATCAAAAAAACCCTGACATAATTGATAATGATGATTAATAATTTAGGAATCCGCATCGGATAGACACAGTCCAAGCGGGCCGGAGCATCCAACTACCACACAACCCGCCGCTGCTGAATTGGTGCGAAGGGAACGCATTGGTAAGAAAGGAGAATTTCGCTACTTCTGAACCCAGAAGAGTCTACGTTTTGTGCGTGTAACAAATCCGTCCCACTCACACATACTCATCATCTGTTAAATGTAATTGTAATTGTAACATTTTGTATTGTTGGTTTGTCGAGAATTAATGTGTGCCGTTTTGAAATTGCTCATTAATTAATTCCGCTCGAAACTTGTATCTACGAATATTATTCTCTTATGACGTAAGACATATTTTCACATACCAAATAATCCGCTAAGTGTTAGAGAAGCAGATCTAATATAAATGTAAAATAATTTAGTTTTTGGTTGGATATTTATTTATTTCTCGAGTAATAACGATAAAAAATAATTAAGAAAAAGCGATATGAATGAAACCGGCCATAAACGAACACGTTTTACTCTAGCTATCGTATTTCTTACTTATATTTATAGATGTTATCGAGTCATAATGTCATTCTTCATCGTCTTTTTTGTTTTTTATTTGTTATCCGGTATAATGTATTGTGTATTGTCAACTTTTCAATGTGAAACAAAGAGCTATTTATACGTCAATTGCGTGTTTTTGTTATTTTTTTTTTGTTTTAAAATCTAGAACCTCCAATTGCACCCCCACCACCTCCGCCACCACCGGTGGATTACGTAAGTCGACCAAGTCTCTCAAACTATAGCCCACAAGAAAATGTTCAGATGCGTGCGCCACCAGTAAACCAATCACCACAGGAACACCGCCAGTCGAGTGTCAACGATGAGCTGAAAGCGATTTTCCAGCTAATGAATGAACAAAAACGCAAAGATATGGACATTAAAACCACCCCGGAGGTGTTTATCACTGCAGGGTCAAAGGATCAAGAGGTGCAGGAGTGGTTAAAAGCGAAAAACTTCCCGGAGGAAATTTGTAAGGGCTTGAAAGGAAAGAACGGACGGGAAATGTTCAAAATCGCACAACAGCCCAATGAGTTATTCAATTCCTCCGAGGGTAAACGGCTGCAGTCGCAGTTGAAACTGCAAATGAGTGTTTGTGGTGTAAGTATATTGAGTTGCATACTGTGTAGGCGGTACCTGGTTAATTGCACTATTCATTTGCAGTACCAAACGGTGAGGATAAGTGAATTCAAGCAGATCATGCAGAAGGCCAAAGCCAGAGTCGCTTCCGACTATGAATGATCGAAATTAACGTGTGTTTAACCACAAATTTAACCAGAAACTAATCAATTAACAATATAATATTATATTACCTGAAATGATGTACTTATACCTACTAATTATTATTAATATATTGGTGAATGGTTTTAAAATTTTAAGTGGATCTAATACACTCCTACTCTTTTCATCCGCATGCCGATAGTGATACGTCATCGGATCAGATGACTGCATTATGTATCGCTCAAATCGAATCGATATTCAATTTGGTGATGTATGTGCTCGCGCGCTGCACAAATTCAATTTTCGCTCACCTGTGCGGCACACGCGCTTAATCGCACACTGGGTGGACCCAATTCTATCTATTCCAGTCGATTCAAGTTGGCTCGTGGCTGGGTATTCATAAAGTGTACTGATAAAGAGTGAAAGTAAAAGGTTCAAGTATTTTTTTTTATCTTGTTCAGGATTAAATTGAAATACTGATATGATGCTGTTGCTGACCTAACTAAACAAGTTAGAAAGTGATTGAATTAAAATTAAATTTTTCATTCAGTGGTATTGTTTGCGAGATTCGGGGCACCGTGCGAGGGTAGCGGTAAAAGTGACTCGTGTTCGGAGCACCGTATGAGGCTAGCGGTAGATATGACTCGGTTCAGGCGCATCGTACAAGAGTAGCGGTAGAAGTGACTCCCATTCAGAGCAACGTACGAGGGTAGCGGTAAAAGTGACTCGAAAAGTGATTCGATGCACCGTAGAAGCGTGAATGCATAAGTGACTTGGTAATTTTTTGGAGTATTTTCGGCAACGAATATCTTCCAAACTAAAAGCGATAACAACTAACGAATTGCTGATTATGAAATACTGGAAAATTCTCCTACAGTAAAAGGTCGAAAAACGCGACTAAAAGTGCTAAAAAGTGACATTTTTCAATTTTTGCGCATTTTATTCAATCGCGAATATCTCGTAAACTAAAAGAGATAAATAAGATCTGATCGCAGCGTCTTAATCTACGGACTATTCTCTATCAGATAGGATAGTTAAAACGGAAATCTAAGAGATGAAATTTTCTTTCTTAAGAAAAAATTGCCAAGGGGGGGTGCTTGATACTATTTTTCGACGATTTTTGATAATTAATATCTTTTAAACTAAAAGCGATAGCTACCAACAAATTGTTGATTATGAAAGATTGGAAAATTCTCTATCAGATAAATATATAATATCATTATATTTCCTACAGTAAAAGGTCGAAAAACGCGACTAAAAGTGCTAAAAAGTGACATTTTTCAATTTTTGCCCATTTTATTCAATCGCGAATATCTTGTAAACTAAAAACGATAGGGAGGAACTGATTAAAGATTCTTAATCTTCGAAAAATTCTGTACAAGATAAGCTATTCAAATCGTAAAAGCGAAAACTGAGTCAAATAATTTCTAATAAAACATGCAATACAACTTTTATCATTCATCCAACCATAAATAAATCCACCGCAGTGACGACATACATCAAACATTGTGTCACTCCATTTCCACATTTAATTATCCCAACCATTCCACATTTGATAATCCCATAATGACACACAATTCTAATCAATGCAATTAAGACTAGAGAGTATATTACTCCAATGTGCGTAACCACATATAACCACATGTAATATGTAACACCACTAGATGATAATAATTAGAATATTCTAATCATGTCGGCTGCACAAACAAGCAATAAACGACATCTACGTCAACCAAAACAGTGTGTGCAAACTAATTTAACGAATTTAAGTAAAGTGACTGCAAGAAGATGACTGCCACTTTGACAAATCAACGATCGATAACGTCGCCGTCGCTTGTTTACTTTTTGCTTACAACACACAATTATTTATTGATTATATTGGCATTGTGATTACCGCAAATACTCCCGGCGCGAGATAATCGCGTAAAGTTCAGCGTGATCAGCGTGAGTGCATTCAACATTCGCCAATCGTTTAATTCCATTCACACGGACACAAAGTGCACAAGTTTCATTTTAAAATAAAATAAAAAAAAATTGTTTCCAACGGTATAAAACATTGTTTGAATTATGTTATAGCGTGAGGTATTTTTTCTACGCCTGGTGAGTGATGTGCATGTTTAGTGACAGTATTGATTAATGAATAATATAATCGATCCTTAATTATACATAATGACAACGGAAAAAAAATGGATCAAACTTTGTTCAAATAATTTCAATTTTGATCTACTCGTACTGGTAAAGATCATGGATGTGAATGTCCCCTCTCAAGGTCAAACAAGGGTGGTTATGATGATAAATTTTTAAATTTCCGTCCACCCTTTTATTAATACGGGTGTAAATGTCCTGTGAAGGCCAAGGACTTTAATTACACGCTGAAAATGATTCCTATCCTAGGTGGATCAAATTTGAATGGGGTTGGTGTACGTGTTATTGTGTTATTGACCTTGTGAGGGACGATTTTTCATTCTTTTGTGTGCGGATGTTTTTTTCTTTCAATTGCCTGCATTCGGGAAGGCATAAATTAAAGATTAATGATCGTGCGAAAGCGTTTATTTTTTATTTTCAAGGATAAATGTTTTTTTTTATTTGAGTGTTAAATTTTGGAAATTATGGAATTGATTGGTGATTGATGTAGATAGAGATGAGATGGTGGTTGAATTAGGTGTGAATTGAATTAAGGAGTGAATTGGCGTAGGTCTGGGCCGGCGCGCAACAGAGGGCGTCGGCGGTGGCGTCTGCGCGCGCCCGAACCGCCGACGTCGGGCAGCGGCGGCGCCGCCACTTGCGCGAGAAATCGACGAGCGGCGAGCGAGACGAGTCACCGTCGCGCGCGCCGTGACGAGCGAACACCGCCACCGCCACCACCGAAACCACCAACTCCACACACCGCCGCCGCCAGCAAAAGGGTTGTTGTTGTTGTTGTTGTTGGTGTGACGTTGTTGTTGTTGTTGCGTGTGCCCGTCCGGTCCGTGGCCGCCATCTCCGCCCGCGTCTCCCCGCTCGCATGTCGGCCGCGCGGCTTCGCGGCTCCGCGGCGCGGTGAGCGAGTGTGCGGGTCGCCACCGCCGTGTGCCGCCGCCATAGGGCGTCCGGCGTACGCTGCTGCTTCGCTTCGCGGTCGCCCGATGTTAACCTGACCGCGGCCGGGTACGCCGTGGACTGCGCCGATAAACGGGGGGCTCGGCGCCGGGGTGGACATTTTGGATCTGGATAACGCTGTAAGTCTACTGATCAACTCATTTCCCACACATCACCACCCAGTCATGCTCGCACCTTCGTCCCACATGTGCCCAGGACGGATAGTTTTCCGCGCGCGCGGCGTAAATAGGTCAGTGGGAGTGCGCGGCGGGGGCGGCAGTAACCAACCTGCCTACCCGCCCGCCTGCCTGGGATGGGCTTGAACCCCAGACGGCAAAAGAGGGCCAAGGCTTGACCTTTACCGGCTGTGAACGTACCCGGTGACGTCACCAAACCATATTCGCATTTTTCACCGAATCCAAATGCATATTGCCCGCCGAAAGATCCGCGGCGGTGGCGTTCGGATTTCGGAGCGCGCGAGCGAAATCGATCGCGCGCGAGGAGGTCGGGTTGGTCGGTGGGTCGGTCGGCCGAACGGACTGTATGTTGTACGCCGTTCGGAGGCGGCGGGCGAGTCGAGCTGGCGCGCGCCGCGCGCTATGACGTCACGCGTTTCCATGAGATTTCTGACTGGCATACATTATAAATAACCACAATACCACCGACGTTATCCTCGATTTTCAGCCGAACATCGCGCACACATGGCCCGCTCCCGCGCTCGCCAGACGCTGCTCGAACGTTCGATAAATACAGACGAACGTCGCGCACGCACCGGGGCGAAATTATCATCTATACGCGAAAAATTATTTTTCGCTTTTCCGGCGGCGTGGCTCACGTGGCCGCGCAAATCTCGTGCAAATGTCAATGCGGGGCGATCTAGGTCAGGCGCGCGAGCGCTTCCGATTCATTGTTGAATTTTTCGACGCGCGACTGCTGCGTTTTTTTTTTCGTTTGTAATCCTTGAACTGAGGCTAAGGCGCGGCACGCCTAATCAAGGACGATTGACTTCCGACGTCGCACGGAACCAGTGTTTTACTGCTCCGCCGAGCCTTGTGATTAAGGACCACACAATTGTGCGTCATTTACGAGTCAACCATTGCATATTTTACGTTATCCACATACAGAGTATCCGCGAAAACCTGCTATAAACTCGATGTAATAGCATGCGCAATTAATTTTCCGCCAAACAAACGTGTTGCTCAGCGGTAATCACGTCGTTTACGATCCGCCATTACGACGTGGATCGCGAAAAACACGCTCTTCCTGCGTGCGCGCCAAGCCGAGAGGAAAAGCGTGCTCAAACAGCAGGCGGCGAGTCCTGGCCAGCCTGTAGCCGGTATTTTCCGGCGAAAACTGAAACGTTTCGCCTGGTTTCGTCATCCTCGCCGCGCGCTCGTCGTGCACTTGTGCACTTGCCGTCACACGGATTTGGCATTTAAGGCACCTCTACAGGAAGTCCTGCGTGCGTCACTCGCCAGGATCTTTCGTAGCAATGACCCACATAACATCTCCATACTTTTGTTACCAAAAATCACTCAATTCGGGAATATTCCAGCTGACTAATCTGCATAATTACCCGCGAAGGTTACGAGCAACTATAAAAAAATCTCGCGCGCGCAGCACGTGCAATATTTTCGGTCATGCTTGGGCTATTCCCGTGAATAGTCCTGTCTAGTCGGGAGGGAATCGAATACGAAATTAATAGCAGCGATGCACTGCGAGCTGCATCGAATGCTCATATTTATAGGCGATAAAACGCGCGCTGTGTACGAGTACTACTATAGCGGGGTTATTTTTAACAATGTTTGAACAATTCGCGTATATAAAGATCAACTTTATAATGGAAAACTTTCAACGCGATTTGCCAAGACTCAATCTAGGCCCTTTCTATTCTCAGCGCGAATAATTGAATTTTTTTCTTCCGAAGTTTTAATTTAAGCACCAAACTAGTTTTAACTGGTTTTAGGCAACTAAATAACAATTCAGTGCCAATTTCTTCTTGTTTCTGCGAAAATTCATCAGAAATATACATGATACACTTGTGTGCAATTGGTAAAGTGAGTAAATTCTACACACGCATGCGGATTGGACTAATTTCAATCAACTACCGAAATTAACGCTCATTTGCCTCAAGTATTGTCGCTTTGAACCCGGTTAAAAATAATTAGTCCAATTAAACAACTTCCGCGCATATTTGATAAAAACTTCAAATTTTAAGATATAGTTACGTCTTCTTGACCTGCTCAATACGATATGATAATCCACCGAGGTCAAACCCCGTTGGTTTTCGTTACTTAATGATAATTAGACTAATAAATAATTCACGTACCAGTGAACAATATTTAATCTTATCACTTTACACCGAAATTTGCTGGTTTCATTGATGACTTTACCACGGTTACCATCAATTAGTGCGATATGGTATTATTTGCATTAGTTTAATGCCTTGATCTCGATTTTGTTTATAAACACGCGTAATTTCTAGGTCAACACCGCGTGCGTGTGTTCAAAGACTTTCTAACCGAGTGTTTGCCGAAACACCCAAGCGGGTTTTCAGCATAAAACGGCCATAATTGTATTTTGTATCAAGCGTGTAATAATATTAACCTAGTTTCGATGGTTGTCGCTGGTTCTCTGTGTGATTACGTAATGTTTTTGTTCAAATGTCACTCGTTCGTCATCGATATTGTTAGTCGGTGGTGTTAACCTCAACTGTGACGCATGTGTCAGTGAATTTAATTTCTTAGGGTATACCACCACCAGAGATTGATTTAAACCGGTGGCTGCACGTCGCCGGCGGCAGCAATGAGCTGGAGCTGGTGCTGGTGGTAGCGCGCGGCTCGCGTTAAATTCCGTAACTTTACGCGCAGGCCCCGCCACTGCCACTCCACCAGGCGGCTGCCGATCATCGGCGCACATCGCGGCGCACATCGACCGTCGGGGGCCAGTTCAGTGCGGGGCACGGTGTCACCAGCGCGCGCGTGCTAGCAAAGCAAAACGTCGGTCGGTCGGGCGAGAGGCATGCCCGTGGTGTCGATGCTGCCATAGTGCTGCGAGTTGTTGGATTGTTGTTGGCGTTGGAGCGGATTGTTGCGTATTGTTGCTGCTGGTTGTGTGTTGGGCTGGGCCGCGCTGGCGAAGCGTGTCGCTGCTCCTCGTCTCCTCTCTCTGTTGGAGTTGGCCACCGGCGTCAAGCAGCAGCGGTGGATCGGGATCGATGTCGCAGTTGGACGCGCGTTGAGCACGGAACGGAGTCGAGCGCACCAAAGGTAAAATATACCTACCTGAGAAGCGCAACGTGTAACTGGCACCACGATAGGATATAGGTTAGCTGCTGCTTCGCAACTGTCACGCGTTGCACACATATCATTCAAAATCATCTTGTGCATAATGGCAACCATGCCAACCAACACAACGTGCTCCATCGTACCATCAAACACCTGCGGATATCTTTCAACTCCTCTATAAACCCAATTAACATCAAAGTGCCTAATAAGATTGTGTGGTTTTTCTAACCCAGAGAGGTCACAAACCGGAAAGCTGATACTTTCACAGTCGTATTCCATTTTATGGCATTTTATACCATTTCACGTGTGCGTGATGTGAATTTCAAAGCGGAAACTTTCTTCAAACACATAATTTATCATATTAATCAATTAACCACAAGTATTTTAAAGTAAAAACCCTAGAAAATCTTTTCTGGTACCTTGCCAAAAAGCGATTTCCGGTTCCGGGGATCAACAATCAACATGTATGCCCTATGAAAAATATACAGGGTGTTTTGTTTCTGTTTTCAATATCGATGTATGATTTAATCATGGATATTATATCGATTTGTGTTGCGGCTTAAAATTAGAACATGCGCTTCGTAACTTCCCGTTTATTTATTCATTATTCATTCCCTCCGATAACCTAACCCAACCGCCGCCGAAAAAAAATCGATTTATCGTGTTTTGATCAATTTTTAGTTGGGTTTAATGTTGGAAAAACATAAACTATTAAGTATATAAATAAATATTACCCAGATGTATTTCACTGGTAGTTTATAAATGTATAAATGTAGTGTACTTATAGTTTCGCCGTATTTTTAGTTGGGTACGTGTAGAATGTAAACGATTATGACTGGTTGCTTGCTGCTGGTGGTAGGTAGCACACAGCGCGCACAGCCTTGAGTAGACTGCGCTTACTTAATACACACATAAGTCAAAACACTCGTAACTTCATTTTTGCAAGAAAAAATAAATTTCGGGCGGAAAAAAAACGGTAGCGTTTTCCTGATGAGTAATTGACTACTGCTTTGGAGATGTACCTAGCCTGCACGTGTAGAGTTGGCTGTTTGTGTGTTCAAGGAAATTGCTCAAAAATTTTCGACATGAAAACTTGATTTTATTCTATTTATCTGTGTACGCCCGCCGCGCGCGAATGAATAAATGAAGAGTAAGGAAAAGCCAAGGCTGGTACTACATACAGTATACAGTAAATATATTCCTGCTGGTGTGGGTCTAAAACTGTTTGCACCATAACTACATAACTACACCGCGGATTAATATGTTTTTTCGGTGACGCGAATGCGTTATAGGTGCGGATAATTTAGTTCGCGCGCGCCCAGCGCTACACAAACATCGTGTACTATTTTCGAAGCCGCACATCTTACATCTCTTCCCCTCTGTGTGTGTGAGAGTTTAAACTTGTTCCTTGCGCGCTGCTCAAGGTGTGAATCGATTAATGAAAACGACTGTGTTTAGCAGGGGCGAAATTCAATTAAAAACCTGTTGGTTTAGGTTAATATTGAATTTTTTTTATTTTATGCAACATTTTCATTACGTGAGTGGCTGTTTGTTGACATTGATAATAAAAAATCAAGCACACATTAACTGCGATAGAGAATACTATGCATAGATAGATTCAATTCTCATTGATCGCCCGGCCGGCCCCGAACATAAGCCGCCGCTGCGTCGCCGGCAGAGGATTTGTATTGAGTGACCCAGCTTTATGTTTTTTTTTTTACTCATATCCATAGGATAAACTATATCCGCACATGCGTATGAGTATAGGAAATTTAAATTTACTGCTGTGTAGTTGAATATTTAAATGAAAATATAATAATGTAGTGTAAAATTCGGCGCGATTTGCGAGTTGAATTCGTGCGGGGGCGGCGCTGTGTCTGTCTGGCTGTGTGTATGAGTGAGCGGGCGGCGCGCTGAGCACACCTTATCGATCTAGTGCGCCTTCGTAATACACGAGACGGACGGCATGTACGGAGAGCGTGCACCTTGAAATTTTATTGATCAGATACGTGCGGCTCGTGTGCTCGCCCGCCACCGCCGCCGCCTCCAGCGCGACTCGCGCGCGTTTCCAATCTATCGTGTGATAATATTCAACTGGGTGTTTCGATAAATTAACATCTGCGCATTCAAATAATAATAACAACCTTGAATTGGTTGTAATTCTGCGTGTAAATAAGATGTTGTTGGTGATGACTGCACAAATAAGGAATGCGTGCCGTGCGAATGGAATATTATTGCTTTTTTTTATAATCGCGTTTATTTTACAACCGCGCTGCCTAGTGACTATCGAGTTGAGATAAGACAGTAAGTTGTACGAGTAAGTAGAATGGATTTAGTCATTCATTGCGTCACACGACGGCTTAGTGCAAAGCTTTTCGACAAACTTGCGATATTTTATTTGATTCGGTTGCACATACAACACGTGGTTGGTTTTTAAATACGCCTGACTCATAATCATCTATTTGTTTGTTTGTGCATGATAAATGTTTCGAAATTAATTTTTATTTTATTGTCATTGTTGTCTAACTATATCAAATTATTTTTACAAACGCGGTGTGTATGTATATACAGATAATTCCGGAAATTGTGCGACGGAATTTTCAATTTCCGGGCGTGGAAAATTTTTTCCACCACACGCGTGCGCATATTTTACTTTAATTCTCGTAGCAACACTAATTAAATTACCATGTACCATGTCTGTGTGCGCAACATTAAAATCTTTTAAAATTTCAATGGTTACGTTAATGACGCCGATACCATTGTGTTTCTGGAAGTTTATTGCGTGCTAATGATATTTACAAGAAGACTTAAGTTCAATTCCTCCCCTATTATCATTAGGTTAAACACGCACCCATCGTTCGAGCATATTTCTAACACTATTCAAGTTGCGGTGATCGACGTCGCTTAGACTCACATTTCGAAGAAAATTTTGTGTCATCGACTTCCGAGACTTGTTTGTTGGTATTTGTGGGCGTGCGTGGGTGAATAAGTGAGTAAGTGACTATTATCATTGGTCTATCGGGAGGTAATTTAGCGGATCGATAACTGCTGACATAATATTTTCAACATTTTTATATTTATAGATTTTTTTTTTGTGTTTTTTTAAATTTAAATATTTATTTTGCAGATCTAGCTGAGTGGAAATGGCTACGATAGACGGCCGGCCCGCGCAATATGGCATCACCCTCAAGCATTTGCGGGACCTCATGGAACACCGAGGTCCCGAGGGTGTGAACAAATTGAACGAGATTGGCGGTGTGCAGGAGCTGTGCAAGAAATTGTACACGTCGCCCAGTGAAGGTAATTAAACGATATTCACACACACAGAGTGTGTGGTGTTTACGCACATAACCTCGTTTCAGGTCTCACTGGTTCACAAGTAGACACCGAGCACCGGAGAGAAGTGTTCGGCTCGAATTCGATTCCACCAAAGCCACCGAAAACATTTCTGCAATTGGTATGGGAGGCGCTGCAGGATATCACGCTTATCATTCTCGAAGTAGCTGCCATAGTATCGTTGGGTTTATCGTTTTATCAACCGGCAAGCGAGGAAGATGGTAATTTAAAAATTTAATTTTTAGTGAAAATGAATTTTATTGTTTTATGATGTTTTCTATAGCGCAACCGTTCGACGATGACGAAACGTCGCACGGCTGGATCGAGGGGCTGGCCATATTGATATCTGTTATCGTAGTTGTATTCGTTACCGCGTTCAATGACTACACGAAGGAGCGGCAGTTCCGCGGGCTGCAGAACCGCATCGAGGGCGAGCACAAATTCTCGGTCATCCGGCAGGCCGAGGTCAAGCAGATCGGCGTCAGCGAGATCGTCGTCGGCGACATCTGCCAGATCAAGTACGGCGACCTGCTGCCCGCTGACGGCATTCTCATCCAATCGAACGATCTTAAGGTCAGTCGAATTAAACAACCCCCCATCATCACCCATTACTAGTTAGTGCACGCGCCGACCTCGCGATATTACCCAAACGTTTTTAATTATGTTCGTTGGCATCGCGCGCGCTCAAAACGTTAAAAATAGGTTAATTCGATAGCGGGCGCGTGCGCGTAATACACTTTTATGTATTTTGGCAATCAGCACACGACCGGCAAATACCGGGAATCAATTCCAGCGCAGGGATGATTAATTAGCGTGCATTTTAACAGCCCTCCTACAGCGCGTCGCGTGGATTTCGCGCGGATCTAAATTTATTGCCGGTCGCCGGGTGTCTCCCGGTCTGGGCATCGGCTGTAACTCTAATTCTAATCAGATCTCCGGAAAGTGTATATGGCGCACGGAGTTTATAAATAAACGCGTGCGGTTGAGGCCTCGCGTGTGTGTGTGTGTGTGTGTTTGTGTGCGGCGAGGCGCGAAGCTCTTTAAAAATAAAAGAAAGCGGGCCTTATCGCCGCGCGGAAACGAATTTATTCGTTATTGTTATGCGGCGAGAGCGTGCGAGTGGATTAAGAACGCTCATTAATGTTAGAAATATGAGGCGGTCGATGAAAAGCGTTTTCGGTGATTTCAGCTGCATTTATTTACAAAACACCGAATAATTCCGAAGAAAAATCAGTTTTTTTTTACAATGTCTTCTTCTACGTAATCTATGCCAAGGTGTGTATCGACAAATCGGTGGAGATTCACATATGCCAGACGCGCGCACGCCTCAAGCTCTTATGTAATTGAAATTCCGGCTGGCGGTAAAAATAACTTATAAATAAGTATAGAGTTGGTCTAATGGACGCCATGCCGCGTACAGCAAATGTGCGCGCGCGCTAAAGACACTCACACTTTTTTTTTCTCCAGCTGATTGTTTACTCAAGGCGCAGATAAACGATGAGGAAATTGATCAATTAGTATTTTAAATAAAAATGACTTCACAGGTACACACACACATCACTTGTGTGGATCGTAAGTCATTCACATCGCGCTCGCGCAGCCATAGAAATATGCGCGCTATTTTTATTTTTTCTGCCCGAAGTCGATTGAAACACGCCGCAAGAAATGGAGCAAGGCGCGTTGCGTTCACCTACCTGCCTGTATATTTTTACACACTCAGCTTCTGCTTTTTATTTAATATGTAGATATATGTAATTAAAATTGAAGATCGCGTCATCTGCGCGCGCCGGGCATAACCCATTTTTAATTCATAACGCTGCGTGAATTATTCGTCGTCGTCGTGAGAGACTTTGACAAAAGTTCAAAGCGTGCGTGGTGTGTCTGTATGCGCGCTCTTCAATTTCGTACCGCGTGTGTGAAACACTCAGCCGGCCTACCTTCGTACATAAATTCATCGGGCCACACGACTGTGACTATCGTTTGGTTAATAATGAAGGCGCGTTCATAAAACACATTCGCTTCTATTGGAAAGCGAAGGCGCGTTGTGCACACGTACACGTAGGTTGTGTGCTGGGATTATTGATGTTTTAGGTCATTGTACGTAAATTCGAATGGCGGCTCACATACTCACATGCTTACGTAATTCTCAAATACTACACTTTATTCAACTCCGAAATAAAAATTTTATTTTATCGAACGGATGTGATTAATAATTGGTTGCGCCATTGAACTACTTTATAGCATTTTTCAATGACTTCATTTTGTTTGTTTTCATGCGGCACATGATTCAATCTGATCGATAGAGTAGTCATACACAATAGTGTGTTAATATTTACACTGAAATTAATTCAATCAGTTGATGATTCTAAGTAATTGCATTTTTTTGTCTGTGTGTGTGTGTATGTTGCAATAAAATCGGGGCGCGCAGAAAAATGTGTACACATGTGTCGATGCACGTTTGTCGTCACCGTACTATTTTTAAATTTACCAGCGTCATGCAAAGAGCTTGCAAACGCTTTTTACGAGCAGCGCGGACACGATACTTTTGCAATTATTCAACTGGAACTGAAAATTATTCAAGCGAGACGTGCAAATTCTATTCTATGCAACCAATGATACATGAAACTTGCGCTGCGCAAAGATTCAAAGATTCAGCAATTTGGAGGTTATGGTCGTTTGAATTTATGAAATAGAATATTTATGATTACTTTTTATATAGACCAGCGCGCGTGTTGAATTATATATCAAGTTGAAGATAATGTTATTGCTTACGGTTTTATAATAATTGTAGCTTCGGATGATTGAATTTAATAAGTGAAAACTTGATTCAAAGCTGGATACGTACAGGCGCTGAAATTTCAATGATACTCTCTTGGTGTATAGGCAACCAAAATTACACATTTTTTGAAAACCAGTCACGTATGCAACTCATACAACGTAAATGAACTAATAACTGTTGTTTATTTCCGGTTGACGGAAACACCGCACATTTTTTCGTCTTTATTCAAGGTGTACGTTGCTGTAACGTGTAAATCCAGTAGGTGTGGTCCGAAATTTATGATCATTACGCTGGTTTCGTTCTGGTGTGTGATTGATGCAACAATATTCGGTACATTAGCGGATTACTTTTGTTTCCGCTTGTGATTCACATGACCACCGAAGTTATTAAGTACTGTATGCGCACCGCAGTGTGTCGGAGACAATTTTTATGAACAAAGTTTGCGCGGCCAGACGGGATGCGAGCGAAAGTTTGCAAAAGTGTCATAAAAATAGAACGCCGTGACATTAAATGAATTTCAACTCGTCTCGCGACTGCTCACGACCGGAAATCGAAAACTTCGGCGGCGGACATTTTGTATAGGACATAAATGATTATAAAATTTGTGTTTTTAGCGTATTTAAGTCATAGGAACGCGTGTAATCTAATTATATTCTTGCAGGCGGATGTTACAATATCCTACGTTGATAATAAACCAAGTTTGAGGTTGTTTTAGTTGTGTTTTGTTGTTTTCTATGTGAAAGTTGATGATTTACACTTTTGGCAACACCCTCTCGACGAGTTTCTGCCAATTATTTGCATCTGCAGCCGCGTGGCGCCATAATCAATAATGGATTTCATCAAATTAGCATTCGCCTCGTTTACTCGCCCGGGGGCGGCATGATTTAAATTTTCGTTTATTGTTTTTGCGAGGTGTATTGTTACAACACGCTGCCCGATAATTACAAAAACATTCAACGCGAAAAAAAACGCAACAATTTCGGATTTATTGATGATTAAATAATTAATTTTACAAAAGGTCATTAATAAAGTTGACACATTATGTGTACCATGTCCATCCATCATGTTTCCGTGGCGCTAATGGAGTGAAATCGATTTAAAATGTTATCGTAATCAAATTTCGTGAGATTCTCATCAATTTTTCCCTCTACGTGCATAAAATATTTGAACTTTATTCGAAATAATTACACTGCGACCTTCGATTTTATCCTCATTGTGTCAAGCGTGCACTAATTACATAATTATACACACACACAAGTGGTGCTTGAAGTACAATGTGTCTACAATGAGTTTAATGAGAATTTCAACGTTGCAGGTTGACGAATCGTCACTGACAGGCGAATCAGATCATGTTAAGAAGGGGGAATCTTTCGATCCGATGGTACTTTCCGGTACGCACGTGATGGAAGGTTCCGGGAAGATGTTGGTGACCGCCGTCGGCGTCAACTCGCAGGCGGGCATCATCTTCACGCTGCTGGGAGCCGCTGTTGATGAGCAAGAGCAGGAGATTAAGAAAATGAAGAAAGGTAACAAACAAAATGGACGCCCGGTCTGTTTTGGTATTCATTTTATTGCCCCCCAAACCACCCCTTTATAATACTACTACATTGCAACACTTAACATGCGCTCTCTTGAGCATGATGTGATTTGGAAGACTTTTCCGTTTCCGGAAATCATTCCTGTCCTCTTTTGAATCTCAAATGAATTGCGAATGCAATGTACCCCTGAACTTTTAGTTTTTTTTTTCTGAAATTTCTATGCCTCAATGTGCACCTTGACTAAAAACACTTCTTCGACGTCATATAAATACCTAATTACTAATTAATAATAGTGATTAAATAGTTTTAGATACTCCGCAGCTCTACTCCCACCAATTTTGTGTGTACTTACCGCCACAACCCTCCAAACACAAAAGTTGTGTACTTTGTGGATTGAGATTGGCGCACAGCCAAAAACCACCCTGTTTCTTTCTCTCCTCTTTGAGGTCGTGCCTATTTACAAATCGCATCAATTATTTTCTCTTTTCTTTCCACCCCTTTTCGATCGATCGCATGTTTACTACGTTTATCGGTGCTCTTGTACTCTCAACTCAACTCGAGACTTTTATATAGAACACAACCCAATTTGCACATTATATTATACACGCATATATTCAACTTTATTACCTACACTCCCAACAAGCGATGAAGCGATGCATTTTCATCCCTTGTTGATAGCTGGATGCGGCATGCGATTAAAAACGAGATTAATATTGATATATAAACGATTTGATTAATGGAAACACACGCGCGCGTTGAGTGAAATTTTAATGTGCGACGATTTCGCATGTCACAATTTACATGCGCGTTTATTGTTGCATTATTTATAGAAATCATAATAAAACAGCAGTCGGCTGTTTTTTTTTGCAATAACAAAAATTCAAGGTTTGCACCGTTACAATCGTAAAACGCGTTGCTGTGTGCCGAATGAGCCAAGAAAAGGTTTCGCACACAAAATGGCCGACGTAGTAAACATGGTGGCACGACCAAACCAGCCCGTCCCCCGTTGACTTGGAGTGGTTTTTTGCGATTGCTAATGTGTTCTCGTTTTTGCATGTGTTTTATTGGTACAGAGGCTAAAAAGCAGCGGAAGAAGAAAAGCCTAACAGGTGAATGAATATTTTATTTTATTTTTATTTTGATTTTTTTTGACTAAACAAAGCGAACCTACTAAATTTATACGAATTAAAACCGAAAACGCATTTAAATAGTTGTTGTTTTCTACGGATTGAATTATTCTGCATGTGATTGTATTGTATTGTTAGCGAAAATCTGATTTATTCATATTTATCAATTGTTGATGTTTTGTGTTGAGGTGGGTTGTGTTTTAATATGTGTTTTGATTGTGTGTTAGGAGATGAGGAAGCCGGAAATGTGACGGGTAACAGTCATATGAACTCGCCGGCGCCCGTGGAGAACAAACATGGCAACTCGACGCCGGATGACGGGCAGGGCAATCACGTGTCGTCCGGCGGCGGCGGCGGCGAGAGCCACAAGAAGGAGAAGTCTGTCCTGCAGGCGAAACTGACCAAGCTCGCCATTCAGATCGGCTACGCCGGCTCGACGATCGCCGTGCTCACCGTCGTCATCTTGGTCATTCAATTCTGTGTTCATACGTTCGTCATTCAGCAGAAGGAGTGGAGGGCGTCGTACGTCAACAACATGGTGCGCCATTTGATTATCGGTGTCACGGTGCTGGTGGTCGCCGTGCCGGAGGGTCTGCCGTTAGCCGTCACACTGTCACTAGCTTATAGCGTTAAGGTACCATCAAATAATTACCATTTTTTTGGACCAATTCTTAACTGCATAATGTTTTATGTAGAAAATGATGAAAGACAACAACTTGGTACGGCATTTGGACGCGTGCGAGACGATGGGTAACGCCACGGCCATTTGTTCTGACAAAACGGGCACGTTGACCACCAATCGCATGACGGTGGTACAGTCGTACATCTGTGAACAGTTGTGTAAGACGACGCCGAAATTCAGCGATATACCATCAAAGGTTGCCAACTTGATCGTGCAGGGCATCGCGGTTAACTCGGCGTACACTTCAAGAATCATGGTAGGTCAATAACATGGTACCAAAAAATGGTGTTGCTGATGTTTTGTTTGTTTCTAGCCACCAGATGAACCCTCCGAGCTGCCGAAGCAGGTCGGTAACAAAACCGAATGCGCACTGCTCGGTTTCGTCCTTGGGCTGCAGAAGAACTACCAGACAGTGCGCGACGACCAGCCGGAGGAGACGTTCACGCGGGTGTACACGTTCAACTCGGTGCGAAAATCGATGAGCACGATAATTCCTCGCAAGGGTGGCGGCTATCGATTATTTACTAAAGGTGCTTCTGAAATTATATTAAACAAGTGAGTTCTTCCGCCATTTTGTTACCCATAGACCAGTTATCTACACCCGCATGGGTTTTGTGTGTGTTGTTGCAGGTGTGCCTTCATATATGGCCATGATGGCCGTTTGGAGAAGTTCACGCGGGACATGCAGGAGCGTCTGCTGCGGCAGGTGATCGAGCCGATGGCCTGCGACGGCCTGCGCACCATCTCGATCGCCTATCGGGATTTCGTGCCCGACAAGGCCGAAATCAATCAGGTGCACATTGAGAACGAGCCGAACTGGGATGACGAGGAGAACATCGTCAACAATCTGACGTGCCTGTGCGTGGTGGGCATTGAGGATCCGGTGCGTCCGGAGGTGCCGGAGGCGATCCGCAAGTGCCAGAAAGCGGGCATCACCGTGCGCATGGTCACCGGCGACAATGTGAACACGGCGCGTTCGATCGCCACCAAATGCGGCATTATTAAACCCACCGATGATTTCCTCATTCTCGAGGGCAAAGAGTTCAATCGACGCATTCGCGACTCCTCAGGTGAGGTGCAACAGCATCTGTTGGATAAGGTATGGCCGAGGATGCGTGTGTTGGCGCGGTCATCGCCCACGGACAAATACACGCTGGTCAAGGGCATCATCGACAGCAAAGTTAGCGATAATCGAGAGGTGGTCGCTGTGACGGGTGACGGTACCAACGATGGACCTGCTCTGAAGAAAGCCGACGTCGGATTTGCCATGGTACCATCATCAACACAATTCAATACAAGATAATTTTGTTTATTTTATTTTTGTTTGTGTTTCAGGGCATTGCCGGCACCGATGTGGCGAAAGAAGCTTCGGATATTATTTTGACAGATGATAACTTTAGTAGTATTGTTAAAGCTGTAATGTGGGGGCGAAATGTTTACGATAGTATAGCCAAGTTTTTGCAGTTTCAGTTAACTGTAAATGTTGTAGCTGTAATTGTAGCTTTTATTGGTGCCTGCGCTGTGCAAGACAGTCCTTTAAAGGCATGATATTTAGCCAGGTGCTTCCACACCCCAGGACTCGCCGCCATTAATTGCTGCTTGTTTTAGGCTGTACAAATGTTATGGGTGAACTTGATCATGGACACGCTCGCCTCACTAGCGTTAGCTACCGAGCTTCCCACGCCCGATCTGCTGCTGCGGAAGCCGTACGGCCGAACAAAACCGCTCATCTCGCGGACCATGATGAAGAACATTCTCGGTCAGGCCATCTATCAGCTGACGGTCATCTTTGCGCTGTTGTTTGTAGGTTAGTACATGAAGTTGCCACGTGGTAATTTAGGAGGAAAAGTATTAATTTTTGTGTTTTTAATCTGGTAACAGGTGACAAAATGTTGGATATCGAATCAGGAAGAGGTGCCGAAATCGGCGCTGGGCCAACACAGCACTTTACTGTTATCTTCAATACGTTTGTCATGATGACACTGTTTAATGAATTCAACGCCCGAAAGATTCATGGTCAGCGGAACGTTTTCGAAGGCATCTTCACCAATCCCATCTTCTATTCCATTTGGGTTGGCACTTGTGCCTCGCAGGTATGTTCAGAATTACATTTTAGTCAAAATGAAGACAATAAATTTGATTTTTTTCAAATTTGGCACTAGGTGATTATCATTCAATACGGCAAGATGGCGTTTGCCACACGAAGTCTCACACTGGAGCAGTGGATGTGGTGCCTGCTGTTTGGAATCGGCACGTTGCTCTGGGGCCAGATTGTCACCACCGTGCCGACGCGGAAAATACCAAAGATTCTTTCGTAAGCTACCCACATTTTCACTCTCTCTTCTCTCTTTCTCTTGTCTCTTCACCATGTCTGTCGACGTTAGCGGTCGCCCCACCGTCGTCAATGTACAAATGACACGTGCACGCTCACTTTTCAGTTGGGGTAGAGGTCATCCGGAGGAGTACACCGAGGCGATCAACATCGGCGAAGAGAAGTACGATGTTGACAGTGATAAGAAGCCGCGAGCCGGGCAGATCCTCTGGATTCGAGGCCTCACGAGGCTGCAGACGCAGGTAAGTCGATGAAACTCACGTCCATCTTAATAATTCGCAAAGCGGAAAACAATCTCATATTGAATCGAAGCGCGCGCGCGTCGCGAAAGGCAACATCTATCGGGGTGGCCGCCATGACACACATGCCATGGCACGGCCATCCTCATGGAACGCGGACTGCCTTTGAGTGATTGATGAACAGAGCTCAGTATTACTATAACTTAGGAGGAAGTTTTTTATAGGTAAATGACGCGTGTTCTCACATCCTCCTCAAAACTCAAATCCTCAACATTCCCAAAAACAAAAACAAAAAAACAAAAAAATTCCTCATATCTCACATCATCACATCATCTGATGCCTTTACGTTGTTTTATTATGATTTTTGATTTAATTGTGACTTTATAATATAACGCATGGTGCATTGACATCTGAGTGTTTGCAAATTAATTATCGATACATAATTAAATTGCTTTAGCTGTCAGTGTTCCTCGTCTATTGACTAACGATATATAGCCTACATTAATCTACTTTACTCTCAAGGGATATTTTGGTTTATGTTACTATATATTCTACTGTTTACCATCTCTTGGTGCCGTCAATTGTCGAAATCACATACGCGCCATGGTACCACCTCCCCCCCAAAAAAAAGCATATTATTGTGTATTTTATAAGTGTGTGGTGTGTGAAGCCAACCACTCATTTGTTTTGTTCACGTCGCCATCATCAAGATACGCGTGCTTTTACGTTTTTTGTTTCATTCATGACTCTCTTGCATGGACAACAATCTGCGAGCAACAATCCAACACATCATCAGTTTGCGCATTTTCAACTCGCCAACGTTGGCTGTGTTGTCTCGAGAGTGTTCCATTTACTCCCATGGAGACATTTTAGACAACTTTCATATTAGATCTTAGAGTACCACCCACGCCCCTCTACTCTTCGGCTTTCGCAATGACATTTAACTCGCTTATCAATGTAGTCGTATTACTCGTATCTCTCAACGTTGTTGTGTCACTTGACTCCTTGTGGCTCTCATTCGTTTTTGATTTTTATTTGTTTTTATACTGTAGTAGTCTAACACAACAACAACAACACCACACACACCCCTCTCTTATGCCTGATGATCTCTCTTCACCGTCTCTATCTCTTATCTCTCACACATTGTGTTTTAATGATTGATTTATCTCTCTTTGGTTGTTTCGTTTAGAACGGTTGCGAGGACTGAGTTTGCGTGGTTTCGGCTCTCGGGGGCTTGTTTTGTTAGTCACTAAACACACCAGTCGGACACAAACGTACCACCCACACACAGACACACACAATACAACTACTACCAGCAACGACGCCATTTTGTTATTAGGTACTTAATTTTATTTATTTATTAGCCGGCGGAACCCATGCGAGAAACTGAGGTGTAGGAACGCTGTGGGTGTGTCGAGCAATTCCTGTCGCAGTACAAACAAGTACGTAGCTTGATCGTAGAGGCAAGATATGAATTAATTAGCTTGTTGCAAATTTTGTTGGTGACTGCGATGCGTTCTCTATCTATCTATCTACTCTCTATCTCTCTATCTGCTGTAATATGCACTCTGTGGTGTTAGCTGTTTCTTAGAAGCCACACATCACCAACAACCTGCCACCGCCCCCAAAACAACCGCCAGTTTTTGTTCTTGATATTAACAATGTGTTTGTAGACGGTGACTTGTTCTGTCCACCCCCACCCACGTGTCGGATATGTTCTGTTAGTTTATGTGTAGTGTCTTCTTCCTTCTTGTTGCCTCTCTTCCCCCACGTCGTAAGTTGGTAGCAGTGTGCGTAGTTAAACAATGAATTACTAACAACAAGAATTCCCTTGAGTGTGCTCGGCGACAACACAGCCACAACGGCGGATGAGAAAAACGAGAGTTTATGTTTAGTTTTTAAGTTTAGAAGGCGTGTTTAGTTGTTAGCTGCGCTTGGCTGCTTTTACCTGCTTGCAATTTGTTGATGGTAGCGAATCTACTGCCCCTGAATAGATCATATCATGATCCCCGGCCGCCATTTGTACGAATGTGACAATTGATCGTGTAATTAAACAAGAGTACAATACAATATAACATAGTTGGGTAGATGTTAAAGTAGGTTATGTTGTATTTGACTCTTGTCGAAGTTAATTTTTGTCTTCTCTTCACTTCTCTATGACTCTTTATCTTCTCTACTGATTACAACATCAAATTGATTGATCCTTGAATCACCAAATCAACAACAGATCCAATATATGAACATTACGCGTGCATTTTTCAAGATGGCGTTTTTAGCTTAGCGTGGACTGAGTGTGAATGTGTGTGTGCATGCTAGCCGCGCGAATGAATGTGCCGTCGTTCTCCCCTGTGACAACAACACAACAACAAACAACCCTTGTGGCTTCCCTGTGTTTTGCAGCTGCGAGTTATCCGCGCGTTCAAGTCGACGCTGGAGGACCTGGAGGAGCGCCGCTCGTTGCATAGTTTACAGAGCTTACACAGTTTGCGCAGTTCGCGTAGCCACACCGGGCCGTGGCCGCCTCGCCCCCTCTCAGACATCACATACATTGACGAGGACCCGACCGCCACGAAGCTGTCGCCGCTTGCGCCGAAGAGCGGCACCTCCGCCGCCATTGGCAATCGGCTGTCTCCTCACTCCGCCGCCGCGCGGCTCCCGTCCCACCACCACCAACACCATCACCACCACCAACAATCGGCGACGACACCACCCTCCGAGCCGCCCAAATCGGTGCATGAGTATCGCATTTAGCTGCCGCTGCCAAAATAGTCTCTAGCGCTGATTGACATGATGATCATATACATATGATGATGATGATGATGATGATGGCGAGCGTTTCGCATGCATGTCTGCCGCTTCCGCTCGACCAACACGTGTGCGACGAATATTCTGTATTTAATTGCGTTTTTTTTTTCTTTATTTGATTATTGTTTATTGTTTTGTGCACACACTCAACAATGCAACCCGCCCCCCGCCCCCTTAGAGAGTACTTGTAGCTGTTATGTTATTAGATACGAATTAATATTATTATAATGCTAGCGTTAAGAGTGTTTGTACTTTGTTTTGAGTTTACCTTTTAATGTTTTGTATAATTTTTTAGCTTTGTTTTCTTTTTTGATAACTCAACCATTGTTTTATTATTATTTTGAATGCATTCCAATTATTTTTTTACTTATATATCTCGCTGTTTGTCTATATTTGAACATACTAACGCCTCTTTTATCTCCTAACCTCAACCAGAGACTATTTTCTTACTCTTTTATACTCTAAACACAAAATACGTTGCATTATCTTTGAAAAATCATTTGATTTCTTCACGAAATGTTGTTTTGTGTGTAAATTTTGCGTTTCAGTGAAGAATTGAAGTGAATTTATGAAGATATTTGCATAAACACAACATACTTAACCTGTCTTCCTAACATGCCTTTATATATAGCATACTAGCGCCCTCTATCGGTCCTAATCTTAACCTAAATCTGTTTTCTTACTATTTTATACTTTAAACACAAAAAATCATCGCAAAATCTTCGAAAATTCATTTTAATTGTTCACAAAATGTTCTCTTGTGTAAATTTTACATTTTAGTGAAGAAATGAAGTGAATTCATCAATTATCTTCGAAGATATTTGCGAAAATGTTTGCAAAAACACAATCTGCTTAACCTGTCTTCCAAATATTCATACCAACGCCCTCTATCGGTCCTAATCTTAACCTAAATCTATTTTCTTACTCTTTTATACTTTGAACACAAAAAAACATCGCAAAATCTTCGAAAAATCATTTGAATTTTTCACAAAATGTTTTCTTGTGTAAATTTTACATTTTAGTGAAGAAATGAAGTGAATTCATCAATTATCTTCGAAGATATTAACGAAAATGTTTGCAAAAACACAATCTACTTAACCTGTCTTCCAAATATGCATACCAACGCCCTCTATTGGTCCTAATCTTAACCTAAATCTATTTTCTTACTCTTTTATACTTTAAACACAAAAAACATCGCAATATCTTCGAAAAGTCATTTGAATTTTTCACAAAATGTTCTCTTGTGTAAATTTTACATTTTAGTGAAGAAATGAAGTGAATTCATCGAATATCTTCGAAGATATTTGCGAAAATGTTTGCAAAAACACTATATACTTAACCTGTCTTCCCAAAATTTATCCTAACCTCAACCTAAATCTATTTTCTTACTCTTTATACTCTTAGGAACAAAAACATTGCAATATCTTCTTAAATTGCATTTTAATGTCGAATTTAAGCGAAGATATGTGCAAAAACACAACATACCTAACCTATCTTTCCAAACATGGCCGCCACACTGTCTCCTGCCCCCACCCTACTACTATCGATAGCTTAGCACTTTTTAGTAGATGACTTCTTTGAATCTTACTTACGAACCAAAAATCTGTCACATACGATTCTTATGTATACGCGTATACATAATTGTATTTATTTTGTATATACTCCTATATAATCTTTCGTCGTGTGTTATTCACAATGTAGAAATACTAGCTGACTGTATAGCAACATAGATAGCTTGGTGAAAAAAAAACAACAACAAAACAAGCAAAAGCGACGCGACGCCATTGCAAGATGGCGTCCGCGGGTGTGGAGGGATGTGTAAACCGGCATAAATTAACTCTAAATTAGCACGTTGTTGAGTAATTAATAAATTAACCAAAGAAATTAATAACACAATGAAGATATAATCATGAATTTTGCAGGCGCTCTGTTCTATTCGATCCGAAATCTTTTTAACTCTTTCTCTTTACCTCTTTGGTCGTCCCGGGTGAGATGATGAATAGATACACACGTTTCGAGCAATCGTGTGTGCTGTGTCTGATTGTAAAACCACTTGTAACTTTACAGCACCGGCGGGCGCATGCATCATTGGCCGGCAGCATCCTCGATGGCTGGACACTGGACGATGCCGTTCATCGTAACTGGCTACGTCAGGGTGGTTCCATTTATAACAAAAACGTGCCGATCGAAATGCCGAAATAAAGACAGCGGGTGCCGATTGTGTCGACGACACACACACAATATTTACACTCACAAAACAAACACACAGAGATAAAAATAAAAAACAAATTGATGTCGTGTGCAATTTGCGGCCATTTTGTTTTGACGAAATTTAGAATCTCACACACCAACACACACGCTGACCCTTGAAATTATGCAACCTTATCAACACCTCCACTGTGTCTCGTGTGGCGTAAAAGTTGCAAGCTTTTTGTCTGAAATTTATTGAATAATCGATCATCGCACGAGTTTTCTTAGTTGATGAATTTGCAAGTGTCACGCGATACAAACTAAATATTAGTGGAGCAAGGATCTCCGGCCTCCCGATGTGCACGCCCGCTGTTTGTCGGCGGCGGAACCACAGTTTACCGCTGCCGTCCACACTTCTTCTCTTCTCAGGTTACTACTTATCCATTTTATGTAGACTGTATGCAGTTGAGGGTTATGTCGCTGTCATTTTTAGTTTTACTAATCGTACATAACCTCTAAAACTGTTTTCTATGATTTTTCAAGTTTTTTTTACCAACTGGACTGATTTTTCATTTTTGTCTCTCTAACATGAATCAACCGTGGATTTTTGTTTCTGCACACTCTTTTATCTACATCTATTGTCTCTTATTCTCTATGTATGTGTCTCTCACTGTTGTTCATTTACCGTAAACCACTCTTTAACGTTTGCCCTTTATTACTCTTGAAGGTGATAGGTGGTGAATTGCAAGAGCGTTTGATTCCGGTTCCGTACAGCAAGAGCTCCACTGACCAAGCTGTAAGCCGCTTTCCTACAATCTATCTTTTTCTGTCCGCTATGTGATTGATTTGATGAATTATTATCGATTAATTGATTGCCGATTTTCAGTTTTCTAACCGGGGTTTACTTTACTTTACTGATTTTGCTCTAACGTTTAGTTTACACTTCTGTTGATTGATCAAAATGATTGAACGATTTTGACAATATATTGATCAATATTTTCCATAAAATAACAAAAATATTAAAATATTGCACAATATATTGCGCAAAAAATAAAATCGTTCAATCTGATTGTTCAATATATTGTTGATGCAATGCCAAGTGCAACTGCAGGCTGTGCTCGATTAAATGTTGGCATATTGAACTCAAAAAAAAAAATGAAAAAAATTAATTTCCAGCGCTTTTTAAGCAGACAATTAGCAAGTAGCAAATTATAATTTTGATTGACGCTTACCAGTTAGTTTGTTGTTGCGACTGATGAAGATTGCGCTGCTTTACGATTAAAATTTCAACCTAACCTAGGCAGTAAACTTGACATAATAACCGTAGGCGTATGTTAGAGGTTATGTTCGATGTGAAACGCACCCTCCGCTTTACAAAACGTAGCGTTGACTCAATCCACAATCAACACGTTGTGCAACACTGTGGATTGTGTCTTTTACGCCAGGATAACACATAACAACACAGTAAATCTATAATTACGTCCGTCCAGAATGTTATAATTGTACACTGGTCAATTATTACGCGTTTTAATTTAACTTTCAAACCGACAATCACATAACCACCAAAAACCATGAATGAAAGAATGAACTAACCTCAATCTTACACTTTACTTGACTTACTTGACTCTTTCTGTATTTCTTTTCTTGTTTTCTGTTGATTTTCCTGTTGTGCATGCCGCCATTTTGTTTATTTTACGTTGTGCACTCGCAGATGCATAAGATCGCTCAAAACGTCCGCTGAGTGTGTGTATAATGTTAATGAATCCACCGCGACATTTACATTGAATAGATTTGTTATCGCACTCAATCAATATTGATATCAGACATTACTCTGCAGTATTTGGCCGTGTTGCGCTTTTGTTTTTTGTTATCGAAACAACAGCTTGTTTTTCTGTGTAGAGGCTTCCATTTCGTAGACCCGACGCCATTTTGTTCACTCTTGCTTGTCTTACTTACTTCTATTCTATTCTATATAAGAATTAACCTATTAACTATTAATTAAGTATGTGTTGTTATTTACCTATATTTATATGAATATCAATGGTCGATTGTTGCTTGCCGAGGCGAGCAGCGATCGACGTCCGGCCGCATTTTACATACTTTCGCTGTTTTCGTATTTTGAACAATGATATAATAACATATATATAGAACTGAAAAAAACCTAACGAAAAAAAAAACATACTGTTGTTGTGTTATTTCTATGATATTACTAATACCCACGTATACATACATACAGGTGGGGCAAAATCACGTAAGCAAAAAACCAATCAATATCTGGGTAAAACTGTATGTATAATGGATATATTGTTATACGTGTATGTCTTATAAGTGGTGCTCAAACAATCTCAAGTGTGTTGATCTGTAAGAAACCGATATTTGCAAGTTCAATGTTTTTATTTATTATTTCCACTCTTATCAATCGTGTTATTTTAAAATTTTATTATTATATTTGTGTGCGATCATTGTTTATATTTTTAAATATTTTTATTAATTATGCACCGCAATTTTTTTATTTTTTTGAAAATTTTTTTATTTTTTAAATTTTTATCACGGAATTTAAAGGAGCGCGTCCGTGAGACACCCACCCTGCTACGGCTTGCTGGCTGGTTTTGTATAACGCAATAGAGGCTTAAGTTGAAGGCGCGTGCGCGTATGAGGGAAGTTGCTTAAGGCGCGTATGACATACTGGTGTCCACACACACGGCATGTACAGAAACCGGCCGTGGCTGGGCGATACACAACGTACACGCGCGTAGGGTGCTACTGCGCCTGCGCACACAACTTGCACCGATGCACAGACACGCTGGGGCATGCGTGCGAGTTTATTTTTTAACTATATATATCTATGTCTAATCTAACACTAATTGCATGTTTGTTTATTGTCTGTGTGTGTTACGTTTATGTTTTACCTGTTTATGTGGACGAGCTGTGTAGGTGTTTGGTGCGAGCAGAGCTATCTTGTATATATAAACTAGGTTATAAAAGCAAAGAAAGTGAATTGCACTGTTTCTTTGTGTGTGTGCTATTGATGATGCTCGTCACCTCTCTCCGCTCTGCTCTATCTATCTATCCGCAAGACTGTCTCTTGAGAGTGGGAATGTTCTTGATTTTAATGCGGTCTGTTTTGTTGTTTCTGGTGCGTTGCAGATTCGAGTAGTTAACGCTTTCCGTCAGGGCCTAGACGCTCGGTACGGCGAGCACAGCAATACTTCCCTTGCCGAGGTGCTCCGCAAGCAGACGTCGCTCTCGAAGCGGCTGTCGCAGACATCTTCCATTGAGTACGCCGATAACATCCCCGACGAGCTGACAATTCCCGAGATCGATGTGGAGCGCTTGTCCTCGCACAGCCACACCGAGACGGCCGTCTAGCTCGCACGCCCTCTACCTACTACCTCCATCTCCCCCGCCACGCCAACCAACACTTAACCTCTTTACCACACACTCTCTCTTCTTCTCTATTTCTATCTATCTATCTATGAATCTATCATTACGCAAGCCCGTCCCTGCTGCAACCCACAACACACAACTTACCAGCAACAGCCGCAACGGAAGCGACCATCTTGTGCGCGGTGTGGATTTGACAACTGCTGACACCAGCGCCAGCGCCAGCGCCCTCTCTACTAGTGCAACAGCGCAGCAACTCAAAACGCACTTTTCTCTTTCTCTGTCTGTCTCGCTTCCTCCGAAGTTATCAACTCGTCATCTTGAACAACATGTGATGCTAAACGTATTATTTATTAGCGACACCGTGATAGTCGTGGTTGCTGCCATATCGCAAAACATCACACACTCCGTATTGCAAACAACAAAACAAAAAATATTAAGATTAAATTATATATATAAATATATAAATATGCATACATACAACATAAAACCAAAAAATGAAGATCGTCATAAAAAACTACTTAAAAGCCGGCTGTATGCAGCGCATTGTTCATTGTTCGTTGATTTATTGTTATTCTAGTGAATATATTGTGTGTTTCATACTTCTATATAATATAAACAAAACAAAAACAAAAAACAACAATGGACGAACATGAAAAAAACACGTTTTAGCAATAAATAAGTTTAAAAATGAAGGTGAAGCAACCCAACATACAGTATACATACACACACACACACACAAGATGGTGGTGGATGGTGGCGCACGCGCCATAGCGTATTATTAGGTGCCTAGGTGTGAGGGCGCGATACACACACTTGACGCCCGCTCTCACACACAAACACACTCACACACGACACACACTCACACACATGCACACGCTGAGATGCGCACGCAAAGTGAAAGTATTGCAGTGCACTCTGACTGCACTGGTGGCGCGCTCTGTATGCGCGAGTCACAACCCGCTGCTGCGACTGGAACCTCACACGTTCCGTGCACTGTCATATCAGCTTGATTGTCTACTCGCTTGAGGGCGTTCCAATGCATCAGTTGTGATATTTTCACATGTAAAACCACAGCGTGCGTATTTCTATGCTTGTGATGCGTTAAAATGATGAAAAATTAAATTAATATCAACGATATACTATAAAGATGGGATTAAAACAAAAATCAGCTCTGTAGATTGATGCAAGCGAGATATAAATGTTGTCTGCCAAAAGAAAAAAAACACAAAAAGATGAAAACAACACGTGTTTCTCTCGAACCTCATTCTGTTGTGTAATAATTCTAGATCTAACTTTGATTAGTTAAAAGAAATTAGTCTAGATGAGAATTAAAATGAAAGAAAGATGAAAAACAAGATACACCATTAATTAAGTTGCGAAAAATTTGAAGAAGAAGAAAACTGTCTTGCCACATTTGTTGAAGTGAGGTTAAAACGAATTTATTGCATACCAAATGATGTTAACCTAAAAAAATGATGAAGAAATGAAACCAGGCTAGAGCTTAAACCTATTAAAAGAGTATAATTATAATATGCATGTTATTGAGAACAAAAAAAAAATGAAACCAAAACAAGCGGAAATGCATCGTTTACGATTATATTGTAACATATTCGATATAAATTAATACTATTAACTACTACTGTGAATAAGTAGCTTAAACATGAGATTTTTGAATTTAACGTTTAAGAGCTGTGTATAATGGCACGCTGACGGTGGCAAGTCACGCCCGACCACGCCCATTGGAACAATATGACACGCCCCACAATTACACACGCCCATAACCTCATTCTCCTCCTACTTACCCCCAAAATGTACTTAAAACTGTACTTAAAGTGGAAGAACGTGTTGTTTATTTAATTGTTTAATTTTTAACTATTGAAGTGAAACGAAATGCAGTGTTATATCGTTATATATGCGAGAGAAATTAATAAGGAAACAATAATTGAATAATTTAATGTGTTTCGTAATTTACATTATTTATGTACTCGTAAGATTTGTAGTTGTTACAAGTTTAAAGTTAGTTATTTATATATAGTTATCTATACATACTCTAATTCTATTGATTGTAGGTTAAGTCACATCACAACACACACACACCACATTTAAAAATATATTATACACTGTTTACGATTCGGGGGTGGCGGGGTTTGCTTCTATTGGCGAGCTCGCGCACACACACACTTATACACTACTACTCCGTATCGGAACCGAGCGGCTCTTGTGTTACGCGTTGCGCGTACGCCCCGCCTTTCGCATCACACACCCAATGGGCTGGCGGGGCGTGGCGCGCGCATGCGCCACAAGCAGCCCGGGATGCTCGCGGGCAGCGCCTCTGCGCATGCCTGAGCTTTCCGAGCGTGCATCATCGCTCGCTGAATGAAAAACCAAAAAAAAAATCTATGAAGAGGAAAATAAACCACCCATACATGCGTTGACGTTTCGAGCATTTTATTTTTACATACACATACAAATCATGCGCGACGATGCACGTTCCTATTACTATGTAATATACTTTTTAAACTATACTTATCTCGTAACTTTAAACAAAATGATGATGATGATGATGACCCGAAACAATGAGAAACAGGAAATAATACACACTCACGATGGGAGAAATGATTACAATTATTGATGATATATATATATAAATAAATATATATATTAATATAATGAGATACCAAATTTAACAAACGATGAGGACGACACAATTCTGCTAACATGTTTAAATAATGGAGATGATATGAAAAGGCAAATTAAAATTATATACCATATATCGTCACGCCCTAGCCCATCAGACTTCATACACTTCTAGTTGATCAATGACATGTATGATACAAAAACAAAATGATATTAATGATACCATATGATACCATAAATAAATATTTACTTATTGATTTATTGCTTCATTTCACAATTTTTGGGATTTTTTTTTTGTTTTATGTAGTGCCATTGCTCATTACCCCTTAAAAACAGGCAATCCAACTTATATTACACATATTATGGTATATATGAATATGTGTGTATGTATGTTTGCCTACAGAAAACGCTGCGTCAATATTTTAGGTTTTTAGGGTTAAAATTGCTTTTTGTTATTGTTTTTCATATTATGTGAAGACTATCAAAGCTACATGTTTCAACTTTCTACTATTTATTTTTCTGTAAATTATCTATTAAACAAACGTTGAATCAAAGTTCTATCCTTTAAAACACCAGAGTTATTGCGTTGTAAAGTTGTCTATTTTTTGAAAAATTCAATTTTTCAGTTTCTGTAAAGTTAAAATTGCGTTTTTATTATTCTGTTTCACTTTACTTAAAAACTAGGAAACGCACATAATTCATTTTTACACTATTTAATCTCCTATAAATTATCTATCAAATATAACCAAGATCAAAGTTTTATGCATAAAAACACCAGAGTTATTGCCTTGTAAAGTAACTAATTTTTAAAAAGAGAGAATTACGCACAATTTTTGTTTTTCTTAATTTAACAACAAAATCTAAATATATATTAACTTAAATGTTACACATCTTATAGTCCTTTAAATTATCTATCATTTGACCCCAAAAAATTAATTTTATCTCTTTTAGTTTTTAAGATATTAACAATTTTATAATTAAAAATGACTCCGCACTACAGGCAGCCAAACCTACATTACACATATTTTCATATATGAATATGCTGTATGTATGGTTGCCTACATTAACCCTTTTTACTTTTCAGAATCTTTTGCCACTTTATTTATATTTTACCCTAACTAATCCTAACAATATCTTCCTTAGGAAGATACAACACCCGTAAGAAGTGCACAATCCTCCCGATCATCCCTATTCAAACCCGGAAACAGTCGAAGAACAGGTCTCAAAGTAAATTTCAGCGAATTACCTCCCCAGATGAAAACCTATAGCATGTTCGAAGAAACAGAAGATTCCCTACTTGATTACCCCCTTGCTGGATGTATTTACATCCCTCTTAGAGACTACACTTATGATGATGATGACGACGACGATGATTTTGAAGAAATAAGTGCTTCTAGTTCAACTAGCAGTGCCACAAGTTTTTACAACGAGAAAAAAGTCCGGTTTTAGTTTAGTAGTTATTTATTATCTAGTTAATAAATATACTCATCAGCGATGAGTACCTGTTCCTACATTGTTAATGTAAACATAACCTATATTACAGTTGACTAAGATTTGAAGGTTAGAATTATATAAGTGTATTACTAACGGTGATTGGCTGTCTCACTGGGGATCTGGGGCTGTACGTGCGTATCCAATTCGTTGCAGGGTGATTTTTATATCCTTGTACACTGTGGGGTCCTCCACGGTACCGGAAATCTGAGTAAACATTGTTTCAGACAAGTTTTACATGATAATCAAGTAATATTTACTTTGACTTGTTTGTTACGTGCTAAATCCGCAATGGACTTTCTGCACGTTTTCCCCGATCGTGTCCTGGGCAGTCCACGGACAGCCACAGCAAGTTTGAAGGATGCAATTGGTCCAATGAGGTCACGCACCATTACAATCAGGTCATTCACGACGGTTTCTTCGTTTTTACGCGAATCTAAACATATTTATATAAATTTTTCAGTTTTTTGAGGTTATGTGAGTGTTTTTACTCTTTTTGAGTACAAATAAACACAAAGGCACCTCGCCCTTTGTAGGTTCCGGTACACCCACGACTGTGGCATCCACAATATCCGGATGTGAAAGAACCACGTCCTCAATGGCGGATGTGGCTATTCTGTGACCTGCTACATTGATCACATCATCATCACGTGCTGTCACATAGACATAACCAAACTCATCTATGAATCCAGCGTCCATTGTGTCATAGTACCCAGGGTACTTCCGGAAGTAGACTTTACAGAACCGCTCAGGGGATTGGTATAGCGTTGTCATGGTACCCGGTGGTAATGGTAATTTGACCACGATGCGTCCCAATTCATGCGGCTTGCATTCGTCGCCATTCTCAGCCAGCACACGCACTAATAATTCATAAAACTCGTTTCGGTTAGTGAATAAATGGTTGCATAGAGTTGGAAATTAAAAAAATGCACACACAATGAACGCCATTTGCATGTCTCCGTGACCTGCGCGCACGTAGCATTTTTAAATGTTTGCCTCACCGTCATATCCTGGAAAGGGCATGCCAGCTGTATACTTTGGCGGATGCAGATTGTGTCCGAGGCCGACGCAGGTCGCCGTTATGCTATGACCGGTCTCAGTCTGCCACCAATGATTCAAAACCGGCACACGGAATGTCGCCTCCACCCAGGACTTGGTATCATAGTCACAGTGTTCCCCAGCGACGAAAATCCTCTGCAGGGACTTCAGGGAATACCCGGCCCCGAAGGATATGTTAGGGTCTTCCCTTTTTATCACTCGGAAGGACGTGGGGACCGTGAACAATGCATTCACCTTGTGCTCATCGATGATTCTAAATAAATCGATTGTTTGGTGATGACAACAGCAGTTTTTCATGCATACCTGAAATACTGTCCCGGATCTGGTGTGCGGTCCGGTTTACCTTCATACATGACACTGGTGATACCATAGAGTAATGGCCCGTAACAAATATAGGAATGGCCGACGACCCAGCCTAAATCACTAGCTGCCCACCAGACGTCATCTTGTTTCATGCCGTAGATGGACGACATTGTCCAGTAAAGAGTTGCAAGATGGCCGCCGACTGGTCTCTGGACACCTTTAGGATGATCTAAACCGGAAACAATCAATAAAACCCTTGGAAACCCCAAAAAACCTCTTTACCAGTAGTCCCGGAAGTGTATAAAATATACAAAGGGTCATTCGCTTCCACAGGGACACATTTATGTGGTCCTGCTAATTTTAAAACATCCTCCCATAAAATATCCATCTCCACATCCAACGGAGCTATCTCCAAGTTCCTACGCTGGAAAATCACACACTTTTCCGGTTTGTACGAGGCCCATTCAATCGCTTCGTTGAGTATATCCTTATACCTAATGATACGATGTGGTTCCAGTCCACAGCTAGCAGCCACGATCAATTTGGGTTCGCAGTGTTCAATTCGTGAGCATAATTCCCTAGCAGCGAAACCTATATACTAAAATTAGTACTATTGGTGTATGAGAAGTTGCCTATGTTACCTCCGAAGACAACTGAATGCACAGCGCCTAAACGTGCAGTAGCCAACATTGCAATAATGGCCTCCGGGATCAACGGCATATAGATCAGGACATTGTCACCCTTCTTCACCCCTAACGCAGCGAACCCTCCGGCTAAATGTGACACCTAGAATTTAATGGAGTTTCTATGTACACAAATTAAGTTGAAAATAAGAAATTTTACTTTGTCGAGTAATTCAGCATAGGTAATCTTGCGAACTGAGTGTGTAAGTGGGCTGTCATGGATGAGGGCCACCTTTGACCCATTACCATCCTCCACGTGACGATCCACAGTGTTGTAACATGCGTTTAATTCACCTCCGACGAACCTGAACGGAAAAATTAAAAGAAAACATGAAAAATTAAATTTTATCAAAATTTTAATTTTACCATTTTGTAAATGGTTCATTGGAGTTATCCAGGACTTTAGACCATGGTTTGGACCATTTTATGAGTTTTCCTAACTTCCCCCAGAATTCCTCGGGTTTTTCAATGGATTCCCGATGTGTGCGTTCGTATAAATCACTATAATAAGGATTTTCTTTGATGAAACCTGTAAATAATCAAAATTTTGATAAAATTTGATCAAATTTCAGAATAAATTTACAACACCTTCGTCTTTTTTGATATATTTAATGTTTTTCTTTGTCTTCTCGTCCGAGGGCAACACGTCAGCCATCTTGTCGTTGTAAAGTTGTTGTGTGGCCGGGAACCGATAGTCCTTACCGTCGCTTGCCAACTGCGCCTCCAAGGAGCCGTCCGCGACAAGTCGAAACGAACGCCCCACTATTCGCGCGGCCATTTTATGTAGATGACCGCTGTTATTGGGTAATATTTTTCTCATAACCTACCATAATATCAATATGCACATACTGATTGATAGATGCGCGACCTCGGTGACTTCTTTGATGGACAGTGGCGCGATTTCTAACGAATTCGTTACGCATTGTTGTGAGTGTCGACTTTTCGAGTTCTCGACGCCGCTGGAAAATGCCAGTTGGTGTGTGATTTTTCAATGGTTATATGGTTATTCACGCCGGCGTTGACGTGCTCGTTACTTATCGCGCGTGGGACGCAATCTTGCGATGCGTTTCTTGCAGACTGGGTGCCATTTGAATATGAGGAGCATTATTCAGGGGAGAATGTAATTCAATATTGTTGTGTGTGGCGAAGGAGGAGAAGAACCTACACAAAAAATGTAACGATTTATTTACGCATGATATTTTTGGTAGTTTTTTGGGATTTTTGGGGAAATGGTAAAAGTTATAAATTTGATAGTTATATATCTTATAGTTGTTTAAAATATCTATCATTTGACGTGAAAATTATTGTTTTATCTTTTTTAGTTTAAAAGATATAACGATTTTTATAATTTTTAGGTAAAAGACGCTTTTTTTAACTCTTTTCCAATTTACTTAAAAACTAAAAAACGCATTTATTTCATTTTTAGGCTATTTATTCTCTGATAAATTATCTATCAAACAAAATTAAGATCAAAATTCTATCTATCAAGACACCAGAGTTATTGGGTTGTGAAGTTGCCTACTTTTTGAAAATTTAATTTTTTAGTTTTTTTAAAGTTAAAATCGCTTTTTTTATTATAATTTTTCACTTTACTTAAAAACTATAAAACACACATAATTCATCTTTACACTATTTAATCTCCTGCAAATTATCTATCAAACAAAATTTAAATCAAAGTTCTATCTATCAAAACACCCGAGTTATTGCGTTGTGAAATTGCCTACTTTTTGAAAAAATCAATTTTTCCTTCAAAATCGTGTTTTTTTATTATAATTATTTATTTTACTTAAAAACTATAAAACGTACATAATTCATATTTACAGTATTTAATCTCTTATAAATTATCTATTAAACAAAATTAAATTCAAAGTTCTATCTACAAATACACCAAAGTTATTGCGTTATGAAGTTGCCTACATTTTAAAAAATTCAATTTTTATGTAAAATTGCGTTTTTATTACAATTTTTCACTTTACAAAAAAACTACAAAATTTACACAATTCATCCTTAGCACTATTTAATCCTCTATAAATTATCTATTAAACAAAATCATAATCAAAGTTCTACGCCTTAAAACACCCGAGTTATTGCGTTGTAAAGTCGCAACTTTTCAAAAGATCCGTGTAGGTAGCACTGCGCAATAAACAACAATTACGTATTAATTCTGCACGCGCTGCGTTTAAAAATGCGCATCACGGACGAAATTAACTCTCCACACTCCACCCTCGTCCCGGCACACAAATAATTTGTTTATATTTGCGCCAACTTAAACCAATAAAATTGTTTTACATTATTTACATCAACTGAACATCCACAGTTCACACCGCGTCGAGATAAGATCATTACGGCGTTATTTTAGCGGGTAATTAAGGACCCGCTGGCTTAATAACAATGTCCCTTTTACTTCCAACCCTTTTATGTACAAAGATCGCAAAACATGAGGCAGTAACTCGACCGTACGCCGACAAATTGCGCTGATGACACTGTTAATGAGCATCCTGGCTCTAAAATTGAATTATTTTTGGTAAACAAATAATAAACATTAAGTTTTATTAGAACTAATATTTTTGTTCCTGGAAGACGTATTTTTCGGAGATAATTGACGCAAGATGAAAGAAAAATGTAAGTAATAATAATTTAATTAGGTAGACGACATTTTTGTTCTATTCTGGACGTCCAGGACGTAGGAAACTGTATATGTGTGTGGATTGCGTTTGCGGAAAGTGCATTATGGCGGTCTTTGATGCTCCGGCTAGGAAAATAAGGTTTCGCACTTAGTGAGTGGAGAAAATGTGACGGTAAAGTTTTTTTGGAAATGTATATTTTATTATACGGAATATGAGGTACAGAAACTTCACTTTTATTCTATATTTATATATAATACAGGGTGTACACATAAAATTAATTTTTAGGTTAAAAATTTTAAGGTTAGAAATGTTTCCGGCCTTGTTTTTATTAAATTAAACAAAAAAATACAAGTTTTAGGTTATAAATAGCTTGAAAATGTGACATAACCTGTACTTTTAAATTCCTAGGTTATTTTCCATAGAAATATTTGATTTTAGTTAGTTTTACAGCTATATTTATATATTCTACAGGGTGTATCAATAAAATTAATTTTTAGGTTAAAAAATTAAGGTTAGAAATGTTTCCGGCCTTGTTTTAATTAAATTAAACAAAGAAACATAATTTTTAGGTTAAAAATTGATTTAAAATGTAACATAACCTATACGTTTAAGTTTTGAGGTTATTTTCTATAGAAATATTTGATTTTAGTTAGTTTTACAGCTATATTTTTTATATTTTACAGGGTGTATCAGTAAAATTAATTTTTAGGTTAAAAATTTTAAGGTTAGAAATGTTTCCGGCTGTTTTTTCATTAATTTAAGCAAAAAAACATAATTTTTAGGTTAAAAATTGATTTAATGTATGACATAACCTATTCTTTTAAATTTCTAGGTTATTTTCCATAGAAATATTTGATTTCAGTTAGTTTTACAGCTATATTTATATATTCTACAGGGTGTATCAATAGAATTAATTTTTAGGTTAAAAATTTTAAGGTTAGAAATCTTTCCGGCTTTGTTTTCATTAAATTAAACAAAAAAACAAAATTTTTAGGTTATAAATTGATTTAAAATGTAACATAACCTATACTTTTATGTTTTGAAGTTATTTTCCGTAGAAATATTTGATTTTAGTAGTTTTCTGCATGTTGCGTGCATTTCATGCTTTCCACCTGCATTTCCTCACAATTTTCATTGTGATGATTTCCATTTTCCGCTCGGTGCATTCCCACATTCAACATTCTGCATCCTGCATGCGGTATTCCTATTTATTTGATGCAATAACACAAACTGGACGTTTTCTTGACGCGTTATATCAATTGTGAACAAGTGGAATTTAATAAATTAATTACCCACAAATGCATGATGAATGAATGATGAAATTGTTACGAGCACATTAAATTGGTAGCAAAAGCATAAAAATGATAGCGATAACCAACACAAAACAAATTCTTAACAGCATGTCACGTTAATCGATTATTGTCACAGCGTTTTCTTGTTTATTTGATCGGTTGCATTTATATTGTATATAAATTGCTTCTTATTGTCTACGATTTGCATTTTGTGAGGTCACATTGTATAATAATGAGTTATTTTTACAAAAAAACTATTTTAACGCAAATTTAGAAGAAATTTTTTGAGAAAAATGTGAATTTTGTATTTTTATTGATTGCACAATATTTATGCTTGACGCATGGTTTCAGTTCATTAATAAACATGGCGGAGACAATTCGTGTGTTATTTATGTACACATTATCAATACGTTGTTAGCGAGCACTCAGATTAAATCACTAAAACAATATTTGGCTATGCGATAGCATTCGACGGGCCGGTGTCATGTGGAAACATTGAAAACACCGGAAGTGCGCCATTGAAATCACGAAAATCAAAAGTACTACTTCCCTAATCCACGAAACAATCACACACGTAATGTACACCATCAATGAACTGCGTTTGAACTTTTGTCAAACAATGCAGTTTCACTTTCGAAGGTTTTTTTATTAAAATTTTTGATTTTTTTGCATAAAAACGTGAAATTTTGCTTTTACGTTAAATAACACATTAATAATCAATATAAACACATAATTCACCACTAATAACATAAATATACTTATTTAAAATATTTTGTACAATATATTGTACAATTTGATTGAATGGATTTGTTTAACGGAACAAAAACACAAATTAAACGTGCTGAAAGTTGGAAATGTAAATTGTTGCATCCAAAGAAAGACGAGGATAGTGATGTTTGCGACGGTGGCCGTGGCGGCGGCTGCAGGGGGCGGGTGACACGCCTGTTGCGTGGCGTAGGCGCATCCCGGCGGATATAAAAGATGCCGGCAGCGGCAGTGCGGCCCGCATACAGAAATCCAAAACCGAATCGCACCGGTCTGCACCCCTATCATCCAAGTTAACAATCAACAAGTTCTTCGTCTGTTAAACACCATAGTGTTGTTAAAAATTCGGAGTTTGACTGATTGAAGGATTTATCACAGTAAGTGCGCAATCATTTATTTTATTTCAAGTTAATTTGATTAAAAATGCAGCGTGCAGAGCGTTTTTTAATTGTCTATTCAAGTAAATCTCATTTGGAAACATTTTGTTTCATTACGACGCATTGTAATGAAAAATCTCTGCAGTTTGTTTGTGTTCATTAGTGATTAATTGTTTTTTAATTTTTTGTTTGTAATTTTTTAATAAAATTTTCTTTGTAATTAGGATTAAAATGCATCAATATACGTGTTTGGCGATGACATGCAGCGCGCTGCTCTTGGTTCTTGCCTCCTCCTCATCAGCATCCACGATTCCGGTGATTGTCTGCCCTCCGGGACTCAAAGAAGTCCCAGCGAGTATCCGCCATTTGTGTGTGGCCTCCTGGCGGAACGTGACACTCCGCCGGAAGAAGGTAAGCGTATGCAACCAGTCACACACGTTGTGTAACACTGTTAATCTACCATGAATACTAATCCTCTTTGTGTCTTGTGTTTTTTTTCTTCTTTTTCTTCTGTTTTTCATTTCCTGCGCGTACAGGTGACATCATCGAGGCGCCCTACTACTCCGCGCACCCGGCCGACACCAGGGGCGTGAAACGGCAGGACGTCGATCACGTCTTCCTGCGATTCGGGCGGCGGAATGGCCTCTAGAGCCCTGCCTCCACAGACCGTGATTGATCTCCGCGGCGTTAACTCGAACATATTAATGGACCTTCCTACAAATTTCCCTCAACTAACACACTGTCACTGACACACACATATACACTACATTCATTAAAAGGTGGCTAATCAACACCCCCACAAGCGGACTGATGAAATGTTTCTCATGGAACTCGTTTGCGGCTTTCATTCTTCGCTTCGTGCATGATTGTACAAATTGAAACAACAACCAAGCAACAACTAACCACTAATGTTTTATTGCCAGATGTAAATTGAATTTATTTATTATACTAATTATTCGTTTTTAAATGTACTAGTAGATTTAGAGAATAATAAAGAATAAAATTGGCAAAATATTGCATCATTATGATTTGATTGCGCAATATTTCAGACAATATTCACGATTATTCCAAAACTACTCGATGGATTTTGTTCAAATTTTATACACATATTAATAATAACAATATTTATGCCTCAAAGTAAAAATAATAACAAAAAATTATTTATTTATACTTTAAATTGATTATTTTGTAATTTTTTGAATTTTCACGAATTTCTCGAAAACTATTCAACGGATTTAGATAAAATTTTGTATACACATTAATAATAACATTATTAATCCCCAAAATATAAACAACATCAAAAAATTATTTATTTATACCTTAAATTGTTTATTTTATAATTTTTATTGATTTTTCACGAATTTCTCGCAAACTATCCAACGGATTTAGATAAAAATTTGTATACACATAAACAATAACATTATTAATCCCCTAAAATATAAACAACATCAAAAAATTATTTATTAATACCTTAAATTGTTTATTTTGTAATTTTTTTGGAATTTTCACGAATTTCTCAAAAACTATTCAACGGATTTAGACAAAATTTTGTATACACATAAACAATAACATTATCAATCCCCCAAAATATAAACAATAATAATAATTTGTTTATTTAACCTTTAAAATATTTATTTCGTAATTATTGGACAAAATCGACAAGAAAAATAGCGTAACAATCACAATTCATGATAGTGATAGAAAAATATATAATATTTTCTATTTCTAAACATTACGGCTCAAATAAAATAAGTTATGAACATTCCAAAGTGTAAGTACATACTGTAATTCGAACTGGATGTTTGAGGTAATAACATTTTAGGAATTAATTAATATTCGAGAGAGTCGCAGTAAAATTCGCGTTTTTCTTAATGATCCTCGGTAAAATACGAGACGTAGACGACGTCCCCGCCGACATTGATAAGACACTGTCCCTGTGAACATAAATAAACAATAAATAATCGTTTGGCACTACTGGAAAATCAATAAAAGCGAAAAATATCGCGCACGTGTTATCTGATATTACATCAAAGTGCAAAGGCACGACTTGTATGTAACCAACACCTTGACGAAACTAAAACGCAGGTTGTTTTACAATTATTGTCATTATTATTGAATGCTTTTATTCGGTGTGGCGCTGTTGACACAATAGTTGAATATGGAATATCGCATTGCAAATTCCAGTCTGGTGTTGTTATTTTTTTGCGCCGCCGCCGCGAATTATTTCAATTTCAATAATAATGAAGTGAACTCGTCTGGTCGGCCCCGGGTATCGGCCCGTGACGTACAACAATACATTATCATGTTATCGAGAATGTGCGAAATGCAAATGCGTGCGCTCGTATTATGATAATATGTACTTTCTACCCAGGGACCCAGAGACCCCGGAAAGCTTCAGTGAGTGACACAGTTACAATAAGCTTCATGCATATTTCAGGCCGCTATCTCAGCGCAATCCTCCGCAAGGAAAACATTAAACAAGCGCTGCTGTCATAGGAAAACATCTGCGTGCAGATTGTTTATTATTCTGCTGTATGTTGGGTTGCCTACGCAGAGTGTAACCAGTGTGCGCAGCGAGCCGGTTCGTGTCCGTTGATAAATCAGTGTTTTAAGCAAGAAAAAGAAGCGAGTCATTGTTGTAAGTTAGATTTTACATTAAAGAAACATAATATCTATCGGCTGATATATAAATATACATGAGGACTGTTGTGATTAAAGCGTAATCATTAGATTTGTAACTGTTAATATGAACAGACAAGATAACCTGCTTGTCGTTGAGCAGTGCGCGCGCAGTGCTTGTTATTTTCCTGTATGCGTGGTTGCCTAGGTATAGTTCAACCGACGCGCATGCAGTCGATTGTGAATTCGACAATAAATAAGATAAAACATCAAAGATCAAATCGTGTCATTGCTGTAAGTCATAGAAATAAACAATCTATCATTAGACATATAAATATTCATGCGCAGTGTGGTTTTATAAACCATAATCATTAGATTTAAATAAGTTCATAAGACTACAACATAACCTCACTATTTTCAAGTTGCAGGAGAAAATTTTCTGCGCGTCATATTTGAAGTAGTTAAAATGAAATTCAACACCGTGAAAATATAAGCAGGCGCGCATCGACTTCAAAGCCACCCGGCGTTTACCACTTTGATGTGTAATCGGATCAGATATTATTCACAATTGCGTTAGAACAAAAAATGTAAGCGTGAACAGTAAAGAGCGCGTTTTTATTAAAACACAAGTGCAAAGCGTGCAGCATTTCAATTTTTTCCAGCGCGCTGCTGCGATGTAATAATAAACCTCTCACCTGATTTTTGTGCAAGTTGTGATTCAACACGCACTCGGTGATGAAGTACGCCACCATTGCATTGCCGCCCAGTGCTGTGACGTGCGCTCGAACAATCGCCAAAATTTCCGTCACAAAACTATGTACGAATCCACTCAGACCACCTTCCTATGAATAATTATGATAATTTTAATTATTATTATTAGTAATGAAGTAAATTATTACCTCTCGTAGTGAAGTTGTTTCGCGTATGAAGAAAAAGTTTAAATTCCCGAGGTATTTCTCGATTTTTCCACCGGGGACATAGGACAATGGTGTTATGTCAACGCCGTGTCGCTCTCGGTACGGGACCTTTAAAACAAACTCATTAATTTCGCATGCGGCGCGTTACATAAGTACGAAAACTAGCGCAACTCACGTGGCGTTGCTTCGTTAGCAATTTATTGCGAATTGGGGATTTTTGGCGATGTTTCAACGATTGGGTCTGCAAAAGATGTGTAGTTGGTGGTGTTTGCGCAACACTATGTTCCGGGATTTGATCCTCTTCCAAATTAAAGATCAAATCATCATCTGAACACAAAAAATCAAAAAATTAATCATTTTATACAGGGTAAATAGAAACATCAAAACTACGTACCAACACGTTTCGTTATGACAGTTTTTCGTTTCTTGGCGTTTCTTAACGGATCTCCTAGACCTAGGGCCATCCCAACGACACATAATTGTATCTCGTCTGGTTCCGGTGAGTCCACACGAAATTGTAGATCGCATAGAGCGCAGGGTATCATACGTCTTAGTTTGAAGTAAACACTCTGTAGGAGTCGATGGAAATGTTTGTCTAAATCGAAAGGTGGTGGGATTTTCGCACGCCAGATTTGTGTGAACATTTGTAGATTCTTGACGATTTCCAAATCTTCTAAACCTGGTACATGTTCGGTATTTACTACATGAAAACCATCAGGTGGTCTTGGCTCCAGGACGGATTTTAATACGTCTGCATCATCGGGATCATCCACTTCTAGTATGCAACAGTCTTTGTTGCCTACAGCTAAGTCTAATCCAGGTGTTTCATCTTCAGACCCATCTGATTCTGAGAGTAATTTATTAGACTCACCATTAACTTCTTCCTATTAATTTATTAGAGTATAATTTTTGCGGATTTAATTTATTATTAGACTTACTATCGATCGAAGTTGATAAATCTCCCTATTTCGTTTAATCGTATCATGCAGGTCCTTTTGAAGTTGTGTTAGTTTTTTCTCATCAGTCGTACGATCCGAGACTAGTTTAGGAAGCAGTGGTGGGGGTAATGATGAAAGGAACACTGCTGTTCCGGTTGCAATACCGATTAACATACGCTCCCCGATGGATATGCGTACTTTAAGTCCGAAAATCGCATTCATTCCTTTGACTTTTAATTTATTTATGAGGAATCGATGTAGTTCGTATTCGAGAAATGGTAGGCCATCAGAAATTTCCTTGGCGTTCGATTCGCCTTTGAGGTCCTTCAATGGTCTACACACGTACGATTGAATGAAACAACCCCTGCCGAAATTGGGCATACCTTCAGGTATTTCAATGGTAGCAATGAGCATATCAGGGACTTTATACGCGCTAAAATTAAATATTAATTTAATAAGTTAATAAATTCGTTTTGGTGTTATTGGTGGTATACCCGCATGTGCAACATTTAATCGAAGAAGATCTCAGCGGTTTTGAATTCGAGACGTAGGGCAGATGTGTAATCGAGCAGGCGGGTTTCAAGTGTTGAGTTGATTCACGTTCTGGGCTTGTATTTGCCCCGTTTACAGTTGGTACTGTTTTGGGTTTGGTTGTACACATGGTAGGGTGTTCAACTTTGGGTTTTTCTTTATTCTCCCGATCTTTGTCTTTATCTTTTTCGAAATCATTCCGGTCTAATGATGTGGTCATTGAATTCGTATTATTTTTTGGTAGAATTGGTAAACCCCCTACGTTATCAGCAGATTCCCCGGTTGTTGATGTGTGTTGGAAACCCAACACCGCAGCGGTTCCACTAGCGCTCAAGACACAAACATCATCGCTAAAATATTTTTAACTCGTCAAATTTATATTTCAAGGGATTGTTTAGGTTTTATTTACCAAATACTGGTACTTTCTGTGTAGCCTAAAACAGCGTTACAATTAAGTGCACGTGCGTGGGATCTGATCTCCATGCGGATCTCCGACCACCACGTGTCACGAGATTCAGGCTCCTCGAGATTCGTTATGCGTTCTAAGAGTTTCACCGAGCGCGCGCTCACAGAACCACCTTGAATGTGAAGAGTATTGTTTCATTTTTGTGCGTCATGCGTACAATAATTACCTATGTGCGCAATAAATCCCGGCGGGTACTTGGAGAGCGTGAGAAAAGGATATTCCATTATGTCGAAATTCTCCTGTGGTCGCGTCGTCCGCAACATGGCGCCGCGCATATACTGCCCGCTCGAATATCCTCCCGAACGGTCACTTCCAGTCAGACTATTTCCTTTATTATTAAAAATAAACATAAAAAAGTTTAATTGTTTGGTTTTTAATCATAAAACATTTATATGAAAAATAAATTAAAACAAAAAAAAGGTTACGATATCTTCATACACCAGCAGTGTGAAAATACAACGTAATGAAAATACATAAAACACGTTAGGTTATCAAAAAAACGTAAAAAACAACCAAACGTAACGCAGCGTTTTCAGATTGTATTAGCACATAAATAAGAAACTCTCTCGTACGCGCGGAAAGTAAAGTAAACGTCGAAAGCTCTGCCCAATTATACGAGTAGTACACACATTAAGAGAAACATTGAACGAATAGAAACAACATACAGATCTCGGCGACCATCGCAAATACTCACTTTTCCTCAGGATTCCTAATATAACAAATCAAAAATTAATCAAAAAATATGTACAAAAACATAAAAAATCAAAAATAAAATGTGCTTTTGCTTCTGTTTCGACTGCTGGTCAATGTACGAGTTTACAATGTTTAAGAATAAACGTGTCATATTAATAATTATTAATTATTACCTTTAGGTGTAATACTCAGGTCTGAGTCAGATGACCGCCGGTGTATACAGGGTATGGCGTTGAGTTTGGCAGGCGAGTGAGCAATCCGCACGCCTAAAGATTCCGTGCGTTGATGGCCATTCTCACCATTACGGCTGTCGCTGGCTGCGGTCGGCGTGGGGTTGAGTGGTACCGGTGTGGTTTCTACGTGCCTAGGGGTGGTTAAGCAAGCATGCGTTGTATTAATGCAATCATGATCGCCGCCGTCAATTTGCGTGTTGAGCGGGCGGCTGGCGAGAGAATTAGTACTTAGTTGCTTGTCAGTTTGTTCTGATAGTAAATTAGAAGATGTCGTAGGCAGGTCTGGGGATTTTGGAGTGGGGGTAAATTTCGGAGATTCTGTGGTTGGTGAAGATGATGTAGCTAAGACTTCTTGGACGCTGTCCATTAGGACATTTCCTAGGGCAATGTTTAGGAGACCGTGTTCATTTTTGATCCCTGGGTCTGGGTGGTGAAGTTTATTGTCTATTTTGAGAAGGAGTTTATCTTTGCTTTCTTTTATTTTGTCGAGGATACTATGCCTGCGATCTGCAGTTTCATCGGGTTTTGTTGATTCTTCAGTTTGGTTTATTTCCAAAATATGGGAATGAGGAAGTTCTGGGGTTGATACAGGAAATTCTGGTGTACCCGCTGTGGGACTTGGTGTTGACGTAGCTAAAACATCTTGGACACTGTCCATTAAGACATTTCCGAGGGCTATGTTTAATAAACCATGTTCATTTTTTATCCCTCCTGCATTTTGATGGTGTTGACCCAAATGAAACAGTTTATCTCTGCCTTCTTTTAATCTGTCAAGTAAACCATGTTTATGGTCATCATTTGCTGTTGAATATTCTGGTAAAGTTTCCTCTTGGTGTTCATGGTGTTCAATTGAAGGTTCTTTCTTCAAATCATCCAATTCTAGTACATGAGAATGATTAGGCATATGCGGAACATGGGTCTGAGGTGGTTCTTCAACAGATTTATCTAAATCGAATTGTGGTTGTGGGAATTCCGGTGGTTTATCATTAGGTGACGCTGTATGTGAAGTCGCAAGCACATCTTGTACACTATCCATCAGGACATTTCCCAGTGCAATATTTAATAAACCATGCTCATTTTTTATCCCCCCTTCATGATGATGATGAATTTTTGTATCAATACTATGAATCAACTCTTTGGGGCCATGTAGGAGTCTATCTCTACCCTCTTTTAGTTTCTCAAGTAAACTATGCTTATGACTATCAGTTCCTACTGAGTGTTCCGATAAAGTGTCCTCTAATTTTTTATTCTGATCAACTGAAACTTCTTTTTTGACCTCTTCTGATTCCAAAGGAGTTTCAAAGTGTGGAAACTCTGGTGGTTTATCATTTGGTGAAGCTGTATGTGACGTAACCAAAACCTCCTGCATACTGTCCATTAAAACATTCCCCAGCGCAATATTTAATAAACCATGTTCATTTTTTATTTCCCCTTCATGATGATGATGATGATGATGAATTTTTGTATCTATACTATGAATCAGTTTATCTTTGCCTTCTTTTAACTTATCAAGTAGACTATGCTTATGACCATTAGTTCCTACAGAGTGTTCCGATAAAGTCTCCTCTAATTTTTTATTTTGATCACCTGAAACTTCTTTTTTGACCTCTTCTGCTTCCAAAGGAGTTTCAAAATGCGGAAACTCTGGTGGTTTATCATTTGGTGAGGCTGTATGTGACGTAACCAAAACCTCCTGCATAGTATCCATCAGGACATTCCCCAATGCAATATTCAATAAACCATGTTCGTGTTTGATCGCACCATGATCATGAATCTTCGAATCCAGTCGATGGAGTAACTCCGCAGGCGCATGCAAGAGTTTATCTTTACCCTCTTTTAATTTGTGCAGTAATCCGTGTTTATGCTCGTCACTTCCAGAAGATTGTTGGGAAATATGTGATAAACTCATGGAAGGACTATCTACAAGTCCATGTTTATCAGATTCTTCCAAATCTAAGACATGGGAGTGTCCAGGGAGGTGTGGAACCTGCGGATGTGCTTCAAAATGACTTTCTGTAGTTTTCTCAGATTTTAATTCTTTTTTCTTAGATTTTTTTGATTTGTGATGTAATTTGGAATCTAATTTATGTAAAACCTGCAGGACTTTCTTGGGTAGAAACCCTTTCGTCGTTTCTTTCGTTTTATTAATTCCGCTCTCGATTGTGTCCTCCCCATGAGGCGCAACAAACAATTTCAACGGCTTTGTACGTTTTAACCCCGCACTATTCTCATCCTCTTTTGAAAGATCAGTTGTCACATTGTCCTTAGGGAAATCTTGCGATGTCTTAACACTTGACGCTTCTTGTCCAGTGTCAGCAACACTCATGCGGCTATCAAATTCCGAATCCGTCTCCGACAGCGGATGTGCACTATCGATCCACCGAAACAACTCCCCCAGCACGGTTTCCTTCCCGCCGTGCGCGGAATACTTATTCCAGCGTGACTCAGACGCGTAGAAATTATGCAACGATGTGAATTTCTTATTCAGCGGCTTCTGATCCTCATCGGGGTGTATATCCACGCCGGATAATGAATTCGCCGTGGTTGATTTGCGCATCTTTTCGAAACTCTTCGCAAACTGCGGGAGGAACACCTCCGATGATTTCTCATCATCTGCCTCTTGATAATACAACAAATTAGCGTCATCATCAAGATCCCCATCGAAAGACACATCCGGTTGGTCATCCGCGTCACCAATCACGAATAAAAATTTATTCTCGTCGTATTCCAACTCATTTTCAATCGGGGTTTGGATCATGCTTAGTTTCCGAACAGTTTCCACAATATGGCTGACTGTATCCAACTCCCCGATAACATCACCAGTTGCTTCTTCTTCCTCTTCATCTTCGTCATCATCCTCATCATCATCATCCGCACTCGAAGAGCTTTCATTGCATGAATTACAAGACGATGCAGGTGATGACCTTGCAATGGGACTTGGTAACGAAAGAAAAGATCTATCCCTGATCTCTTCATCCGAGCTGGGTTTCGGAGACTCAGCTATACAATCAAGACTAGTCGTGGCGTGGAACACAGACCGCACTAGAATCTCCGCCATGCCTGTATTATCACTCTGCGTACGTCTGTATCGCATCAAAATTCGTTTACCCTCACTTTCGTTGTCGTCATTACCCAACTTGGCTTTCAACGCGGTCATTTTCCGAGTGATCATATTCTGTGACGTGTATTTTAAATTCCTAAACCTTTGGGATATTCCAGACCCGGTTCTTCCTCTCTGATCTTCTTGTTTGAGTAAAGTTTGAAGGGAAACACTGTGTTGCATCATGGATTCTGGACCGATGGGTAATGGATAGTTAAATTCGCGATCGGATAAGTGTCGCGTGAGAAATGGCGGCATTATTTCCGGTTTAAGGATGCGTTTTTCAGCTTTCAGTGATCGGAAAGACGCGGTCGGTGATGGGATTGAATATAATTGGGATTTGAGCTTGTCAGTAATTATATTAGAATTATTATTGAGATAAAAGCCCTTCGCCGAGCCGAGAAACTTAAGGTAACTCTGTGCGCGCCTATAGAACATGAAGTAGAGAATAGAGACATAGAATAGAAATAAATGGTGGAGGTGTCGGGATGCATTGCAATAAAATTTCAAATGATACACGCGACGCCATCTAGTGGCCACAAGTTAAACTAATAATCAAATTTAAAACAATGTATAAGTTTACATTTGTTTTGTAATCTACGCCAAGTGTGAGTGTAAATAAACACCTAGCGTGCCAATTAAACATAAAATTTGATACGCTGCCAATCATAATCTATCAGTTTTTGAGGTAAATAAATTTTATTAAAATAAAACAAGTGTCCTTGTGTTGTGGTCTGGTTTGTTTTTGGTAAAGAAATCCAATGTACTCACTCGTCATTAATGTTTTCGTTGTTTGGTGACGGCGATGGTAAATCCATGATTTTTACTAGAGATACAGCAGTACCTATGCCTCTGGCGACGATTCCCGACTCGCCCTCCAAGTCAAAACATTGATTATAACCAATGACAGCATTTCCACCCATTTCCAATGCTTTTAAACCAATACGCCGCTGTAATTCGCCGGATAATTTACAAAATAACGTCTGTCGTGCTTCATTCGACGCCCTAGGTGTGCGGATTTTATCTATCCATTGATATTCTGGATCGTCATTCACTACTAGCTCTTCTACAAAGCCATGAATTACTTGAGCATAGAATCCATGTGGGATTGCAGGTGCTAGAATGAATAAATTTAGAGATATTGGTAATTTGGTGGGAATTGTGATAACTTACAACAGAAAAATTGCACCCCACATGATGATTGTCTGAATTTATTGAAGTCTGTGAAGAGTTCCACTTTGACTACAACATTTACCTCACCACGAATGCCATGCATTGTATCATAGACTGGTATCCAGCCACTCATTACTGAACTGTTGCCTTCATGACAGGAATTTCCACCATCATTCCATTTTCCAAGGAGACTAGTGACAGGCAAGAGCAGGGGATTCAAGTCTAGGTATACCTTGCCTATGGCATCATTTGCAGAGTATGTGTCATGGTCCATGAGGCGGATTTGCAAGGGTTCATCTTGTAATTCAGCATCATCCAACTAAAAATATTGATATTTGGTTTATATTTTTTGGGTTTTAATGTGGGAAAGTTTGATTTTTACCTCAAATCTGTACCATTCTGAATTCCATTGTGGATGTAGTGATTTTCTGCACACATCAGTTTTGAAAGTGGTTGTACCCAACTTGATTTCGACATAGGCATCAGTTGTATCACTGGATCTGTCCATCACAGGCAGATTCCTGCCTGAGATGATCTTCACTTTTACTTTTCCTGGCATTTTTCTGTTGTGGATCTGTTGTGTTATATAATTTTCCTACCCCAGAGACGTGATTACTCGGTTCATCATCGCACGAAAACGCGTTTTCTGCGTGTTTGATAGGTGGCAAGAAGTTATTTCAACATTGTTTATTTTTAAATCCTGCGACTGCTTTATTTTGATAATTCTAACCTAAGCACATTTCCTACATAGCTCTGTGCGCCGCGGTGGGGATTGTTCAACTGGGGAAATCCCAATAAAAAAAAGTCGGGAAACTCGGGATGTCTGTAATGGCGTTTAAAATTTCGCTCGTTTGTGTTTCAGGTTGGCGGCCGCTAGATGGCGTCCGGATGCGTTGTGGAAGCGAGGTGCCTAGGTAACTCTCGCAGGCGAGCCGAGGTAGGCAACGTCAGCGGTACGGCCCGCGATGCACTACAAAGCCGTCGGTTGTTTTCATTCGAGGCCCATTGATAGAAATCATGCCGCGCGAGTGATTAGCGGGTGTGAAATGCAGCGCATCTGATCGGCGTGTGTGCGGCAGTCGCGGGCAATCGTTGCCAAAATCGGCGAGCGCGCGCGCGGGGCGAAATCCAATCGCGATAGCAACAGGGCACCACTGGCACCCAGCAGCAGCTACAGCAGCATACAACACCACCGCAACAGCAGCAGCAGCAGCAGCAGCAGGGGCAAGCAAACGGCGGCGGAGGAGAGCAGCAACATCATACACACCAACGATGCATGCAGCGGGACGATCGAGCGGAGCGAACAAAGCGAGCGCGCTGGCTGCGCAGCTATAGGTGAGTTAGTTGTCGTCCAGTGTGTAAATGCATGCGTGAATGTGAATCTGCATGGAAACAGCACGGCGGAGCTGGTTTGCAGGGTGTCCGTGCGGGGGTGTTGCTACTACGCGCCGCACGCACAGAAGGTTATGAATCGAGCGAGAGACAAGTCCGCCGTGGTGTGTGTTGTATGTGTTGTTCATTGCTCACGGCCGAGAGCGGCGAGCAACGAAACCGAAAGCCGCGCACAAAGCACCAGCGATGCCCGCGACTCGCGGCCAATTATCGGATTAGACTTTCCTCGGATAGTCCAGAGTGTAATTAGGTAACGTATCGCATTGATTACGATCCTGGATGGTATTTTATTTATTTATTTCTGCGCGCGCACTGCAAACAATCGCTAAACATTCATTCATTCCCATGCGCAAAATTTTTAATTTTTTAATCACATTTTTGTTAATTACTCAAAAATGACCCAGGATAAAATAACAAAATTAATTACATTGATTCCGTATGAAATTCTGGGTTTACCAGTGAAGAAACGAATCGAATTGGTGGAATGATTAAAAAGTTATGAGGAAAACAACGTCGGATTGCATGCGCATCTCGAAATAACTCATTAATAATTCGGGAAAATGTGGCCGGTTTGGAGTTTTCGAGCAGTTTATACCAATCGGCGTGTTGTGCACAATGTGAATAATAGTAGTAGCCGACCGGTCTACCTGACTATTTCGCCCCGTACACTTGACCAGTCTTTCTCTTTTTTTTTCTTCTACGCGGTCGCTTTATTCCATTATTCCATCGACAGACGCGTACTTAGCGCGAACTAATATTAAATAACACCCGCTTGTTATGTAAAACTAGACTAGGGGTCAAGTAGCAATAGCGAATTCTAATTATTTATCCTAAGCATTGTCGAAATGCTGATATGCGCGTAAAGCGGTGGAATTGCTCGCGATTGCCACACATGTGCCGGCGGTTATTTTTAGTCGTTTCATGTTCTCAATGTTTACCCAAGAGCGAATAATCATCATCGAAATTGTGTGTGTGTTGTGTGTGCAATTTAAAATGCATGCATGCACTCGATTGAGGTTAGATCCGCGCGGCTATTGTGCATGCGTGCATCGATCCAGTTGACGAGTTGTGATGATTTAATCCGCCCCTGCGCGTCGCCTCCAAGAACCTGTTGTGCTATGTGTGTGTGTGGTACTTGTTGGTTCGACGGTAGGACGAACGTAGGATCGAGAGCTATTTGTTAGTCGCGGCGCGCGCCAGCCCGTGGAGAAGTTGTTCATTTTTCGTGTGTGCTGCTCACTGGCGTTGTTGTTGTGCTGTGCGTGTGGTGCGAATCATCATCGGAGGAAACGAGGATGAAAAATCGCCGCGATTGATAAGCGAGACTGCGCGTTGAGTAGCGTGCACGAAAGTGGTGTGCGAGTGAGTGTGTGTTTTTTTTGTGTTTCTATAATATGATAGCAGCACGATGAGCGCATTCCGGGAAACGCATCGGCTTCGATCGGCGGCGTGTATTTATTCATCATCATCATCAGGCGCGCGTACGTTGGCGGGTCGCTAGTCATACGTTTTGTTCTCGGAACACGCTCCGAGTCTACACGGTGTGTATGTGTATTCATATTCACAACGAGTTGTAGTAGCCGCATAGTAAAACGCGAGTACTTGAGCACTAGACGTAAGAGAGTACGTGAATCGTGGGCAGTAGGAAATGTTCACGTCTGTGATCATTCTTTAGTGGAAAATTTGGGAAAAAGTTTGAATTTTTACATAAAAAATGTTTAAAAATTTGTTTTTTTTAAATGTTTTATTTAAATGAGTTTAATTATTGGAATGATGAATATTTCAGGTAGTTTTTTTAAAACTTTGATTATATTTATGCTCTTGGCTTGTGTTGTTGAGTTGTTTCGCAGCCAAACGCGCGGATGTGTGCGCTCTGCGTAAAGTGACAACACTCGCATGAACGAAGCGTTTGTAAAACCGTATTTGTTGGGTTAGTCACTCACTGCGGTTGTACTCGCGCGATTATCGTTGATAGTGACGTTCGATTTTAATTGCATGCATTGTGTGTGCACCATTCACTCACTCACGGCGGCGCGCGCGCGCGGCGTTATCACCAGCAATGCGAAAGGCGAATCAAATTTTCGGCAAATATTTGCGCACTGTTATGCTCACTGTAATTTGGATTGAGTCTGGGTGGTTTATGTGTTGTTTGTGTTACAGTTTGCAGCATGGACGACGACGCAAGTCGCAAATCAGACGACATAGCGCGGAAGAAACGATGAGCACCACGGCGGTTTCCGATTAAAGCGTGCGTGCGTGTGTGTGCACCCCCCAAAGTTCGGACAATGTCGAATAGAGATATGTGCAAGCTGCCCAAGAAGCGAAAGTTCGATCCGTCCGAACTCGAACAGGAGCACCTACCACAACCGCACGTTCAACAACAACAACACCACCAACAACAACATCATCAGCAACAGATTCAGCATCACCGCCCGCCGCCACCGCCACAGCAGCAGCAGGTGGTGGTGTTGCAGTCGCCGCACCAGCAGTGCCCTTCGATCGTGCACGTGCCGGCTGCGCCTCAGGCGACGGCGGTGGACTACTCCTGCCCGCCGCGAGATGACGAAATTACCCACAGACAGACTGATATTGATCTCGAAGAATGGAAGAGTCACCGTGTGCTCGCCAGGCGCCAGAATTCGTACTATCCGGGCGAGATACGTGAAGCTGCCGGAAATTACGTAAGATGACCTCTGAAATTTGGTTATGTTGATGACACATTTGGTTATGTTGTATTATAGGTGGTTGTTAGGCTGGAAGTAAACGGCGTTGAAGACTATCGCTATCACAATGTGCTGCGACCCGACTGTACGGATATAATCAGCGATGCCAGTCCGTTTGCGAATCAGGTGGAGTTGTCGATGCGTGTTTGCGTGCGTCCCCCGGGCGAACGCTCGGCGTTTATCGAGGGTATCGTGCGTCGCATTGACCGGCCGCATTTTACGGTCACGACTACCCTGGGTGACTATGTGGTAAAGCGTGCGGATTTGCGTCTGCTGCGTGCGCCTTGGTGTGAGGAGCTGGAGAGTCTCGAACCGGCATCGGCGTATGGCGAGGGCGTCGTTCACGTTGCAGGCCAACCGAATGATTACGGCCTCTCGCCGCCGCCGATTCAGCTCAGCACACCTGTTTCACTCGGCACGCCGCCGCAACCAAACGGGCGTCCGTTCGATGACTATGAGAGCGATGATGATCTACCGCGCGAAGATATTAATTTCCCCGTGGAGGGCGAGAAGCTTTCCGGTAGTAGTAAACGCAGCAGTAGCATGCAGAGTCGTACAAGTTCAAGCAGTAGCATTACACAGCGTTCGCAGCCGACGACGCCGCGCAGTCAGGCCGCCACGCCGCACAAATACAAAAAGGGCGACGTTGTTACCAATCCGAATGGCATACGTAAGAAGTACAACGGCAAGCAATGGCGTCGTCTGTGTTCCAACAGCGACTGCATCAAGGAATCTCAGCGGCGCGGGTTTTGCTCGCGGCATTTGAGCCAGAAGGGCAATACGATGCGGCCGAGCGCCGGTATGGGTGGGCAGATGTCACGTGCGGGTAGCAAGAACGATGGTGAAGATACCAGCCGTGATTCGGAGACGTCGCCCAGCTGTAACGAACGTCATCCGTCGATGCGCTACAATCAGGAGGAGACCGAAGTGGCCAGTATGCTAGGTGAGTGCGCATGAATCACGTAGTTTTTCAACACAACACCGCGTTTCGGGGAAAAAAACTTATCTACTTGGCATTGAACGCGTCAAATTCGTGCTGGCGACGGGCGCACATTCATGAATACCGTCACGATATCGCAAATTCAGTCGTCTACAATCTACACCACGCGCGTGTACATGCTTGCAATAGTTTCAACTTTATTTAATAAATATGGAGTATAACGATCTGTTGGCTACGATAGAGTATCTGAAGATGGAGCAGAGAAATCGTGAACTCTACTGGTATTTAGGTACATTAAAAATAAAAAACACGCGTTTGTTTTAATTTTATTTTTATCTAATCTTATTGTGTTTTGTGCGAACGTAGTGAATATTTTCAATGTTTTTGCAGCGTCGATGGCGGGCTCGCGTTCAGACACACCAGTCTTTTCACCAAATGGACAAGGCTCATCCCCATTGACGATGCAATCGCCGCTGACGGTCGGTTCGCGGAATAACGTCTTCATGCCGATTACCAGTTATCAACAGGGGCTGAAGCGCGTCTCACCAGGCCCGCCCGGATGCAATATACAAACGCCCTATCACCAGCAGACTGTTATCAGGTTGGTTTTTGGGTTCTAACGCTTTGGTTTGTTGATTTTTATTTATGTTTTGAATGTGCGTAGGCCGGAACTAGTTCGTCCTGGACAAAACAACAGCGTTATACGAATATCTCCCTCATGGCCACCGACGAGCGCCGAACAACCCGGCGTGATTCTTCAGACGGTGCTCACAAATCAACAGCAGCAGCATGTGCCCGAAATGAATAATGTTGATGGTATGAAAATTACACAGGCATCGCTATATGGTCAGTTGCCGCCTGTGCAGGAGAATTCGTCGCTTGTTATTAAAGGTGGCGATGATAAGCTCAAGCAGGATAGTCAGAAGCAAGCCGTGTTGTCAATATACGCTCCACAACAGATCATGCAGATTGACCGGAATCAGACAATTAAGAATAATAATCAGCATTCGCCACGTGGCGGTGCATTGCTGCCGGTTATTGTGCGGCCAACGCACTTGGTGCCTGTCCTGCCTGCTGTGACCAGTGTGCCGTCGTCGGTTGTGAAGCGAATATCGTCGGGGACGATTGCAACGCATGTGCAAAAGAATCATGTGGTTGCGACGACGGCACCGGTTGAGCATCACATCAACTCGAATCACCACAATCACCTGAACAATAATCACGAGAAGTCAATTATACAACAACAGCCCATGGTGGTACCGCCGCAGCAGCAACAATTGCTGCATATGCACGTCCAGCAGCAACCACAACAGCAACCGCCTGCGATTCAGACACAGGCGCATGCGCAATCTACATTGGTGATACCCTGGCACCGGCTGGTGCCGATACTGACGACGACACCGTCGGGAAACGTGTCGCCTCCGCTCTCAGAACTATCGCCACCGCTGTCGGCACCGCCGATCTCGATCACGACTAGCGTTGGCCCGCAGCCGCATGTCGCGGCCAAGACGGAACGCACCCATGGTTCACATGGTGATGATGCGGAAGCGGAGGCGATGCCAGTGGCGGCCGACGACGACGATGACGATGTGTTCGAGGTGGAGGCGCCCGAGACGCCGAATGAGAATAATGCCGCCACCGGTGGCAGTAAGCGACGCAGTCAATCACTGAGTGCTTTACACAAGGGTAAAGAACGGATACGTAGACCAATGAACGCCTTTATGATATTTTCGAAACGACATCGCGCCGACGTACACAAACAATTTCCGAATCAGGATAATCGCACGGTGTCCAAGATACTGGGCGAATGGTGGTATGCTTTGGAACCGGTGAAGAAGCAAAAGTACCACGATTTGGCTTCTGATGTCAAGGAAGCACACTTTAAGGCGCATCCGCAGTGGAAGTGGTGCAATAAAGATCGCCGAAAATCATCGACCAGTTCGGGTCGCAGTAAACTTAACTCCACCGGCGATGGAATGGAAGCGAACGACGTGCCAATTAGTCCCAGCGCGCATTCACCCGCCGGACCGAGTGTCCCGCGTCCATGTGAACCGGAAGACAATGGCGATGCATCTGATGATGACCAAATGGTCATTTGCGAGGATGCGCCAACAGAGCTGGACCTTAAGTGCAAAGAAAAGGTGACGGATTCGGATTCGGAACACAGCGATCACGAGACGAACAACTTCACGAATGATACGAATCAGTCTTCCCAACAACAACAACAACAGCAGCAGCGCTACAGTCCAAGTCCCGGAGACGTGACCTTAAAACCCAAGCCCATCAAACCCTCGTCCAAATTCAGTCCAGTGCCAACGACCACCGTGCTCAGCTTCCCTATCCATTCCCCTGTAAACCCTTCGGGCGTCAGCGGCTTCCAGCCGAAAGGCGGTGCTTTCGCATCACCCAAAGCTTTCAAATCCGAGCACAAATCCGATGAGGGTGGTGCTTGGCCATCGGGTAATACATACGCGCTGAACATCAAGGTACAAACACCCAATTCGCTGTTATCCGCCAAATCCGAACCACCATCACCGGCTGCAACCGCCACTGTAACCATTCTAAATCCCACGACGGTCAAAACATCGAATGTCATTCATATGAGTTCATCGTCTCTACAGCAGTCACCAGCGACCTATATTCAAACACAGGCGAAACCGGTGCGTTTAACATTTATGAACCCGCCTGCAACCAGCGGGCAGGGCACAACCTTGTGTCTGGCTGAACCGGAACGACAACAGCAAGTCGTTGTTGTGGCTACGTCAGCCGCGGATCATTCCTTGAAGTACGTTTGTGTACCACAACCGTTTAAGATTGCAGAGGTGGTGACACAGACCACGTGTCAGTTACCTGGTACCCCCACGATTGTTACCACTGGTACGGTTGCCACTCCGGCTATGACTATTTCGGCCATGCCTACCATGCAGTCGGTGATTGTGAGTCAGAGCTTGAATCGGGAACGGGAGATGGAGAACAAGATTAGTAATGGGTCATCGGGGCATGAGGGTGGTGTTTATACAAGTACACCAACTGATACTTCTAGTGCTTTCTCGTACAATATCACAGGTATGATTAAAAAGAAAACTTTTATTGAAACAAAAATAATTTGGGTAATTTGTAGCTCATTCGATAAAAGATGAACCCTTGGCGTTGCGCTCACCACATGATGTACCCACTTCACCGCATATTTCGTTGGCGGGTGCACATGGTCTCCCAGGGCCGATTGGGACGATGAAGGAACCTGAATTTAAGTTGGCACCTACTCCAGCGCAACTTGGGAAGGCTCCGCTTCAACGGCGTCAATCTATGGGTAAGCATTTCCTTATATTTGTAATCTTATTTAACCCCCTCCACTTTTTATTGGTTTTAACTTTATTTTTTTGCTTTATAACTGGTTTTCTTGTAGCTGTTGCAGCGGCAACTGCCACCACAACTTCTTCATCAGTGGTGAGCGGACATGAGTGTCTCCCGAGTTCGGTACCTTCGTGCGAGGAACCAACAACCCCTAGCGAGCCCTTAGCTTCGCCCCGAACGAAGAAGGCGTGTTCCAAGAAAAACAAAGAAGATGGAATGGATAAGTATGTTGTTTTTCATGTATAAATAGATGGAGGTGTTATATGATTGGTGTAAATTATAGAATTCTGGAGCAAGTCAACTTTAAGAAAAAGTTCTCATCGCTGCCGCAATTCAAGCCCGAAGACTGCCAATCGCCCAGCGCCATATCAGTGCCATCGAGCCCGCGCGTCTTTCCCAATTACAAAAAGCGCTCGTTGCCGCTTAGCCATCGTTCATCATTGGATGAGGATTCCGACACGGGCACACCGGCTACCAGCGCCAACAAGATCTCTTCAGCCAGCCGCACTACGGGTACCACGGGTACCGTCTTCTTTGGGCCAGAGTTTCCGGAGTTGTTTAATGTGGAAACAGTTAGAGGTAATGATCCCAAGAGTTTTTTATACCTCATATAATTTATTTGTTATTTTTTCTCAAAGAATACATGGAGACGGGTGAGGCAAGCTCTCCCCGTACACCGAAGACACCAGGTACGGGGCGCGATCCAGAAAAGGGCCACCGCAAGATGCTCGAAATGAAGCGCAAGCTGGTGATGCAGCTGTTCGACGAACAGCAGTCGTACTTTCCCAGCCAGCAGGCGACCACCACGTTTCAGAGCCAACACAAGGACGTCTTCAGCAGCAAGTCGCAGCTGCAGTTGAAGATCCGCGAAGTGCGTCAGCGTATAATGGCCACGTCGAACAATAGTATTAACAGTCCGTCGACGCCGGCGCCGCCGAGCTCGTCGAGTTAGCCCACTTGATTTTTGTGCAATAGCCGTATTTAAGTCTTCCTTCTACGTCGAACAAAAAAGTTGTTGTGTTTTATTATGTTCGGTGCGTTGATTTCGCCGATTTCGTTCCGTTATCCAATAATTTATCGGTTGTTTTCCGTTTGAAATCAAGCGCAAGTCATTTCTATCAATGGTGGCGAAGGCAATTAACGAATCGTTGCAATCAATCAATGTTCATTGTTGATTCGATGAAGAAACAAATTCTATAATTATTAGAGAGGTATATATTTACAAACAAACAAAGCGAAAGAAATTTGCAAACATAGATTATACAAATATATTATATACGGCGCGAGCGCAGAGGAATACAAGTATCACGTACTCATTCTTGGCATCTTGGCAAGCGAACTCCGCACGTGAATTCTCATTTTAAGCAACGCAATATTTGCAGATTTGCATCTTGCAAACGTGGACCACGAGCAAAATATATGTCTACGCAAAACACAAAGTTGGTTATGTTGTGAATAATGATCAAGTGAAACGAGATATATATTATATATATATAGTATATAAATATTGTAATTCTGTTAAATAATTTTATATTAACCGCAAGGGAGAAGAAGTTAAATAATTTCTTAAAATTAGGACGAAATGAAGCCATATTATTTTATTATGAACGATTTTGTTGCGCTAATTACGAAGAAACTACTAACGCTCTAGGAATATACTTACTTATTTCTACACTTGTATGATTTTAAAATTGAATTACTCATAGGCACTGCATTATTTATTTATTATTATTTTGAAATGTTGATAACTATTGATTACTGTTATGTTTTCTGTTTTAAGTAAGTAATTAATCGCGCAGACGAAGGTGTGTTGATTGTCCGCCAGTCGAAATTTGACCACGTATTGTAAATAATCGACAATGGTTCATTTTCCATACTTACACCACCGACACAATAATTTTCTGTACTATCACGAAACTCGCACGCCGAAAGAAATATCGATATCGATCGAGTTACAGTATTATCGTATGTACTAATGTTGTAAAACTTTTTAAGTGTTAAGCTAGCACCGAACAGATTGACAGACAATTGATAGCTTGGTAGTGCTCGTAGTGCGTAGCCCTCTTTCCCATGAAGAAGAAAAAAAAGAACAGACACACTCACAGTAATTTAGTATAATCGACGATTATATGCGATGGTCAACGCGGGCAAGCGAAGTAGCGAAACAAGTTGGTTATGTCTTAACGCGTGCGTTTTCTAAACCGTAGCCGCCACAAATGATTACATTATATGTAAGAGAATTAATTGAAAACTAATGTTGTTGAGAATTTTTATAGAAAAATAATGACGAGAAAATACCAAACCCCATACACACACACACACTCACATTTCGGGTTACACGAAACACGATTAATAACAAACCATGATAATATATATATATAAATATATAATATAAGATAAGGATTAAATCTACCGACACGCAGAATATTCTTGTAGGTGAATTATAAATTGATCTCGAAACAAATATCGTTAGTGAGGAAATGTTCATGTTTTTGCTCTATTCATATTACATACATATTATATACGAGATACATGCATATATGTATATATTTATATAGAAATAATATACTTATATATGTGTATGTATTTATATTATAGAGAAAAGTTACGTGCGTTGTGTTTTATATTGATCACACTTGAATTTCCAGTGAAAATATCATTTATTACTTGTAAAAACGTACAAAACTCATGTACATTCGCAATCAACTTCATAGAATCAACCATCTTATCGATTTTCAATGATTCTAGTCATACAGATTACAAAATGTCTGCAGTTTTATGTATTAACAGTAATTATTTTAGGATTTTCAACGATTCGTGCGGTGTTTGTACCGTCGACAGCTTCCCCCACCACCCAGGCAGGACAACCCTCGAGTTCTTCCAGTTCTTTGCAATATGCCTCAGCGGAATTGCTTGGTAACGCGATCAATAAGCCACCGGATGTTTCCGGTCGGATACCCTTTAGGAAGCGGTCATATTGTGAGGAAATTTTCGCAAATTTCAACACATTTTCAATGACTGGCAGGCTGTGTATCACCAGATCGATTTTGTTACTTTGAAAAGCTACCAAATTTTCCGCGTGTCCCACAATACCGAATCCGGTGACATCTGTACAACCGTGCGCTTTGTATTTGTGCATGAGCAAAGCTGCTTGGCGGTTGAGACGCGCCATTGAAACAACAGCGGCGTTGAAAGCGTTGTTCACTTCCGCTTCTGTGACAGTGGCTTTGTACTTCTGCCATTTGTCTTCATCTTCCATAGCTTTCTTGGTATTGCAAGCTATTTGCGCGCCCAGTGGTTTAGTTAAGACCAGAACATCTCCTGTTTGTATTGCAGTCGGGCTGTTTTTAAATTTAGAACAAAATGTAAATTAAAATCGATTTCTAAGGTTTCTATAATGTAATTACCTAATGAATTCATTCTCAAGGCACACAGAAGTAGCAGTCCCACCAATAATCAACCAGGGATTGTTAAAGAGCTTATCAAATTTAATATTAATCTTTAATTCGCGTGCATTGTCCTTGAAACCTGTAATAATCAATGGGAGTATCACATCAGACTGTGCTTGGCTCATTGCAGCAGGCAATGAAATAATCATGTGTAGGGAATCTATCTGGGTGACACCTGTGGCAAATACATCACTGGTCACATTTGCACATGTGATCTTTCCCATCCAATATGGATCATCTATTAGTGGGTAAAAGAAGTCTGTGCTTTGGATTAGATGTAGGCCATGTTTGTGGAGAGGTATAATGCATGAATCTAATCCAATTCCTGAAGAAATTAATTAATATAAGAATTGAAGTTAAATTTATGTAAAAAATTTACCTATTTCTTTGGTACCATCGGGAGATTTTTGGGAGGTAGTATCAAGGGCCGACAAGAGTTCTGTTAAGACCTTTTGCGGCACTTTACAACCTCATCCCCGCAGTGTTGAATAATCGGTGAGTTTGAAGTCTGCTTCAAGCCCATGAGCTTTGGCATCGAAACCTGTGATGGCCATGTTGTGCGTTGAAATGTCTGTCACAATTGTCACAAGTTGCTATGCATACTACTGTTTAGGCGATAATGACTACAGATAAGACTCTAAAGATGAAACATGTGAGCAGGATGACCTTGCTACATCAATCAGCAGGTTATAATAATCATAATAATGTATATAGCGGTTTTTATGCAAATTTTAGCGCCAAAATGGCGTCCAAAATGGTAACGTACCATTTTAGGGCGGAATAAGGTTTCATATGAATAAATAAAAGTTTTAAATCGTTTTTAAACCGAATTGCGCGCCTTGTGGCGCACAGAAACCTGCTGCTTGTGCCGACCTGCTGATAGTGCACCAATCGCGCGCAGCTACGTGAGCGCCGCAGCTGCAAGCATTGGCAGGCCAGCAGGTTTAGCTCGACCGTCGGGCGAGAGCCACAGACGAAAGATTTGTTTACGTTTTTCTCGTGCAACTGTGCTACATATCGCAACGCGATGTCGTCGCTACCGAAACCAGCGGTGAACTAACAGCAGCCCGCAGGAGTATTACGAGCAGCTGGAGTCGATCGTACCGTAAAGATGGTCGAAATCGGCAACTCGAGCCTCCTGCATCTTGGGGACATTGTCTCCTTGTACGCGGAGGGCAATGTCAGTGGTTTTCTCAGCACACTTGGGTGAGAGTTAACATGTTTTTATCAAGTAAACATCGTGCTGATAAATTCTTGTTGTTTTTTAGGCTTGTTGACGATCGTTGTGTTGTGTGTCCCGAAGCAGGTGACTTGGCAAATCCACCCAAAAAATTTAGAGGTAACTACAATTTATACAAAAATTCAAACACGAAAATTGAAATAAAATGAAGTTTGAAAGTTGTATGGTAAAATGGTAACGTGTACTACATAAAATAACAATCAAAAAGCAGTATAAACAATTGCCGCATTTGCGGTAGTTTCATAAAGTGCACCGGTAATCATTTAGCGCTATTCTCGAATATTATGCTTCTCATTTCAGACTGCCTGTTTAAAATATGTCCTATGAATCGGTACTCGGCCCAGAAGCAGTTCTGGAAGGCCGCCAAACAAAGTATGACTTCAAACACCGACGCCGGATTATTGAAACGGCTGCATGTGAGTATGTTTACGATTTGCGTCCGCTTTTAAATAAACGATTAAATTCATATTGATCTATTAATATTAACAGGCATGTAATTGTTACCCATACGTTTCGTAACTTTGTATCCTGCATTGTTATAAAATCAATTTTTCAGCATGCCGCGGAGATTGAGAAGAAGCAGAATGACAGCGAGCATAAAAAAATGTTGGGATCCAATGTGCCATATGGCACTGTTGTACAGGTAAATTATTAATTAATAGATAAATAGAGTTCAGATAAGGTTATGTATATTTAATGTATGCAACTATTTCTATTCTTCCTAGTTACTCCACTTAAAATCTAACAAATACCTCACGGTGAACAAGCGTTTACCAGCGTTATTGGAGAAGAATGCGATGCGTGTGTACTTAGACGGTAACGGTAATGAAGGCTCATGGTTCTACATTCTACCATTTTATAAATTGCGTGCGAATGGTGATAATATCGTGCTCGGCGACAAAGTCATTCTAAATCCAGTCAACGCCGGTCAGCAAGTGTTACACGTTGCAGCTAATCATGAGTTGCTTGATAATCCTGGATGTAAGGAAGTGAATGTTGTAAATGGCAGCACTTCCTGGAAAGTCACACTGTTTCTCGAACACCGCGAGAATGCCGAGGACGTACTTAAAGGCGGCGATGTCGTGCGATTATTCCACGCCGAGCAGGAGAAGTTTCTCACAATGGACGAGTACAAAAAGACTCAGAATGTTTTTCTGAGGACAACAGGACGAACATCTGCAACGGCCGCTACAAGTAGTAAAGCATTGTGGGAAATTGAAGTGGTTCAACATGATCCATGTCGAGGAGGAGCAGGACACTGGAATTCGTTGTTTAGGTTCAAGCATTTGGCAACAGGGCAATATTTAGCTGCGGATGTGGACGCTGATCAGACCATGGATCAAATGCGGACGAAACTGCGGCAAGATTTGGGATCATCCGGGGAATCACAGGTGTATCATCTGGTCCCTGTTGCGTTTTCCAATGAAATCGCATCGTTGTTTGAGCTTGATCCTACAACACTCACACGCGCTGATTCTTTGGTACCGCAGTCGAGTTATGTACGCCTTCATCATCTTTATTCTAACACCTGGGTACATTCTACGTCGATTCCTATAGATAAGGACGAGGAAAAACCTGTTATGTCAAAAGTGGGATGTGCGTTGATGAAAGAAGACAAAGAAGCATTCGCACTTATATCAGTATCACCAGTTGAAGTGCGAGATTTAGACTTTGCGAATGACGCCTGCAAAGTTTTATCATCTTTATCAGGAAAGTTAGAAAACGGTACGATATCACACAATGAGCGCCGTGCGGTTACCACCTTACTGCAGGACATTGTTTACTTTGTCGCTGAATTGGAGAATGACCAAAACAAAACGGAAGCGTTGGATCTCATCGTGACCAATCCGAATCGCGATCGTCAGAAACTCCTGCGTGAACAGGCAATACTTAAGCAATTATTCAAAATACTGCAGGGACCATTTCAGTCAATCGACGGCAAGCCGCCATTTTTGAAGATTGAAGAACTGAACGACCAGCGGCACTCACCGTACAAGTATATATTTAGATTATGTTATCGTATCTTGCGACTCAGTCAACAAGACTACCGGAAGAATCAAGTAAGTGTTCAACGCATGCTCACAATATTTTCTAAGTCTATATTATATTATTGCAGGAATATATCGCAAAACATTTCGGCTTCATGCAAAAACAAATCGGCTACGATATCCTCGCCGAAGACACGATCACAGCTCTTCTACACAACAATCGTAAACTTTTAGAAAAACACATCACCGCAGCGGAGATAGAAACTTTCGTTGGTCTGGTACGCAAAAACATGCGCAACTGGGAGAGTAGATTCCTCGATTACTTATCAGATCTTTGCATATCCAACCGGAAAGCCATCCCGGTCACACAGGAATTGATCTGTAAGAGTGTTCTAAGCGAAAAGAATCGCGATATTCTTATAGAAACAGAAATCGAAGAAGTCCAAGATATTCCCGATACCAACTCACTGTCTGGTAATGATAACGATGAAGATTTTGAATCAATTGTTGATGTAATTGAAGAACGCCAAGTTGTCCTGGTGTGGAATCGTAATCGTCGCATGAGTTTAGCAGGACTTTGTGTTAATGCAAAGCTGGGGATACGCGATGATCAAGCCATTTTGGATTATTATAAACATCAGCTCGATTTGTTTTCGAATATGTGCTTGAATCGACAGTATTTGGCGCTGAATATCCTCTCGGAGCAATTGGATATAGATTTGATTCTGAAATGCATGGCGGATGAGAGTGTTAGTTATGAATTGCGGGCGTCATTTTGTAGGCTTATGTTGCACCTGCATGTGGATCGCGATCCACAGGAACCTGTCACGCCGGTGAAGTATGCGAGGCTGTGGTCGGAGATTTCGACGAAGATGTCTATTAACGATTATGATCGGAATACAAGCCCGGATGAGAATAAGGAAGCGGTGCAGAGGCGATTCAGCTCGACGATTTCTTTTGTCGAAGACTATTTATGCAATGTGGTGGCGAAGATGTGGAGTTTTGCTGATCAGGAACAGAATAAATTGACGTTTGAGGTATGTTTGTGTGGATTTGATGTGGCGAGTATGAGTGTACCATGTGTGTTTCTGATTGCAGGTAGTAAAGTTGGCGAGAGAACTAATCTATTTCGGTTTTTATAGTTTTTCTGATTTGTTACGACTAACGAAAACGTTGCTTAGTATTTTGGACTGTGTTTCCGAGAACGATTTTGTTGATGGACGCTTACCCATTGGCGATGTCGACTGTAAGTACAAACTATTTTCATCAAACAATCGTAAACTGAAAATTGAGAACCACCCACGTAAAATATTGATTGCATACAGGGTGGAACATTAAAACTTCTTTCATTGATGCACAAAAGAAGTTTTTATTACATTACATGTAATAGAAGAAAGAGTTTTAATGTTCCACGCTGCATATTGATTGTATCAACTGATTAACGAGGTTTGTGTGTGCGTAGCTCAGGAACAAGAGTCGGAAAATTCACGTGCGACGACGACGCGAGGTAAACTCCTGTCGAGTTTCAATTTTGAATGACTATTTTATACATTTCGTTAACGGTTTGCATGGAATCTTTTTTGTGTTCGTTTTTTATGCTGGCGATTTTAATTTGATCGTCGTTTTTATTTTAATCTGATTTACTCACAACAACTTCCACAGCTATATTTCGTGTCTCTTATTCTTTCTGTCGGCATGACATTTTTTACCTATGAATTTGATTTTAAATACTTGTATAATTCATTTCTCTAGCTGAAGGAGGTGTACTCCGATCGATTGGTGATATGGGAGCTGTGATGACCTCGTTGGCGCTTGGTCCTGTCGGTAGATCTGTCGTTTCGCCCAATGGTAGTTCACATGGTAAAGGTGGACTCAAAGAGTATCCGCTTGTAATGGATACCAAGCTGAAAATAATCGAAATTCTGCAGGTACAGATGCAGACAGCCATTTTGTAATACAGGATTTAATCATAGTTGTATTGTTGTAGTTTATCCTTGACGTTCGTCTTGATTATCGTATTAGTTGTTTACTAAGCATCTTTAAACAAGAATTCGACGAGTCTGAGAGGAACGGTTCGGATTTATCCGCACTGGGACAGAAAAACATTGATCTAGAATTGATCGGGAGTCAAGCGGAAGGAATTTTCGGTAGTAGTGAAGAATGTGCCGTTCTTGATTTGGACGGTCATGGTGGTAGGACATTTCTACGCGTCTTGCTTCACTTGACAATGCATGATTATCCTTCGTTGGTTTCCGGCGCATTGCATTTACTCTTCCGGCATTTTAGTCAGCGACAAGAAGTGTTGCAAGCTTTCAGGCAAGTCCAACTTTTGGTTTCGGACAGTGACGTTGAATCGTACAAACAAATCAAAGCCGATTTAGACGTATTACGGCAAAGTGTAGAAAAGTCAGAACTGTGGGTGTACAAATCTAAAAGTGCTGAAGATCATAGCTCATCAACAGGGAAGAAGAATAAAGATGACGATGAGGATGTATCGGCCACACCAGCAAGAAAGTCCCCGCCTACTTTAAGCACCATTGAAAAGAAAGGATCTGCTATTAATCTGGATGTGGGTCCGCCATTGCATCCCGAGCAAGCAGACGAGTACAAGAAGATCCAATTAATTTTGAAACGCATGAATAAGTTGTGCACGCAAGGCACCAGCGCTACTTTGATCAAGCCGCGGAAACACGAACAGAGATTGTTGCGTAATGTTGGCGTGCATACTGTGGTCCTGGATTTGTTGCAGATTCCGTACGATGAGAAGGAAGATGTGCGGATGAACGAATTAATGCGATTAGCTCATGAATTCTTACAGAATTTTTGTCTGGGCAATCAACAGAATCAAGTTTTATTGTACAAGCATTTGGATTTATTTTTAAACCCTGGTGTAAGTATTAAATCAAGTATTAAATCAGAATTTCCCATTTTTTATATTTGTTTAGATTCGGGAAGCTCAAACAATATGTGCAATCTTTCAAGACAACTCAACACTGTGCAATGAAGTGAACGAGAAAGTGATACAACATTTCGTGCATTGTATTGAAAGTCATGGCCGCCATGTGCAATACCTAAAGTTTCTGCAGACGATCGTAAAAGCAGAAAATCAATTCATCAGAAAATGTCAGGATCTTGTAATGCAAGAGGTAAATTTCTTTGTATTTCATTAGTCAAATCGATATTTCATATTGTATTTCTTTAGTTGATTAACTCTAGCGAAGATGTCCTAGTGTTTTACAATGACAAGGCATCTTTCAATCACTTTATCGAAATGATGCGCTCTGAACGCCATAGCATGGACGAAGGCAGCCCTTTGCGGTACCACGTCGAGTTGGTGAAACTTCTTGCCTGTTGCACGATGGGCAAGAACGTTTACACCGAAATCAAGTGCCATAGTTTGTTACCCCTTGATGACATTGTCGCAATGGTAACGCATCCAGATTGCATTCCTGAAGTAAAAGAAGCATACGTTGGCTTCCTTAATCATTGCTACATTGACACCGAGGTGGAAATGAAGGAGATTTACACATCTAATCACATGTGGAGCCTATTTGAGCGCTCATTCCTGGTTGATATGGCCGACATTGCGACGGCTCCCATTGACCGCAAGCATCACGACAAGGCGCTGGAGAATTACGTCACCAATGGCGTGATGAACATCATCTCGACGTTCTTCAGCAGCCCGTTTTCGGACCAGAGCACCACAGTTCAGGTATTTCATCACTAACCGCCCACTGCATGCGATTATTCATTAGGGGCCGTTACCATTTCTAACAATAACAGCCAGTTATTTTAGTGCTAGTGGTTAGTTACGATTAGATGATTTAAATTCGGCGCTGCTTATGTAGTGTTACATTTATTGGGGAATTAACGGTGTTTATGTGTGTAACACGTTTCTTTTTTCGTTGATTAATAATGGCTGTCTATTGTCGTGGGGTGGCGGGTATTTTTGTTTCTTTTTGCTAGAAACATCTGCATGAGGCAAGGGTCTATTGGAGCGATTCTACGCTGGATGACTACGATCCGTTCGCGGCCGTGGCCCCGCTTAAGTATTCGCCATTTCCTTCCAGCGACGTAAGTACTGCGTTTTCCACGAAGGAGTATGGCTGCTGCGCACTGTTTACTCTGCACGATTTTCTGCACCTTCGTCGTTGTTACTTGCACCAGCTTCATTGCTTGTTTCAATTTAACACTTGCTTACAGTTACAGCACGCTGGTTGTGAACAACTAGTAGATAGTTTCTATGTTTTTGTCCTAATGCAAGACAAAAACCAAATGAGTTGCAGAGGGACAAAAAACATTCTAACACACACACTTTTAAAACTAACACTTATTAACATTTGCAGTTTACTTACGCCACTGTTAAACTATACGATAGTTTGTAGAGTAGGATATTTAGCTTCATACTTATTACACATTCATCATCTTACACTTGATCTATATAATGTGCAATGTTTGTGACCCGCAAACGAAATTGGTATTTTGCAGACCCGGCAACCCATTTTTGTGCAATTGTTGCAATCGGCATTTAGAGTATCCCAGTGTCCATGGTTAGCTGCTTCACAACGCTTTAATGTTGAAAACTGTATACGTACGCTCTCAGAAGTTGGTTAGTTGTATTTTTTTACCCTTATTACTTTATTTTACCTTTAATGTATAGAATTTATATTGTAACTGTCTGTTTGTAGCTAAAAATCGAGGAATTGCTATACCATTGGATTTAGAGAGTCAGGTAGCTACCATGTTCAATAAAGCGACCATTCTTACACGACAAACAAGCAAATGGTTGCAGGCTTCTAAGCTACCCAAAATCGAACGGTCACAATCCCAAGTAATATGAAAATTTATTTTAATTAATATTCATGATTAACGTACCGTTTTTAGTTGATGCGACTGGACAGGAGCATAATCGAAGGACTGCAAGACATTGTCTCCTTGTTGGAGGATCAACTGAAGCCTTTGGTACAATCAGAACTTTCCTTACTGGTTGATGTACTCTACAGACCAGAGTTACTATTTCCGCCGGGGACAGAGTCACGTAAGAAATGCGAAAGTGGCGGTTTCATCCGCCGTCTCATCAAGCACACCGAGAAACTTCTGGAGGAGAAAGAAGAAAAATTGTGTGTGAAAGTTCTGAAGACTCTGCGGGAAATGATGGCGATAGATCCGGAATATGGAGAAAAGGTAGGTGCCATTGCTGCAGTCACCTGTAGTTCAACATCCCCACGCCCCCATTGTTAATTTAATTTGTATTTTCATGTTTTTTCATGCGCTCATTTAGCTGGAAAATATAGCGGTACTTTAGAATTCTAGATCTTCATGTCAGGGTGGGTTTTGACTGCTGTCTTTTTCAGGGGGATGTTCTTCGTAACAGTTTGTTGACGCGTTACTTTGGGAAGGCATTCATTCCGAAGAATGATGTGGATGTGACATCGATTCAGGTCTCTTCACAGATGCATGGCCCAGGTGCGAAGATTCTTAGCAGGGCTTGTCGAACCCTTCACGAAGTACAAACTCACTTGGATAAGGAAGGCGCATCTGATTTGGTTGTGGAACTAGTGATAAAATCACTAAATTCTTCTTCGATATTTAGTGAGGCGGTTGAGTTAGGAATTGCTTTGCTCGAGGGAGGAAATCCAATCATCCAACGGAGCATGTTTAATAAACTAATGGGCGGCGATCTTAGTCAAGCATTCTTCAAAGTTTTCTATGATAAAATGCGCGATTCGCAACAAGAGATAAAGTCAACTGTGAGTGTCAACACCTCGGACATGGCCGCCAAAGCACACGAAGATAAACAAGAGGGTAAAGAGGTGGATAAAACAACGCGTAAGCAAGGCACCAAATCGAACGGTATTTTAATCACTGAGGAGTTGAGAGATGAACTCAGTCGTGCCGCAGAAAGTACATCGCATAGTTATGCCAACGTGCGAAGTATTGGTGCCGCAGGTGACGATAATGGTACAATGGTGGTCGGGGCCGTTTCCGCGTTCGAGGATATGCTCGCTGAAAAGTTGGAAAAGCATCGCGATCGCGAGGAACAAAGCGGGTTGTCCAGTAAAGTGTTAATAATGCAACCAATCCTACGGTTTTTGCAATTACTATGCGAGAATCACAATCCATCGTTGCAGAATCTTCTACGTAATCAGAATAACAAAACCAATTATAATCTAGTATCGGAAACGCTCATGTTCTTGGATTGCATCTGTGGATCGACCACAGGAGGTCTCGGGTTGTTGGGATTGTACATCAACGAAAACAACGTGGCGCTCATCAATCAAACTTTAGAGACGCTCACGGAATACTGTCAGGGGCCATGCCATGATAATCAGAACTGTATTGCCACCCACGAATCAAACGGGTTGGACATAATCACTGCGTTGATCCTCAATGATATCAATCCTTTGGGGAAATCTAGAATGGATCTAGTCTTAGAATTGAAGAACAATGCTTCTAAACTACTTCTTGCTATCATGGAGAGTCGCGGTGATAGCGAAAACGCAGAAAGGATTCTTTATAATATGAATCCTAAGCAGTTGGTAGACGTGGCTTGCAGAGCGTTCCACCAGGAGTCCTTGGAGGATGATGAAGACGAAGGGGACGCGGGCGATGATGGTGCAGCGGTATCGCCACGCGAAGTTGGCCATAATATTTATATTCTGTGCCATCAGCTTGCACAGCACAATAAGGAATTGGCTGCGCTGCTCAAACCAATTGATGGAGGAAATGATGCCAAGACACAATTGGCGTTGTTGTATTATGCAACGCACACGGCTCAAATTGAAATTGTGCGCAATGATCGCACTTTGGAGCAAATTGTTTTTCCTATTCCAGAAATCTGTGAGTATATTACCACGGACACCAAGTATAGAATTCTTACTACGGCGGAAAGAGATGATCAAGGGTCAAAGGTAGCGGAGTTTTTCGACCGTACCGATTCGATGTTTAATGAAATGAAATGGCAGAAGAAACTTCGAAGTAAGTCTGATGTTGTTTCTATCGCATTTGTTACGATATATTTTCTTTTAGCGCAACCTTTGCTCTTCTGGGTGAGCAACTACATGTCTCTCTGGAGTAACATCCTCTTCAACTGCGCCGTGCTTATAAATCTAATCGTGGCAGTGTTTTATCCATTCAATGACACAGTACCTAGTAAGATATATTTGGAAATTGAAGTTAAGTTGAAGGTATACTAAGTTGTTTTTGTTTAGAACTTAGTTCAACTGTATCCGCACTTATATGGGCGGCGATGACGACAGCGGCGGCCATTGTGATCACTCTACCTCGCGAAACTGGCATACGTACGTTTGTCGCGTCGACAATTCTACGCTTTATATTCTCCCTTGGACCTGAGCCGACGCTCGCGCTGTTGGGAACGTTGACCGTCTTCCTCAAGGGCATCCATCTAGTCAGCATCATGGGCAACCACGGCACCCTGACGAAGACTTACCAGAAGATCGTCACCGACGCAGAGCTGCTCTATCACCTAGCTTACTTAATCTTCTGCATGCTTGGTATTCTAATGCATCCGTTCTTCTTTTCTGTACTTGTAAGTTATCGTAGTTGTAGTTATAATCTGTTATTTATTATTGGGACGTTTTTAGTTATTCGACGTGGTTTACCGCGAAGAAACACTTCTCAACGTGATCAGATCAGTCACTCGTAATGGTCGTTCGATCATTTTAACTGCTGTGCTGGCGCTCATCTTGGTCTACATGTTTTCGATAATTGGATACATGTTCTTCAAGGATGACTTCATGTTGAGCGTAGATGATGACAGCAATACGCATCACACGGGACCTGCGGATGAGTTCAGTTGCGAGGCAATGCATGATAAATACTCATCGGATCCGGGACATGAACAGTTGCACTGCCATCGTGAAGTGCGTGAACGCGCCTGCGATTCGCTCATCATGTGCATTGTGACCACGTTGAATCAGGGTCTGCGTAATGGCGGTGGTATTGGTGACATCCTGCGTGCGCCAAGCAGTTCGGAAGGATTATTCGTCGCACGTGTCGTCTACGATTTACTATTCTTCTTCGTGGTCATTATTATTGTGCTCAATCTTATTTTTGGTGTCATTATTGACACTTTCGCTGATCTTAGGTCTGAGAAGCAGCAGAAGGAATTGATCCTGAAGAATACCTGTTTCATCTGCGGTCTGAATCGGTCTGCATTTGACAATAAGACCGTCAGTTTTGAGGAGCACATCAAGTGCGAGCACAATATGTGGCACTACCTGTACTTCATCGTGTTGATTAAAGTCAAGGATCCTACGGAATTCACAGGACCAGAGAGTTATGTTTATGCCATGGTGAAGTCGTCGAATTTAGACTGGTTCCCGAGACTGCGTGCAATGAGTCTGGCGTCGGTGGAGCACGACGGGGAACAGATTGAACTGAGAAGCTTGCAGTCCCAACTTGAAATCACGCAGGTCCTTGTCACGAATTTGTCGCAACAGTTAATGGAATTGAAGGATCAGATGGCGGAGCAACGTAAGCAGAAGCAGCGCATTGGGTTGTTTAATACGGCGTATCAACACGCCAACAATTTACCGTAAACGCAGTTATACTCGAAATGCTGTGTGTCAATACAATCGGAATTCTTCTTAAGTCCCTTGACGCAACTTATGATATCAGTAAGCTCAGATTGTGCGAAATGCATGCGTTAGTAAAAAAAAAACTATTAGGTAATACTCAATTGTTATTCTAAATGCTGTTTTTGAAAAGGTTGCATTTAAGATGTTTTACTATGTTGTAATTTCCCAAAAACGAAAACGAGAACAATCATTTTTTCAATTGTAAGACTATTATGATGTGTTGTATTATTGGCAATTTTATTGAGAGAGAATGTTACAGTATAATGATAAATTTGTATATTAAATAGAGTTGGGAGTAATACATATAAAGTAATAAGTAAAGTAAGTTCCAATTTACTTAGTTAGATTGTATTGTTAAGATTCTATGTGTCCTTCTGGCTACGCGGCTGCATTTAAATATGATATGTGCAGATGTATCACATTGTCGCAGGATGGCGTGACCTGTACCGTTTTCTCACGCTGCGCTTAAGATAAGTAAGCAGGTAACGCAGGTGAGCAGTCGCACCCGGCACACGCATCGGGCCGGGCCGCATGCGTTATGTGCTCTACACGCTACCTAAGTAATACGTTACGTTGTGCAGTGCTGTAAAGTAATTGCTTAAGTTTACAAGTGTTACTGAACGTGGGTGAGGCAACGAGTTGTGTGATGCACCATCGATTGGTAAGTATATAATTAAATTATTCTTATTATAAAAATATATGTGTAGAGCATGCTTGGCCTTGTTTTCTTTTTAAGGTGTTATCCGTGTTGTGGATAAACAACTTGTTTTTATCGCGTCCTCTCGCTCTTGTCGCGTGGAATTATTGAGTTTACAGCGCGTATTGAAGCATGAGTTTAAGATTTAAATTCGTTTCTAACACCAATGATATAATGTTTATATCCTATTTTATTTAATGTTTCTAATGTCTTACTGGAACTTTTACTCGCCTTTTTTTTCGTTCCGCAAAAATTTTGGGCTCTAGCTTGCGATCGATAATAGATGCATTAGCGTAGCAAGGAATCCAAGGGCCCTGGGACAAATCAAAAAATGGGGCCCTAATTTCCTGAATACAACTTTCAAATTTCTCTCAACTGAGCTGTCATGATTGATGTCGGGTTGCAACCTGTCATATTTATTTTAAGAATTCGAGGGTCCCCCAGAGCTTGAGGGCCCCTGGGCACTGCCTAGCCTAGCCTCTTGGCAGCTACGCCACTGAATACGTAGATGCAGATTCTCAGAAAAATGATGTGGACATCATTTGTTTATAAATAATTCTCGCAAGAATTTTCTCTTAATTTTACTAATATTTATTTTATTTAATTTCTTGTTTTTTGTTTACATTACATCTAGGTGCATTGCATTTTTATGCTCGAATGACTAATTTAGGCTTGTTTTAGAGATTTTGCACCTGAGTCTGACATCGAAGAAGGACCATTTTGGCATCAGATTGTAAGTAATTAATTCCTTTATCATTTTCCTAAATAACTTTTGTGATTATGTCACAATTTGACCCCCAAAATTGCATTTTTATGTTCAAATGAATAATTTTTGATGGTTTTAGGGATTTTGCACCTGAGTCTGACATCGTAGAAGGACCATTCTTGCATCAGATTGTAAGTAATTAATTCCTTTATCATATTCCTAAATAACTTTTGTGATTATGTCACAAATTGACCCCCAAAATTGCATTTTTATGTTCAAATGAATAATTTTTGATGGTTTTAGGGATTTTGCATCTGAGTCTGACATCGTAGAAGGACCATTCTTGCATCAGATTGTAAGTAATTAATTTCTCAATCATTTTCCTAAATAACTTTTGTGATTATGTCACAATTTGACCCCCAAAATTGCATTTTTATGTTCAAATGAATAATTTTTTATGCTTTTAGGGATTTTGCACCTGAGTCTGACATCGTAAAAGGACCATTCTTGCATCAGATTGTAAGTATTTAATTTCTTTATCATTTTCCTAATTAACTCAGGTAATTATCTCACAAATTAACCCTTAAAATAGCATTTTTATGTTCGAAAGACTAATTTTTGCTCGTTTTAGGGATTTTGCACCTGAGTCTGACATCGTAGAAGGACCATTCTTGCATCAGATTGTCAGTATTTAATTCTTTTAAATAAATTTTGTGATTATTACACGATTTGATTCACAAAATGTATGCTTGTGTGTTTTCTTTAATAAAGAATATTTTTAAGTTTTTCTAATTAAAATTATTTCTGTTATTTCTACCGGACCACATATTTAACGATCCCTTAAAACATTTATTTTGAAAAGTGCATGCTAGTGCCATCTATCAATTAGAAACTACAACAACCGAAAATTTTGAGCTTCGGTCCGTCACCACCAGAGGCAGCACATTACTAGTTACCGCGAAAACTTTATCAGCCTCCTCAACTTTCTGCGATCCTAATATTCAATCTTTATTTTGTCGACTCTGAGAGACAAAATGACACAAAATTTGGACTCGAAACAGTCGAAACTCAGGTTTTGGTATTCGGATCGCAGAAAGCGAGAGGAGGTAAATGAAGGAGGCGGTAAATAGTAATGGCGGGTAAAATGAATGTTTAAAAATTTTTATTCAGCAAATTCGGTTTTCGAATTCTGAAGGATCTCGACAACTAAGAGGGCTAGAAAATTAAGAACTACATAATCTTGATCCTTGAAAAATTCTCTACAAGGTGGCATCATTATTGAAAAATCATCAAAAGGCACAAAAAAATTTTAAAGAAAAGATTTTATTAAAAAAATGGCAAAAGATTTCTGTTTTTTATGTTGAAAATTAAAAGTTGGAATTTTGAAACAAATTGAAATAATATATATAATAATTTGGCGGGAAGTATCTATGTCCACTTTCTGCGTTCCTAATACTACAGACTGATGAGCAGTAACATTTCAGCAATTTTCTCGACAAATTTTGTCGAGAAATCCATTGAAAATGGTAACAAAATTCTTTTGAATATTAGGATCGCAGAAAGTGCAGTAGGCTAAATCTCTTGAATAGCGGCGTAGTTTTGTTACTCGTGGATAGATGACACTAGTGATACCGTTTTTAAATTAATATTGATTCAATATAAAATTGATTTTGAACTATTTCTCATATCTAGCAGTGGCATTTCGATTAAAGTTTAAGGGATTTATGGATTAATTAAAGGAGTAACGATGTTGTGAGCTATGTTCTCCGTTTAGAACAAGTAAAACAATAAAAATTTATAAAACTACATTTTTATTCAAACATGTAGAATCAGAAACGAAATTTCTTATTATATACAACACTTTTAACAATACAAGCAAAAAAAGAGGATAATAATAAGCAATTATAATACTCTGTTTATAACTTTTAACAAAATAAACAAAAATGATATCAATAGCAGCTTCAAAATGTTGTAAATTCTTTCAATCGTATTTGGAATCATCATCATCACCGGCAATCCAATCTTCAATTTCTTAGACACTATAAACCAGAATGAATAACAGAATAGTAAAATATAAAATATTATAAATTGCCAAAATATAACATACGTTCTTCGTATTTAGTCCAGTTGACACATTCATCTTCCTGAATACGCACTCTACCAGTACGACGGAACCTCTCCACTTGGTCCTTATTGATAAAGTTGGCCATCTCAGATTAGCCAATTCTTCATCCAACAACTGGAAAATATTTATGTAAAAGAAATATACACATACATAAATTAAATCTTCTTCTTACAGGATCCATAAAGATTTCCATTTAGGGCACTGTACGAAAGTAGCGGTAGAAGTGACTCCCATTCAAGGCACCGTACAATTTAGTGCAAGAACGGTTGCCCCACGACATTGCGTTCGCCGGCTAGAACAAAAAAAAAACCACAAAATTAGCCAACCAAAAAACACAAAAAGGGCATTTTTGAAGATTTCCTAGGGGTAAAACTCACAAATTATATATCAAAATTATAAAGAATTTTAATATTTACAATTTGGTGAAAGAACAGTTGCCCCACGACAATGCGATTGCCCGCTAAACAGTAAAAACCACAAAATTAGCCGACTGAAAAACACAAAAAAGGCATTTTTGTTGGTTTCCCGAGGGTCAAACCCACAAGTTATATATAAAAAATATTAGGAATTTTAATACCTACAACTTGGTGAAAAAACTGTTGTCTTACGACATTGCGTTCGCCCGCTAAATACTAAAAACCACAAAATTAGCCGACCGAAAAACACAAAAACGGCATTTTTGTAGGTTTCCTAAGTGTCAAACTCATAAATTATATATGAAAATTATAAAGAATTTTAATACTTACAATTTGGTGAAAGAACAGTTGCCCCACGACATTGCGTTCGCCCGCTAAACAGTAAAAACCACAAAATTAGCCGACCGAAAAATACAAAAAGGGCATTTTTGTAGGTTTCCCGGGGGTCAAACCAACAAGTTATATATGAAAATTATAAAGAATTTTAATACCTACAATTTAGTGAAAAAACTGTTGTCTTACGACATTGGGTTCGCCTGCTTAATGCTAAAAATCACAAAATTAGCCGACCGAAAAACACAAAAAGGCCATTTTTTGTAGGTTTTCCAAGGGTCAAACCCACAAGTTATACATGAAAATTATAAAGAATTTTAATACTTACAATTTGGTGAAAGAACAGTTGCCCCACGAGATTGCGTTCGCTCGCTAAACAGTAAAAACCACAAAATTAGCCGACCGAAAAACACAAAAAGGGCATTTTTGTAGGTTTCCCGGGGGTTAAACTCACAAATTATATATGAAAATTATAAAGAATTTTAATACCTACAATTTGCTAAAAAAGATGTTGTCTTTCGACATTGCGTTCGCCCGCTAATCACTAAAAATCACAAAATTAGCCTACCAAAAAACACAAAAAGGGCATTTTTGTAGGTTTCCCGAGGGTCAAACCCACAAGTTATATATAAAAAATATTAGGAATTTTAATACCTACAACTTGGTGAAAAAACTATTGTCTTACGACATTGCGTTCGCCCGCTATACACTAAAAACCACAAAATTAGCCGACCAAAAAACACAAAAAGGGCATTTTTGTAGGTTTCCCGACAGTCAAGCCCACAAGTTATAAATTATATGAAAATTATAAAGAATTTTAATTTTCATTTCAGTGCTAGAGTAATATATTTATAACACTACACATCGTAAAATTAAAATAAATAATTTGATAATAGCCACCTTCTGTAGCCACTCTGCTACGGACCACCGAATGAAACTCAACTAAATTAACAAAACCCCTCTTGCGCTATCAGAATCCGATGAAAAATTTGAACATTTCACAAACGTTCGCAATAGGATCTGTTTTCCATATTACAAGTAAGTGAAATATACCCCCCCCCCCCCTTCCCCGCAAATTCGCAAGCTATTGCAACACGCAGGTCTTCAATCATTTAACCTAATAATATAACTTAATTATAAACTTACCAATGTAGCGCTCATCGGATTGCAAGGGTACGGCAAGTACTAGAATTAAAAGAAAACATAAACGATACATCCTTTTATTTTACGATAATTATAGAGTTTCATCATGTCATGTAAAGGGTGACAAAAATCACCCTTTTATGCAAATTTTCGCGGGTTGCAGGTCGAATACCTGCAACAAACAAATACAACCCGACGGAGAATTTAATTCCGCATCTCTAGACGCCGCGCTGACGATAGTGAGCCCCCTAGATCGCGCGCAAACACGAAAAAATACAAACATTTCACGAGAAACGGTGACAAAACTCACCCTTTTATTCAATTTCTCGCGGGTTCCTACGGTGCCCTGAACACGAGTCACTTTTACCGCTAGCTTCGTAAGGTGCCCTGAATCGAGTCACTTCTACCGCTAACAAATACCACCCGGCATAGATTTAATTCTGGATTTTTGACGCCGCGCTGATATTAGTAGGCCGCAGAGTTCGCATAACGAAAATATACAAAAATATACCTAATACTGACAATCAGAAGTTTCAAACATACATACATACTGTACATATTCTAAGAATACAAAAATATGATGAGACTTACCAGGAATGCAAATCCTGAGATTGAAAATCGTAGAACAAGTATTGATGCCAAGTAGGAAACATATCAGGGAATGGATTTGCATTAAAACCAGAATTGTTCGCATGAATCGACATTACAAAACTCGAAATTTGGAAAATGGTTGAACTGTACTGAAGGGAAATTCCCGATCAAGTAAAACTGCGGTAAGAACAAATCAAAATAATTCAATGAAATATTTAGAAATATTAAATATAATCTAAAGAATAGAAATACTAACACCGATGAACAAGTAGAAGTCAAACAATTCTCGTGTGCAAGTTGTAGGGTACGGAATAAATATATTTTTATCAGTTTTATTTTCATGCACCAACCGGCCTAGCATCTCACATCAGCCGGCGGAGCAAACCGAAAGAAAATGTCAATAAATTCTCATATCAGGGGCATTCCAGTGTAAACATTAAACATTGGTAAAAATAAGCATTTCCCAGGCGGGCAATGTACTCGTATTAAATTTATAGTAATTCAAACCGGAATGACAATTACAATGACGCGAAACTGAATTATGCCCATGAAATGAAGAATTTAATTATAATCTCACCCATGAACTCTCACCCTGTGCATTGTAACTCATGAAACGTCACTGACCCTCACTGGTATTTCTTCAATTACTATAATAAATGAATAATAAAAGTTAAAACATGTTAGGTAGGGTAAAACACCCAATCGTTGGCACTCCTCCAATTATTGGCACTTTATGTTTTAATTCGAAAAAACAAGGAAACCATAGATAATTCAAGTTTGATATGCATTAAATTGTACAATAGTATATTTTTTCTGTTCAAATTTGACTACACTGTTCCAATAACTAATATGGCGATTTAGATACAACAGCGGATATTTTGTGTTTGTGATTTGGTGTAGTTATTTTGTTTTTTTCTTAAGGTGAGACCTTTTTTAATCATTGTATATCGCAGCTATTCGGCTAATAGATACTTTTGAATTAATTTGATATGCTTAATTACACGTTTAGGCAATAGATTCAAAGATTATTTCCTGAATATATCATTTATCACATTGATTTATTACATGTGCCAACATATGGATCAAGAATTTATCAAAATCCTATTCTTGGCACCCGTGCCAATAACTAAAAGCTAATTATTGGCAGTAGTGCCCATAATAGAATATTGAGTGCTAATATTGTTTTTTTTTATTCATTTAGATTATGATCATGATAGTCATATTAGAACTAACAAAAAGTTAACAATAACAGAAATTAACTTAATGTTACTTTTTGGTTCTAGAACACTGCGAACTAGGTAGGGTATAAAATAGGGATGTTGAGTATTTGTTTTTAAGTAGGTTCATAATCCGACTCATTAATATTTTGTTGGTGGTTAAGCATAAATGTTAAAAGATCTCAAGGATAGCCATTTAAGTACTGATAAAGTGAAACTAGTAGCTTGAATAAGAAAAAGTGTTTATGTTAGGCATAAAAATTGAATTACAAAATATTTTTATGCACATTTTAAATACCTACTATAAGATAGATTAGGTACTTATGTAAATAAAGGCAGATATTTAATTAATAAAATATTGCTTTAATTATACGTTAAGTAAGTATTTTCAACTTTATTGATAGATAGGTACCTACATATCTCCTACTTGAACTACATGCCAATAATTAGACGAGTAGGGGCCAATATTGAGATTTTCTATGCCAATAATAGGATTTTCTGCAGTCTTTTGGATTTTGAGCATATGTTTATTTATTATTATTCAATCACTTATAAACTGTTATAAAAAAACAAAGATTAAAGTATTTTCTTTGATTTTGTCACATGTTTTGTTTATTAACTAATGTAAATGGGATTTTATGACAGTATAATTCCAGACTGACATGCAGTTCTCTCTTAGAGTGCCAATGATTGGGTACTTTACCCTATATAAATGCAAAATAAAAGAATGTTATCAATTCGTGCATCAAAACACGATGTTTGTTGCTGAAATGTGTGTGCACGGTGCATTCCACACGGCGAACGAGATAAGAACGCACTAGTTGTAAACAAACACCGATAAGCGTCAATAGTCAGAAGATTGAACACAATGCTAGCTGGCAATATCGGCACAAGTTAGAAAGGCTTAGATTATAATTTGAATTTAATAAAAGATGCAAACGTTCATATGAATTTACTGTATTAATTAGGTTTTAAGACCGTATTGTTTGCAACAGAGCTGAGATACCGGCAGCGGCCATGATGCACCTGAAAGGCGAACACATGCACGGCGAACGCGACGTTATATCGGATACTGACAGACGCTTAGAATGGAAAACTAAATCAATTACATATATTATTCTAACTTTAAATGAAATCCAATGTTTTTTACGCAAGTGCAGAATAAAATAAATAGCAATTCTTACCAATTAGAAGATGGCCGACGGCACTTCAAAACAGGTAAACAACATAGCCGCGATACACTTACGCGCAAATAATAAATAACAATACTAAAGTTGTACTAAAGTCAAGTTAAAATTAAATAGTCAATTGATGATCGAATATAATACGAATTGGAAAGTAGAAGTCCGGATAATCAATACGAGTCGCCCAAAATACGTCTGGATCAACCAGCGACCGGCACAAAACTGGCCGCAAGCTGCATAAGCAACGACGAGGCAGTTTATGATAAGAAAACAAGAGGTGCGCAAAGCCGGCGCGTCGAACACACGCGACCTTATGCGCGAATTGCATTTGGCTGTTTACCTGGGATCAAAACTAAACTAAGATGCAGCAACATGCGGCGTGAGGTGCTGGCAACGGCGACACACGGCAATGCGATAAGAAAGTGTATATTATGTTCAAACAAACACAATTTTTGTGTCGAAGGTTCACGATTGCTGATAAATATAGAAATAAACAATACAAGTTTATTTTACAATTTTTAGTCCATGGTATTGCCATCTACGAGTATAAATGATACAGTAGTTTCGAAGTTTAGATTAGTAAAAGTAATAAAAAATTAAAAATCGATTTTCGTAATTCTGATTTCTTATGCTGACAGATTGCCAGATTGCCAGATTTTACATTAAATATTTAAGTGATATTTAATTTAAACATGCATCGTTTTTCGTTTACCAGGTAACACATTGATTCGTAATCATCTGCTGATAATAAAAATGTATTAGAATTAATATAAAATTGTTAGTTATATTCATGAAAGAATTGAAGAATATTTACTTAGATTTACGATGCTAATATAATAAACAGTGTGTTTTGATTCCACGAAATAAAGATTCGATACTTGCAGGTAAACAAACTTATCTCTTGCGCGAAATCGCGTGATCTACACGGACACGGTGTGCACTCACTACCACCAACAAGCAATATTTAATGCAAAACCGTACATCATAGCGGCATCTAACCATTGAAAATATTTATCAACTTCAAAACACATTAATCAAATATGCAACAAAAATATGCAAAAAAAGTCAATACATATCTGGAAATGAGGTAAATAAATACAGGCAGATACAGAATTAAATTCCGCATCAGGGAAAATGATTTCTAAGTTATTGTGATACCGCGTTCAAGTGTTATATTCAATCATTTCATTTAATTCAATCGCGAATATCTCGTAAACTAAAAGAGAAAATTAAGATCTGGTCGCAGCGTCTTAATCTACGGACAATGCTCTATCAGATAGGATAGTTAAAACGGAAATCTAGAAAATAAAATTTTAATTCTTAAGAAAAAAATTGCCAAGGGGGGGGGTGCTTGATACTTTTTTTCGACGATTTTCAAAAATTAATATCTCTTAAAGTAAAAAAGATAGCTACCTATAAATTGTTGATTATGAAAGATTGGAAAATTCTTTATTAGATCAAAATATAAAATAATTATATTTCCTACAGGAAAAGGTCGAAAAATGCGACCAAAAGTGCTAAAAAGGGACATTTTGCAATTTTTGCCCATTTTATTCAATCGCGAATATCTCGTAAACTAAAAGAGATAATTAAGATCTGATCGCAGCATCTTAATCTACGGACTATGCTCTATCAGATAGGATAGTTAAAACGGAAATCTAGAAAATAAAATTTTAATTCTTAAGAAAAAAATTGCAAAGGGGGGGTGCTTGATATTTTTTTTCGACGATTTTCAAAAATTAATATCTCTTAAAGTAAAAAAGATAGCTACCTATAAATTGTTGATTATGAAATATTGGAAAATTCTTTATTAGATCAAAATATAAAATAATTATATTTCCTACAGGAAAAGGTCGAAAAATGCGACCAGAAGTGCTAAAAAGGGACATTTTGCAATTTTTGCCCATTTTATTCAATCGCGAATATCTCGTAAACTAAAAGAGATAATTAAGATCTGATCGCAGCATCTTAATCTACGGACTATGCTCTATCAGATAGGATAGTTAAAACGGAAATCTAGAAAATAAAATTTTAATTCTTAAGAAAAAAATTGCAAAGGGGGGGTGCTTGATATTTTTTTTCGACGATTTTCAAAAATTAATATCTCTTAAAGTAAAAAAGATAGCTACCTATAAATTGTTGATTATGAAATATTGGAAAATTCTTTATTAGATCAAAATATAAAATAATTATATTTCCTACAGGAAAAGGTCGAAAAATGCGACCAAAAGTGCTAAAAAGGGACATTTTGCAATTTTTGCCCATTTTATTCAATCGCGAATATCTCGTAAACTAAAAGAGATAATTAAGATCTGATCGCAGCGTCTTAATCTACGGACTATGCTCTATCAGATAGGATAGTTAAAACGGAAATCTAGAAAATAAAATTTTAATTCTTAAGAAAAAAATTGCAAAGGGGGGGTGCTTGATATTTTTTTTCGACGATTTTCAAAAATTAATATCTCTTAAAGTAAAAAAGATAGCTACCTATAAATTGTTGATTATGAAATATTGGAAAATTCTTTATTAGATCAAAATATAAAATAATTATATTTCCTACAGGAAAAGGTCGAAAAATGCGACCAGAAGTGCTAAAAAGGGACATTTTGCAATTTTTGCCCATTTTATTCAATCGCGAATATCTCGTAAACTAAAAGAGATAATTAAGATCTGATCGCAGCATCTTAATCTACGGACTATGCTCTATCAGATAGGATAGTTAAAACGGAAATCTAGAAAATAAAATTTTAATTCTTAAGAAAAAAATTGCAAAGGGGGGGTGCTTGATATTTTTTTTCGACGATTTTCAAAAATTAATATCTCTTAAAGTAAAAAAGATAGCTACCTATAAATTGTTGATTATGAAATATTGGAAAATTCTTTATTAGATCAAAATATAAAATAATTATATTTCCTACAGGAAAAGGTCGAAAAATGCGACCAAAAGTGCTAAAAAGGGACATTTTGCAATTTTTGCCCATTTTATTCAATCGCGAATATCTCGTAAACTAAAAGAGATAATTAAGATCTGATCGCAGCGTCTTAATCTACGGACTATGCTCTATCAGATAGGATAGTTAAAACGGATATCTGAAAAAATAAATTTTAATTCTTAAGAAAAAAATTGCCAAGGGGGGTGCTTGATACTTTTTTTCGACGATTTTCAAAACTTAATATCTCTTAAAGTAAAAAAGATAGCTACCAACAAATTGTTGATTATGAAAGATTGGAAAATTCTTTATTAGATCAAAGTATAAAATAATTATATTTCCTACAGGAAAAGGTCGAAAAATGCGACCAAAAGTGCTAAAAAGGGACATTTTGCAATTTTTGCCCATTTTATTCAATCGCGAATATCTCGTAAACTAAAAGAGATAATTAAGATCTGATCGCAGCGTCTTAATCTACGGACTATGCTCTATCAGATAGGATAGTTAAAACGGATATCTGAAAAAATAAATTTTAATTCTTAAGAAAAAAATTGCCAAGGGGGGTGCTTGATACTTTTTTTCGACGATTTTCAAAACTTAATATCTCTTAAAGTAAAAAAGATAGCTACCAACAAATTGTTGATTATGAAAGATTGGAAAATTCTTTATTAGATCAAAGTATAAAATAATTATATTTCCTACAGGAAAAGGTCGAAAAATGCGACCAAAAGTGCTAAAAAGTGACATTTTGCAATTTTTGCCCATTTTATTCAATCGCGAATATCTCGTAAACTAAAAGAGATAATTAAGATCTGATCGCAGCGTCTTAATCTACGGACTATGCTCTATCAGATAGGATAGTTAAAACGGATATCTGAAAAAATAAATTTTAATTCTTAAGAAAAAATTGCCAAGGGGCTGCTTGATACTTTTTTTCGACGATTTTCAAAACTTAATATCTCTTAAAGTAAAAAAGATAGCTACCAACAAATTGTTGATTATGAAAGATTGGAAAATTCTTTATTAGATCAAAATATAAAATAATTATATTTCCTGCAGGAAAAGGTCGAAAAATGCGACCAAAAGTGCTAAAAAGGGACATTTTGCAATTTTTGCCCATTTTATTCAATCGCGAATATCTCGTAAACTAAAAGAGATAATTAAGATCTGATCGCAGCGTCTTAATCTACGGACTATGCTCTATCAGATAGGATAGTTAAAACGGATATCTGAAAAAATAAATTTTAATTCTTAAGAAAAAAATTGCCAAGGGGGGCTGCTTGATACTTTTTTTCGACGATTTTCAAAACTTAATATCTCTTAAAGTAAAAAAGATAGCTACCAACAAATTGTTGATTATGAAAGATTGGAAAATTCTTTATTAGATCAAAATATAAAATAATTATATTTCCTGCAGGAAAAGGTCGAAAAATGCGACCAAAAGTGCTAAAAAGGGACATTTTGCAATTTTTGCCCATTTTATTCAATCGCGAATATCTCGTAAACTAAAAGAGATAATTAAGATCTGATCGCAGCGTCTTAATCTACGGACTATGCTCTATCAGATAGGATAGTTAAAACGGATATCTGAAAAAATAAATTTTAATTCTTAAGAAAAAAATTGCCAAGGGGGGGGTGCTTGATACTTTTTTTCGACGATTTTCAAAACTTAATATCAAAAGTGCTAAAAAGTGACATTTTGCCATTTTTCAATTTTAGCCCATTTTCTTCAATCGCGAATATCTCGTAAACTAAAAGAGATAAATAAGATCTGATCGCAGCGTCTTAATCTATGGATTATTCCCTATAAGATAGGATAGTTAAAACGGAAATCTGAGAGATGAAATTTTAATTCTTAAGAAAAAATTGCCAAGGGGGTTGATACATTTTTTCGACGATTTTCAAAAATTAATATCTCTTAAACTGAAACCGATAGCTATCAACGAATTGTTGATTATGATAGATTGGAAAATTCTCTATCAAATAAAAATATAAAATAATTATATTTCCTAGAGTAAAAGGTCGAAAAACGCGACTAAAAGTGCTAAAAAGTGACATTCTTCAATTTTTGCTTATTTTATTTAATCGCGAATATCTCGTATACTAAAAGAGATAAATAGGATCTGATCGCAGCGTCTTAATCTACGGACTATTCTCTATCAGATAGTTAAAACGAAAATCTGAGAGATGAAATTTTCATTCTTAAGAAAAAATTGCAATAAACCATAATGTTGCATATATTTTAAACTAAAAGCGACAGCGACCAACCGATCAAAATTGGAAAATTCTGCATTAGATGAAAATTTAAAATAATTTAATTTCGTGGGATAAAAGGATCAAAAACGTGACTAAAAGTGCAATTTTTCTTTTTTGCCCTTTTTTGAATTGCGAATATCTCCTAATTATGTCCGACCGTTCCAGTCGTCTTATTTGAGTCACAGGTAGGTAGTACATGATAAATAGAAAACTTGTTTATAAACAGCAAATGCAAATTTGACCAAAAAATATAATTGAATTATAAACTTACCAGTGTACAGCTTATCGGACTGCCAGGCACAACGAGTGCTGTAACTAAACGAAAACATTAATTAAAACAAAAATATTTCATACAATTGAATTATGTTATAATTAACAATCAACATAAAATAAACCATATGTGCAAATAAACAATATACTTACACGAGCCGCATGGATCTTTCTTAATGATGAGAATCAACGTGGGGGCGATATATAATTTAGTAACCGACATCAAACACAACGCCGAGTGAAGAATGTTATCAAATCCAGTATCACGTGACTTGTAATATACATAACAAACGCGATCAAAAAACCGACATTACCGAATATTAAACAAATTACTATAGTCGCAAAGTACAAATAAATAGTCGATTGATCTTCGAGTATAACACGAATAAACGATACAAGTCTCTCAAAACACAGCTGGATTAACTAGCGACCGGCACGAAACTGCGTGCAATCCACCGATAGTGCATGCCGAAACTGCGTAAACAACGACGGGACAGTATATGATAAGAAAGCAAGAGGTGCGCAAAGACGGCGCGTCGAAGGCACGCGACCTTGTACGCGAATTCGCAATAGGTACATTACCGGTGATCTAAACTAAACTAAGATGCAGCAACATGCGGCGTGACAACGACGACACACCATAAGAAAGTGTATATTGTGTTCAAACAAACACAATTCTTGTGTCGAAGATTGCTTGCTGATAAATATAGAAATAAACAATACAAGTTTATTTTACAATTTTTAGTCTATGTTACGAGGGTAGTCCGATAAGTATTTAGCCTTTTAAAGAAAAACCGAAAATTTTGGAAACCTATCATTTTATTTCTCAACATAGTCTCCTTCTAGCTCGATATACTTGACCCAGCGATGTTCCAACTTTTTTAACCCGTCGGAAAAAAATGTTTTCGGGAGGTCTGCAAAATATGCTACCGTGGCGGCAATGAGCGACTTATTTGACTCAAATTTTTGCCCGGCGAGTGATTTTTTCAATTTTGGGAATAAAAAGAAGTCACACGGGGCCAAATCTGGCGAATAAGGTGGATGTGGCAGCAATTCATAGCCTAATTTGACCAATTTCGCTGTGGCGATGTTGGAGCTGTGGGCCGGTGCGTTGTCATGGTGGAAGAGCACTTTTTTTCTGGCCAAATGAGGCCGATTTTTCCTTAATTCCATGTCGAATCGGTCCAATAATTGGGCATAGTATAGTCCTGTAATTTTTGCCCTTTCTAGGTAGTCAATGTAGATTACCCCTTTTGAATCCCAGAAAACAGTAGCCATCACCTTTCCGGCCGATGGGACAGTCTTCGCCTGTTTCGGAGCACGTTCATCGGGTAAAGTCCATTGTTTTGACTGTTCTTTGGTCTCGGGTGTATACCAGTGGATCCATGTTTGGTCAACAGTTACAAAACGACGCAGAAACTCCTCGGGATTGCGCGAAAACAGCGCCAAACACTGCTGGGAAGTGGTCTCACGGTTGCGCTTGTGGTCCGGAGTGAGCAAACGCGGCACCCATCGCGCCGACAGCTTTTTCATGCCCAATATTTGATGCAGGATATGACCCTCGCGGATTTTTGAGTCACCTTTAGTCGACGGTCTGCTAATACAAGATCATGGACTTTTTTCACGTTTTTCTCGGTGGTAGCTGTTTTTGGAGCACCTGGGCGTGGCTCATCAAAAACCGACGTGCGACCACGTTGAAATTCATTATACTAATTTTTTATGGTTGCAATCGAAGGAGAAGATTCACCGTATATACAGCATCCAGTCGGTTTTTGATTTCACTGCGCAATTTCCCTTCCAAAAACAGGAATCGAATCACCGATCGATATTGCTCTTTTTCCATTTTGTCTAAATACGCGGACACGTCAACTCTCAAACGCGATCAAACCAAAACTAAACGTTTGAACTGGTTTAAATTTTAACTGTGACCCTCTATAGAGACGTACTACACGATAGTACATTTCTTTTTTTGATTTGGCTTCATCGGGCGCCAAGGCTAGGTACTTGTCGGACTGCCCTCGTATTGCCATCTATAAATGCTGACAGATTGCCAGATTTTACATTAAATATTTAAGTGATATTTAATTTGAACATGCATCGTTTCTCGTTTACCAGGTAACACAATAGTCCGTAATCATCTGCTGATAATCAAAACGTATTAGAATTAATATAAAATTGTTAGTTATATTTATGAAAGAATTGAAGAATATTTACTTAAATTTACGATACTAATGTACTAAACAGCAACGGTGTGTTTTGATTCACCGAAATAAAGATTCGATACCTGCAGGTAAACAAACTTATCTCTTGCGCGAAATCGCGTGATCCACACGGACACGGTGTGCACTCACTACCACCAACAAACAATATTTAATGCAAAACCGTACATCGTAGCGCCATCTCACCTTTGAAAATATTTATCAACTTCAAAACACATTTATCAAATATGCAACAAGGGTAGTTAATATTGCAATGAAATTGAAAACAACGAAAGTCAGATACGAAACAAATCAGTATTTAATAAACGATTCATTTAATATTTTCGTACAATAATCAATAAACATATCAGGTAGTGCTAAGTTGATTCGTTTACATACATACGCAATAACGGGCGGCTCTTCATTACGTGCATGCGTGTGTGTATGTGTGACTGTGAAAAACAGTTAAAAGCAGGAAGATACAGAGTTAAACTCTGCATCTAAGAAAATTATTCCAGACTTATTATGAAGCCGTGATCGCGTGTTATATCAATAAAACTACAATTCCAAGCGCAACGAGTACAAGTGCGTATAGACACAACTTTCATTATAACTCGCGGTACGGAATTTTCTTGCAATAAATTTCAATACAGAGAGATACAAAATTAAATTCTGCATCTGGGGAAATTATTCCGAACTAACTGTAGCATAATGTAGCATTTTTTCATAAGAAGAAATGGGCAAATTTTTAGAAATTTTTAATCCATATTATTAATAGAAACATTAAATATAGCAGTATATAAACTTAAAATCCTCAGTGATGTAAGAAACAATTTTATTCTTAGACGCATACTCTAACACGCGCTGTGAACTCAACAAATTCACGCGACAAGAGCGAGAGGACGCGATAAAAACAAGTTGTTTATCCACAACACTGATAACACGCCAAGAAGAAAACAAGACCAAGCATGCTCTACACATATATTTTTATAACAAGAATAATTTAATTATAAACTTACCAGTCGATGGTGCATCACACAACTCGTTGCCTCACTCATGTCCAGTAACACTTAGCAAACTTAAGCAATTATATTACAGCACTGCACGACTTAACGTATTACTTAGGTAGCGTGTAAAGCACATAACGCATGCGGCCCGATGCGTGTGCCGGGTGCGACTGCTCGCCTACGTTACCTGCTTGCTTATCTTAAGCGCAACGTGAGAAAACGGTACAGGTCACGCCACCTGGCGACAACATGTTTTGTTTAGCACATTCAAAGAATTTGAAACACATATTTAAAGTTTGGCGTTATACATTACAGGAAGAGAATTTGCCAGATAGATGGTATAACAAATGCTACAATTGATATATGAATATTTTAATATGTACACTTGTACATAGAGTTTGGAAATTATTTTACTGTACTTTATGTTGTGAACATTACATAACAAAAGTGACATAAAAATCATAAAAAAGCTTTAAGAAGTCTGAACAGGTATGAACAACAACGCTTCGGTCGGTCAAACAAACGATGCTCGAAAAGTAGTCAATGTGCATTTCTTCGCCATCAACTGAATACTGAATATAAACATGACAAGACGCCCGCCCACACAAGAGAACGCAAATCGTATTCATATTCACATTTCCCTTTTTAATATCACATGTAGAGATTAGAAATACAGTTTAGCAGTAAGTGTACATGCACAACTCAAAACGAAATGCCCTGAAACGTTGTTCACCGAAACATACGGTTGCATCATGTTTAAATTGTCCCCACATAGGCGTCTGCATCATTGCCACAATTGAATCATCTGCAGCAGCGTCAAGACAAGATTGGAAAGAGCTGTTTGGTGCGTGCGTGTCGTTCTAATACAATACGGCGAACGAAACAATAAATAAAACCGACTCGACTCGGACTTACATCCTAGTCGTTATCCTACGCTAACATGTATGTACTTGCAACAATCTTGAGATTATATTAACATAGATATTTTAATTATATATCACAAAACTGCGATCTGTGACTGCATAAAATCATACAAACTAATTATATATAACAACATCGATTGGCGAACGCGTGTCGCAAAAAAGAAACCTTATCACAGATATTTTAACAACAAAAGTTACAGAATGATATGCAATAAATAGTCGTGAGAACGCAAAATGATGTCTTGTCAATATCGGATGCTTATCGTCGCAATTCAAACATATACCTAGTTAAACGCTATTTTTAAATGTATGTATATGCTTGTCTGGAATCTCGGTTGAACATCGGAAGTGTGTTTCGGCGCAGACCCGAAACTCGACCATTTCTAATTACAAACTCAAACTCATATCGCTCGTCTTTGTTCATATATTGGTTTTTGCATTGTTTTGATTCGTTGTGAAACGCTAAGAATCAGATTTACTCGAATTATTTAAGTACATAATTACTTCATTCTTACTCAAATTGTGTAATTGCACGCCCGCTAATTAACTTAACATTATTTTGGCCAATTCAGAAATTGCCAAGATTCTTGTTTTTTTTTATATCGACGAGAACGTACGAACGATTTCAATTAATATTTCCTTACGACTTACAGAATTATCTTCTTCATGCTTTCTTACTCAATACGCACGCAACCGACCGACGTGCGCGACGCACTTTCTCGTCTCGCATGCCTCTAACTTTAATATGTATATTGAATATAATATGTTATGTGTATGTTTATATTTACATGTAATAGCATCTAGCCAAACGCACACAGGTACAAGGATACAGAAGTAATCGTTTTTCCACGTTTCTCAGACTGAAAAAACAATATCGTATGTACAACAAAATGAATTACCGTATCGACTAGCAATACACCAGACAATTGAAGTTGCAATGCGTGCTTCAAACAATTCCCGCGCCAATCTCCCGCTAAATCTCGTTTGGACTTTAGTTTAAATCAGTCTGTGGTGAGTATTCATAAATAAAAAGATCGATAAGTCATAAAACTAAAATTAATCAGATATTCGTTCAGAATCAATCGATCGTCATTCGAAGCACACATTGCGTGTTAAAATAAATAATAAATTCGACAGGCTAATGCTAAATAAAATCGTCGCTCGATTCGAAACACGTTTGGAATTGGAGTTGAAATCTGAAAGTTTACCGAATCACAGCTCCGCTGTACTAGAGTTATAGTTAAACGTTTTACAGTACGATACAACTAAGAGTCAAACATCCGCACGACTTACTATAAAAACCTAGGCATCGGATGATAGGTCTGCGGGTCAGTCCGATGCAGGCGGTAGCCAATAGGTGGATAGCGCCTGTATGGGACAGGATGATGCATTGGGTTCGACATGTCCTGAGGTGCATTCATAGTGCCATGCAGGTGTGCCGCTCCATCCCCTAAATCAAGCTCCATCTCCTGTTGTTCTTGCAGTTGGATTTGGCCGAGCGTTGAGGTTGCCATCGCCACATCCGGCATTATATCGGAAAGATGGCCGTCACTGCACGAGCTGCTTTCCGGTTCGCCAGTGTTCACAAAGCGGAACTCGCCCTCAGGTACAATAGCAGGTAATTCGTGTCGCTGCGAGTAAGCGCTGGGCCGCGGGAAGGTTAAATTGCGACCGTAGCAAGCGCGTCCACCTACACCACCGCCAACACCCATAGTGCCACCGCTGCCACTCAAGAGATTCTTATTCGGCGACGCTTGTTGGGATTCAGCCGCGGGCATCACCTCAGTGTCGCTGTGAGCTTCAGGCACACAAAAGCAATTCTCTAGCATATCGGCGACAGGATCCGGCAGATTGAATTCACGTACTACGCGTAGACGAATCTGTCGGCTAATCTCATGTCGTGAGGATAGAGGCATGTTGAGCGCACGTTGGCAGCCGGGACTCTGACGCAGTTTCTGTTCGCGTTTCAGCATCGTGTTCATAATGGCCGGGTCAGGTACAGGCAGTACTGAAGCAAGCACGTCAACACCGGCTGGACCCATAGGCCGTGGTTTCTCATCGACCATGTACAGAGTGTCGGGGATGTCCGGGATGTATCGCAAGCGACGCACCCGCATTACACCGACTTCTTGAACTAGGTGATCTTCGACTAATACTTTTACCTCCTCGTAGTAAGGCATAAAAAGTCGCGGCTGCACAAATAAGCCGTTATTCTTACCGCTACGAATCCAGGCGTTTATGCGCATATTTTCTCGATCTCCGCCGAGCATGTGGCTGGGCGGTGTACTGACCAGCCCGCGGCGGATCGCCTGATTGAGAACGTCGCTGTTCGGCGGAAGGACGTGATCCATTCGCACCAACGGCAGCAAATCCGATAGAATCTCGCGTAATTCCACATCGCTCAAGTCGCGCTTTTTGACACCTTTACGAGTCACCGAGTGTGCGGTGTGATTTAATAAATTAGGTTCTAAAACAATCAATAAAACATCAATAATAGTCATATTAGGAAATTAATTATTATAAATACCTCTATCTTCCATTCGTCTGACTAGTTCGTTTTCGCCCCATTTTAAAACAGCGTGAAGCACTTCCAATTCGCTGGCTTGCAGGAATGGACTCTTCAGCACTTCAATCAGATGAATCTTATCCAACTGATGCAAAACTGCCGACTGAGCGACCGGTTGAAACTCCTCCCTTAGATAATGTAATGCCTAGCGCAAAGAAATAAAAATACATATAAAATAGTATTAAATTTAATGTAAAAATATTAACGTACTTGTCTGTGGACCCACGCTGATCCATGGGGTTGTCTTGCCCATTGCAAAACAGTCGGCAGCGTGTCCAGAGAAAGCAAGTCCAAAATCAAATCTTCGCAGCCTTGCGCCAGAATATCCAGCTCCAAGAAACGTCCGATTTGATACAACTCCATAGCCTCTTCTAAAGCGGAAGGCCGGATGCGTCCCGTGTGCGCTAATGCCTGCGCTTCACCCAAACCACCACCGCAAACACCGCGTGATATCAGAGACAAGTCCACTTGGTCCAAATAAACAGCGTGAAGCAAAACACGCGCATACCTAGATAAATAAATAATATCAATTGTGGTTTAATAGAAGTAAAATTGATAAAATTACCGTTTGGGTATGACGCTTTCATCCAGAACAATCCTAGTGGGAATGTGGAGCGCTCTCTCCGTGTGATCCTCACCACTGCGCGACCTCCGCTGCAGCAGATTGCGGAAAAACGGCGAGCGCGCCGAGAGTATCGCCTTGTGGCATGGCAGTTCCAGCTTAGGCCTGAAACCGTACTCAGAACTGCCGGAATCCGGGCGCTGGCAGTCTGAGCCGTCCGAGGTGAACACCAATGCAGCATCAGCATAATCGCCCGTCTCCAGCAAGTATCGCAGATCGGTTTCCAGGGGATTCGGCGTGCCGAATTCTTCGCGCAGACGCCGCAACAGGTTCATATCGATGTTGGTGTCGTGCGGGCAGATATCCCCCGTGTAGAGGTAGCGCAACAACGCCGAGAATAACTGCACGTCGACGGTGGCAGTGCGCAGCTCGAGGCAAATACGCGCTCCATAACCGGGGCAGCCAGTGAGCAGGTCCCTGAAGTACGGGCAGCGCGCCGACAAAAGCGCGCGATGCACCGGAAAGCACGCGCCGCGGTAGACGAGATCCGCGTCGGTGCAGTATTTAAAGTCGTACAGCGCTGACAAATCCTGTTTGAACGTGGCGGCTGGCGGACGAGCCAACTCCGCCTGCACGCAGAGATCCTTCAATGCCGCCAGAGCTTCGTACTCTTCCAGCAGCGCGGCAATATCAGCCGCGCTCCAATCCGACACCAATTCCCGTAGCATACGACCATGATCGCACGCCTTGGACGAGCGCCGTCGTCGTATGAATTTCTTCTTCAGCGTGGCGAAGCCAGTCACCTTCTTCTTGCGCTCGCGCACGATCACACCCATCATGTCCCTGTACATCGGCGTCGGCGGCTCCGTGAGACTCACCTGGTGTCCCGGTATGCCGCCCGGTTCACCGGCCTGCGCTGTCGACGCGTTGACTCCCATTCTATGCACGAATTCCTCAGTCATGCATTGCTCACTTCCGGCGCCCCACCAGCTCTGCTGCAACGCACATGGGAACAGGCAGCTGAAGAGGTTCATCGCTTGCCCAGACTACCGCCTGACACGCAGACACAGTCTACAACACACCACATGATGCTTATGATTGATTTCTAATTCATTGCGCGACTCTTCCTGCCGAAGTGATGCGGCAGGAGGAAAGTAGGGTAAGTGGTAAACAAAACGTTGACAGTCAGTGAAGGTTAGTAAGGGTGTGTGATGAAAATGAGCGATTTATACCTGGGCGATACAAAATCATGATGATACGACGCTGATGCGGCATGCACGAACCATCAACATGCGTTGGCGCGAACATTAGACCGATAATGACCCGCAGACGTAGCCATGTTTATGCCTCTCCATCGACAGCGGGCTGGCGAGCGCACAAAAAAATAACACTGCAGTCAACGCGTTGAATTATTCAATCCGCACCAACTGAGACAAACTCCGCGCACCAACGACAAGCGCGACTGTTGAGTGTAGAACACACGGGGAGTCTTCTGGAGGGTGAAACTTCAGCGTGAATTGCTTCTCACAGCTGAAAGATCGCGGAAAACGAGCGCCTCGAACACCATTGCGTTTATCTACTGAGACAAAACTCTTGTTTGTGCGACGAAGCGGTGTTGCCGCGCGGTGCTCCGAACTTGCACGATGAGATTATATAAACTAAAACATTATTTAAACATTAAAAAACACAAGAAAACAATAAACAAATATAAATATTTACAAAATAAATAATAACAAATATTATTTATAGCCTTTTTAAGTCATAAATTGCGCTTTTTAGAATAAATATCTGTAAATATTTGTAGAGGGCGCTGTTGCATGTTTTTAAACAATTCTTAATTTAACTTTAAACAACCGCAAACAAATAAAAATGTATACTCACAGGATGTTAAATTAAATAATTCATTAATATTTACATAAATAAAAATTACTATGCACGGCATAAATGAATTAAAGAAATTAAAATTTCAAAATGGCAACATTGCTGACCTTAAAAGTCTTCACTCACGATCCTATACGATTGATGAAACAAGCGCAACAAAGATTGAGACGATATGCCGTAATGAGTTTAATTAGAATCAGGAATAAAAATGCGCTGACCATGAAATATACCTTCCGTTAATTACAGAGATAGACATGGTGCTGTTGTTGACGGCATGTGCGCTCAACTATCCGGCAATCTGCCGCAACACGAAAGTAGGTCGCGCAGCGTCTGCACATCAATACTTCCATCATGCTTGAATTATTTCCCAACAGCAAATTATCCAATTAAATACATTTTTGAATATTAAAGATACACAATAATAAATATATTATTTCTTATATTCAATAATGCGTCATATCATCAACAGCTAGTATTATTATCGAGGTAAAATGCAAAACTATGATAACAGATATGCCGCGATCCAGTGCCGAAAAGTCACAGTCTTTTAATGCGCACAAACGTAGGCCTTGAATAAAATAATAAAACTAAAATCAAACAGGTTAATTCCTCCGGAAACTTAAACGTTAGTAAGTAACTAAATTCGCTGCTTATAGATAAGAATATAAAAAATAGTGATTCCAAGCACCTATGGAACACCCACGACTTAAATATCTAAAGCCACAAATTACACATACATTGTATTAGTGTGCACTTTGTGTGTGTATATGCTATTGCAAGTACAAATACGTTTACGATTAGATACAATACAATTCAATCAGCTCCTGAGGCGGCAAAACGTAAGTAAACATCGTTTAAGAATTGAATACGCAACAAATTGTACTAAAAAAAAGGGGAAAACAAAAAATACTTACTCTCCATCCCCGCAATACAATTAATATATCACTGTGTATATAATAATATATTCTATATGCATCTCTTTTTAAATTTATCGTCGAATTGCTATTTTGGTATGAGGTCCGAAGTTTTCATGTGATTTATTTTTCGTTTCTTCGCCGCGCTACCCAACTCGCAGGACGTATTCAATTGGTGTGCGTGGCAGTGTTGAATCAGTTGATCAGCGCCTCAATTATTTGACTGCACCCCTCGTCGCTAGTAGTTAATATTTATAATATAAAATCGAAATCGTAATATGCATCTGAATTTGACGTTTGTTTTGTTTGTTTGTTGACCTGAGCTATTGCGGTGTTTTTAAAGTTCGGTTCGTTTGGCTGTCGATTGTGATGTGATGGTGGTGGTTACAGTTACAGCGGATCGGTGGCCACGTGTAAATCGTGTATAGATAAGGCCTCAGGTTAGGTTTCATTCGAAAACTAAAGCCGCCGATGCGTAACTCACCGAGCTGTCGTTCATATTCCGACACTGGCTCGATTGTGCGTATTTTAAAAACTTCAGACTTGCGTTTTGGCTGCTATCGTTGCGCAGCAGTTCTTGAACAGCCTAAATTGATCAAAATTTATTATAAAATCGATAAAAATTGTCGAAATTTTTGTAATACCTGTAAAAGTATACCTATAGGATGTCTTCCACAAATAGTATTACCATACTTTTTAATATAATTCGTAAACTCGGTTGGATTTAAGTTTTCAATGATGTTCATTCCCTGAAATATCAATTTTTACGTTTACATTTGTGTTTTAAAGGGATTTTTGTTGATTGTAGCTTACAGCCTTGTCTAATCCTTCAATCGACTGATAAATGTTATCATATGAGCGGTCGTAGTACGTGTAACGGAAGCGCTGCCCCCAATGGCAGAAGTCCGATGATATCACAAAGAGGTTCTGAGGATCGCCCAAGAAACTGGACAGGATGCGGCCGTAGCACGCCTCTTTCTCGGGACTCAGCGAGCCGACCAGAATTGGGATGATAGTGAATTGATTCTTGTATCTGAAAACAAAAACAATCATAAAACATCAAAATATTAAAAAAAATGGCGGAGTACTAAACTTACTCCTCCATAACTTTAGCAATATAAGGCAGATGCATCTCAATGCTATGTTCATTCTCATCAGTCCCCATGTCCATCCACTCAAATTGTCCAGTAGCAGCCAAGTCACTATTCACTATCAAATAAATAATCAAATAAATTAATATCGATTTTTTTTTTTGGATGATTCACTCATAACTCGCACCTTTGGAGTCTATATGAAGATCATACAAAGGTGTCCGATATTTTTGTGCACTCGATAAGGCACAGCCAGACAGTCTAACGTGATGCGATGGTCCTAGAATAAAAATGCGCCGCACGACGATAGGGCTGATCTGCCTGTAAGCGTGGCCGCCGCACGCGCCGCAGTATTTATACCCAGCATGCCTGCAAACAAGTCATTTCGTTATCAGTGGAAAGTGAAACAAAAGAGGTGCGGATTTTTTTAATTACGGAGCGATGATGGCCCGAGCTGGGCCGTGAATGAGATCGGCCTGATTGAGCCAGTAGTCGAGCTGTCTGGAGAGTTCGGGACCTGCGGAGACAAACGCAAAAAACAGGCGCATGAGAGAGGCGAGATCGAAGTTCTTTGTGCGGACCGACGATGGGTCAATGACATGCGCCGCCAGACGTGTTTAATTTACAAGTGTATAATGATCAGCTGATTCGAAGTGTGAGAGAATTGAAAGGAAGCTCACCTGAGTCGGTGTACCAGCTGCCGGCGTGGGCGGCTCTACGCACGGGCATCTCGATGGGGCGCTGGGCGAACTAAAGTGATTCGCGGAGAAAAAAACGCTACTGAAACAACGCAGGAGAGATGAAGAAAAATTGAAATCGCGCAGCGCTATTATGGACTGATTCGACTGATTTGACGTGCGCGGAGCAGCGCAGGACAAGGCACAAGAAGCGCAAGCCCAAACACCACGACGACCACGCACGATGAAACACGAACGCACAGAACCAACAATTTAAATAAACACAAACTTACAATGTACATAGTTTTACAACAACTTGAAATTAAAACAATTGATTTATATTACAATTATACTCACATTATAAATGTTAACACATTATTCTGTTATTCTTTTCGTATTTTTACCAAACATAACCCTAGATTATGTTGGTAGCGCCGCGAGAATTAAACCCGCGAAATTTAGCGCGATCCATACTCATTCAACAAACCGTACGAAGAGAATTCTTGAATTTAACCTGGAATCAACAATAAACCAAAACATTCCCACAAATAATTCCGCATAATGTTAAGTCATAAAACAAGTTAACTAATAATACTGCCATGGGTATCCAGGGACTTCTCCAATTCTTAAAAAACAGTGATGAAAATCTAAGTGCTATCAAACCGTCGCATTTAAGCAAGCTACGTGGAAAAAAGGCCGCAATCGATGCATATTCCTGGCTACACAAGGGTGTTTACACCTGTGCAGATGATTTATTCCTCAATAAACCAACTACCAAGTAAAACAAATCAATTTTAAGTCATAAAACTCATAATTTCTCATTTTTTCTATCTAGGTATGTTGGTTATTGTCTTAAAAACATTAAAATGCTCCTGGATCATTCCATAACACCAGTGCTGGTCTTTGATGGAGGCAGAATGCCCTTCAAAGTAGTTGAACAAAAAAGAAGAGAAGACAGGAAAAGAGCGAAGAAGGAAGCAGATGACCTCATTGCAGCAGGCCGAATGAATGAAGCCTACTCACAAATGGTTCAAAGTATAAATGTAACTCATGAAATGGCTTCTAATTTAATGAAAGCAGCTAGGAAATTAGGTGTGGAGAGTGTAGTGGCTCCCTATGAAGCAGATGCACAATTAGTTTATTTAGAAAAATCCGGTTTAGTTGATTTTATCATCTCAGAAGACTCAGATCTGATTGTTTTTGGTGCTCAAAAGGTCTTTCTTAAGATGACCCCTTCAGGACATGGAGATCTCTTTGATGCTGACTGTGTTGAACTATGTCTGCAGGCTAATAAACGCCTCAAAGGCAATTTTCTACCTCAAAAGTTGCTGTTTTCTGCAATTTTATCCGGCTGTGATTATCTTAAGAATCTGCCAGGTATCGGGCTGATCAAAGCGTGGAAGTTTATGAATATGACTGAGAATACTAATATAAGACAATTCTTGACAAAAATACCGAGTTACTTGAAACTATCTGTTGAAATTGATGATGAATACAAAGAGGGGTTCATTATGGCATGGCTCGCGTTTCAGTATCAGTTGGTTTTTGACACGAGGCAAAAAAGGCGGGTTCCTTTACACGCTGTGACAGATGATGTCTCTAAAGATGATTATGATACGTTTTTAAGTCGTTTTGAAGGGACTAGTGTGGATCATTTGCAATTAGCGCTTGGGAATATTGATTCCAGACAAAAAGAGTATGATAATTATCATCCACATATGTTATCTTATTTATATTATGGAGTGGAACAGGCAAGTAATAATATTACAACTCCTGAAAGTCCTGTGCTTGGATTCAGCACAGAAGGTGTGTACAAACGTAGGCAAAGCAAAAGAAAAAGCCTTCCAACAGAAGAGGCAATATATCAAGAAGATGAAGATATAGCAAATTATTACAAAAATATGAGTCCGAGAGTTGTCCCCAAAAAGGAAGAATCTCCACCTGTGCAACCACCACGCAAACGTATAAAATGTAAATTTTTCAAGTACAAATCACAGGATGATGATAATGATGACTCTCTAAAAGTACAAAGTCGTTTCTTCAAGAGTAAAGATGAAGATATAATAACAAATACTCCTAACGAAAATATAGATAATCAAAATGAAGATGAAGATGACCTGAAGAAAGTATATAAAGACGCTGGAATTGAATTTGATTCCGAAGCTTCAAATGATGCGAATGAAGCAATTAAAACCACACAAAAAGAAGAAATGAAGACTCCCGTGAAAGATGATGTTGAAGATATTGTAATCACACCTGACGTACCAGAATCTCCTATTATTACAAGTCAAGCCGAAAAAATCAAGCCTAAATTTAAAGAAATTCAAAATATAAAAAGCTTTGCAAAGGCTAAGAAACCACGAATTGTTCCTAAGAATCAGCCCACTTTATTAGGGTTTTTTAAGAAGCTGTGAAACGTATTATTGTATTAAGTATTATTTATAATTATAGTTAATTTTTTTACCGACATTAAAGAATTTTTCATTGAAAATTTGCGACTTACGCACCACCTAAACGTAGAATTATTAAATTAAACCACAACTTAACCTTTAAATCTTGTAAACCTGTGAAATATCGTGTAAACCTTTGTTAAAAAACAATAATATTAGTGTAGTAACAAGTTAAAGTGATAATTAATCACCGGCATAATTAATATTAATATTTTCCGCTCGGAAATCAAACAAATTTGACTTTTTTCTAAACCACGTTGTGTCGCAAATTCTACACTTGCTTTTAGTTAAGTTTTTAAATCATAGGTGGCGCACCACGACCATGTTCACAATTTTCCTCTACATGTACCACTCTTTAGCGGCAATTTTCAACCGGAAGTACCCTTTACCCATAGCTCTACCCAACGTGATCTATGAGAGTGCCCACTTTAAATTTGTCAATAAACCACCGGATATGCGCATAAACAGCAACAATCCATCACATTACACATTACAAACCTACCTCCTCGAAACCTACCCACAACAATCCAACGCAAAACTCTACCACAATTTTTATTTCGTGCATCGTTTGGATTACGCCACTAGCGGTATTATTTGTATCCCCATGACAAAACACGCGTGTAAAGTGATCTCTGAAGTGTTTCAATCGCGCCGCGCTGAAAAATATTACATTGCCATCGTGCGCGGCATTCTTTCACAGCGTATCATAGTTGTTCAACGCGCAATCGGAGAGGAAATCGACGCGGAAGCGCAAAAAATGTGCACGGAAGATAATATAAAGTGTAGAAACGCACGAAACGCTACCACAATTCTCACAGTGTTGGAAAATGGTGTTTGTGGGAATTATCCAGGTACCAAAGTGTTGATTCGACCGATAACGGGCAGGCGACATCAAATCAGGGTGCACTGTGCGTTTCTTGGACATACGATCGTCGGGGATTATACGTACAGCAATAAACGAGACGTGTTACCACCACGGATGTTTCTACATTCCCTTAGGTACGGTATATATTTATTTTTTGTTGACCGAAAAGTTGGTGATGAAAAAAAATTAAGGGTTGCAAATTAGGAAAGAGGGGATGCGCGTTCGGGGATCTTGGGACGTGCACACGCCTTGGAGAAAGATCAATCACAATCACTGATGAATTAGCGAATGATTCTTTCTCCATCATCGTGATGTGAAGGTTTATACAGGGTGAGGCAGAATATTTTAGAGGAAAATTGTGTTATTTATGGATGTAAGATGGGGAACACCCTGTATGTCACACGTGCATGTGGGTTTTTCTTCGCGTGCACGTCACGCTTCATCCCAAATGTATTTTTGATAACCAATATGTTCATCATACTAAATGACTTCTCGCTTCGGCGATGTCGGCGGCGACGTCGGAAATGGTTTGGAAATCGCTTTGCGCGCTGCCACAATGCGTTTGCGAAAAGTGTACCGATATAAAACCGTAGCCGGGAATATTCGATATAAGATCGACGCGCTGCTCGCATTCATTTTTCCTTTATTCAGCTCAAATTAACATCCAACGAAATTGAAAAATACACCCAGGCTACTTATTTACCCCCACACACACAGGATAGACGCGGCAGAAAAAAAAATAAAAGGGAAGCGAACACGCGCGCGCTAGGAAAAAGAACATTTGCGTCGGCTTTTATTTTGCTTTTGGCGATTCTTTTGTCGACGCACAAAACTTTGCCGGCGCGCACAAAAATGATAAGAAATTTTTAGTCAGAGCATAAATCTACAGCTTATCTTTTTCGAAGAATTTCACCGGGGGTGCAGGTACACACACTTACTTTTCGTACTACTTGCAAGTGTAGGTACCTCTTTTCAGTATCTCGCCCTGCCCACCCGCGCGCCCCTACAATCCATTCAACAAACGCTCAAATGCCCGATTCAAAGAAAACAGCCCGAGAGATAGAAGCGCATAAAAATAATTAGCTTCTCGAGATAACCAAATAAAAGCGAATGGCGCGCAAACAACGACTGGGGCAATAATGCGCGTGTACAACACGCAAAGAACGTAAAGAATAACAAACGACAATCGCCGAATTATACAACATTGTAAAATGAGCGCGCATCCGCCATCACAACTCAGTGCGCGCACGATGTCCTTGTACCGAAATACTAAAATACCAGCAATTGATTTTAGATTAGTGCTACCCAACGATGTGGAATCCGTCGACCTTCAGACCGAGGATCCCTTCGACGAAGCGACGTGCGCGAATTGGACGGTCCACAATAGACACCAGACAATAGAGGAGGCCTACGACCTGTTGGGGCAATATGCAAATAGACTCGGTACCGAGCAAGTGTCATAACGCCATAAATATTAATTTTAAACATGTTACAACTTAAAAATTTCTTAAAACTCAAAAAGGGAAGCAACCCCCACTAAAATACTACCTGGATCCTACCCTATATTAACCACCGATAACTCCGGCGAGCTTTAGTCTTCAATCAGAGCTTCAGGTGAGTTATCCAAACTTATTTTTAGTAGAAAAACATGTATAACCCTCAAACACTAGAGCAGCATGTACTCAAAAGTTGTTATCTGTGATTTCAAGCAGAGAGATTGCAACTTGCTCGAAATTACCAACATTTCAAGTACTAGTTGTGTAGTTATTCATAGTTGGCCGATTAAATTGCCCACTCTAGAAGTGTCTAGACTCTTGGGAGTAAGCCACACAAAGTTGATAACACGAAATATTCAACTTTACTTCAACTCTGACTAAATTCTATTTTTTTTTCTATTTCTATTTCACAGTTTTTATTCATAATGGCTTCCATTACTCTTTTAACCCTCTGCACTCTATTATTATGGTCCATGGCACAAAGTGGCACCCCTACCCCATCTACATCAGTTGTCTCTACAACCCCAGTGGAAGAAACCTACACGGAAATCACCCCGATACAATTCACATGGAATCGTTACACTATCATCGCCACAGCAGCAGCCGCAGTCGTGGTAGTTGCTGGTATAGCTGCTTCTGCATCTCTACTCTTACCTTTGATCACCTACAAGATCTGTTATTTATTTGGTGCGTGTAGTTATGGTTTAGACGCCTATGTAGATCGGTATGTTGCTACTGATGGTACCACAGACTTCGCTGATTACCCAGTTTACAATGCTGCTCCTGGAAATACCGGCGCCTCCACCACTTCTAGAAGATCTCGTAGGTCTTTGGAGCAGTTGGGTCCGATCATCACCACATTGGCTGCTGCTTATGAAAAATACGAGAACCCACAGGGTGCAACCGGAGCGAAAAAAAACTTCGTGCAGACGGCGATGCGCACGTTCTTCACAAAATAGCGCTGTTGATCCAGATGGCACCAGTTGTGCTAAACATCACCAAGTTGAGCTTCTTCATCGTCCACCTCATCGTGCAGCTGTACTCGCTCGCCGTCAACTTTATGAACCTCATGCATCGATTCTGACTTTGTACATAGTTCTATATTGATCCATAAAGCAATAAAAACTTAGATTGTATATTGGCGAAAAGTTTGTTTTCCGGGCAGAGGAAAATATGTAAATCTAGGGCGAAATTGAAAATATCACCAACGGCGGCGCAAGGCAGCCGCTGCGATGTTATTATAGGGTTTGAATTGTCGTTGCAACACCAGCAGAGAGTTTGACTGAGCAGGCGGATTGCGAAAACACCCCACATGTCGTAATTATAGAGCGCATCTAGACATGAACAGCACTTGGTGTCTTACTAATTAGAGATAGAAGTGCTCAACCCTTCGGCATGCCTTCCGCTGCACTCGAGATCGACATTGCCACATGTACAGTTGCAAAGTGACGACGTCGCCCCCCACCCCTTCCTCGTAGACATGTTGTTCCTGCTGCATGCAGCAGCAATGTGTTTGGTTTTCGTAGGGTCACGAGTGTTGGTAAATAGCCGGGCGTGCAGTTTGTAGCGGCAGTCATAGTTTGATAATTAAAACAAATCCGAAGGGGATTAAAAATACGGCGGGTTGAGGCGGCCCCGCTTCGGCTATACGAGGGTATTAACATATTTTCGCTCATGCGCGCGCGCGCGCCTCCATGAATATGCATAACGGGCGCCGCTGTTAAATCTAACGGACAATGTGTGCACGCTAGAAGAGTTGCAAACAGACGAAAGTTGTTTGAATGCGAGAACTGGAAATATCACCATTTCGCAGAGTTTCAGAATAGTTTTTTTAAAAGTAAATTGCCATTCTTTTCCACACAGAGAGAGGAAAAAAAAAGAAAATCATGATTACGGAAGCGCGAGGCGAGAATTTTGATTGCTTATTACCGCAAGCAGAGAAGTAGTCAATTTTTAATGTTCAGTTGACCGCTTTTTAAATTTCATTACGTTCTGTTATATATAGGAATACGCCGCACAGTTATGCAATTTTAATGCACACGGACCGCAAAAGTATCAAAGGTATCTACTCGCGGGAATACGTTCTCTAAAAGGTTCATGTAAATATACATATTATCCATAACCGGGAGAGGAGCGCAGTGTAAAATAATTTGCCTCTGTTTTCGGAGGATTCATAAGATATTCGTATAATATAATATTAGATTCTCTTTGGTGCGGCAGGGAGCACAATCTAAAAATGCCTCCGAGCGCTGCGGGATGCACCCTCCCTGCTGCCGCCGCCGCCGACCACTACAACGCCATTATCGCTTGTACGGTTATGCACGTGTCTATATATATATTGAATCTGCGGATCGGCGCTCCCGAGGGAAGGCCGATGTATTCATGTGGTCGGATGCAAATTGAAGGGCGCACCGAGCCTGTAATAGAGGCGCCCGCTTCGGATACGGCCACAGTGTCTCTCTTTGGGGATGGAGGCGGCAGTGCATACACTTCACATTGCATTGTCAAAGCAGCAACTACACAATCGCGATATTATAAAGTGTGTACATCATAAAATCAAACACGTACGGAATTTAACAACCCGAAAACATATGTCAATGCATATCATTTTAATGCGTCGCGAAAAGTACATTAAACTTGATATCGATGACGTAAAGTTGTCGAGGTGTCACCGGCAGAAGTTAACAGCTCAAAGTTGCGGCGTTAAACGCAAGATATGCACTTTGGAAGTTCGCAGCGTAAAAATCACAAAACTACTGCACTAGTGTAAAAAATGTGATGAGGTTTTTCTTAACTAGATAAAATTATGCGCCGCTGCAGAAGGTGTACGTGACAAAATAAGTGCACCGAAGAACGTGCGATTATCATCTCGCCGCCTCCCATGACACGGCGATAAAAAATCGCGTCGGTTCTCCCCTCGTAGAAACGCGTCTTAAATTTAAAATACAAATGTAATGTATATGCGCGCCCGTCCCATAACTACGAGTACAATGCCCAATAGATGTCAACTCAGGTGATCACCATCGCCAAGTTATATCGTCGTCGCGTTGTATTAACATAAAGTACATAAACTGCAACCTCTACCAAGTTATAACAACATATCTCATTCGTGGCGGGCGATTGGAAGGAAAAGCGTTGAATCTTGAGTGTTGAATTTTTCCCAACCGGCGTCAGAGAATGCCCTTTCCACACACCTAACGCGCTTAATTTGACACTGACTAACCAGCCGGGAGTCGGCGACGACGACTCTATTTAAAATTACCTAAAAAAGCTCTTTGCTCGGCGTGTTCGCTTTAAAGACTGATGACGGGTTGTACGCCGCCGGCGACCACCATTATCTCGTTGTGCCATTACCCTGCCCCCGGTTTGGTGAATGGAGGCCAAAACTTCCCATCATCTATATTAATTTGCAATGCAACCGAGTATCGGACGCGAATTTATGCGCCAACTTTCCACGCGCACATAATACGAGATTATTTCATTTGGGGAAACTTTTCGTCTTGCCCTTTTGATTCATTCATTTTTATTAGAAAATAAAACACGCTGGGTCCTTGTACAAACCTCAGAGAGAAAAAAAGAGGAATCTAAACTATGTAATTGATATAATAAAAGCAGTCTTTTGTGGTGTCGAAACTAAAACTACTGGATTTTCTGATTGTCTGTGTTACGACGTCTTAACACTATGTAAAGTAAATAAACTACGCATAATAAAATTATGTAGAATATGGTAACGTATATGAGGTTATGTCCCCAGGTGTTTGGGCTGTGGTTTGCTTGTGATTGAAGTTTTTCTTCGATGGTGATTTCGCGTTTCAGACGCTGATTGGGTTTCTTTAAATTTACTTGGGTGCATCCAGATTCTCGGACGTATTTTGCCCAAGTGCGATTTGTAGCTTGGCCAATTCTTGGCTTCTTCGTCGAGGTCTTTGCATCCACATGGCAGATGAGTAGGCGTTTGCGTTTAGTCTTCCCTACGGTAATGTCCCCATCCTCTAGAATAGCCCCCTCAAGCATTTGCAAATTACCCTTCTTCTCGAGAACCCAGTTCCAGAACTCAGACACCCAACAATCGCACCTCCACGGATTCCCAATCAGTTTCACTTTCTCCAACTCCACATTTGCATCGATATCCTGCGGCGTTAGCGATGTGAGTTTATTGTATCGCAGATCGATAGTATTCAGGCGGGGCAGCAGCGTCAAAAAGCGAAGATCAGCCGCGGTGGAAAATAGATTTCCGGTTAGGATAAGATGTGTGATTTTGGTCGTCGTGCGGAACGCTTCATTTGGTAGGAAAGTGAGGTTGCAATTAGAGAGGTCCAGAATTTCAAGGCGGGACAATTGCCTAGGGAGGAGGGCGCCGCTTGGGGAGACTCGCAACGGATTGCCGGCTAATTGCAGCTCGGTGAGGTCCGTGTAGGTGAGGTGATTAAAGAACACCGTGGCGTTGAGGGGTCGTCGAAGTCCACACGAGTTCAACTCCAAGCTCTCCAGATGCGTGAGATTTGCAAAAAGCCCCGCTTCCAACGAGTTCAGATCGTTCCCGGAAAGGACCAACCGTTTCATCGAGGTCATCTTAGAGAAAGTATCCGGGGCAATGTAGGACAGATTACTGTATCCCATATTTAAATACTCCAACGTCCTCAGGGGAGCTAGGAGTTTAACAAAGACATCGTCCAGGGGATTGTTGGAAATGTCCAATTCAATGAGACTCATGAACTTGTGCAGGGTATCCGGAAGTTTACTCAAACCAGAATGACTTAAGGTCAGCTTCTGGAGTTTGATCAAAGGGGCAAGTGCAAGAAGCAGATCAGAAGCAAGTAAGGTATTACCAGATAAATAAAGAGTTTTTAATTTGGTTGCGTTGGCAAAAGCGTCTTCTGAAAGTGGTTCACTAAGATGACAATGAGAAAGGTCCAGAATCTCTAAATGAACAAGTTTCTCGCCGATAGTGGCAGCCACGTCAAAATCACCTCCCAAATCATTTTCAGCAAGGATCAAAGTCCGGAGATAAACTGTCTCCGCGAAAGTGGTAGCTGGAACATCACGAGCAGTCAGTCCCGAATTTCGTAGATCAATATATTCCAAGCGGAGCAAAGGATTGAACACACCTGGCCATTGAACGTTTTGGAATTTATTACCCGATAACTCCAGGGATTTCAGATTGCTCTGCATGGCGAAGACGTCTTCACCAATAAAGGTCAGATTGCAATGGTTCAATTTCAAAGTACCTAAGGTTTTTAACGGTTGGAATGCGCTCCCCACAAGAGATACGAGAGGATTATTAGATAGGTCTAGAGTATTCAACGAGGAGATGTTCGCGAAAAAGTGCTCATTCAAGTGGGTCAGGTTGCAATTGCTAATGTCGAGGTAGAGCAGAGTGTTGCTGTAGAGGAACGGCCCTTCGACGCGATCCAATGGATTATCCTGCAGCTCTAGCGTTAAGAAACCCGCCTTATTCCTGCAAACGAAAGAGGGGCACTAAGTCGAGATTACGCCCGAATAACGTGTCTACGGTTACGCACTCGAATGTGAACGGATCGACGCGTCGTATACGATTGTTGGCGAAGTCGGCGTCGATGATGTAATGCAGCTCGGCGAACGAATCCTGGCGCACCTCGGCGAGCCGATTGTCGGCTAATTGCAGCCGGCGCAGCTTGACGTCCGGCGGGAAGGCCTCCACGTCAGCAATGTCATTACCATTCAGGTCCAAGATATAGACATTCGGATCTATCTCCTCGTAAGGAATTTCGGTGAGATTACTCTCGGAACAGTCCGTCACCCAATTCACTCGAAAGAAGTGACAGTCGCAATCCTCCGGACATTGCAATTCGGTGAGGTCACCATTAAACCCGACCGCTGACCCAACCAGCAGCAGCATCATGAGCAGGCCTGGAAATCAATTCGGTATTAGCACCGAAAAGAAAGCCAAGGCTTTGAAATAATAGAGTTAAAAGTTGGGGATAAAAACATGTCCAGTCGATATTCGGCGGTGGAAAAAATACAAAGCTGGCAGAGATGCGGTGGTGGCACAAAGAACGGAACCGATGCCATTCAGTGAGCTTTATTATTAATGGCATGATAGTCCAGCGTTTTCCCATAATAGAAGCGGAACTGGATTACAGGCAAGCAGGCAGAAAGGAAAAAAGCCACCACGCCACCAATATTAAAGAAAAACACGCAGAAATTCAGCTAATAAATGAATAATGAAAATGAACACCAAGCAAGCGAAAAAAAATTGACATAAATTTATGTCGAGCCTTGAATTCAAGAACGCAATTTGCATCATTTACAAATCCCACGGAAGGCATAATTAGATAATAGCGAATGGCAGCAAGCACACAATAGAATAATGAAAGATGTGACCAGGCGCGGGAAACAACAACGCAATTGGAAATTACGAGTGGAATAAACCACGAGCCGAGTGTGTCACACATAATTATCACCCATCCGATAATCGGCCCGAAATTGAAACGTCGAAACACACGCGGGTCGATATGGAACAGAGAGGTGAATCAAGGTGGTGCCCACCCGGCTTTCCGCCTAAGCAAATATGAACACAGCCCGCGTGCAGTTTAAATTAGGGTTACGTGTCCGGCACGCGAACTTTGCTTTCGAATGCGAGGAGAGTTCGAGGGTCAGCGCGCGCGATCATCCGGGCGGTTTAATTTTGAAAAGAGTTTTGTTTCCATTTCCACACACACACAAACACACATGCAATGCAAGGCCCCAGAAGCGTGATTATAAATTGTGCAAACTAAATTATAAAACGTGAAATTCCGCAAACATTTTCAATGTTATAATTGAAAAAAACGCGTGTAAATATTGACGTGCTGGTTGAACAGTAAAAAAACATCGTGATTTTAAAAATTGAATTTCTCTGCGTACCGCATCGTATTTCTAGTGGTGCGGACTGTGGCAACTCGCCGCGCGTTCTAACCTCAAAGTCTACACTGGAACCGCAGCGTTTTTTACTGTTTTACCCGTCAATATTCCACTTGTTAGCTGAATATATCATGCAAACATGTTGTATTATGTAAGGTGAATGTGTTCCACTTACCTTGACTTTGAATCATCGCGTTGTAGCGGCACAAAATCGAGTTTTACCAGCGTGGAAACATCGGCAGCCGCGCGGCGCACACTCACTTTGTTACACTGCGCCGGCGAAGCGGCAATAGCAGCGATACTAGAAAGATATCACGATTCTCAGCGTGACACCTTCCAGTATGAAACTGATAGAAGCAGTGGGACTTTACGTAGTTAACTTATGCCTACTACATCTCAACTCAACTCTCACAATGGGGACATATTATGATTGTTGACACTTTGCAATAAAGATACTTGATACGCACTCGTACTTGTAATATGATTTAATTGTATTTTGTAAACCAAATCGATACTTGTAGCTAATTTAATTCCGGTTGAGTAAATATTATAAACGATGGCGTAATTATTTTGATAATTACTCATATTCTATTTGTTTTCGTTAATTAGTTAATTGGAATGAATATCACGACGCGTAAAATGTGTCATACAAGTGCACTTCATCGAAACATTGAGGTTATGTATGTTTAAATTCTGCACATTCGAAATTCATTGATTACTTTTCAATCAGACCCGCGCGCGTGCATAATTATATACCAAATTGATGATAATTAAATTATTTATCTATTAGAAGTACTCACGGTTTTCATTTCGATGTTTTTTCCCAATGAAAACACAATATTTAACCGCATCGCAAATGACACTGCACATCGTTGCATACACACAGTATAGGCAACCAAACATACAGCTAAAATATCAGAGTATAAATCTCAATGTGCCCAGCGCAGGCAACATGTTTGGCATTTCTTGTTTCTTGTACTTTAAAGTAAATATATCCTTGTTGATTTTGATTAAATTTACCTCGGGGATATCCATATCCCTACCGATTTAATGCACATCCAGAAAATTTCAACTTACTTTATGCAGCGCGCTTCGTAAACTCGGGCGAATTGAAGATATCGTCGGGAAAACTCTGCGCTGCGCCTTCATGTGAAAGCCATAGCGCAGCATGACCGCGGCTACAAATGGTGCACGTATACATAACCTGACTGGTACGCTTGTAGCTTGTTAAAGTTCTATATTTGTTTGATTAGATTACCTCCCGAAGTAAAACCGAAGCTGGCGTGCATGCGAAATAAACTCCTGAGCGACGCACAAAAACAAAAGAATATTTGCGCTGCGAAATATTGCAAACATTGCGCGCAGAGCGGCAACCAAGTATACACAACCACACAACTAACTTCATTATTATATTAGCTATTAACATGGCCGGACAAAGGATACTTTAACGAGTTAATTGTTGAATTACTAAACGTAAACCCAAACTAATCACAGTAAAGGAATAAAAATGTCCAGTTAATTATTTCGTTTATAATATAATATCATCATATATTATAATTTGTTGTCGTTTTTGGTACAATGGTAGTTCTTTTAATTATTCATTATAATTAGTGTAATTATCGTATGTTATGTAAATGGTAATAAGTATGAGAACAAACGTACGAACGGACAGACATATTTATACACATTTTCGTCGCGTAATTGTTGACTTGCTTCACGTGTTTATTCATTTTTTCTTTTGATTTTCACTCCCTGTCAGGATTGTTAAGTGTGAGTGTAGAGTGTGTGGTGTGACATTCAGGATATTGATATTGATAAGCGGTTGTTTAGTTCCACAGTAAAATTCGTATAGACAGATAGCAATAATCAGTGATATCAATTTGTATTAGAGGAGTGGGTGAGTAAGTGAAGTAAGTTGTGTCTCAAAAAGGGCAACTTGGGCAACATGGCGGCGCGTTTGGTATTTGAAAACTCAACTGAATCACACAACTACTTATAAAAATATGTATATACGTTATTCTTACGCTTATATCATATCGTATTAAACATTTGTGTTTTCTGTAATCTTATTAAAATCTTCTCCATACATTTGTAATTTTTTTCTTGTTTATCGGCTAGTTTATACATTAATATCTGCGGTTATGTTTTATAGGGTTTAATTCATTCATGCGCGTTCATTATTGCTTCTCACAAACGGAAAATCATTTGACACAAACCACCATTTCGTCGGGATGTGAATCTTTGTTTTCAGTCTTGATAAAATCCTCCAGATGAAATATTACGGATAGGCACGAAAACAAAATGGTCACCGGCGGAGCAAAAACGTTCAAAATTTATCCGTTCGTTAATATTCTTTTGTTTAACGAGGTCGGATTTACTCACATCTCAGTAATAAATCGTTTAAATTTGTTATTATAGCTATAAAACCGTCGTGGCAAACGCAAACAAAAGAAAAGCATGACATTATTGCGTGTACGTTTGAGTAATCGGCGCGCCGAGTGTTGAATTTTCTGATATATGATAACCACGCACGGCAGCAGCACCACCACCAAACCCGTTCGACCCTTGTTCTTGCCTCGCACCCAACGTGATTATACATTTCATTATTCGTCCCCAGCAACTGAAAAAAAAATAACAACCGCTTCGCCTCGTTAAACCCTGTATATCATTTTTCTGGTTTCATTTTCGACTAATTTGGTTTTAAATTGGAAGAACACGGTTATAATGAGTGCGCGTGCGCGTTGCTTACACGTAGACAATGTGCGGACGCGCCTTGACGCCATTATCAAACTGTCTGTACACGTCGTCGCACTGTTTCACGCACGGGTCCCACGTGGGCAACGCGCGATACTCGTGGATAACTGGAGGTCCAATGATGAACTTATCCGAGCGTGGGTCTTCATACGTGTGGTACTCGTACGGATGTGCCAGTACTTGGCCATTGGGGCAGGAGATGGGTTCAATTGGTGGTAGGTCCTTATTCTTTAGTCGCTTGCGTTTCGGCCCACAATACACCAGCAGGAATACAGCGGTGAGGAGAAGACACGTGAATGCAATCCCACCACCAACCGCTATCCATCCCAGGGAACACCCCACTTGGGATTCGGTAGTGTCAGCTAGTAGACTACCCGCAAGTGGTTCAGGTCCAGCACATACCACATCCTCTACATCAATGAGGAATTCACTATTGGACTTACTATAATTCCCAGGGTGTGATTTTTGATCGTGGGTCAAACGCCACAACCATAATAACGAGCAATTACACTGGAGTGGATTACCACCAACTGACAACCTCGTGAGTTGATCCAATGGAAAATGGCTGGCGTCCAAAGTTGCTATCTGATTATTCCGAACGGAAATCTGTGAGATCCGTGGGTTACCATAGAACAACCGATGTGGTAAACTGGTGATAGCAATATTGTCATCCATATGAATCACTTCCAAATTGATGTTATCCACGAATGCCCGAGAGTCAATACTCGTGAGGAAATCAAGTCTATCCAGGGAAAGGAAGCGTAGTTGGAATAACCCGCGGAATGCAACGGGTGGGACGGTGCTGATAAAGTTCCCGCTGAATCGTAGCCGCGTGAGATTCGAAAGCTTCGCCAGTGAAACAGTGGGCACACTGGTGAAGTTGTTATTACTTAGATCTAGATACTCGAGTGCTACGAGACCGGACAATGCCGCGGGATGCACATTCGCGATCACATTACCATCCAATCGCAGCACTTGTAAATCAGGTAGCATAGGCATATCCCCCTCATTCACACCTCCAATTAGATTCCCAGATAGAGATAATCTTTGAAGATTGTACGCGTCGCTGATTGCCGTGCTGGCTATATCCAGAAACGCGTTATCTTCTAAGTACAGTTCCCGCAACATGGTCGCGGGTTTCAATAGGCCATTCTCCATGAACACCAGCTGGTTACCAGTAAGCTTCAACACTTCAATCGAGTGTAGATCCCTAAAGGTATGTTCTGTGATCTCTTCAAGTTGGTTAAAACTAAGATCCAACACTGAGAGTGCACGCAGGCCTTTAAAGGAGTCTTTGGAGAGGGTTTCAACTTGGTTGTGACTTAGATTAAGGTGTTTCATATTACGCTGCGCTTCAAAACTACCAGATCCCAACGATTTGATGTTGTTGGTGGAAAGATCTAGAGTTAGAAGTTTATCGTAGAAACCCAGCGTGAAATGGACACTGGTGATCTTGTTCTCGGAGAGGTCTATATGCCGCACTTCAGGGTTTAGTTGAATGGGTACAACTGCAAGTGAGCCCACAGCGCAGGAGACCCGCAGGGAGTCTTCGTTGCAGCGGCAGCTTGATGGGCAAATTGCACGTGCCCCAGCTGCCGCCAGGAGGAGGATCAACACCCACATGGGTCGGGTCAACTCACCCCCCATGCCAAGCGCGTCGCACCCGCATGGAACCTGCAACAAATAATACACAACATTAGAGCACATATTCCCAAGGATCAATTCCAATAGATCGCTATCTTCTCTTGAGGGCTTCTCTAGAGGAGGTTCCGCTTATCAAACCGACCGCATCAACTTAAATTGGACTCAATTAGGGAGGCGACGGGCGGCGTTAAGTCAGCAAGTCGATAGTGCACACTAAGATTGCATATCTTAGAAATTGGCAACGTTGCACTGTAGGAAACTATAAAGACGCATCAGCAACGCCGTAGACCCCGACCACCGAAACCGAGCCAATCTAATCCGAAACTATTTTCAGCGACATATTCATGTCAACATTCTCCGCAGCAGATCCCGATTCGCATTTTAATAGTCTTCTATTCCCGAGAGCACCAAACTGCTATCTGTGATGGAAGACAGAACGTAGTATGATGTTCCCCGACTTCTGCGGGGTTTTAATATGCAGACCTACGACGCGAATCGTACATATTTACCAAAGGCGTTCCGGAAAACAAGAAAGCGTTTCTTTTTTTTCGTCGTCGTAAAAACTGATGTACGAGCAGAGTGTGGTTTTTATCTCTGCACAACACAATAATTGATTTCAAGTAATTGCGGGCCTTTTTCGATCTCTGTGCTTTCTTACGACCGGCGTATATCTTTCCAACCATCGCCGCCGCCCCCCAAATGTGGTATTTTTCTGTATATGCGTATGGAAATTTCCAATCCGCACATAAAATTCGGGCGTTAGTTTCGCATTTTCTCCTTTTCTTTTTTCGGGTGCGAGCGACGAGGTATTTATCTTGGGAAAGCCGCATATTGGAAAATCCGGACTGAGCTGCAAATAAAAGAGACCCGAGGGGGAAGCTCTCGCGAAAAAAAAACACACACAACATAAATGACTCGAAATGAAAAATCGTAACGATTTTTTCGTTTCTCGGCCATAACTCATATTTCCGCACGCACGAATTTATCTCTCGCCAAGTTTGAACGATGGATCGGATTTACATCCCCGTCTCTCCTGCCGAGTGTTTATTTAAAGCCAATACGCACATTATAAAACCACCCTCGCCTGATGAATTACGCCGACGACAGATTTGAATGCGACGGCATTAGCGCCAATTTTCCGCATCAATACCGGCTGGTAATCTCGGCGAACAATTAATATAAGAAACGGAAGCCCGGAAGTCGGCGCGGTGTAGGCTGGTGCACAAACAGCGTGCACATCAACTACTTCCGTTAGTATAATTAATTTCCCCCGCGTGGGCGCGCGAATGCCAAAACCATAAACTGACGTAGGAAACCGAGCCAATGATAAAGATAATGATAAATTGAAGTTTTAGCGCTCTTTAATTACGCTTGATTAATACGTTGTTCGACGAGAAGAAACTCTTCTGCTTCTTTCCGGCTGCAATCTGTTTATCTTTCGGCGCTGTGCCTCATTTAGCATTTTCTCGCCGGCGGTGGCGGCGGTGGGAAATTTAGTCATTTAGTCATTACCGTTTATCTGGATCGCGATATTCTTGATGCTTGTTTGGCTTGTTACGTTTAAACGTGCTAGATTTGCAATTTGCACAAATTTGCACGGATACGTCCTTTGTCGGCGCGCAGGTTGAGCTTAATCGATGTGTCACGTAGGTTGTTTGAGGTTAGACTTGATTGAATGGACTTGATTTGCATATTTTAGCCAAAACTAGCTACTATGTATCCAAACCAGACTATTTGGCATGTCAACAATCATAAAGGTTTCAAATATCTTTGTTTAAAATAGAATTTTTGCAAATAGCATCAATTTCAGATAGTAAAAGTGAAAATTAATACTTTTATGTAATTATCTCGAAAAGTAAAACTCATAGAGAAGAACGGATTGAAGATTCTTAATCTGCGGAAAATTCTCTATAAGATAGGCATAAATTGAAAATCTAAAAAATTAAAAATTATTTTATAAGAAAATCATTTTTCATAATTTTTTTTCGAGAATTTTCGATCGTAAATAACTTTCATACTAAAAGCGATAGCAACAAACGGATTGAAGAATATGAAAGATTGGAAAATTCTCTATAAGATAAATAAGATATTAATAATTATATTATTCTGTGTGGTAAAAGCTCCAAAATTGTGATTAAAAGTGCTAAAAAGTGCAATTTTTCGTTTTTTGCAAAATTTTTTCCAATCGCGAAAATCTCGTAAACTAAAAGTGATTGAGAAGAACGCATTGCAAATTCTTAATCTACCAAAAATTCCCTATAAGATACATAATTTTAATATTAGTACAAAATATTACTTAATTTATTATTAGGAGGAGAATGATGATTATGAATCGACGTCTCAATCCCACTCCTCTCTAAGCAAAAAAAACTCAGTCGTAATTTAAGTTTAATTTCATTACCCGCTCGCTGGCGGAAAAGTTTCATAATAAATTCATAAGTCGCGCCGAAAAGCGCCAACGATTGTTCCAAAATCAGACCCGATGCGGGCTTTGATTCCCGCTGATTGGATTCGCTAACGCTAGCGACCATCGCGCCGGCACGCCAAACTTTTTTTACGATTATTTCTGACCGTTCGACCAGAGACCGATACGCGCCGAATAGAATGGGCACGTAATCGAAAGTATGATTGAAAGCGCGCGCCATATAATGGAAATAGTTGGATCGCCGGCGGAGCAGAAGAAGCGGCGGCGGGTGCACAGCATCAATACCACTAGTAGTCACTCACATACAAGCACAGAGAGACAGCCAGATCCAGAGAAACTAGTTCGCAACCTTGGGCGGCGAATTAACCCGCAAATGATTCCCGAAATTGAAAGGAAGCTGGTAATTGAATCCGCGCGCACGTGAGGGCCATCTAGTTATAAGTTAAGCAAAGGCCCACGTAACGCCAACCACTACACCTCTATCACGACTTGGCTTTTGTTGCATATATGCAGAGTTCGTGCCCCGGAAGCAGAATGTTGGGGTTTCGGGGAGGATCGATGATTTATACATGACAATAAACTAACGGCTCGCCTAGTTTCACTCCCCCAAGTCAAGTTTGTTACAAATCGAAGAGTCAACACATCTGCGTCTCTGGGTTCGAACTCTAACCCAGTTTTTGAAAATTAACCAAATCAAAGCATGGGAAACAATATTGATCATTTCATGTACCAATTGTATACACATCGTATATTTTCCGTTGGTTGCGCGAGCGGATCAACGTTCATTCGATCGGAATGGTTCTCCAGTGGCTAATGCCGGACGAAATCCGCGCCCCAACCGCTACCCCCACCCCTATACTGTATTTCCCGTTTGCAATTCATTTCATTCCACGCTCTGAACACCATTTCTTATATGTGGTCTTATAAAGTCCGAAAGCACACACATACAGTAACATGACTTTCACATCACATCAAAAAATGTATTTCTTTATGTGCGCCAGCAGGGCCATTTCGTTTTTTATTGCGACGATTCATCAAACTCTCATTTAAGCAAATCTTCCATTCATGCTCTCTCCCCTTATCTGCGAACGTGTAATATGAACGAGGTGCGGAATATAAAGAAGCTCCAAAGTAGATTTGGCATTATGGTTAGCGCATGTTATTAAATTCAAGATGGCCGCCTATATGTAGGCCTATGTGGTGAAAAATATTTTAATAAGCGCGCGTAGAGAGAATTTACATTTCGGCGCGGATAATTACCAAGTCGCAAAAGTTGCCTTTTCATAATTTCCATTCATATTGCCATAGCAATATTGTCTTAATACCTAGCTCGTATTCTCGCGCGCTTCATATTTCATTCGATTTTCATTAACACGCCGAGTTTTCATCTCGCCTCGTAATCTATCTAAGAAGTAACAACTGACATTACCAAAGCGACGGCGCATGATGTACAAAACGATTAAAACTCCTTTGCGAGTTGGCTGTGTTTCGTACTTTAACGAAAGTTTGTGCGCACATAAAGAAAATATACTTATGAAAATATATACCTGCGTTATCAATTGAACTTTTACGTCTACTTGCACCTTAATCCCTCTCGCGTAAATACGCTCAAATGATGCAAGAAATAAAAACTCCCGCTCAACTTCAAGCACGTAACTCTTTTATAGTCGACGAACAAATATATTCCTTGCATCTTCCTGTTTCGCATAGTTTTTTTTCTTCTTCTCTGGGTGTTTCGTCTGCTTCTCCAACAGGATAATTCCTGCGTGTGCACGTGAATCGTTTAATATTCTTTTTTGGTATTCACTTTGATGTCCTGAGTGTTGGCGTCGGTGTCAATTCTGGGCGGTGGCGCGTACCAGAGGAATTACAGCGTCGTAAAAGAATAATGACGCGGATAGCTGGCGAAATGTTTATGTACTCGACTCCTCGGCTGTTGTGTCAAACGCCGTGCGCAGAATGATGGCCAATGCCGATGCGGTACTTTATGTGTCTTCGTGTACGTGATGGTGATTAAAAAGTTTGCAGCGTGTTGAGCTTCTAAAACGCGGTTTTATCTAAGTACATAGGCAACCAAACATGCTGTAACCAACATAACCTAATGTGTATGTAACAAAATCGATAATATAACACACAGAAAAAATACATTCGAGACAATAGACATTTGAAATTCACATATTTGCTCAGCGGTGGCGGTAGGGTTGCATGCAATACCCCTCGGGCGAATGTTTCGCCGCCACCGATGTTGATTCGAATCGAAAATTCGCATGCGGAGCCCAGCAACGTAAAAATAAGAGCGAGCGTCAATTTAACAGGGAATTAATTCACTTGGAACGTTTTTCAACGCCAGCACACGCCCGCTGGGCCCTAGACCGGTTAGAAACGTGTAAAAGGGTTGGCTACCACTACACAAACACCGCAGCGACGGCGGCAGCGGCGTTTATTCATATTCATTTGCGTTGAAACAATTTGCGCTTGCAACAAAAGAGTTGCGAGCATGAATGCACTTTTACCGAGTGTAGCCAAAGCTGGACGAGTATATCGGTGATATCCACACTCTATACCGTGGAATTGGAGGGATGCGCGCGGATAATGATAGAAAACG